CATGTATCAGTCTCTAGATATCTGATATGATAGTTGTCACCTACGACAAGCGGCAAAAAACCTATTGAGACGATGGCTTAAGAGCCAACAGAAACAGAAACAGAGAGAGAGAGAGAGAGAGAGAGAGAGAAAGTGAGAATGATCTTCACATTTTGAGTTCATTGTGAATGAGTATGAGAATGACTATGAGAATGAGACTCGAGACAAGAAATAGCAAGTGGTTCGGAGAAACGTTATCAAAACACATAAAAGTGAGAAGAGTGGCCCCCGGAAGAAAAAAAACTCGGTAAGATGCTGCTCGTTCATCAAAGTGACAACTGAACAGGTCACGGCATTTAACTTTTAGCGAATCGGTGGTAGCTGCAAAGATTTGGGGAAAAGGAAGAGTGATGAGGGAGAGAGAGATAGACAAAAATTTACTGATTTTGATGGGACAAATATTCAGAAATCAGAGATCTAAACTGTTTGTTGTAGTTGTCCTCAAAATTAATCTAGCTTTCTAATATCTTAACGTAATCTAATTTTCCATCAGTTTTTAGTTTACTCTTAATTCGTGGAATGTCTTATTGAATGAGAACTACAGTACCGGTCAATAAAATATACCAAACGTATTTTCAAGCTGATTTTCTGCTGTTTTTACAATTTTCAGATGCCTGGAGCTCGGATGCCAAGTTTCCGATCACTTTGAAAATGTTGGAAGATGTAGAGACTAGATTGAAAACTGTGCATTTACAGAATTTTTTGAAAGTCCCTAGTTTTTCACTTACTTGTTGGTTTCGGAACGATGCTCATCTTTATCTGTTTCTGTACTGAAAACGAGAAAAAAATTCAGAAATCGGCAAATAGCGAAAAACTAAGAATTCTCAAAAATTTTGTGAACGCAAAATATTCACTCTGGATCTGTTTTACACTATCCAGAGTTTTCAAAGTTATCGAAAACCTGAAAGCCGAGCTCAAGAATCCTGAAAATTGCAAAAATGGTAGAAAATATACTGAAAAATACTTTTTAGTGTATCTTACTGACCGGTACTGTGTGTATCAGTTGAGAATTGATAGTTTTCTAGTAATACACTGAACATGAAAATGAAACAAAAAAAAGAAACATTGAACCCGGATAGCCCAGGATAGTTTCACACATTTTCCACCGATTTGAACCAATTTCAGATAATTTTGGGCGTATTCAAATTTTTTTTAGAAATTGGATGGGAATTGATCAAAAATGACTTGAGTTTCAATTGCTAAAAATAAAGCAAACATGGTTGAAAATGTTCCAAAAAATTCTCGAAAAGCTAAAAACGCGTCAAATGTAAAACTACATACTCAAAAACCGTATCCGAATCGTTTTTTTAGCAAAAAATAGAGGTTTCACAACTATCCCAAGAACATTGAAATCTCGTCCCACAAAGAAACGAAGCGTAAAATATTTTTTCCAATTACCCGTATTGTGAAATAAGAAAAATAAGAAGGACCCCCTCTCCTCATCGTGGGCTCATCTCATCGTCAGTCCTTCACCAGATTTCCCAAATTGATAAAGGTGTGTACACACAATGAGAAAAGGGTTGAACTTTCTTTCGTCACTAGCCAGTGTAAAGAGAGTGCTAATGAAAGTTAAAAAATGAGCAGGAGGAGAGGAAGAGGAAGAAGACACCGAAAAAACCAAAAAAAGTTTTAAGAGTATAATACATAGTAATACATAGTTTCTGGGTTTTCTTTTGGTTCTCGCACGTTCGTAAGTGTTTTGTAGGGTGAGAAAATAGTAGAAAAACGACTAAGTGGCTCCCGAATGAATATGACGAGGACAACGTGCAAATGAGTGGGTCCATGTAGCGAACAGGAATAAAGGTGGACAGATTATAAGGTTGTTGAACCTACACCACCCCCGTGGAACCCATAAACAGCGTCGTCGGCCGAAGCTAGTGAGCTCCCGCCTCCTCTGACTGGTTCCGCCAAATTTGACTTGACGTTGTAAAATGGGTTTTGTGCTGCTCTTTTTCTCCCCTCTTGTTCTTGGTTCGTTTTCAAGGAGTCAGAAGCAGTTTACGTTTAATGTCGTCGAGAAAAACTGACACGCAACATTAAAGGTGATCGGTATAATCAACTCCTTCGACTCCCAGACGTTTTATGTTGATCCTTTGGGACTTCTCGTACGGGGCGGGTCTCCGTGAGAAGAAACCCACGACTATGGGCGGTAAGAAAAATTGAAGTAGTAGAAGATTCACGGAGTAGTAGAAGATTCACTTTTAGGGAAATTGGAAAAGTTGAATGAAAATGGGAAAGTGAAACTAGAAACTAGAGAAAAGATGGGATTGTACTTTGTAGGAAATTTGGAATTGCTCTTGGTACATTTTGAGTTGACTGGAAATTAAGAATTTCTATTGAGTATCCAACGAAATTTAAAAAAAAAAAACTAACGACACCTAAAGATTCCTCAAAATTTATAGAAAAAAGGCGAAAAAATACATTAATGAAATCAAAGTTTATTGGAAAAATTTCGAAAGTTCTGCTTGGAAATTTTCTCGTTCCCAGAAAGCGAGTGAAAAAATAAAAAAGGACCGAGAAAACATATTCCCAAGGACATGTACGTCTAATCCTGAACTCGTCGTACTAAACCGTTTTGAAAAATGAGTAAAACAAAAGGGTCTGTCGTTGAAACGAGCCGCAAACATTTTTTGGGCCCCGTTTTGAGGAATAATCGGTGGATAATCGTTCCTTTTTATATCTTTTTAGTTCCAAAAATAATCGAAAACGTTTATACCTCTAATCACTAATAAAATCTTTTTTCGGGTATACGGTAAAGTTTTATATCCACCAATTATCTCAATTTTCCATTCCGTTTGAAAAAAGAAAAATAGAGCCACCACGAAAAAAAATGGGGAAGAGGAAACAAGGAATAGTATGTCATAAATGTTAGCTCAAAAATGGGGGAGGAAGACTCAATGGTATTCTTGCAGAAAAGGACAAGACAGAATGTGGGGTGGTTATGTGAAGTCATTAGTCCTTTTGGCGGCTTTTCACGTTGTCTCGGGCTCGCCTTTTTTGATGAAATGTCCATTTAACACATGCTGTCGTTGAGAACCTAGAAATTCAGCTGAGGCATGAATTGTTTCTGAATTTATAAAATTTTTCTTCGATGTGAGAAGACAGATGAATTAGAATAAATGATTCTGTCTAGAAGATACCCTAATTAGAAAAATGGAGGGGTTTAGTGTTATTTGGAATTCTGCTTTTGTTGGAAAAAGGGAAATGTTCCAGATTAGACGTTTGTATGTACACATATTTTAGCCTAGAAGAATCCAAAATAATTTGAAAGTACCGAGAAGTCAAATAACAGATGTCGATGAAATGAATGTGATTGGAAAAAAAAACAATGTGATTGTTTTAAGGATTCACTATAAAAAGCTGATAGAAAGCCTCAAAAACCATAAATTTTAGCTAAATTATCTTGACTTCTGTGAGAGGTATCAAACAATTATCAGCAGAAAAATTACTTTTCATAATACAACTAATACTTTGTCTGTTTACAAAACTTTGATAACTCTCACAGGAATCGAAATAGTGTAGCTTGAAGTTAACGGCTTGGGTGGGCTTTTTTAGAAGTAATACTGCCATTCCGTCTGATGAAAAATTTAGAGGTAAATTTTTAGAAATAATAATTTAGAAATATTTCAAAAATATCAGATATAAAATAGTTGTAAAATGTTTTTTGTTTGAAAATTTATGTATCTGACGATATTCTATTTAGATTCTCAATTTGAGAACATTCAAAACACATCTCAAAATCTAGTAAGAAAATGAGCTAAGAAAGAGGAGTTTCCGAAAAAAGGAGTCGCTTTCTAAATGAACAAAAGAAGTTTGTTTTTGGGCCCTTACCGCCCGAGGACCGCCACATCTCTTCATTTCATTCCCACTAAAACAACAAATTGGAGAGAGTGTGTACGGTAATTGAGTCGAAACAACAAATTCAATTGGAAGTTAAGACGATGAGAGCGGAGGGGGGGTGAAGAAATTTAGGCATTGAATGACTTGTGTATGGGCTCGCCAACAGGAGGAGCTCCTTGGTGCAACTCATTTCGGTGAGTATCTCATCGGCTTCTTCACAATGGACTTCCAAATACAATTATCAACTATTTTGAGATGGAGAGTGCTTCCGCGCGGAGTATTTTCCTCTTTTTTTTTGAAGTGAGTTGGTTGCAGGAAAAAGGTTTTATTTTGGTTTTTTGGTAATCACTACTATTTTCAAATTGAATTGAAGTTGCACTAACTCAAAAAAAATCAAACGAAATAAATATTGAAAATGAAGGAAGAAATAAGTTGAATGCAGCATGTTGTCCGCCATGAAGATTTCAGATTCAAAAGGTCAGTTTACACTAGCGGAGCACGGCTAAGAAACATCGAGAGAGTGCATTTTGCGAAATGTCGTTTTGTAACTATCTTGACGAAACTCGTATCCGATTTCAACAAAATGACCAAGCTCTTCTTTCTCCATGTAGTTATCAATCTATGCTCCAAGGAGAAACAACATAGAGAAACACATCCATCAAAAATTATCTACATAACTCTGTTTTGGTACAAGGCACATTTCCCAAAAACTTAAAAACTAGAAAAACATTAAAATTGAAAATTTTGTGAAAGAAAATCTCTCGTTGTCATGAATGATATCTTTCTCCCGGTATTCGGTTACACCAACACATGCAACTCGTTTTGCTCTCGTTTTCTTTCGAAATGTCAATGAGCAAATTGAGAAATTCAAGTTTTTATTCAGAAGCAGAAGATTTTTAGAAGTATAAACATTTATGGAAGTGTTATGTGAAATTGAAATGGAAGTTAGACAACAAAACAAAACACGTAAAGCCACGAGAGGTTGGTATTTGAAACAAGATCACAGAAAGTCAATTGATTTTTGAAGGGGTAAAGGAGAAAAAAAGCGGTAGACGTGAAGAAATTTTTTGTACAATTACATTTTTACATGGCATTTTTACAGGAAGTCCAGCTTAGTTTATCTACTGGTGAGGTGTTGACTTTTCCAGGATGTAGGCTGGTGTTGATCCACAGAATTCAACGCCTTCATAGTCGGCGACATCAAGAAGGAGCTCTTTGGTGAGTGCGGAGTTTACAAATGAGAATTTGGAGAAGGCGATTTCCTGAAACCATGATTTTAGAAATTTGTTGCATTTCAATTTTTGGGAAATACCTTTGACATGGTGGATGGCAAGATGTAGCATCGGTTTTTAGCTTCGATTTTGAATAAAATCACCTTTTTATGACTCACAATCATCCTTTTGACATTGGATGTGGTAACCTAGATAATAAAAATTCGTAATTATCGCTTTTGGCAGAATAGATACCTCAGGAGGCAGCTCAAATGGTTCATAGCTTCCATGGTACATGTAACTGGCAATCATTAGTGTTAATCCTGCAGAGAAAATCGCGATCAGCAATGCAGTGATTGTCAGATACAAATATCCACACTCCTTGGTCTTTGGTTCGGCGTTGTTAATGTCTAGAAGTACATTAATAGTTGAGAGAGGCTGATAAGAGAAAATCTTCCGATACCTGACATGTTTCTTGATCAGTCAAAAATCTTGGCAGTCAAAAATCGAAGAATAAGTTTCAAGGAAATGGTCGCCGCTGGCAGAAAATTCAAAATGACAAGATCTGTCACTCAGTCCGTTTCAAAACAGTTTTAGGTTAACTCCGCCTGTGGAATCAAAGTTTTCTGGTAAGCGCCTAGCCTAGGCGCCGCCCATTGAATGACCGTCGTCGTCCTCTTCGTTTTCCTTTCTTTTTTTTTCGCCCGATGACGACTTCTTTTGGGATGGTCAATAAACACGAGACCAGTGAATAGAAAGTGTGTAATGTAGCGCCCCCCGACAGTAGAGACGATGTGGCATCTACTCTTTATCTTTTTTTCTCGTCCGTTTACTGTTTTCCTGGCCAATATTCCAGTACTCTAGTTCACCTTTTTTATTGCCAAGGGTGAAGGACAGTTTTTTCTGTTGTTTTGACCACAAAAAACCTGAATTCTTTGACAGTGAATAAGAATACGTTGATTGGGTTCTTGATGGGATTTTTTGATTGGATTTTGAATAGGGGAAGGATGGTGAATTTGTGAGTGATAAACATTTTTCTTTCGTGCGTCCGAACGATTTGAAGAAAAGAAAAACAGAGTCTAAGATCCTAATACTGTCAGCTGACGAACATCGTTATTGTGAACTGATCAGTCATACGACACATTTTCTGAAGATAAATTGAGAAATTGATCATGTTGATGTATCGCGCGTCGACGCTTTCGGGATATCAGATATCAAAATAAATTCCCTCGCGTTCTTGCTTGTGAGATATATGAATTTTTTCGATATGATGGAATTCTAGAGATCTTGATGTTTTCGATTTGGTGATTGGAATTCCCCCAACAAGGGAGATGAGTAATAAATCTGTCGAATATCTCTTATCTTATCGGTTGGAGATATTTCTGTGGGTCTATCTATGGTGATGAGATGGGCTATAACGGGAAACAGAAAAGCTACCCAAACTACAACGCTACAATAGACACTATGGAAAACTAAAAGCAAAAAAATTTAGGAAATTTTATGTTTTATAGGCATTTCTTTTCCAATTTGGACATTTTCAGCATTATCTCTCTTTTCTCATGAAAATAAAGAAATTGCAAAAAATTTACAGCTTCAGTAGTTGAACAATACAGTTACAGTAATACTTGATAGTTTGCATTCAAACTAAATATCTTAAGCACTGCTCGGCCGCAAAATTTTCAAAATATGAAAATCAAGGAACAAAAATGGAAAAAAAATTGAAAGGTTTGTTCTGACAACGACAAATTCAAAAATAGAAAAACAGGGTTTTTGAATTATATTTTCGAAAAATGTTTCTATCATTCGGATTTGCAGAAGTTGGTCAAGGGTCAAAAATCTGATGATGATAATGAAAGTCATCTTCGAAAAAATCACGGAAATTTCTGATTTTTCAATACTGTTTTGTTAGAGAAGGGCTGCACTTTTTGAGACTTAGATTATAATTTTTCCGAAAAAAAAAACGATTAACCTGTACTTATGGCTTGTGGAACAAAATTAGTATTTTTGTAAATCGCTCATAGTCAAATATTTCAAATGGCACAACAATCCTTTAAATTAAGTGTAGGAAACCCATGATTCGGGGGATAAAAATTTAAATGTAAAAGGTGTTCTGTCCCCTGGCATCGAGAAACTCTTGAATCGTTCTGTACCGAAATGACTCCGAAATTTTTAACCCACAAGTTATGTGCTTTGCTCACAAAGAGCGTTGCTAAAGTTAGATTCTTTAATTTAAATTTCGCTAATTCGAACTGCAATCCAGCCCTCTCTTCCTATCTTCAAAAAAAAACGATTGGGCGTCTTTATCAAAATAACCTAGTGACCCGGAAATATTTTGAAATTTTTTTTTTCGATTTGACCAATGGTATGTCGGCGTACTTCTTCTTCTAATTTGGTCAAATCATTTTTCACATTTTTCTTCCCATTCTAGCGGTCATTAAAATGTGACCCTGCTGCCAAAACCTCTAGAAAACCGGTCGCTTTCATTTTTAGAGCGAACCAAGACATACGATGCCCTGTCAATGTTTTGTCTTCCTCGAATACCGCGGAATTTCAAAAAAAAATTAGTTGAAGATGTAGAAAAGAGGAAGACTTACAAGAAGGCAAAAACGAAGCAATTAAGACGGACGAAAATGACAGAAAACCCATTATTAATTTATCATCATCTTCATTTTTATCTATTTCCAATGAGGGGGGTAATAAATTATTATGCGACGTGATGATTGTTTGGGAGGATTTGATATTTGTGATGCTGCTGTCTGCAGGGACTGATTATAAGTGCATACCGAATGTATGTGACGACAAGGATCTGTTGGGCAAGAATCGAGACGATCGCGAAGAGAACTCTGGTGTTGAAATGGGCAATTTGAACAAGAATCAGCCAGGATAAGGCGTATGATAGCATTGTGAAGAACACACAAGACAGTACTGATTTCACTTTTCCATCCACCCCAGAACGAAGATGCGTGTAGATTGAAGTAAGGATCGAGGCGGTCCATGCCTGGAAATATATTTGGATACTCAAATAGTCCAATAATTCAGAAATCCAACTTACAACATTAGAAGCAAAGAACACCCAAGCAGCTATCGGTTGTGCTGATTGATGTGCTAGTTTCAGTGCCAACCAAACGGAAAACATGTAGATGCTCTGGGACACTAGATGAGTTTCCCAGTTGCTTACAGAATCAGTTTGGATATTGTGTACATGACGTTCCAAAACCTGAAAAACGAAAAAAAAAGAATTTGTGACTTGTTCAGCAACTAATAACTCACAACTTTGGCAATTATCAAAAGAGAAATGAGGGCAAAGTTGGTAACAGCAAGAATGATGCAAGTGTCAAACTCGCTGCTGGATCCAATTTCCATTTCTTGTCTGGAAAAATGAACTGTTTTCAAAAGTTATGGAATTTAATACGATTTTTAAAGAAATTTTTAGATTCAGTTTACCTGGAAATTTGGCTGAATAAAGTTCAAAACTAAATTTTCATGAAACTTGATTTTTTAATAATTCCTTTTTTTTTGTAATAACAATTTTATTATTTAAATTAATTTTTTGAAGCCAAATCCGAAATCATTTTTGTCAGTTTTTTTTCTCGGAAACAGAAACCAAGAAAAAATTCCGATGTTTTTTGAGGGTAATATGTTGCATATTTTAGCCCATATTCAGCTTTTATCGGTAACAAAAAATCTTCTTTACATATATTTAAAGGTGGGGGGACATGAAAAAAATAATGTTCTCGAAATTCCGTTCAAAGATGCTCCTCGAGGAGTTGAACTTGTGAGGACGATGATTGAGGGTGCGGCGCCGCTACCGACTGAGCTACACGGGCAAAGAAGAAGCGGTCGCCCGATTACATACATAAAGGCGAGGACGACAGCTGTACGCAGAGTGACATTAAGCGTTGTACACCGTCACGGTAGAATGCATACTCTGGCCCCAAAAATCCCCCGTAAAATCTCCTGTCCTCCCACCTTTAAGGCGAAGTTTGAGAATAGTTTTCTCATTCAGGCCCTTTTTATTCTTCTCGGTTACGTTTTTTTTTCAATTTTAATAAACAAAAAACCTACCTTGCATCCAGCCACATCCAGTTCAAGTCAAACAATGGATATGTCCACCATAACCACGGTTTTGTTGGTCCCATTGTGTAATGAATAATATCAGGATCCACCAAAAATCTTCCGTTATTCAAATAATACATTCCAATGTCATAGTTGAATTTTGCAGACAACCGTGCCATTGTAAAATTTTCACATTTTGGATGTTTTCCTGATGGATCATGCATTGGAGCGTATTTCAAGTCATGAAAATATGTATTGAGGAATCCTTGGTCTCCTCCATCATAGGATTCAGCAGTTTGTACGTGTTCCACCATGTCGTGGAAAACCTACAAAACTCCTGTACGTTTTAGCTGGAAAAAATTAATTACTCACCGTCTCATTGGTTTTCAGGACAAACACGCCGGAATTGAACATATCAGAATGTCGGAATACAGCACAGAAGGATCCACATTCAAATAGGGTGGAAATATCGCGAGTCGGTAGAACATCCAAATCCAGGTGGACAATCACATCAAACTCTGTCATTGCCCATAACCTGATTTTTGTGTACTGAAATTATGGAACTTGAAAATTGAACCAGAATCAAACACGTTACCTGATACTTCCTAGCCTTATGTGTTTTTATATATGGCGTATCAATTTTCGTGTCATTATGCACTATCACTCCTTGTTCCTTCAGCTCATTCACCGATTTTTCAGTGATATCTTGAGTCACAATTATTATATATGGAATCGATGAATTCAGTTTCTTGAGACGGTATGCTGTAAATAATTGCTGTAAAGAGTGCTGTAACAGTTTTTCTTTTTGCACTCGACGAGCTGGGTGACCGAGTGCATTATTCACTAAAGCAAACATTCCAATGTATAGTGGCCAGAGTGGGGGGGGGGGCCTTTTGTAAAGGATCACACAACAGATACATTGTGCTTTCGTAGTCTACTTTGATATTATTTCAAAATTCCAATTTTTCAACTCACCAAGAACTTTTGCCGGTATCAGAAAATCGTTTGAGGACAGTACAGAGACGTAGGCATATTTTTGAGGAGTTACTTGCTCGGGTAGAATGAACAAGAGGAGCAAGCCCACTATGAAAGCATTCATTCACTCCTGAAAATTGTTACAAAATTTTTAGTACAACAGAAGTTGAAAAAATAGGAAATTCATGATAAAAATAAAAACTTCTGAATGAAAAACGTCACATCTTAATCTCAAAAACAATCAGAACCAGTGATCAAGTGCAGGACAACACGATCAGTGTCAATAAATCAAAATCGAGTTGTTTAATGCTCCAAAAAAATCAATGGCCAAGAAAAAAATCGAATCTAGATCAGTGCCAGAAAAAGTTAAGCAAGCAAGAGGGAAGATGGAAAAAAACCGCGACAATGTTTATTGTCCAAAACTCTTGTTTGTCCAGAGAGGGCTTAGTAAAAAAAAATACAAGGAAAGATCAATTTTTGACGAATTGCGTATGCTCGTTGATTGGTATTCTTAGATTGTGCATTTCGAAAAGTTACGAACATAATTTTAATTTTTTTTTTTGATGAATTAAAAAAAAATAGAGTTTTGATTTTTTGGGTTTGTCAAAATCATATGTCGCAAGATCAGTTCCAAAACTTTGGAAAAAAAATTCCTGAATTTTAGTTTGAAATGCGAAGACATTCAAAACTGTAACGTCCACACAGAAAAAAACCAATGGAAACTACATATTCTGAAAATCGCAAAAAAAAAAGAAAAAAGAAAAGAAGTCTCACGGAAGAGCGCACGTTGTCATAGTGAAAAGTGGAGCTGGACTTTGCAATTCCAAAATTCTGTGCTCTCTCCGCCCATGACGACGTCTCAAGTGTGCATTGAAAGAAACATACATGTCAAATTCTGACTTATGAATGAAATCAATGTATTGACACACTATCCCTATCAGTACAGAAAGAAAGTGAAACTGTGCCTGTGTACTGCATGGTTTGTGCTCTTTTGGACAGTCATAATGACAGTTTTACGATCAAAGAAAATTTTGGTTGAGACTGAAATGAAATCTGGCGATTCCCTAAACGAAAAAGTCACAAAAAAGTCATAAAATGGATTTTATCAACAATTATTCCGAAAAAAATCGGAGGAAGCCCAAAAACAAATAAGCACTGAGTAACTGGAGTTAAAACATTTGACTAAGTGTCAAGCAAAGCTTTAAAAACTGTCTCTGAAAAATCTGAATTTTAATTTGTTGGGATTAGGCTCCAAAAAATCTTCGAACTTCTTTTCTAGAAATTGTGACCGAAAAACCCTGAAAAACATAAAATTTTCTGTTACCAGAGCTCCAAAAACTGTTTCGTAAAGTTTTTTTCGAATTAAAAATCGGAAAAAAACAGCTAAACTTTTTTTTGGAACCGATAAAAAATTTTGGTTCAAAAAAAATTTTTTTACGGATTTTTGACTAGATCAAGAACAAAAATAACTAAAAAGAAATTCATGTTTTATACTTAAGTTTCAAAAATCTTCGTAAACAATTAACTAATCAACCGTGGATTAAAATTCAATCATGTTTGCCGCAATAAAAACCATTGAGAGTCTTCAGATTCGTTTTTCTAATTAAAACCAACCCCTTTGGAGCTTAAGAAATGGTAGTCCCTCCCTTCTCCCGACATTCTTTTTTCTTTTCATTACTACTAATGTCCTTCAACTCTTCAGATGTCCCATCTACACTGTATTCGCTTGTTGATGAACAGGGTGGTGGGATTTTATCACCATGGATCAAATACGCAAGATCTTCTGGCGACTACAGTATCCTAGAGGAGTACTTGGATACCGCGGTAGGTCCTCAGCTCTAAATAAGTGCATTTTTAGTCTTTAGGTAAAATCGTACCTGTACAATGGTGGAAAAGGAAAACTTGTGCCTATTTCGCAACTTGTAACTATCCGCAACAAACAGAGAAATGCGTTATTGGGTGCGCTGAGAAGAAAAAAGGGACGTGGAAAAAGTGGACCAAATATTCTGGAACACATTGATCAGGATGCGTTATCATCGGGAGATTTTTTGAAGGCTTTGAAAGTTTTGGATGGAGGAATGATAAAAGGGAGGAGGAGCTTTAAATATAGAGAGCTGGTATGGGATATGGATCAGAGAGGTAAGCACAAAACGGAAAACTTAATGACTTTTTCTTGGGTTCCAGGTCGTCTTGGGGAAAATTTACTCCACGTGTGCATGCTGTTGAATACAGCAGACATGAATGAGCTTGTCAAACAAATGACTTATCGATTCCCAAAAATTGTGAATGACATTTTTCTATCAGAGGAATATTATGGTTAGTGATTTTGGACCAATGGATCCAGGTAAACTAGATATTTCAGGATTGTCCCCGTTACATCAAGCCATAGTAAATGAGGACTTGGAAATGGTTTATTTCTTATGCAGAAAAGGTGCTGATGTTCATCAAAGGTGATACTTTTAAAAGTTTCGACTTACGAATTCTAAACGATTTCAGATGCTACGGCTCATTCTTCTGTGCCGACGATCAGAAGGCTTCGAGAACCGATTCACTTGAGCACGAATGGGTGGATTTGGTACAGAGCACCAAATATACGGGGTAAGTATCAAACTACATAACCTTGACTCAAAAAAACACAAAGCGAAAGTTCATAAAGTTGTATTTGAAGACAAATGTACTGGGGCGAGTACCCATTGTCATTCGCAGCGTGTACAAACCAAGTGGATTGTTTTCGGCTTCTTCGCGCAATGAAAGCCGACCCCAACATGCCTGATACCAATGGAAATACAGTACTCCATTTGGCAGTGATACACGATTTACCAGAAATGTTCATGTTGGCTGTGGAACTTGGGGCTAATCTTCATGTCAGAAATAATTTGAAACTCACACCGCTTGCCTTGGCGGCTAGACTTGCCAAGAAGCAGATATACGATTTGATCTTGGAGTGTGATATGGATATCTCATGGAGATACGGACCAGTGGTTTGCAAAGCTTACCCGCTGAATGATGTGGACACTATCAATGAAAGCGATGGTTCGTTGAACCCGAATTCCGTGATCGCGAATGTAGTTTACGGAGTGAGTTCTCTTTTTTTCCTCTTTCTGTAATTGTTTACCCACTTCTTGATCTCTATTTTTCTTCCAACTACACGTGTTGAGTACAGGACAAAGTGGAGCATTTGGAATTCTTTGACGGGCTCATCGAGGAGATTCTGGAGAGCAAATGGCAGACGTTCGGCAAGAAACAGCTGTTTATGTCGCTAGCGGGATACATTTATTTTTTGGCAGTGTTCTATTTAGCATTTATGACTAGAGATGCTCATGTTTTAGTGAGTTTGAAGTTAAAAAGATTCTAAAAATGATTGATTATCAGCCAAAAGACGGGGATGACGAGGAAGAAGTCATCGAAGCAGACTATACCAATTATACAGAAATATTGAGTGCTGGACTGAGTTTGAGAGAGCACTTGGCAATAGCCAGATTAGCAGAAAGGAAAGTTCTACCTGCTCACTGCCATCTATGGGATTATTCCGGCCCATCTCAACAGGTTTGAAAAACTGGTCTAAATTCATTAGAACAAGTTTTATAGATCCGAATGATATGCGAAATCCTCTGCCTTCTTGCTGTTGTTGTGAGAACATTCAAAGATTGTATTGACGCGCATCGCACTGGTTTTAGTCGATGGTGGAACTCGATTGTCAGAGAACATCTTTTTTTTTCATTTCTATTTTATAATTTTAGAAAGCATTCCCGGAAAAAGTACTACATAAATGCTGTCAACTATTGGTGATATGTACAATTCCACTTCGACTCGGATGTTATTTAGATGATAGCTTTTTGGTGATTGAGAATTTCATGGTTGTCTGTATTGTCATCATGAGCACCCTTCATTTTCTTTTCTACTGCAGGTGAGACATTTGTGAACTAATGTGGAACCTGTATTAGAAGGGCCTAATACATACATAGAAGAGCATTCCGAGAGGGCGTTAGGAAAAATGGAAGAATCCCTTTTAAATTTTTTTGTTCAAAATTAAAAAATTTTCTTACATTTTCAGTGAAAATCATTCTGGGAATTCCACATTTTCACACGAGTTCTGTTGTGTCATTATTTTACTTTAAAAACTTTATTGATTTTGGTGAAATAGTTTTTTTTGTGTAACTCACATGTCAGATTTTCATGAATTTTGCACATATATCGCAAAGTTTTCGCTGAGAAATTTAGGAAAAAATGGTAGAAAAAAAATAGAATGACCCTCAGAAGCCCTTCTAATACAGTTTCAATATAAGTTTATCGTTTCAGGAGTCTCAAATTCGTTGGTCCATTCGTGTTGATGGTCTACAAGATTATCGTACGCGATATGCTCCGATTCTTGCTCATATACTCATTTTTCCTGATGGGATTCGCTCAAGGTACTGTTTGAGCACTTGTCACACTTCCATAGTTTAAATTTCAGCATTTTTTGTGATTTTTAAGTCTTGTGAAAAAGCGGAGATTGACTTTCGAGAAAGACACAACTACACTGACGATGATGAGTACATTGAGAAGTGATTGTGACAACAAATCAAAAATTTAGGCTTTAATTTTGAATTTCAGATTTGAAAATATAATGGAAGATGGTTGGGAAGCGGTCATGAGAATGTTCATCATGAGTGTTGGCGAGTTCGGTGCACTTTACAAGAATCTGAATGAGTGTAAAAGCAGTATTGCACCACAGTCAAAGGTTTGTGGCTAAAAACCATCCTCATCGATTTTTTGAAATTCCAGGTCTTCTTCATTCTCTTTGAATTGATTGTAACTGTGATGCTTCTGAATTTACTCATTGCCATGATGACCCGCACCTATGAGAAAATAGCAGAAACCGAGAAAGAGTGGAAACGACAGGTTTTGCACCTCTTCTTGAATTTTAATCGTTTTTCAAAATCGTTTTTAGTGGGCACAAGTGATTCTGATGCTCGAACAATCGTCATCCGCTTCTGAACGTCTTCTTTCTTTGTACCGATATACTCGACCGATCCGTTCCGACAAGCGTAGGCGAGCATTTGTGGTGAAAGTCAAATGCGATGTGAGTTCGTTTCTGAAAAATGAATAATACCGAAAGACTCACCATTTTCATCTTGAAAATTCTCTTTTAAATATTCATTTTTAGGATCGTCAACAGCCCCAGTTCAAATTAATTCCTCCACGCGGAAAACCGTCCATTCGACTGTCCAATAACAGCTCTATACACGTTTTACACGTTCTCTCCAAGAATAACATGTGATATACACATGTATGTATCTTGAATATTTTTTGCCAAGTACCTTCTACATTTTTTTAATTTTCAATTTTATATTTTTTTTTTCTTCGATTCGCTGCAAAATAAAGGAATTAACGCTTCTCACGTTCTTTGGCTTGTCTGTGCTACGCGCACGCCAAACGCGCAAGCGCGTGCGTTGTGCGTCAACAACGAATTGGAAAATGCGCATCTGTGTGTTCACCTATTTTTATGTGAAAAAACTCAATTTTTGGTATTTTTGAACTGAATTCGCACTGAAATCAAGCAAAAAATTAGAAGAACAAGCTGTATAAACCTATTTCTATAGTATTTCCTCATGTTTTCTCTCATTTTCTTTATTTTATCAGCCTTTAATCACTCGCAGGTTACAGAATGCTCAGCCGCAACGTTGTTCGCGGAGCCCACAAGGCAGCAACCTCTTCCACTTCTTCGAAACCCGTCGAAAAAGTGACCAAACTTGGAAATGGACTGACCGTGGCGACTGTCGACTCGAAGAAACCAATCACTCAACTGGTAAGATTTATTTTTCTCAAAATTGAAGGACTATACTTTCAAATATCTCAGGTTCTTGCATTCCGTGCTGGAAGTAGATACGAGACTCCTGCACAAGCTGGTCTTTCTCACACTCTCAGAAACTTTGTCGGTAGAGACTCGAAAGATCATTTCGGAAGTGCCATTGTCTGGTCCGCATCGACGTATGGAGGAGTAGTGGTGAGTAGGCGGCGCGCGGAAAATCGATAAATGCACAGTGGTCCGTGAGGGTGCACTCCAGGTTTTGGTTACTAAATCAAGCTGAAGCCCATCCGGAGCTAGTGGAGTATTTGTGAAGATCACCTCAAACGAAATTTCACTAATTCGTTAATTTTTTGTGGAAAAAGTCGAATTACTCGTCTTTCCAGGGAAAATACCAAGAGCTTCAAGAAATCATTATGTTCAATGCAAGCTCTGCCTTCAAGAAAATACTCAATTTTTTCAGAAATCCTTCACTTCCCGCGACTTGTTCGGAGTCTCCCTCACAGTACCACGCGATTCGACCTCTTATGCTCTACACGTTCTGGCTCAAGCCGCCGCCGTCCCAGGGTTCAAGCCATGGGAAATAGAAGATGTTCTCCCGACAATGCGTGCTGATAATGGATTCAGAACTGCCTACGATTTGGTTGTTGATCAGATTCACAAGGCAGCCTACAGGCATTTTAATATCTTCTCGTTGTATTTCGCAATGCGGGATTGTTTTCAGAAATGGAGGACTCGGAAACTCGGTTTACGCTCCATGCTCAAAGATTGGAGCTATTTGCACGAACTCGTTGACTGCTTTCGCTGTGAGTTTTTTTATATTTTTTCAGGGTGTTCTACTGAATGTGAGCAGAACTCTGAAAATACTAAAACAACAGTTTGTCCAGAAAAGTGTTTCCTGGAGCAGATGCGCGCTTGATTGAACAAGATAGCAGTTTGAAATGCAACTGAAAATCGGAATGGAAAAATTAGGATAATAATTCCTTAAAGAGCGAGGCTGCAATAACGTCTTGATAATTTTTGAACGCCTTCAGCCTTCTTCTGAGTTGGCCGTGAGCTTATTAACGAGTTATTAGGCTATTAAATGACCGGCTGCGGGTTTTTGGTTTGAGTGTTTTTAGGATAAGTAGGTTACATCAGATAGCAGCTCTAGAGGTTTTTAGTCGCTGAGCTTTTTCTCGAAGGATCGGACTGGCTGGTCCACGGAAATTTGCTCACGGTCTGGATGATGGACTGCCGCGAGCCTGATCTTGACTTGACATTCTTGATGAGCGTTCAAGAAAATCTAAAAAATATTATTATCGCAATCGAGAGAAATAATGAACTGATTGTTGTATTAGGGCCTAACTGTTTTGCATTGGGTTGCAATAAACTCCTGAACTAGAAACTAAACTTAATATCTACTTTACAGGACAAGCACCTGGTCAATGGAAATGCTGTACTCTTCGCTACCAACGCTTCTCACGATGACCTCGCCCTCTTCGGAGAGAACCACTCTCCAATCAGAAACGGATCAGCTGTGTCCCCATCATCAAGTGCTTACAAGGTAGCTTTTTTTGAAAGTAAATTTATTCAGTGGAGTCGGATAACAGAAGCATAAATAATAACAATAAGCGATGAACACAATTAATCTACCAACGTCTCTGGTAGCTTCCGGTTTGTGGTGGAGATGGAGCCTCATATCCTCCTGCTGGTGGCTCCTCGGTCTTGGTTGGTGGTGGAACAGAGTAGGCTGGCTCAGCTGGATAGCTTGGAGATGGATAAGATGGAGATGGATAAGATGGAGATGGATAAGATGGAGATGGATAAGATGGAGATGGGTACGATGGAGATGGATAGGTTGGAGATGGATGAGCTGGCTCCGATGGGTATCCAGAGTCTCCGCTTCCTGGCTGCTCGGTGACTGGTGGCTGTGGTGCTGGTGGAGCACGAGTGGTGGCTGGAGCGGCACGAGTGGTTGCTGGTGGAGCACGAGTTGCTGGTGGAGCACGGGTGGCTGGTGGAGCACGGGTGGCTGGAGCCGAAGTAGAGGCACGTGGTGGTGGCTGTGGAGTTCCAGCGCTTGGTGGGGTCTTGTCGTCCTGTCTTTGTGGGCATGGGCAGTAGTTGGCATCCTTTCCTGTAACAAATATATTTTTAGAATTTCAGTTTCTGTACAAATATGATATACCTGGCGCTCCTGGCTTTCCAGCTTGTCCTGGCATTCCTGGGAAGGCATCGTGTCCGGCGTTTCCTGGAGTTCCTGGAGCTCCCTTTGGTCCTTCTTCTCCATCGGCTCCTGGCTCTCCGTGCTTTCCTGGAAGTCCAGTCTCTCCAAGCCATCCTGGCTCTCCTGGCTGTCCTGGTTGTCCTGGGAAATAGGTGGTTCCGGCTTCACCGTCTGGTCCGTCGGTTCCATCGTATCCCTTTGGTCCTTGCTCTCCTTGATCTCCTGGAGCTCCTTCTTGTCCGGCTGCACCGTCCTCTCCACATGGTCCAGCTGGTCCTTGGAGTCCTGGGAATCCTTCTGGTCCGGCTTCTCCATCGGCTCCTGGTGGCCCGGCTGGTCCTTCTGGGCACTTGATGCATCCTCCTGGAATATCGTGGGTGGTGGCAAGAGAGATTCCGCTGGCTCCGCGTCTTCCTTCATCTCCTGGGTGTCCTTCATCTCCACGCTTTCCTGGAGCTCCTGGTGGTCCTGGTGGTCCGGCTGGGCATCCTTGAGAGTTGCTGTCGCAATTGCACATTCCTGGGTAGACGAATCTCTTGTTACGGAGAAGAGATGGCACTGGATTAGCGGATTCTCCGGTTGGGGATTGGAGAATCAAAAGACGGTCCCATGTGTCATCAGCAAGAACTTTGAACTCATCGACACGTCCTTCAACCTCAGAACGGAGGTTGTTAATGTCTTGGACAATGTGTCCAATGGAGCAAAGAGCAGAGAAAACTCCAAGCAGGCAGACACCTGCTCCAATATATCCAAGAGTAGACATCGTTGAGAACAATGCTGTGATTAGCCTCGCCAAACACTTTTTTATACATATTCCTTCGAAAAAACTCGAAAGCTGACAAGAACTTGCAAGGGCAGGCAGTGGGGGTGGGAAAAACTTCAAAAGCTTCAAGGCGCAACTGATCGGAAAGAGCGTTGGGGATAAAAAATTACCGGTTCCCGCACTACAGATAGCCGCCGTATCTCCGACGTCGGACACGCGACAGCAATTCTGTATACCTTATAGGCGGCATTCTTTTGGAAAAAAACTTGCTATACTGTGTCCTTCATCACTCATTCATCTGCGCTTAGAAATAGAACACAGAAAAAATTGAAATTGCTTCCGTTATCCACTCCATTGTTTATGTTATCTATACTATTTTTTCTCACCTTTTCCGACACCTAGGGAGGAGAAGTGCGCAGAGATGCCGATTCCAAGTACGCTCATGTCATCGTTGCTGGAGAAGGTGCCGCCGGAAACAACGCCAAGGCCTTGGCGACACAAGCGGTTCTTCTCACCGCCCTCGGAAATTCGTCACCAGTCAAGTGATTAGTTCAGTGATGGAGACAAATGTCCATATTTTTATTTTCAGATTCTCCACATCTGCCACAGGAGTCATTGGAAAGGCTGCCGGAGAGAATGGATCTGCCAGCGCTTACCAAGCCGTACATTCGGACAGTGGACTCGCCGGAGCATACATTGTCGCCGATGGAGCTCACATCGGACAAGTGGTGTCGAATGTTGTGGGTGCCTTGAAATCTTTCAAGGTTGCTGATATTGAATGTGAGTTTTTGATGAGTTTTGTGAAATATACGAAGGCATGAATGGTTTCTGATAGCTCGACATTGCCTTTTCGGAAAAAAAAATACTTGAGCGTCGTCGTAAATTTCTGGTTCCAGCCTAGTAGTGTTTCATTTTTCAACATCCAACCAAAATCAGATCATGAGAGCTGATTTTGGAGTAAGTTCCAACCAAAACCTGTTTAATATGTATATGTTCAAAATTGAAACTATTCTTAGCTTCTAACCAGAAGTTACAAACTTACAGCTGAGCACCTTCAAAAAACTACATACCGTATTTCCTTCAATAGAAGCAGACCAAACGGTAATCTTTAAGCTCAATTATCTTGAACCTGGTAACAGATATTGACAATTTGTTAACTGAGAAATTATTTATCATAATATCAACAAAAATTTATCAGTTGACAAATTTTTGGTATCTTTCACAAGAATCGAGATAATTGCGGTAAAATACGGTAACTCATTTTCGTTCGCAGGAGAGTCAGTGTTGATTGCTAATTTTACAAAAATCTTTGACGATGATTTTGTTTTCTAAAACTTTCCTACAGTTCACATACCCGCTCAACTTCGCAACTTAATCCAACATACTTTATTTTCAGCCGTTAAGAAGCAAGCCTACAACAACGCATTGAGAGCATCCGCCCATAGTGACAACTTTGCCATCGAAAGAACTTCCCAACTTTTCCAGTCCCAAGACAACTTCATTGAATTGATTTCAAGTGTTTCCACTGATGATGTTGACGCTGCCGCTAAGAAATTGACTAACAAACTCTCTGTGGCCAGCTACGGAAACATCAACGAGGTCCCATACGTCGACACTCTGTGAATAATTAGAGGATTTGACGGAAACTCTGTCCAGTAGTAAATTGTTTTTTTTGGTTTTTTCCTTCTCAACTCGATTGGTTCTCGACTTTTTTATTCTTATTGTCAGTGAAAAATCTAAATAGTTTCATTTTATGCGATTTTTATGCTTATGTAGTTTTATTTTGAGTGCTTATCTCAAATATTCTTTTCATTTTTCGTTCATTTTTTTAGTGAAATATTGAAGAGGAAGCAGTCAATGAGGATTTAAAAAGTCAAAGCGTGAAAGAGAAATGGAAGAAGAATTACTGGCCGACAGGATGTCACAGAGGGAACCGTCATGGAGAAATAAATCGGGTTTGTAGAAAAATATCATTGAAAATTGAAACCAAGTTGCTATAAAAGCCATTCTAAATAAATGTAAAAAAAAAAACAAAGATATAGCAAAAAATGCTATGGGAGAAAATGGTAAAAATTATAAAAGAATAGAGATGCGAAAAATTGTAAAAAATAAACCCAAGGACCCATACATAGAAAAATTGATTTTTTGAAATTTTCTAAAACAAACGACTGATTTTCGAGAAAAAAACGTGAGTATTAAAAACTAGAATTTAATTTCCGGTAAAAATTGAAATATTGTCCTGGCACACAGTTGAACTGTTTGGAATTGACATGATTGGCAAAATGATTTAAACCTGAAAACTCAAGGTATTATTGAATTTGGTGTCTTCAGTTTCTTACCTTATTGAAATTGGTCGACGCCAAATTGATTCTGCAGTTGATTTTGCAGTTCTTGCTGCTCCCATGCTTGTCTTGCGATGTCTATCTGATCCCAGTGCCATTGTGCAATCTGGTCCATATCAATTGGAACGTTTGGAACGTTAAGAGCAAATTGTTGCATAAATTCTTGAGCCTGAGCAATCCAATCCATAAATCGTTGCTGAGCAGCCCATGGATCAGCTTGTGGATCAACTTGTGGAGCAGGTGCCGCCAGAGCCATATGATGAACCAGTGGTTGAATTCTTTGAATATCATTTTGTCCAAATTGCCACTGCCCAAATTGTCCCATCGGGGGCATATCGATAGCGTTGAAATTATTGAAATTATTGAAATCATTGATCGGTGGAGGAACGAATCTTTCCGCGTCATTATCCCAATCCATATTTTGATCATCGTTCCAAGGAGCTGGTTGCTGAGGAGCTACTAATTGTGGAGGAAATGGATTACCGTTCTGTTGTACATCTTGCACGTCGGCTAGTCTCTGATTCCAGTTTACAAACTGTGGCATATCATTCATGTTTGGAAAGTTATCTGCAGGTTGCACGAGTCTTCGAAGTTCGTCTATACGTCGGAAGAGATCCGGATGATTGTTCCGAGGATTCACTGGTGGAGGCGGTGCGAGCTGTGGAACGAATTGATTCGCAGGTTGAGGTGCTGGCAGATCTACTGGCCACATTCGTGCCAAATCGGCGGCTCTCATCATCCAACGGCCCCGAATTGGATTTGGAGCTGGGACATTGTTGTCGGCAGGGTTCTGATTGAGGAATTCTTCTGGTGAATCTGCTCGAACTGGCATCGGATCTGGTGGTTGGACGACTGGCCTTGGTGTGATTGGTCGTGGTGCCGCTGGTGGTACTAGTTGCGGCCGTCGAGGAGGGATCGGAGTTACTATATACGCTGGCCGGTTAAAATACCATCCATCCGGAACAAGAGGAAGTGCTGTTGGCGGGGTGAATTTCCGACGAATATGTAATGGTTCATAGTCCTCTTCTCTGATCACATACTGAGATAGGTTCAGATGAGCTTCAATCTCATGTTTGAATTTGATTTGCTTTTCGAATTCTCTAGGTATAGACCAATCTCCTCTGACTGCATTTCTTTCCGCTGTTCTTCTTCCCCTATCTCTTGTGATTCTTCTTTCCTCCACCGTTTCTTCCATTGGCAAGAGTCTACCTGCCATAATCTGCATCTGAAAACAATGTTTCATAACCTGAGTGACATATATTTCTCCTTACCATAGTTATTTTGACAGAATTTTCTTGTCCCGGTGGTGCACGTAATGAAAATTGTCTTATTATGCAATTGGTCATCAGGCTCGGCCTTTTATATGCTTGCTGGAGATGTGCTATTGAAAATAGCACCCTTGCCATCCAAATTGGGTACGCTCCTCTGAAATCTGACGGCACATCATAGCGATTAATATTCAAAGCTTTCGCGATCAAATTGAAGTCTTTGAACGAGATGGTTTGATTGGATTGGTACGCTAAGAATCTTGTTTCGTACTGGTGCCATCTTTCACGCGGTCCATTGTAGTCCAGCATGATTTTCTCAATCTCATTATGGACTTTGCTGGCGACGATGTACCTTCCCTAAAACAGAATATTCAAAAAAAGTTTTTTAACTTCGATAAGTATACAGTACCGGTCAATAAGATATACGAAAACGCATTTTTCTGTTGGTTTTCGTCATTTTCGGGAGTCTACAGCCAGGCAGTTAAGATTTTTAATCAAATTGAAAATTTCGGAGGATTTAAAACAGATCGAGACGACAGAAATGTGCGTTTAAAATTATAGTACAAAAACAGGCCGAAAAAAGGTTTGTTTCAGAAACTGGAAACAAAAGACTGAAAAATAGAAACTTCCAAAAAATTTTGCAAATGCGATGTTTTCAGTCTATATCTGTTCTACATTCTCCGAAACTTTCAAATTGATCGAAAACGTAAAAATGGTCAAAATCAACTAAAGGCACTGCAGTTCCGAAACTATGAAAAGATAAAAAAAGATTTCGAAAACGTACATTTCCCCGCTTCCGGAAGTATCTCTGCATAAGGCTTCTGAATCTATCCATCTTGTTTTTTCCGCTTATTCGATTCCCTCTGTGAGCTGGGGACACATCAGATCCTTGAACTCCACAGGTAAAAATGCAAAACAACACGTTTTTGAAGTCCATAACGACATTCATATGTGGCGACAGCGTTCGCACGATATCAGCGTATTGATGGCAGTCTTTCAAGTATGCAAACTCGCATAAATCGGGAACGAGCTAGAAAGCAAACATAAACTAAATTTTGAGGCTGTACTGTTACCGTAATACGAGATCTGTCGAGTCCGTATCTCTCAAAAATCCTGTTCAAATCATATATTGTAATCGTTTTAACATTTTTGGTTTCTTCATTGTCCCGTTGTCTCCGCGCCAAAATTCTTTCAGCCTCTTCAATTCTTTCCGGCGCAGCTCCTTGTTGTTTCAAAACGACTGCAGCAACTTCAACAGCTTCGTCAAAGAAGACTATATCAGAATTCCATGCGGGGTAATTTCTGAACTGGATCAATCTCAAATAGACTCTTTTCTGCGGGTAAAATTCCTGGAAAAAAAAACAAAATTTAAACTTTTTAATAGATCAGACTTAATTCCTCACTTGGAACTTCGAAAGACTTCTAACAACTTCTTTAGTTGTTTGATATTTCTCTTGCAGTGTTTGGCAATTATTCCTCATCTCATTTAATCTCCTCTTATCCTCCTTATCAATTAAAAAATATTTTACTCCATCCCCCATAAATAATTGAGTATCTACGACAAAGTTTGGATAAAGACGATTCCTGGTATCTCCATCTCCAGGGATTCCAATAATTGCGGAGCCCTGAAAAGAAAATAATCGGGTACAGCATCATTCATATAAATACTTGTTTGTTTCTTGAAAATGTGAAAATAACTTACTAGAATATGTTGATATCCGTGGTTGCGAACATTCATATCATTCTCAGAAACGCGAAAATAATCTCTTAGGCGGAACTGTCGCCATTGCAGAGCCATTTAGGCTGAAAAATGAACTATTATCTGTGAAAAAAGCTTGAACAACAAAGGTCGATTGAATAAAAGTATAAGAACACGTGGAGTCTCGAAAAAAGGACGAAAGCAGAAAGAAACAAGAGACGAAATAGTAAGAGAAGAAAAGAGTGCAGTGACGGGGGTTTAGCAGAAAAACGAGCGGCGAGAAGAGTCGATGTCGAGAAAAATAAAAAAATACGTTTTGCGACCAACGAATGGAAGAGAAAGGAATAGATTTTTCTTTTTGCGTGTCAACAAGAAAATTGGAGGGAAAATGAAAATTCAAAAATTGGCCAGTATTAGGAATGAATTGCCAAAACAAATAGGATGGTTCATAAATGGAAATGCGTCGCAAAAACGATTCGAATTTTTTTCTTTTTCTAAATTTTTCTTTAAATCTACTCAATTAATGAGAAGAGAAAACAGAAGAAAAGGTTACTTGGGTGCGTATTAAATAAAAAAAAGAAGAGAAGAAACTTCTTTTTTTCTGAATGGTTAAAAAACGTTCTAGAAAAGACTGTTATCAATCAGATACCAGACTTGGAACAATAGCCAAAATCCATATCGAAAAATATCAACTCCCAACTCTTTATGGAAGTCCAGGATTGGACCCAGACTGCTTGCAGCGATTCGACAGCCGCCAATAATTTTTCAGAAATTTCAAGCGATGTGAAATTATCTCAAAAAACGAAAAACACTTTTTTCACTATCTCACAACGGCACTCGTTTATTCGCGTGCTTTGTCTATCAGAATGAAAGCATTGTTGAGAGTTGGTCATGCAAATTGTAGGTTACGTTTGTAGTTTTTGTTTTTGAAAATAAATTTGAAAAACAGGGAAATCAATATCACTGGAAACTCAAGAAAAACTTGAGCAAAGGAATTCTGATTTCGGCCCAAACATGCCGTTGCAGCTGTAAAAAGATTTGTTATCAATCGGACATGAAACAATAGCTGAAGTTACTATTAGCTAGAATTAAGTAACAACTCTTTAATTTTTCACATGAAAACCACATGCTCAAAATTTACAGCTAGCATATCCGGGCATAACAAAAAATGGAAAAACTTTTTCAAAAAAGTCTAGGGTTTAGTCCAGATTTCCTAATTTAACGGAATTCTCATAACGCAGTTGTCGCTAAAAATGGGCCAGAAAGTTCAAGCAACCGACCGAGTTACAATCTCGAAATACGAAAAAAATCAGTCAATATATCACAAAAACACTCTGTTACTTGAGCGCTTTGATTTTTGAGATATATATATATATAAGGGGTTCACAAAAAAATCTGAAAAAATTTCTGAAATTTCAAAAATTTGTCAAATTTGGAGAACCCGGGCCCACCGGGCCGAGGAGTCACGGGCCGGGCCCTGATTTTGCAAGTATGGATTATAGAGTTCAGTTTCAATTGTTAAAATGACAAGCATCACTCGAGAATTTATATTAGTGCTCGTCAGCAACCGATAGCTCCCAAATCTATAGCGATTGTAGGAAACAACTCCATCCTCCTCGTCATTCTCCTGAAGAGTAGTGTCGTAGAGCTCAGTGTTGAGACGATTATGACGGTTGCGAACGAGTTCGTCGAGGAGAACATCTTGGTCGATGGCTTGGGACAGAAGAGATGGAATCTCAGTTGGGATCACGTTGGGAACGTCTGGAGTAGCTTCCTTTTTGGTGAGCTTGCGTTGACGAGCAGCGGCTCTCGAGGAAATCTGAACGGCAGGTGTTTTGATGGCAGCGGCTGGGGCGATAACGTAGAAAGCAACCATATCGGTGATAGCCTCCAACATTCTATTGTTGCGAATGCAGGCGTTTGCGTGGTAGAAGTTGGTGAGGTACACCCTGTTGGAACGAAAAAATTACCATTTTGACGCTTTATTATCTAGCCGAATCTTACTTGTTGCACTTTCTTTTCAGCCGTTATGAAGCAAGCCTACAACAACGCATTGAGAGCATCCGCCCACAGTGACAACTCCGCCATTGAAAGAACCTCCCAACTTTTCCAGTCCCAAGACAACTACATCGAATTGATCCCAAGTGTTTCCGCTGGTGATGTTGAGGCTGCCGCCAAGAAGTTGATCAGAAAACTTTCCGTGGCCCGCTACGGAAACATCAACTAGGTCCCATACGTCGACACTCTGTGTATAAATAGAGAATTTGACTGAAAAACTGTCTAGTAGTAACATGTTTTTTTTTTGTTTTTTCCTCTCATCTCAATTGGTTCTCGACTTCATTCTTTTCTTATTCTTATTGTCAGTGAAAGTAATCTAATAGTTTCATTTTATTCCATGTTTGTGCTTTTCTAGTGTATTTTGAGTGCTATTCTCAAATATTCTTCTCGTTTTGTTCATTTTTTTCAGTAAACTATTGAATAAGAATCAAGCAATCAGGATTTATCAGAGGAAAAATGCTGAATATTGTGATTCGTATGGAGTTATAGCGGGAAAGCGAAATGGAAGAAAAAATACTGGCCGATAGGATGTCACAAAGGAGAGTGAGTCATGAAAAAAAACGAAAGTCGATTTGTAGTAAAATACTCGTTGAAAATCAAAACCAAAATGCTAGAAAAGCTGCACTATGCAAATGCAATGGAAAAAAAGAAGTAGAGAATGAATATTATATGCGAAAAAACAGTGAAAAATCGGGAGAATTTGTGTCGAAATTTGAGAAAATTGAAAAAAAAAGATAAAAAAAGAGATTGTTGTAAAAAATGATCAAAATTGTGAAAAAAAATTGTGACGTGTTGTAGAGAAGAATTCAGGGGACCCGCACATAGAAAAAGTGGTATTTTTGGAATTGACTAGGAAAACCCTCTGACTTCCAATAAAAACAAGAATACCAAAAAATCAATAAAAAGAGAATAGAGCAAATAATTGGAAATTTAATTTCCGGTAAAAAATTAAGAAATTATCCTGGCGCACAGTTGAACTGTTAGACACTGACGTGATTGACGGAATAATCGAATCCTGAAAATTTAAAATTTGTTTTCGAATTTTTATCTTTGTTACCTTATTGAAATTGGTGACCGCCAAACTGATTCTGCAGTTGATTTTGTAGTTCTTGATGCTCCCAGGCTTGTCTCGCGATTTCTTCCTGATCCCGTTGCCATTGTGCCATTAGATTCATATTGATTTGTTGCATAAATTCTTGGGCTTGAACAATCCAATCCATGAATCGTAGTTGACGATCCCGAGGATCAGCTTGGGGAGCAACTTGTGGAGCAATTTGGGGAGCAGGTGCCGCCAGAACCGGAGCCATATGATCAACCAATGGTTGAACTCTTTGAATATCATTTTGTCCGAATCCCCACTGTCCAAATTGACCCATCGGATGCATATCGATAGCGTTGAAGTTGTTGAAGTTGTTGACTGGTGGGAGGACGAGTCTTTCCGCGTCATCCTCCCAATCCATATCTTGGTCATCGTCCCAATGAACTGGTTGCGGAGGCGCTGCTAATAGCGGAGCGAATAAATTAGCGTTTGGTTGTACATTTTGGATTTGGGCTAGTCCTTGATTCCAGTTTACGAATTCCGTCCCGAGTGGCATAACATTCATGTCATTCATGTTTAGAACAACATTGTCCACAGGTTGCTCGAGTCTTCGAAGTTCGTCTATACGGCGGAAGAGATCCGGATGGTTGTCCCGAAGATTAACTTGTGGAGGTCTTGCGGGTCGTGGAACGAATTGATTCGCAGGTAGATGTTCCGGCACATCCACTTGCCGCATTTGTAGCTGACGAAGTGGAAAAAAAAATTATTTCAAATTTTACATTTTCAGCAAAACTACGTGCTCGCGGGAAGAATCCATACTTTCTGATGGTGTGCGATATGAAAATTGTCTGATAAGACATCTGACCATCGCCGTCGGTTCTTTATATGCTTGTTGGAGATGGGCAATTGAAAACAGCATTCTTGCCACCCAGATTGGATAGGCATTCTCGAACTCCGACAGGACTTCATATCTATTAATACCAAGAGCTTTGGCAATCATGTTGAACTCTTTGAAAGAGATTTTTGTCCATGCTGTTTGGTCCAAAAATCTCGTTTCAAAGTCGTGGCATTGTCCAGGAAATGGAGTGTAATCAAGCAAGATTTTTTCAATCTGCTTTTGAACTTTGCTCGCGAGCACGTAGTTTTGCTGAAAATGTAAAATTTGAAATAATTTTTTTTTCCACTTTGATACAGTATCGGTCAATAATAAATACAAAAACATAATTTTCGGTTGGTCTTTGGCATTTTCGCAAGGCTGGAGCTCGGGTGTTAAGGTTCCGATCCATATGAAAGTTTTGAAGGATGTAAAACAGAGCTAGATTAACAAATTTGAGTTTATAGAATATTTCTAAAGTGCCTAGTATTCGAGCTATTTGCTATGCCAAGAAGACGCCCATTTTTATCCCGATTTTGTAACAGAAAAGTGGAAAAATTGATGTTTTTCAGAAATCAGCAATTAGCTGAAAGACTAGCAATTTTCAAAAAAGGTTGAAAAAGTTTCCAAACTAAGTCTATTTTACATTCTTCAATATTTTCAAAGTGATCGGAATGATACAGACCATTGTAAGTTGTCAAAATAGCCAAAACCCTAATTAACCAGTAATGTAATTCCGAAACTATTAAAAAAAACAAAAAAAAAATTTTAAAAAATTACCTTCAGCTCTTTATAATATCGCTGAAGAAGGTTTTTGCATCTATTCATCTTTTTCTCTCCGCTGTCCTTATTGTATTTGGAAACTGGGGAAACATCGGAACCCTGCACGCCGCAAGTGAATATGAAAAAGAGCGTGTTGCTCAAGTCCAACACCACATTCAAGTTGGGCGACACGGTCCTGATTACACCTCCGTCTTGATGACAACTTCTCGACAATGCGAACGAGGAAGGATCAGGAACAATCTGAAAAAATAACATAAATTACATTATGAGGTTGTAATGTTACCGTAATTAAAGATCGATCAACACCGTAATCTCTGAAAATTCTGTCCAATTTGTCTATGCTAATGGTTCTAACATTTTTGGTGTCTTCTTTATCCACTCGATTCCGTTCCAAAACGCTCTCGACTTTCTGAATTGTGGCCAGTGGAGCTCCTTGTTGCTTTAAAGCAATTACAGCAGCTTCAATTGCTTCCTCGTAGAAGACCACATTCTCAAACAATACCAAATCTGGATTTCTGTTTGTGACGTTCCGCAAGTAAATTCTTTTTTGAGGATAAAATTCCTAAAAAAAACTAGTTTGAAACTTTGGAATAATGCCAGCTAGAATTCTCACTTGAAATTTTATCAAATTGCAAACAACTTCTTTTGTTCTTTCGTATTTTTCTTGTATTGTTTGGCAGTTATCCCTCATCTCCTTTAATCTCTTCTTATCCTCCTTGTCAATTAAAAAATATTTCATGCCATCTCCGATGAATAATTTTTCTTCTACAACGAAATTTGGGTAGAGTCGATTTCTGCTACCATTTTCTCCTGGTAATCCAACAATTACAGATCCCTGAAAAAATAAGATACTGTAAAAACTCTAATAGATAGCCATGGCACTCTATTGTTCGAAGGTGGTCTGGGGTGGCACTGTATTAGGGGGTGGCATTCAATCAGAGGCTGGCACTTTATTGTTCGGAGCTAATTTCTACTGAAACTTATCACAAAAGTGCTCGATTTTCAATTCTTCCATGAAATTACTTTCGAGGGTTTCTTGATTTTTCTACTCATTTTTTTAGATTCTTTCGGAATTTGATATTATCCTGACACATTTTTTTCAAATACAGTACCTCTTTTAAGCTTAAAAAAACTAGAAAACCAGAAAATAATTCTTTGTGTTATTCTTTAACTTTTACAACAGTGACATCAAACCCTAAGTGGCATTATATTAGGGATTGGCAGTCTATTGTTTGGAGGTGCTCTAGGATAGCACTATATTAGAGGCTGACATTCAATTAGGGGTGGCTATCTAATAGGGTTTTTAGGGTAATTTTTCTTGTAAATTCTAAAACAACTCACTAGAATAAGCGTGTATCCTTTGTTGCAAACACCCATGACGTCCTCAAAAACGTGAACATAATTTTTTCGAGAAAATTGCCGGAAATCCAAAGTCATTTTTGCTGAAAAATAAACTATTTTCTGTTGAAAAAGCCCTTCAAAAACAAAGGTCGATTGAAGAAAGAACGCGTGGAGTCTCAAAAAAAGGGCGAAAGCGGGAAAAAACGAGAGAAGAAATAAGAAAAAAAGAAAAGAGTGCAGTGACAGGGGTTCAGCAGAAAAAAAGAGCGGCGAGAAGAGTCGATGTCAGGAAAAAGAAAAAATACGTTTCGCGACCAACGAGTAAAAGAGGAAGAAATAGATTTTTCTTATTGCGTGTCATTCAGCAACGAGAAAATTAGAGAAAAAATGAAAATTCGAAATTTGTCAGTATTCGGAATGAATTGACGAAAAAAAAGGGATGGTTCATAGATGAGAATGGGGTGCAAAACCGGTTCGATTTTTTTTCCTTGTTTTAAATTTCACAAGGCCTTCTCAATTAATGAGAAGAGAAAATAAAAGAAAAGGTTACTTGGGTTTGTATTGAATCAAAAATAAATAAGAACGGTTTTGTTCTTGAAAAAATGTTATCAATCAAATAATAAACATGAAACAACAGTTGAAGATTGTTTTCTAGAATTAAATATAAACTTCTCCTATTCAGAAAACCCGTATTAAAAAATACAACTAGACCTTCTTATTTGAAAAAAATCAAATATTTCTGCAGATAATTTAGATTTACCTCTAACTCTCTATGGAAATTCAGGGTTTGGCCCAAACTTCCTGCGTCACATTGACCGACTTTTCAGGAACAAATTTGGCAATACTCTGAAACTGTTTCTTACACAAAGGTGCGCCAGAAAATTCAAGCTATTCTGAAACCGTTCAGAAAGTTCAGACCGAGCTTAGCCATTTTCTCTGAAAACAAGCGAAAAAAGTATTTCAATATTTACAAAACTACTCCTTTTCTCTCACGCTCCTTTTGGCTGAAAGTGAGCTGCGGTTAGAGAAAAATTTTTGAAAACACAGAGAAAACAATATTACTATGACAACCGCGCCAAGACATTTCTGATCTGAAATACTACCGATTGCATTTATTTAGTTTATAGAGTTCAGTTATAATTGTAAAAAAATAAAAAATGTTCTGGAATAGATGTCAGCGCTGGTCGGCAGCTAATAACTTTCAGGAAGTCGGCGATTGTAGGAAACAATTTTCACGATTTTCAGCGTTAATCTCTAAGTGAAGACTTTGAATCCCTGCTAAGCGACGTCTGCATTCCATCGAAAAAATGCGCAGTGGAAGAAAACCATTTTAAAAAACGTAAGGAGCAGCGTGAGAATTCTATCAGGTCTTCGCTTTTCTGGATCGCTTTTGTTTGTTTTCTCCTTTTCAATTAAGAAACTAACGGAAAATGTTTGAACCAGAGCTAAGAATAATACCGGCGGGCGACACCCAAAAATGACGGAAATAATATGAGAAAAAAATTTAGAAAAAATGCCTGCTGTCGGCGACGGTGTCGCGGCTGTGCCACCTGGAACTTGCTGTTTTTTTGCTGCATCGCGATCGCCAGCGAATTTTTCCCAGCCCTCGTTTTAACAGAACGTTCGTCGTATTTTATTGGTTTCGAAATGAATTTCCGCGGCAATTTTTCGTTTTTGTTTTTCCCTGAGCAGCACAAATTTGGAGGAACTTTTGATGAAAATGAGCGACGACGATTCGGCAACGGCGACGGGAATTTAGCATTACGCACTCGGCAATCTTAGCGATATTGGTGTTTTGGGGAAACAGCATTCGGGGTTTCTTGGCGAAATTCCGCAGCATTTCTGCGTTCTAGTTTTTGAAGTTCATAGAAAATTGTCAGTCATGACGCAGAAAGCTCAAAGAAGTGCTTCAGGTAGGTGGCGAAAGCGATCCTTTTATCTCGACATCATAATTGCTGCAGAGAAGCTACCAACGTGATGCTAAAACGTGCATGCAGAAAATTATCGAGTCGAGAAATCCTAAGCCCTTGCCGCCCAGTTCTGATAGAAGTATCATATGATAGGAATAAAAGTACTCTGAATTTTTCACAGAAACTGGAACCCGGTATTCGTTCTATTGCCGAGTCTCAGTTTATGAGCGATTCGAATAATTCAAAAATAAAATCTAAAAAACGCATTCCGTGGCTCGATTGGCATCATTCGCAGTTAGAAGATCTTTTTTTTTTTCTCTGAAATACATTTCTTAAAACTCAATGAGAGTTCTTCCATCCCATTCTAGACCACATAACTGAAAACGGTCCATCTGCAGCGTTTTGATCGGTTCTGGAAAAGTGGTCTTTCTAACAGGGGGACTAATCACTCTGATTTGAAAAAATCGTAGTTTGAAAATTTCGAAAATTGTTTTTTACAAAAGCAAAGTGAAAAAATGGAAATGGATGAGGAAGCTCGATTAAATGAATATCAAGAAAGATAAGATAAGTGAATACTTGGTATTTGAAATTTTCGGTGGGGAAGGGTAAAGAGGGGCTCCAAAAGAGTAATGATCCGGGAAAATTGAAAAATGAGACAAAAAAACATGACAACAGTGAAAACCAATGAGAATTCCGTAAATTTTGAAGGGCGTGAGCAGGGAACCATGCGCGGGATAAAAAACTACAAAAAGTGATAACATGTGAGACGAAATTACGACTTGAACATGAAAATACAAAAAATAGTAGGGAGTAAAGTGTGGGATGAAGTGAATACGGGATGAAAGAAGTGAAAGGGGAAGAGCCTATTCAACAGAATGAAAAAAGAAAGCGATGATTTGCAGGAATACCCGATCCAGGGGGAAGTTTATCATGGATCATTGCTCAAAGAGCGCAACAGCAGGCTTGAAGTCGCATAAAGAAGTTCATGAAGTCATGGACTTAGACTGGCCAAAGGTTCTTGACCGAGCAGCAAGTGTTGTGGATTGCCTTTCCAGTAAAACTCTGAAATTGACAAGTTGAAAATTGGCATCATCTTAAAATACTACTTACATTCATCACCTCTCCATCGAGTTTCAGCCATTGAATATCGAATGAGCTTTGCATGGCGTATGCCATACGCTCAAGTTCTTTGGCAAAGCGGACAAAGAAGTAGTGGATAGTGCCTTCCTTGGTGACAAGGCAGAGGGCTGGAGAGCGATTCGCAAAGTAGCACTCCTTGTCTGTTGGTGGAAAAGCGACAATCAGAAGCTCGAAATCGTAGCAGCGGAGCTCGCCGAGAAGACGCAAGAATCCGTCGTTCCAGAATTTCTCGCCCTCTTGAACCATTGAGACGGTGCGCTGAGTGACAACCGTAAGGCATGGAGCCATGTATGGTTTTGTGGTTTTGTTTTCAATGATTTGAGTGAGAATCTTGATCCATTCCTCTTGCTCTTCATGCGAACTACATTCGAACTCGAATTGACCATCAGTTGACTTGAGTTGGAACGTTGAACGTTGCATATTGGTGACGGTCGCTCCGCTGAAAAAAAAGCGAAAGTTGTTATTCTTCAGAACACATCAAATAAAAAATTAATCTTTGATCTTTAGAATATGAAGTTTAAAATCTGTACTTCAGATCATTAAGAATAACAGATTGACCTTTGTCTACTAGCTTTATCTAATTTTTGATCGAATTACGTCACATGTCTAGCTTCTGTTCTATGATCTACCGTAACCCACTAACCTCAAACTGATCACCATATCTTCGTCTTTGCAGTTCGAATCGGTGAACAAGTGCAACGAATCGCCAACAATCATGCAATACTTCTGTTCCGCATCTTCAGTACTCTTCATCCAGTTTCCAACAACCGTCTTGAACAAGTATCCCGACTTTGTGGCAGTTGATTGCTCACGTTCATCAAGGGACTGCTCGTACCAGAAGCAGAGAGTAGCTGAACGAATGTCAAGGGAGCGTCGGAGTTGTTTCTCCAGATTTGGCTGGAGCATGCACATGTATCCAATATGATCGTCCACCTCAACGCGAGTGGCACCGGGAGAGCTACTGTGCTCGACTACTTGGATGAGCGAGTTGATCATGTGAGCACCACACTCCAATCCAGCCATGGCAGCCGAGTACGAGAAGACTGTTTTGTCGTCACGCTCATCACTGTGGACAAAGTGGCAGAATCCTTCCTCGTTGGCTTCAACCATAAAGGCAAGGTTGTCGACACTGATCTGAAATAGAGGTAATGTATCGAGCTTCAAATCACTATAAGCACTTCAAGGAAAAGGGAGTTTGCCTATCCTATGGGCAAGGCTGTCAAATCAAAATTAGGCCGCGGCTTTTTCTCGTTAAGGTACTTCTGAGATAGGTAGCATTCGGCGGCCTAGCAGCGCTGGAAGTTTCTGGGTGGCTGAGGTTTTATTTGAAAGAACGGACTGATTGGTCCATCATAACCTATACCACAGCCTCAGTCACGGGTTTTTGACAGCCTTACACATGGAGACAGTGATTCATCCTTGAAATAGTATTCTCAGCGTCAATTGCCAGCTTTTGAGCGCACCTTGGGCAGCTTTTGGATACAACTCAAGCGAACAAAATACGACAGCAGCACTAAGTGATCACACTAGCTCAAATTTTCGAAATCTTCAAATCTGCACTCACCTTGATTGTCTTGACACGCTCGTGTGGCATGCGAATGGTTGGAATGAAGAATCCTTCCGATGACAAGTTGGTGGTATTTTTTGGAGATCCGTTGTGAGTGTGACAACGATATTTGAAAACGTAGATGTTGTAGTTGGTCATGACAAAGTAGCGAAGCTTCATACTATCCGAGTGAAAGCTCTCGATTACTTTGAAACACTCGATGATTTTCTCTGATGATTTTTCGAAGATGTTGATGGCGAGGTATAGGACGTCTCCTTGGCTCATTCTGAAATTCATATTGAGTTATTTTAAGATCCGGGTGCTTAGGTAGCTGCCTACCTAAGCACGCTTAGTGCCTCAAAAACTTACTGGTATTCTCCATCGGCAAGATTGTACTCTGGAATCGACACTTCATTCGGCTCGACAATAGCCAGGATTTCTTCAATCCCATTTGGATCCATCGATTCCATGTGAGCACACGACATCTTCTTGGTCATGACATCCTCCAACTTCTCCTCGACAAGTTGAGACGGAGATGCCCCATCCTCCTCGTCATTCTCCTGAAGAGTAGTGTCGTAGAGCTCAGTGTTGAGACGATTATGACGGTTGCGAACGAGTTCGTCGAGGAGAACATCTTGGTCGATGGCTTGGGACAGAAGAGATGGAATCTCAGTTGGGATCACGTTGGGAACGTCTGGAGTAGCTTCCTTTTCGGTGAGCTTGCGTTGACGAGCAGCAGCTCTCGAGGAGATCTGAACGGCAGGTGTTTCGATGACAGCGGCTGGGGCGACCTCGGCACGGAGCTGGCGAGTGCTCTGAAAAAGTTAATTTTGTGGTTTGATGTCACGGGAAGGTTTCAGCTGCTCATCGGCCAACGAAAACACAAACTCACGTAGAAAGCAAACTGAACAGCTTGAAGACGATCGACCATATCGGTGATAGCCTCCAACATTCCATTGTTGCGAATGCAGGCGTTTGCGTGGTAGAACTTGGTGAGGTACACCCTGTTGGAACGAAAAAATTATCATTGGATGTTTTATTATCTAGCCAAGTCTTACTTATTGCACGTGTTGTTGAGAGCGAGGAGCATGAAATTCAGAGTTCCCTTGTTGAGCGACGTCTTCAACCATCCGATGGACAAGAAGCGATCGTTCGCATTTCCACACTCGGCGATCAGCATTTTTTGCTCAGCACGCGGGAGAAAGGTCCGGATGCATCTCCAGTAGGCACGGTCGGCGCTCAGCAATCTGCAAAAATCGATAGAGGAGATGGTCCAAATGCTGTCTTGTGCAAACATACCCATACGAGAAGAATGCGTCAAGCGAGTTGAATAATTTTCTTCCGATCAGATGGTCGGCATCGATGATGTCAGATTCTTGAAGAATCTAAAATGAAAAACTCGTTAATGTTTGAGTGAAATAAACGAGAAAACTCACTTTTCCGACACAATCCTCTACGAAACGTTGAAATTCGCCATGTTGAGCCCGCGTATAGTTGGCCTGCGGTCGATATGCAAACGGGAGCATATGATACATGGTGAAACTACTGCAAAAATCGATATTGGTTGCTGTTGAAACAATCGTGTTATCAAAAATGCGACGAAAATCAGAACAAAAGAGTAAACAAAACACACAAATGCGTAGAAAATGAGTGTCATTCGTCAGCAGTTCCGTGGTAAACAATGTGCGCAACTCGTGTATGTGTGTTGCGTTCAAATTGTGCGTCAATCACGGATAGAAGGCGCGTTATGCGTGCAGGGTGACGAGTGGCGGGGAGAGAGGAGAACGCATCGGCTAGACAAGTGAAAGTGACTAGACATTACGAAATGTTGCAATGACTAAGAACCAGCCAAGACTGAGGAATGAAAGAATGAGACAGACGATGGAATAAGAAAAACAATTACAATAACAATTTTTGTTTGAATATTTTCGGAAATCAAAAAAGAACAATGACGAATGAGGAGGAGAAGGGGAATGAATGGAAAGGAAAGAAAGACGAGTCATGGGAACGAGTGAATGGAACACAGCCGAACCACGTGAGCGCCTCCCATGATGAAAAATAGAAATAATAGAGAAACGGCTTGATTCCCATTCCTTTTTTTGGGAATCGCCTACGTCTATCTGCGTCTCTCCAATTTTGAAGAATGGGAATTTTGAAAAAAAAGAAACTGAATTTTTTTGAATAAATGACGTGGCAAGAATGATATTGTTTTGATGACTTATCTATTCGATCACAGCCTGGAATCGTGTACTGAGCTGTATCACGTTAAACAGAACAAAAATTGGAAAAAGAATGGGATGTGATACATGGTTGACAATTACAAGATCGCCAGAAAAAAAACGAATGCGAAAAATAGACAGATTGTTGACATGCACGAAAATGAGTGTGTTTGTGGATTAGACTACATGAATACATTGGAATTTCGGTTTGAAACGGAGCACGAATCCCTATGCCCGTGTATCCGGCTATTTTCAATTTGCTCTTTTTGGAATTTCAAGTTCCTAGCGTGTAATCCTTGCATTAGCTGTATGGATTCAACACCAAGAACTAGAGAGATTTTGTCAAGAAGGGCAAACAGACATCCAAAGGAGATGTGGGGATTAAGATAAAAGTCTGTCTGACACGGGGCTTTTCGAATGAGTTCACCGAGGCCAGAAGACTAAAAAGAAAATGTGGTTATCTATTGGAGCGTATGGACATTGTGACATACCTAGCAAATTTAGAATACAAATCACGTAGGCTCGCTCACTGCAGCGGTACTAAATTTGAAGAGTGAGCGAATTGAATTGGGTTTCAAATGAAAAAAAAAGCGAACAAAAACTCTATTGTTGTGTTTGTGTGTGTATATTGCGTATGGTTCGTTTCATTGTCGAATGGGTCTATTGCTGAGGAAAAGTTGCGAAACAAAAAGATCGTCATAAATCATTAGCCATTCACGACACTTCTGAGGCAATATTCATGAAGATTTTTTTTCTGAAAACAGTTGTCATCTGAAAAATCAACTGAACAGCAAGAAAATTGATGGAATATCATTTTTTATTGAGAAAAAAATTTTAATTTTGTGGATTAGATATAAGTGGTGCTTGGAGTGGACTTTTCGGAATTTTTCGGATTGTCGAGATTTTCGAGCTTCCACATTTCGAAATTTTGAAATTTTGACATATTATGATTTTGAAAATTTTAAAATTACGAAATTTCAGAATTTTCCCAATATAAAACTGTTAAAAATGGTGAAAAATCGAAAAAAATGTTTTGAAAACGCATAAACATTTGAAGCTATTCCGTGCAACACCAGCAAGAAAAATTTTAGTAGGCGCCAACAGCATACAGGAGTGCAAAGCTCTAAATCAGGGAAAATGATCGGAAATATTCCGTTCGGAATTTCAAGCCCCAATTTTCGAGAACTTTTTAACTGATACAGTTAGAACAACCCTGAGAGCGATAACGATTTTTTAATAAAACTTTGCGAATTAAAAAAAACCAAATAAATAATGTGATGATAGAATAGTATGATACGTTGATTAATGTCTAATTGTGAACCGAGATCTGCTAATTTTCATTTCAAAACTATGCGTTTTTGATCAAGAATGGATAGAGCTAGAAACTTCTCGAAACTGTTGCCAAAACTCAGAGTTTTCAATTCTACCGTATTTGTGAAAAGTTAATTCAAAATATTCTCAGACTCAGTGAATTGGACAATCATTGAAATAATGTTCAGCAAATTTTCATATTCTTTTCTGGAAAAAATGTTTCAGTTCAAGAAATATTTTTATGAATTTGTCCTTCAAATTATTCGGTGAATGGGAAAGTACAAAAAAATAGAACCGAATGATTCTTGTGTTTCCGAACACCTAGTAATTTTAGACACTTGAGTGTCCCGGTGAATGGAATTTTATGCATATATCATTATCTTTTTTACGATATTTATGATCTCTATGAATATCTCTGAGGAGAAGTAGTAAGTGAAAAAAGATGTGAACGAAAAGAAAAAGTAAACTGGACAATTGGAGAGAATTAAAAGAAAAATAAATTGGAAAATGCAGTAAATTCGTCTGGAATAACAACTGACTAGATTACGGTAGAAAAACAATCGGGTGACTATTATATTATCCGATGATTTTTATGAATAATTGAAAAATTGGTGTCAGCATCTCGAAAATTCTATACGGAAATAACAGTGAAATGATGAGACTCTTAGATCTAAGTGAAGCCACTTTGTGTATATTACACAGTTGTTTTTCGCATATTATATTTTCACAGTTTTCCGGAGATAAAAAAGAAACTATTCACAGAGAAAGAAAAACAGAAGTTGAGTAAAAAGGGATCTTTCCTCGAAAAATATACACGGTCTTAATGGAAAGAGGGAATTTTTTTAAAATCTTAAAAACAAAGAATTTAATATTTCAAAAATTTAAAAAAAAAACGAAAGAACTGAATGAAATTTTATTTAAGAAGGGATGAACATTAATCACTGTACACCATACTTGCTAAACCGCAGAAATCCGCCGCACCAAGTTGGCTTAGTGAAAATTCTCCCACCTGACCGGCCCGGCCCGCCACATGTATACCGTACACCGTCCCATCGAAATACACACCGCAATTTCAATGAAACCGATAAATATCCTGTCTCTCCTAGTTCAAGCAAAATGCTAGAAGAACTTAAAAATTTCTGTCCATTTGTTTTTCCCAAACCAAAGCTTTTGAATTCAGAATTTAAAAATCTGCACTATAGAATTTTCTTGACATCTATATACTTGCAAACGAGACGGTTCATGAACTTATTCGAGCGTCAAAAATTTGGTAAAATAACTGATATATAATGAAACTTGGTGAATACTACATGATATCTTACACTTATAAAACATTGCAGACCGAATGAAGTGCATGCCATTATTTCCGGTCTGATCACATTCGTACTCTCTGAATTCCATCAAACCTATTGCATTTGGCAGAAAAAGGTTGCGGGCTTGTAACAAGATTTGGTTCATCAGGTTTCAAATTTCAAATTAAGATGTATTTTTTTCAAAATTTCAAAAACCTAGTGAGAAAAATCATCACTTCAGTTTTTCAGTTTCTCAGATGATCCTCAACAATTGATCCTCAACACCCACCTCATGAAAACTGTTGAATGTCGGTAAGTTATCCCCCCGAAATCAAAAATAGAAAACCTCGTGCTTTACGTATCTTAAGAAATACTGGAAACTCATTAAACCCACCATACTTTTTTTCCACGCATTTTCTCATAAAATGGGCCATTCAAAAGGCAGTTTTTGGGCACATTATGAGCTCCAGTCCAATTTAATCAAGTCCAGCCACATCAACTGGTTGTATATACTTTCTAAGACTCTTTTATCGAGCCAGTCTAGAGAAGAGAGAGTTGAATAACTTGTCACTTGATTTCTATTTAAGAGGTGTTTTCTGATAAGTAACATAAAGTTACCTATTCAACCTCTGTAATTGAACACTCATCCTCATCTGTGTCATTTTTTCCAGTTATTTTACCTGACGCGATCTTCATATTAAGAAATTTTATGACTAAAAATCAGAATCATTAGTATGACAAAAAAAGCGTGTCTATTACAAAGATATCAGAAACTACTTTTCGGAGAAACGGGAACCGGAATCCGGACATACCGTAAAACCTGTAATAGAAAGGCCTATATTCATACATGTTGCGGGCCGGGCCGGTGGAGGAATTTTCGCTGGACCGGCCCGGCCCTGGCCCGGGTTTTTGAAGCAAAAATTTTTAAGAGTCATTTTTTGAGAGAAACCTGGATTTGTGGGAGCATTTTATTCCAGTTTCTTTGTTTTCAGCTTTGAGAAGGGTCGTGGGATAAATTTAGTGCTTTAGAATGATTTTTTTTTTCAAAAAAGTTTATCAAAAATCAACTGAAATTTTTTGAAATTTTCGGAACCCGTGCCGGGCTGGAAAATTTTTTTTTTAATGATCGGCTGTTCCCGACAACTTTTGTTAAAATACTCGGTGAAACTGAAATTTTGTGCATTTTCAGAATGGATAATCTCAGCAATGAACAAATAAAAGAACTCTTCTACATGAGCATCGATAAGTACAACGATCACATGAACAACCCGAAGTGCGGAAAGCTGGTGAAAGTTTTGAACGCATCGTTCCTGTACAAAATGTCTCAGGCGGTCGTTGAAATTGAAAGTGGTGAGAAACAGGAGGTGAGCACTTTTCGGAAGTTATTTCAAAATTAGGTTTAAGTGATAAACTTTATTCCGAGCAAGTTTTCTAGTTTGCAAGATGACACATTGTCCAAATAATTACTGTTAACCTCCTTAGTGGCTCAAACCCCTAACATTTGAAACTAAGACTAACAAGGGGACCACAACACCTCGTCAGTTTGGATTTTGATGAAATTTTCAGTATATGTCAAGGATAGCCTATCTAGACATCCCTGAAATATTTAGAGCACGCTCGCCACTTTCAGCCGAGTTATATCAGTTTCAGTACCAAAAATCGCGTTTTCAGTGCAAAAATAGCGACTTTCAAAGGCGATTTTCTCCGCTCCCAGGAGGTTCCAGAACATGAAACTTGTTTCGTTATACTCAAAATTATGTGTAATATCATATTTCAGACATTTTCAGAAAAAATTTGAGATTTTTTTTCCATTATTTGGGAGGGTGATTTTATCGAGCTTTTGTCAATTTGGAAAATTTCCTTGAAAAAGTAGTGATAATTGTTTGCAAATATTATTTTACAACTGATAGATAATCTATTTTTGATTGCACGCTTTTCATTATTCATTCATGGTCCGTATAGGTCCAACAGAGCTTCAAAACCACCACATTCTAGTGATTGAACCCTTCAAATTTTTTTTGGAATTTATTGAAAATTTTTTTTTCTAAATTTTGTCTCTACTCTCTTGAATTGTTAAAATTTTGAAACATATGTCAGAGGGATCCTGAAATGTCACAAAATAAGAAAACAAAAAGAAAAAAAAAGAAAAAACACTAGAGGGTCCGAACCCCCAGCCTTGTGACTACCGGCGCCCACCACATCCCCGACACCACGCCGTCGACATTTACTATTGATTCGAACGGCGCTGAAATGTCAGGCCCTCTTCATACTCCTTTTAAAGAGATTTCGGGGATGAAATGTGTGGTAAAGCATGCAAATCAACGGATTTCAGTACTAAAACTTTGGACTGATATAACTCTGCTGAAACTGGCGAGCGTGTTCCAAAATTTTCAGTGATGTCTAGATAGGATATCCTAAACATATTCTGAAATTTTCATCAGAATTCAAACTGACGAGGTGTTGTCGTTCCCTTGTAAGATTTTAAACTAATATTTTTAACTTCTCTAAAAAAATACAAAGGCACATTGAAGGTGTTGATACCTTCGTTCGATTTACAAATTCAACTGGAATTTTCGTCAGGGAGCAAGAACGCAACTGCAAGGACCGCCCATTGGAACTGCTCAAAGTGATGCACCTCAGCCAATCCAGCAAGCCATTCCGGAGCATCCAGAAGTTGCAGAGCATGCTAGTGCTCAGATCAGAAACACTCCACCACACGGATTCCAAACTGACGGCACATTTGAAGGGGACACCGCCGCAGATGTCTATCGGTTCATGGCAGCGAATTATCGTTGAAATCCATTTGAAATATTGTTCTTTCTTCAAATTCATCAAAATTGGTCTGTATCTAAAATCCCCTATGACCCCGAGTGACTTCTTATCAAAATCGTTGTAATTAGTAATGTGCCGAAGTTTACTGTAAATACTCTAACAGAATGTCTCCCAGATCGCCAATTTTAAAGGCGTATATCTCAGTTCCTGTGAAAGATATCACAAAGTAGTGAACAAACAAAATCCGTAATAATATCAAAAATATTTGGTTATTTGATCATTTTTGCTATCGTTCACAGCAACCAAGATAAACTGGCTTAATTTTGGAAGTTGGAAAGGTCATTCGATTAGAGTGTTTACGGTACATCTATGGTGACAGATCTCTCATCCTTTTTTTATTTTTCGAACCCCCATGATTCAGTTGTATTGAAGCTTATTTTTCTTCATTTCAAGCCAACTTCGATTGTAGATTTACTGACATACGTCCCGATAATTTTTGAATCAATTCTTTTCCGTTTTCATAATTTTCATTAAAAGCGGTAAAAAATAATTTTTGAAAGTTTTCTTTTTCAAGACAGAGGTGCCATAAAACAGCATCGAAATCACTTTCAGACCTCATAATTTTTTTCACAGGGCAAGGTGGAAAAACTGATTTCAGTTCTGTATTTATCATGTTACAATGTACCTATGAGCTGAGTTCCAAAAAAATCGCAAACCTATCCTGATAAAATTTTCCTTATTAGATTCTTCAACGAATAAAAAGAGAGAAACTATTTCAACGTACTTTCTTTTTTAATAAAATTGGTCAGAAAAATAACATTTCAAACATTTCTATATTTCGGTGTCCCTATCCAAAATGAACTACCTACCACAATATCTTCCTTGCTACCTAACTTCACATTTGACCTTAATAGGTTTTGTTATGTACAGCCAAACCAAAAATCGGGTTAACTATGAATAGGGGAAAGTTTTTTTTCCTTGTGTTATGACTTGATAAGATAGTGATGTCTTGACGCTTTGTTTTTTGTTTGGTTTTCGTTTTGTTTTTTTTCTACAGACAGGTTGAATATTTCAGAGGATGACAGATAAGATAGGAATGCAAGAATATGATGTTTCAAAATACGCATATATTTTGTATTCCTTCAAATATTCTTGGATTTTTCTGACCGTATAAATACCCCTACTATATATAAAGATTTGTCATACGGTCCTGACCAGCTGAAAGTTCTCCTCCTCAGACTGGGTCAGTAGTTTTGAATTAGTTGAAATCAAACATCATTTCTCAATTTCGGTTTTAAATTTCTCAATGATCTCTGTATGTGATCTCTCAAATCGACCACTTGTCTGACCAGCACTCTGAGCCTTTGGAGCACCAAATGTTTTTGCTCCGCCCTCTTTTCTGTTTCCTGTTATATATAAATTGTCTCAAAACAATAGGAAACTCCCAACCAAAAAGTGTAACAGTCTTGATTTCAGTCAGCAACACAATACGTTCATTTTTTTGGCGGCCAGTTGTGTAAACTTTTTTCTTGTTTAAACTTACTCAAGAAAGCTGCTGGCAAGTATAATTGATGTGTAGAGAAGGTGGTCTAGTCTTGAATTCTCGTTTTTTTTTCTGTTGATACTAATAGGTACGAAGTAGCTGATAATTGTTGTGCTTTGTTCCAGCGCCACGAACACTTGCAGATAAGATTTGAAGTATTTTGTCCTTTGAGTATTTTTAACCAATAAGATCTAGAATAACGTCTTTTTCAGTTGTTTTTGACATTTTTCAAAACTTTGGAACTCGGCCATGAAATTTCCGATCACTTTGAAAAATTCGGAGAATGTAAAACAGACCTAGATTGAAAACTTTACATTTACAGATTTTTTAGACACTTCCTAATTTTTCAGATATTTGCCGATTTTTAGAGCACACCCCATGTTTGCCAGTTTTTTACCAAAACCGTGAAAAACAAGAGCCTTTCAAAAGTAGACACACTTCTGAAAAAATTGCAATTTTTAAAAATTTCTGTAAAAGCAAAATTATCAATCTAGATCTGTTTTACATCTTGCAAATTTTTAAAATGACCGTAATCTTGACAGCTCAATTCAAGGCTTTTGAAAATGACCGAATTGGCATGAAATAACTGAAGATTACGTTTTTGTATAGCGTAAACTACATTTTTCCAAAAAGCTAACCTTGATTAATCACCTTATATAATAATTGTGATGACAAGTGCAAATTATGATACAAGTGAAAAAAATGAAAACGTGATTTTTCACGCACGTGTGGGGGAAATTCAATGTCTTCTTATATTTTTTCTTCTCGGTTTTTGGTTAAGAAATTTCACAATCCTTTCGAACTTTCGTAAAACCTGTAATAGAAGGACCTGCTAACTTTTCTCTTTGAGCCAATTTATCTCAGTTCTTGTCAAAGATATCAAAAAGATGTCAACTGGTAAAATATTTATCATAATATCCCAAAAAATTTTATCAGTTGAAACATTTTTCATATATTTGACAGGAACCGAGATAATCTAACTGAACGTTAATGGTTAGGGGCACTTATATTAGAGGTTATACAGTGTGTTTCACAATTTTAACCAAAAAAAACAATAATCTTTTACAAGGTTTTGGTAGTGCCGCGTAAAAGTAAAAAGTACATGAAACGACAAAAAAAATCAAAAGTTTCGTTTTTTTTTTCGTCATTCCGTCTCAATGTATTTTAATTCAAATACCCGTTTCATTGTTGACAGTAGTTCTATTCCTTTGATTCGCTCTCTGGGTTCTTTTTTGTGTTCCTCGCTTTTGTTGTTGTGGTTAAGTGAAGTAGTAGTTGTGATTTTTAGTTGTTGCGTGTGTGTCCGAGGAGGATCAATCCAAAACCAATATATTCTTGAAGCGTATATCAACTTACTTTTTTTTCGTTTCCTTCTCTTTGATTCAAAGCCTCAAGGTATAATATCATCACGCGCAACACAAATGGAAGAGGGAGATAAATTATTTTACACACCCTGTCTTCTCAACCTCTTTTCAACACTTTTTCACTTTTTTCTATCACGTTCTTATCGTTGTTCTCGATTTTTTTCTCTTTTTCTAGAATCTCAGAAAAAACCTATTATCACTTTTGTCTTCTTCATCAGCGAAGAAGTCAGACGTTAGCCACATTACTCAAGTACCCCCGAACATACTCCCACTCGTTCATTTCTGTAACCAAGCCAATTGATACGTCCCCCAGACTTATGTACCTCCCCTCTAAAGTAACTTTTACCCTGTTTGCCCAACCTAAACGAAACTACACACTGTTTTGAGTTTCTCACATTCTGTATTGTTTAACGATTGGGGAGTTTCCCCCGTCTTTTCCACTTATATCTATATCATTTCCTCTATTTGACAAACACAAATTTCTGTGCTCATTTATTGTTATCACTAAACTACACTTACAGATTCGCAATTTGATCTTATGCTACTTCAGAGGACGTTAGTGGTTCTAGCACTTACTGTACACACTGCATTATGTGGTTATCAGAGGTCAATAGTTCATTTTGATATGAAAGGTAAATTGTTTGATATGGAAGGTGGCATATGAAAAATTCGCAGGTGCTCCACCAAAAGTTGCATATTTCAAGCAACTTTTAACAATGATGAGTGGTTTAGGAGCAACTGGGGTGCTAATGGAGTGGGAGGTAAGCTTGGACTTTATTCTCGATGATAGATTTCGAAAAATTCGAAAAATTTTAATTTCAGGATATGTTCCCCTACCAAGGAAATCTAAATCGGATCGTCAACAAAAACGCCTACACCGAAGAGGAAGTGATAAGTATTCTGGAACAGTAAATTATATTTTTCCTGATTTCTCTTTTATAAAAATTTTTGCAGTGCTCAACAGCTGGAACTTGAAGTCATCCCACTTGTGCAAACTTTGGCACACATGGAATGGATTTTGAAAAATGAAGAATTTTCTCATTTACGGGAAGATGAACGGTACCCAATGGTAGCGTGTATTGGAGATCCATCTAGTTTGGAATTGATTCTTGATTCAGTTAATCAGGTTAGAACATACAGTACTCTTGGTTTCTGGCATTTTCAGGAGTCTGGAGCTCGGCTGTCATGTTTTCAATCATTTCTAAACCATCGGAGGTTGTAAAACAGACCTTTGTAGATTAAAAACTTCGAATTCACATAATTATTGAGAAATTCCTAGTTTTTCAGCTTTTCGCCGATTTTAGAAAAACACTAATTTCGACCCGGTTAAGTACTGAAACGTATACCGAAATGTAAAACAAAAAATCGGCTAATAGCTGAAAAACTGAGAACTTTTCGAAAATTTTGTTAATACAAAGTTTTCAAACTATACACCCTCCGAAATTTTAAAAGTGATGGGAAACTTGGTAGCTGAGCCCCAGATTCCTGAAAAATGACGAAACCCAACTGAAACATTTTTCTAATAATTTCGTTCAATTTTTTTCATTTCATTCATATTTTTCAGTTAATGCAAGTTCATTCGAAATTCAACACACGATATATTCATATTGGTGCTGATGAAGCATTCCAAGTCGGAATATGTGAAGCGGATCGTCTAATCCTCCCTGTGAAATATGAAAACGACACGCTTCGAATGATTTTCAACCATTTGAAAAAGGTGTCGATCAATGTCACCGAAGAATTCCCGGCGACGAAGGTAGGTCAATTTTTCTTTTCTCGAATAAAAGTGCATTCACCGTGACCCCATTTCCAGGTTTTAATGTGGTACGACGAACTGAAAAGTGCGCCGTTAGAACTAATCAAAGAATATAGTCTTGATGAACTGGTGATACCGGTCGTGTGGAAATACACTGCGAATTTGGATAATGACCTGCCGCCCGAGATGTGGAAAAATATGTCATACTCGTTCAAAGAAGTTTGGGGTGGGAGTGCGTTCAAGGTAAACTGGGATTTCGGGAAATTTAGGAGCATGCACTATCAAAATTTAGTATCATTTTAAATACAAATTTTGGGTCAATTTTGTCCAAATTTTAGAATTACTGCTGATCAAAATTTGGTATAACGTTTGATCAAAATTTTTCGATTATTTTAGGAGCTGACGGAGCTAGTCGCTACTGGAATCGCCTCAAACCATACATTTTGAACAATAAGGAATGGTATCTTCAGAACGAAAAATACAAGTTACACTTCACAACCTTTGATTCTATCATTATCACTGGTTGGCAAAGGTTTGAGAACTAATTTGAAACTAATTAGTTATTTTATCGATTTAGATACGATCACTTCGCATCGCTATGTGAACTTTGGCCAACTTCAATGGTATCATTGGCGCTGAACCTGATAGTTCTAACCAAGTTTCATATAGACAGTAAGTTTCAAACATCATAATCATTCAGTTACAATTTTTAAAATTACAGCAGCGTCTGCGGAACAGGTCATCAACGCCCTCAATTGTCCGCCGTCTACTACTCTTGACCAATTGGTAGCTGGAACTGACAAGTGTCGGTATCCAGGCTATCGCGCACGTGATGCAATAAGGGACTATTTTCAGTTGAAGACATTCTTTGAAAATTCCACTTGGGTCCATAATAGAGAGAATGGATGGCTTCAATCATCCCATATGCGGTTATCAGCTAGCAATCCGTACTATATTGATGCAATCGGAAAAGCTTATGAGCGAACTCTAAAGAAAATGGACACAATCACTAACAATATGAGGACAGCCTTCACTGAAATATTCTACCCGGATGTGATAGAGGAATTCGAAACTGATTACATCACACCGTTCTATGAGGAACTGCAAAAAAGGTGGGAGAAATGTTTTTTTTTTGTTTTTGAAATGGATATCATCTTTTGGCGGTTAGATCAAAAGTTTGAGTGACGCGCAACACGATAGCCTGTCAAACGTCACATATTGGTTTACCACTGGTATTGACGAGGTAAAAATAAATAATACTTGTCGACGGGATGAAAGGCAGTAGTTTTTGTGGTTTTGGGCATTCCTAAGACTAAAGAATTGGCGGAGAACTTTGTAGTAGTGTTGAACTTGGCAACATTGTTTAAATGTTCTTGTTTTCAACTTCGTTTCAAAAAACAATGAATTTTGCAGAATCATTATATTTAAAGAGGGACTCCGAAATAAATTCATTTTGTCAAAATGTGCCAATTCAGATAGAAAAATAGAAAAACTTTTAAAATTTTTTTTAAACCTTGATTATTGGCTCCAAAAATCGAGAAAATCTCATTTTTGAGCAGGGATGTGCCTTTTCGGAATTTTTTCAAAATTTCGAAAATTCCGATTTTCCAATTTTCGGAAAATTCCGATTTTCCAATTTTCGGAAAATTCCGATTTTTTAATTTCGGACTCTTGGAATCTCGGAATATTCCGCTGATTGAAAATGTGGAATTTCGGAAGTTTTGAAACTTTCTAAATTTTAGAATTATGAAGAAGAAATTCCATTTTACATCACAAAAACGCCAAAACTGGTGATAACACACTCTATACGTTCATTTTGAGTTAAATTATGTCGATTTCTGTGGAAGACATTAAAAATTTGTGAACTAAAAAATTATTAATCATAAAATACTCTATATTTTATCAGTTGACAAATTTTTGATATCTTCCACAGTAATTGAGATAATTGAGCTCAAAGCTGACGGTTCGGATAATGATCTTTGGGAAACACTGTGAATTTAATCTCAAAAACAAAAAACTAAATCTCAGGAAATTTATTTCCTAATCATCTTTGAAACATCAAACAGCACCTCTAAGAAACAAAATAAAAACAAAAATGTTTTCCAGAAAAGACGCGGTCGCCAACATTGACACCAAGCGGTCATATGGACCTCGTCCGTGGTTCCGGCTGTGAAATGGAGCCACTTTGGTGTAACTTATTTGCCATTCCAACCGAGAGATACGGCTTTACATTCAACTATGTATTCTTGCCAATTGATACCATCCGCTATACGAGCCATTGTTACAACCTTCTGCTTCTGAATTTATGTCTAAAAACCAAATTTCCATGATTCTTGTTCTATGATGCTTTAAATTGCACTTTCTTTTTTTTTCTAGGTTTTTATTTCAATTTCTTCGCTTTTTCCAAGTAATAAATATTCATATTTTATTTCCTTTTGTTTCTACATTATTACACACATTGAGGGAAACGTGAGGGTAGAGTAGCATAAAACACAATGAATGTTAATTTTTGATTTTCAATCGAAGGACACGTTGATATGCGTATGATATCCGCCGACGTTATCAGCGACACCTTCTGATCGCGGAGATGGGGATGGCCTCGCATTCATCATATCAATGACATTGTGGGATCTCCGTGGCAGGTACGATTCGTAGCTTCTCGTTGTAGTCATAGTGGGAGGAACAGTGACAATTGCTATTCTGTCGGATGAGACCTTTGATGATTGTTGGAGCTTTGGAGGAATATACTCAAAAGCCGACTCGCTAAGTTCACTGAGATAGTCATATTCACTGATATCTCGTTTCGCGGTTTGACCAGAGTTTGACCTTGGCCTTGATCTTGAACCAGTTTCTGCATCTGCTTCCGCACTTTCTGTTCTAGCAGCGACAATCTTGAATTTACTACCACGGTTTTGCTTTTGGCGAGAACTTGTTCCGTCTCTTAACTTTGCGTCAAAGTCAGATTGAGAGGAATGATATTCTGAAAGTTGAGAAGGTTAGGAGTCCTGTAGCTAAGTTAATACACAGTACCGGTCAATAAGACAAACAAAAATGAATTTTTCAGTTGATTTTTGGCCATTTTGATCATTTTCAGGAGCCTCGAGCTCGGCTGTCATGTTTCCAATCACTTTGAGAAAATTAGGAGGGTAGGAAACCAACCTAGATTGAAAGCTTTGCATTTACAGAATATTTTTCAAAGTCCTAGCTTTTCAGCTATCTGCCAATAATTTTTGCTATCTGCCAATAATAATTTTTGAGACACCATTTTGGCCCGTTCTTGTTCTGTGAAAGTGAAAAAAGTGTCTTCCATAAATTGGCAGATACATAGCTGAAAAACTAGGAATATTCAAAAAATTAGGTCAAATTTTCCAGTCTAGATCTGTTTCATACTTTTCAAAATTTTCAAAATAATCCGACAATGGACAGTATAGATTAAGACTCCTGAAAATGACAAAAATCAACCGAAAAATCCTTTTTTGCAAATTTTATGGACCGCAAACTGAACAATGACTCACGCATCATCTGAATCTGCATATCACAAGTACGAAGAATAATCTCATCATGAGAGAATTTTTTGTACAACTTGTGACCGTCTTCTCCAGGGATTCTGGCTGTTACCTGAAGAAAACCTCATTATTTCAAAAATTTCTACAATCAGGATCCAACTTTGTCACAAATCTTATACCCAATCCATTCGTCCGTTTCCGCATACATTGAATAGACATATTGCCCCTCATAATGATTTTTTTCATTGATATCCGTCAAGAATTCGCTCTCAGTTGGGCAGAATCCGGAATAAAGTCCAATGACTTTGCTACAGATAGGAAGAATTGGGATAGCACCAATAACACAGCCAGGCACAGAAATGCCAGCAACCTGAGGTCAAGCTTTATCTAATAAAAACACGAAACATTGTTTTACCTGCAAAGAAATCCCGTGGTTGGGGCCAGCTACACCAATGAAGGTGTCCACGTATTGAGTTAAAGGAGATCCCAGATCTTCCTTCGTGTCAACGCAAATTCCTAAAGTGAAGAAGTTAGGAATGCGCAAAATGGCCTTTTCGAAATTTTTCAGAATCTCAAAAATTCGGAGTTCGGGAATTATGGAATTTTGAGTATTTTTTTAAAGTTTGGATTTTCGGAATAATCAGGTTTTGAGAATTCAGGAATTTCCGAAAATTTGGATTTTCGGAGTTCGGGAACCTCGAAATATTAGGATTTTCAAAAATTCGGAATCTCGGAGTATTTTAATTTCAAACATTCCAGAAATTAGGAATTTTCAGGTTCTAGTAATAATCTCATTCTCCCATTACAAAAACAACGGATGTCTCGAAAATGTTACGATCGGAATTTCCGGAATTTTCAAATTTCCGAATACCGTTCCAAACATCTTTGAAAAGAAATTCGAAAATCCTATTTATCATTTTACCTCCAAGAATAGCTTTTCGAGCAATTGGAACTCCCAACGAATAAGCCACAACATCTACATTTCTCTGTGTGTAATACTTCACTGCCAAAAGAAAAGTGCGAATCTTAAAATAATCTGGTTTAACTCATAACTCGTTTTCTCAAAAGTTTACCTGCTTTACATGTTCACATTTCAACGAATACTCTGTCCATGCAATCGGGTTATTTTTGGAACCACTATCGTAGGTTGTGGCATACAATTCGCCAGTGGTATAGCCATGTTTCTTATATGTGGCAGCCAATGCTTGCATTTTTCCACCGGCAATATCAGATACGCCATGAACGAATACTACTGGATCATGATTTATCTCATCATTTGCATTTGTTTTACCACCAAATGACCCGCCATCTCCTAAGTCTGTTCTGAAAATCCTGGATCCCTGGGACCTTTATTTTTTTACTAACCTCTGCAATGTGTCCAAAAATGTTTTCCCATAATGTTCTTCGATAAAATCAGCAAAATGCTTATCGAATTCAGTAGAAACTCCAATTAAGCAGCAAATCAAGCATAACAAAAACAGAATAAGATGATTCATTGTGTGGAACGGTGGAATAATAACAGTAACACAAAGTGAAATCGTTGTTTGACCTACTTCCCGTCGTTCGGGTTACTAATACAATAACTTTCATTTGTTTTATTGATTCAATAAGAACTAATAAATCGACACGGTCAATTTATTTTCGTCGGTTTTTTTTAAATAAAATGGAGCGAACAAATTATTGGCACAGTGATACAAAATAAAAATAAAAAAGAAATTATACATATGGTCTATATATGTTATCCTATGGTTTTGCAACAAACGTCATGTTATTCTCCACGGCCCAATCTTGAACATCCAGTGGTGGTGATGGGTTCTTAGCCCATTGTGGGAACAGGTGAAGATTGAACACAAATCCAGCCCAGAGAAGCATGTTAAGCATCGAGAGGACTACACATCCAAGGGTGACACAGAGTCCGGAGATGAACTGAAATTATAGATTACGGTAGAGCGGAAAAGGATTACAAACCATATCAAAAACTTTGAGGTATCCAGAAGAGAAGACAATGGCGTTTGGTGGAGTAGCAACTGGAAGCAGGAAAGCAAAGGAGGCAGATATGGTGACAGGAAGCATGAAGTTCAATGGGTCAATTTCCAGAGATCTGAAATTTTGATTACTATGGTACCATATGGTATATTAGTTTTACCTAGCCAGCTCAGCGACGATTGGGATAAAAATGGAAGCGATTACAGTATTGGAGCATACATTGGTGAGGCTAACGCTGATCATAATACAGATTAGCATGATGATGTTGTGGTTGAAGACTTCAAGGTTTCTCATGATAGCTCCAATGTCATGGGAGAGTCCGGATTCCTGGATTATTGATTTTTACAGTTGCATGGGGTAGCCAAGAAAATAAAAAAAGTTAGTATCAATTTCTCACAAATGTGAATTTCTAGATTCAATTTTACCAAATGCCTACATACAGTACCTTTCAATAAGATATATAAACATATTTTAAGTTGATTTTTTTCCAAGAAGAAAGATGAAAAATATCCCATTACTTTGAAAATTTTGAAAGGTGTATAAAAAACCTAGATTGAAAATTTTGGATTCACCAAGTTTTTTCAAAATTTCTAGTTCTCCAGATATTTGTCAATTTCTAGAAGACACCTGTTTCATTCACCTTTCTAGTACAAAAATGGGCCAAACAGGAGCTTCTTTCTGAAATCGACAAATAGTTGAAAAACTAGGTATTTTCAAAAACTTCTGTGAATGCAAGTTTTTTAATTTACGTATGTTTTGAACCCTCGACAGTTTTCAAGGTGTTTGGAAGGTGTTTGAAAACTTGACAGCTCAGGACTTTTGAAACTGGTCAAAATAGCTGAAATCAACTGAAAATGACGTTTTTGTATATCTTATTGATCAGTACTTTAGAATTCTTGGTTCAGTTTTTATCAGTTTATTTGTCTCTACCTTTACTCCAGCAGCCAGTGCAAATCCACCACCTAACAAGAAAAGCACACTCCATGGGAATCTATCTTGCACTGTTGCCCAATCAAGAAGACCACTGCTAGCTTTCTGAGCCTCGTTTTTGTTTCTTCCTCTCAAATTTGGAAGCTTTTCCGGAAGAGTGAAGAGCAGAATGACAATGAACATTGCGCTAGTGGCATCCGACACAAATCTGAAATCCAATTTTTGATTGTTTTCGGCATCTGCCACAGCACTCACTCCTCTCTGAACATATCACCCCATCCCGGTACAACTTGTGGCTCTCGGAGGATCCATAAAAGAAGAAGAAGTGCGAAACAGAACACGACTGAGATTTCGGCAAATGAGAGATTGTTGAGCTCATTGTATTTTTGTTGTAGTTTTCTGTTGACGATGATAGATCCCTTTGGAGCTCCGCGGAGATAGAGAAGGTACAGAACGCACCTGAAAACATTTTTGGAGGTCAGATGCATATGATTATGATGAAAAAATGTACCAGCAGTAGATGAGGCAGCAGAAAACCATCGGGAATGCAAAAATCAGCCAGGATAAGAAATTGACTCCAGTATCGGCACCGGGGAAGAGTCTGGAACAAGGGAAAAATTTTACAGATTTTACGGTAATTTTGATATTTTTGAAAATTTTCGGGCTGTCGTAAAATCCGTAAAACCCATAAAATTAGCAAAATGACGGTGTTTGTCACAATAATTAGTTTCTTCGGAATCGATATATTTTGATTTTTTCCCCTGCATTTTGCATTAAATCCTTTGTTCGGATAACCAATTTTATCATATATCTTTTAGAATCTTGAGAAAATTTCAAAAATCGACAAGAAGTAACTTGAAAAGTATAATGACCCAATAGTCATGAACTAGAAAACTCTGATCGTTTTTGAAAAATTTTCTGATTGCATTTTAACTGAATTTTTAGAGATTTTCAAAAATCTTGGTGCTAAATATGTGAAAATACATTGTTTTAAATTTGTGTTTCATGTTCAAAATGGCACCAAATTCGAAAAACCGGATTTTTGCAAAAACCATCGTTTTCCAAATCTTACGGTTTCAACGGATTTTACGAAAATTTACGATTTTTCGTTCTGTAAAATTATCTTTTACGGACTCCGTTGAAAAATTTTACGCCCAGCCCAGGTCTCAAATCAAAATTTACAAAAAGTGTTCATCAAGAAAACATTTCATCCATTATTAGCTCTCGAATCTCCCTGCCCATATACTCACTCATTCAGTTGTCCTATCAACACCAAATTTGAAGCTGTGCCAGTGATAGTGGCTGCTCCACCAATATTCGCAGAGAAGCAGACACTCAGCATCAACCCCTTCGCCATTCTCTGTTCTCTCGGCGACATAGCAGTGTCCATTTCTCTGAAAACAAGAGATATATCGTTTTTCTAAAAAATTCCCAGAGTAACTCACTCCCTTTTGATTTCATTATTTTCGTTGGGCAGCGAAAGTCGTCTCATACCAATGCTATGCTTTCTGTTGCTACTCTGATGTGCCTCACAAAGTGCTACTAGATCTTCCATTCGATGGTTGGATACCAATTCAGTGATGACACTTTGAACAATTGGAACCATTAATGCGGTGGTAGCAGTGTTTGAAATCCACATACTGAAAATAGGGTTTTTGCAGGTTTGAAGAATCCAGAAACAAATCAAGAGTCACCTCAAGAATCCAGTGACTCCCATGAATCCAGCCATCACTCTTGCTGGTTCCGACCCGACTGTTTTCAATACGAATAAAGCTATTCTAGCATGTAGTTCGCATTTTTCAACAGCTAACGCTACCATCAAACCACCCATGAAGAGGAAACAAGTGTCTGGGAGGTACGCTCTGGCAACTTCTTCAGATCTCATGATTCCAAACAGTGGGAAGAGGATCATTGGGATAAAGGCAGTTATGGCAAGTGGTAAGGCTTCAAAAACCCAGTAAGAACCCATCACGGCGACACAGAAGAGACATCGAGCTTGAAGCTAAAAACGTTTTTTGAATTTGAATAAAATGTGACGTACTGGTCAGTAAGATACAACCTGTTTTTTGTTGATTTTCGACCGTTTCGACAACTTTCAGGAGTCTAGAGCTCGGCTACCAAGTGTAGGATCAATTTGAAAACTTTGAAGTAAGTAGAACAGACCTAGACTAAAAACTTGCGTTCCCAGAATTTTTCGAAATACCCTAGTTTTTCAGATATTTACTGATTCCCGACAGATACTTGCTGTTTTCGTATCTTCAGTTTAAAAACGTTCAAAAAGTGATGTCTTTGAGAAATCGGCAATTAGCCAAAAAACAAGGCAGTTTCAAGAAATTTTGTGAATGCAAATTTTTCAAACAAGGTCTGTTTTACATCCTCCAAAATTTTCAACGTGATCGAAAACTTGAGAGCCGAGTTCCAGACCCGAGAAACTTGTCGAAATGGCCAAAAATGAAAAATTTTGTATGTATTAGGTTGGTAATAAAGTGGCTACTGTATGGTATATGAACTTTTTTCTGAAAAAAACTAACTTCATGTGCATCTCTAACAAATAACAACGGAGCAAATAACACCAAGGCACCCCAGATGACAAACGAGTGCTTGTAGATTACCGGTAGTGATGTAATACTCCGTTTTTTAGCCATCTCTAGAGACCCTGCAATTTTCAAATGATGAGGTATTGATTAGGATGTCAAAAGAATGAAATATGGAAAAAGTGGTGTTGGCAAAATGAGAATAATAAGCAGCCAACACCTTTTTATACTTTTCTGCTTTTTTCTCTCTCAAAAAAAAATCAAACCAGTACCTTTAACCGAAAAAAACTAATTAAGTTCAGCGATCGTCATACAGAAATTATTTTTTTTTCTTTGAAAATTGATAAATCTTATGATTGAAAAAAAATAATGATGAAGGAAAAGTAATGATAAAAAATATGATAGTTGAACTTAATATCGATTCTACAATCAATCTAATGCAGAAAGTTATTTTGCCACTAGGTTGGAATTGGGCTGCTGATGATTGGATTGCCTCCCGTCTTCTCCCAATGCTTCTGACTATAGTCTGGCGTACAGCAGAACGTAATAACAACAATTCGATGTACAGAAAAAAAAACCAATGGGGGCGAGAATAGACAAAAAAAATAATATTGAAAATAGCAGAAGTTACCACAATATTGAATATATCGGAGGGATTCTGAAGATATGAAAAAAGAAAAAGAAAGAAAAATCAAAAACCAATACCACAAACAGGGAAAATGAATAAGAAACATTTATATTACGTATTTCCAAACAGTTATAAAAGTGTAATAATACTGTTAAATGATGATCATCCCCTTCTTCTCGCCACACAGACTGATCAAAACGATTGATAATGATTTATCGGTATGCCTATGACTATTGACATGAGAATTTTTGCAATATATCTCTTTTCCTCTTTGTATAATCTTCTAATACCTCATCATCTTGATAGTTGGACAGTATTATCACGTGAATGATGATCTTCTTTACTCCATAACCATCACACAACCCGAGATGAGATTTTCACTGATTAATAGCCCTATTCTTTTGTACTTTCAGCTCTCTAACTTCTTTATTTTCTTGCTATCTCCCTTTTTTGATCAGTGATGTTTCTTCCAAAATTAGTATTTCAAAATAATTTATAAACTTTGAATGATATAAAGCATTTCATTTAAAAACAATCGAAAAACATGTTTTTTCCACAACAGTATTACTCGTTTTCTAGGTGAGATTTTCTATCCAGGGGAGAACCAAAAATATATTTAAAAAATTTGGAAGAGTTGTTAATGGAGTTCTGATGACTTTGGTATCCTGAAAAATTCCACAGGGACTACTGATAAGAACACTGGAATGAAGAAGAGTCCGTGGATAGCGCCAATGAGCATAGTGAGCCAGATAGTTTTGAAAAATACGAGGATGATGTAAGCGTCAACGGTGTAGAGGATGGAGATGCCAGCGATTGTGGAGGATGCTCCCTGGAAAATGATTTCTCAAAATTTTTCCACTTGCAAGGTACCAGATTTTGATAAAACTATCAGGACTAAAAATAGAATTCTGAGAATTTTAAAATCCGCTCGCCGAGTTTATACAGTTTCTGTATCAAACATCGCGTTTTCAGGGCAAAACAGCAACTTTTAAAGACGATTTTCTAAACTTCTCGGACGTTTTTGAACATGAAATGTGTGTTCGACATAGAAATTGAAGGAATTCCATATTTCAGGCATTTTCTCAAAAAATGTTATTGCATTTAACTGCTTAAAAAATCATAACTGAAAGGGTATGAAAATTGTGAAAAAAAATCTAATTGGATTTTTGTAAAATTACCTTGAATTTTTCCGGAAATTAGTCGTCCGGAAATTATAATAAAAAAGTCGATTTTTCACAAATCCAAGTATATCTTTTTTACACGTTTTCAGATATAAAACTCGATTAAATTTTTCAGCAAATATCTTAAATACCAAATTTCGTTGAATTCTGAGTATAAAACAGAAAAATTTATGATGCGAAACGTCTGAGAAGTTGAGAAAATTGTCTTCGAATATCAATTTTTGCGCTAAAACGGTACTGAAACTGATATACCTTAAAGGGGCCAGACAGCGAAAATTTTGGGGGACAGTTTGGGGGCTTAATTCGCACCGCGCTTATGTAGGCCATCGGTCGGCAGCCGCGTTTGCACCCCCGTAGCTCAGCCGGTAGCGGCGCTGTACCCCTGAGCTGCCTGTCATGAGTTCAACCTTTAATACCTGTAATAGAAGGGTTCTTTAACTTTTATATTTGGACCAATTTATCTCGGTTAATGTTAGAGATTTGAAATAGTTGTCAACTGATAAATTATTCATCATAATATCGTCAAAACTTTAACAATTGACACATTTTCAATATCTCTCGGAGCCGAGATAATTGAGCTCAGGCTTGACTGAGTGAAGGCCCTTTTCAATATCTCTAGGAGCCGAGATAATTGAGCTAAGGCTTGACTGAGTGAAGGACCTCACAAGTTTCACGGTAACTCGGCTGAAACTGGGGAGCGGATTCTAAAATTTTCATAGATGTCCAATAAGCAATTTTTTATATTTCTGAAATTCTTATCAAAACTTCTGTCTTGACGTTCCCTTTGATACAAAAATATTGCTTATTTCTGTTTCTAGACAATATTATGCTCCCTGGAGAAGAGCTTCCTTGGATTTTCCCAACTAGACACTACAAAATTTTTTTTTCGATTCTAGACACCACATCATTCCATCAATGTACCTGAAAAATGGGCCATCCTAATGTCTCAAGTGCTCCGATGACTCGTTGCTTTGTGTCTCCATGCGATGTCACAAATGCATAAATAATATGAGCAGACAGGTCCACCGCAAAACCAATGCTCATAATGATTGAAATCATGCTGACCGCGTCCAAGTTGACACCCCACAACGTCATATACCCAAACACGCCAATGTTGATCGACACGATGGACACAAAAATGACGAATCCCGATGGAAGACTGGGAACCAGTAGAAATGAGACGACGGCCATACAAAGAAGGGATATCACAACGTTTTGTATTGTAGCAGGCAAGATGATAAGGTATTGGTCAGCGAATGGGAAGGCCTGGAATTTTTCATTATTGGTTTATCAGTAAAACTTAGAAGAAGTGTGATGGTTTGATGGAATTTGAACCCATGACAACCCGGGAAAAATTGTTAGAAAAACATTTTCCAACTTATTATACCTCATGATAAACCACCACATTGTAGGGTTGACGATCCGCTATCTCTCGCAAAAGTTTTGCAGCATGTTTGTGATCATTTGGTTCCACAAAGTTTTTCAAGGCTATCTAGAACACAACGAAGGCATTAGAAAAAATTGCAGACCGGACTTACCTGAAACCTGAACGACTGAAATTCGGTCCCATTCATTCGAATATTACTGGCCCATTGTGTGGACCCTCCGGTGTATTTTAGCCAAGAGTTTAGTTTTGTATTCCATAATTTCTCGGTATCGGCTATCTCTACATTCAGATCGGTGAGGTAGTTCATGTACTCTAGGAGGAAAAATACAGTTCCCTCTCGCCCAAGAGTGTATGGTGTGTTTTCGAACGATTTCACAACGTCCAGGAGTTTTTCACTGAAAACACAGATATCAGAAATTTTCAAAAAAATTATATTGGTGAACCGGGCTATAGGCTCTTTTAGAATCAATATTTTGATCCCAACTATATTAGATATTATAGAACTCGACAAGTACTACAAATTGATATGATTTGTAAAACTGTACCTTGTCCTAAGAACAACGTGACAGGCGAAACAAATGGTACAATCGAGCCCACTCACATGTATACTTTATGGCTCGTGTCATTGTCCATAGACAAGATACAGTTTTCCAAATAGTAGCATTTCATATTACTCGTTGAGTTCCATCATATTTATTTTAGTTGGTACAAAAATATCAATTCTAACAGAAATTATGTCAGGTCCAGCGAAGGCTTGGCAGAGGCCGGTTTATAAGTATGAAAAAAAACTAACCGATTTTCTCCAAGAGTCAATTTTGGAGGGTTCAGCACGGCAACATGAAGTTGAGGTCCTATCCTCCAAAAGTGCTTGATATCCGAAAAATATTTTGCAATGTAGTGATCATTAGTGACAAGATTTCCAGGATTTAGTCCTTCTCGGAAATTGTAACAGCCTAAAAACCATCTAATTATTGAAGATAATTTCAAAAAAGCATACCGTAAAGAGCAATGACCAGGTAAATAGCAAAAATCACTGCAGAAAATAATCTGACAGAATTGGACAATATGAATGGCCCATAAACTTGTCCGAGGAAATAAACGATTCTGTCTTTTTCCTCGTGTGGACCATGGGATTTTTTAGATTTTTCAGAAATCGAGCTATTGGGAGAGGGCTGCTCCTTCCACGCGAATTCAGCGGGTATAGTTTTCTTTGATGAAAAACTGTCGGTATCTGATGAAAATGAGGAGTTGGAGCTGCTGAGGTAGTTGAACGGAGCTGGAGAAGCTGACCTACTGATACTGAAACAGTTTTTTCTTTATTTCAAGGTCTCAGGATTCAAAAATTCCAACTTTTTTATTTGCTGCAGTTTTGAATCCGCTTCTTCATTCATCTTGGATATATCCACTAAACGGAGAGTACGGTAGAAAAACAGACAGTGTCGTTTTTCGCGTTCCACTTCTCCCATAATCGCCATAGCTCCAGAAAAGAATGTTAGCTGCAGAAAAACAAATGTGTGGGGTTTGAGAATATTTTGCACCAACCTGATACAAATAACTGAATGCTACAGATACACAGGCATAAATACAGAAAAATTGGATTCCCGGCAAGTCGGTAATGCATCCTAAATTGTTTCAAATATTTCAAAAAAACTTCAAGAGGAAAATTTACCTATGGCAAACGACATAATATCGGTCACATTTGTAATTGTGACGGCAACTCCAGCATGGGACAACGTTTTGGACATTCGTTCGGGGACACTCAATGACTTGCTAGTTTGGTCCCAACATGCATTCATCAGGAACATGTCGTCGATTCCGATAGCTGAAATTTTGAAATAATCATTTAGTCTGGAAGTCTGTTTGGAGACTCACCGATAATTAGAAATGGAATGATGGTGTTGATGACATTGTAGTGAACTCCGAGGAGGAACAAAAAGCCAAAGGCGCTGACGATTGAGAGTACAGTAGTGAACATTCCTGAAAAATCAAGATACACTTGCGCTTCAGAAGTCAATTAAGTGTCTTTTTTTCGATATTCAAAAATTAAGTACTACTAAAATATTTTCGCAAACAACCCTTATTTCAGTGAAAGACTTACCTGCTGTCGCCAGCCATGGTTTACTGGATATCCAATCTATTTTCTTGGCATTACTCGATTTTAAAGAAAACGAAGAGATCAGCGCATACATCGCCAGTACGAAGAAACTGACAACGAAATTTGGAACAAAGGCTTTGGCATTCTCATCGAGCCCATCCTGAAAACCCATATAGTTAATTTTTTTCTCTGAATTCAAACCTCTAGCGACTGATAATGTGCAAATGATAGTGAAATGACGTCAGAACTGTATACTTGGTTGAGGAATGTCTCGATTGCATAAGAAAATTTCGAAGAGTATTCTTCGACCATTTTCTGATCCTGTTTCAAAAAGTAAAACAATTGAGTTAGCTTTGCGTCACTCAAAGTTCCGTTTTCAAAAAAGTTGACATCTCCAAAAATACTTCCTAGATAGACTGGGGTATCCTTCGTTCCTCCTCTTGGAAAGTGGAGGTCCAAAACTTGATTCACATCATTCCTCCTGATGAGCATTTGAATGTGCTCGTTGGCTCCACAAACCCAATCGTAGCTCAGACAGAGATCCTAAACTTGTTTTTTCTTTTCTCAATTAATGTCCCTGAATCTACCTGATAGGTCAAATTGAACTTTAGATCATCAGTCGGCACACTGATGTTGTTCATAATCCAGTTGTTGAGAATTTGAATCTCCTGCAAAACGTTGTCTCGCATAATTGATCCACCATCTTTGGCACGAATCAAAATGTTAACGAATCGCTTGGTTTCAAAAGATTTCCCAGGAAGAAACTTGTTCTCATCAAGCGGCCAATTCTCATTAAACACATTGATCTCCCTTCGCCATCTGTAATCATGTAGGTGACTTTCTAGGTTTTCTCTTGAAGGGCTAAGCACTTCTTTTTCATTGCTTCTAAACATTACACGTCACAAATACAGTACTGATCAACAAGATAGGCAGAAATGTGATTTTCAGTTGATTTTGACCACTTTCAGGAGTCTGGAGCTCGTCTGTCAAGTTTTCGACCACTTCGAAAATTTTGGAAAGTGCAAAACAGACCTATATTGAACGATTTGCATCTATAGAACTTTTCAAGAATTACTAGTATGCAGATCTCTGAAAGACGCTTTTTTAAACGTTTTTGTACAGGAATTCAGAAAACCAGAGGTGTTTGGGTAGTTTGCTAATTGCGTGAGAACTAGAAAATCTTTTCAAAATCTGTGAATGCAAATTTCCGATCAAATTCTGTTTTACACTTTTTAAACTTTTCAAAGTGATCGGAAGCCTGACAGCCGAGCTCCAGACTTCTAATTTATTCTTCTAGCTGATTTTTAGAAAAGTCTCTCACCTGGCATCTGACGGCGTGAAAACATAAGCTGGATCATCTACTCTCAGGTCCTTCATTCTCAAAAAACCTATCGAACAAGCCATCGTTAGGAATAACGGCGATATGAAACAAAACCATCGCCACCGATGCACTACAGGTCCATACCACTCGAATGCATTTCTGACTAGAGGTTCAATTTGCAGAATCTGCATAGAAAACCTGAAAACTTGCAATTTCTCGGTTATTTGACAATAAAACGACAAATGGGAAGTAAAAATGACCAAAAACCTGACGATAAACAAACATGAGACCCAAAATGACTATCAGGGATGTTTGCATTGCTAATATGAGGTTTTAGCATAAATCAACTTCAAGAAAAAAAGATCGATATCACAAGACACGAAGAAGTTTAGGAAGAACATCAGAAATCAATCACAAAAGGAACGGAGTGAGAAAAATATGTCAAGCAGTGTCAAACGACGTGATTTGATAGCTATATCGCGAGACAGGTGGATGAAAATGGATAAGAAATGAATCGATTGAGAAAGAATTTTAAAATCTCTTGATGTGGAACTTAAAAATGAAATTTACAGTATTAGATATACTTTTCAGTTGACTTGGACCATTTTCAAGATTCTGTAGCTTGGTTTTGAAGTTTCCAATGTTTTTGTGAGTTTAGGAGGGTGTAAAACAGACTTAAATAAGAAACTTTGAATTCACAGAATTTTTCGAAAATCCCCAGTTGTTTATTTTTCCGATTCAAGAAAGACACCCGTTTTTCATAATTTCAGTCCAAAATGTTTCAAAATGATGTCTCTCAGAAATTGGAAATTTGCTGAAAAACTAGGGATTTTCAGGAAATTCTGTGAATGCAAATTTTTCAATCTTGGCCTGTTTTACATCGTAAAATATTTTCAAAGTGATTGCCAAGCTCCAGACTTCTCAAAATGGTCAAAATCGACTTAAAAATACGATTTTGTATATCTGTTTGACCGGCACTGTACACGTGCTACCGCGAAACATAGAAAAAAAAGAGAGAAAAAAATTCAAAAAATCGAGTGGAACAGTACTTTTCAGAACTGATGCCTTTGTGCGGTCCGCTTGATCCGGATCAGAAGATGACCGGTCAGCTTTATTGCAGAGTGAGGGTTTCGAAATGCGCACGATCACACATGAAACCAGTACTATAAGCAAACGGAATCAGACAGAAGAAGTAGTAGAGAACGGGGGAGGCGGGAAAAGCTTCTCGACCGGCCGGCGGGCGGCCTAAAACGGCTAGTGATTTGGGAGTCGTGCATGATTTCATCGTATATTGTTTCTACCGTTAAAGTGAAAGCAGATGCTTGGAAGAAGATGGAAAAGCAGTCATAAATTTCACAGTAGACTGATTACCTCTACAAAAGTAAGCATGTGGGGGGGGGGGGGCGAGAAGATCGGACAAAAAGAGAAAGGAGGTTCCGCACGGAATCGCTTAGAATCCAATTAACAACGGTTTAGACACGGGTGGAAAAAGGCGAAACAACACGAAGAAAACGGAGGAAAACGGTTGAGAAGAAGAGAAGGAGTAGAAGGAGAAGAAGAAACAAAGAAGAACAGGTCATCACTTTGAAATCGGAATAGCTTCTTCGTCTTATTCATTTTGATGACAGGAAAAACAACACATGAAAGTGTGATTAGAAAGGATTGAATTGACGAAAAATCATTTGGATGAGGAATAATGAGGAACAACGGAAGTTTTTTTTTCTCACATCCGATTGTTATCCTTCAGTTTTTCCTTTCCTTTTTTGAAAATTACGCTTTGACCCGAATCGACAAGAACACTTCTAGTAGTTTAATGTGGCATATTCTAAATAAGTATCACAAAACGCACTGCTAAACACTTCAGAAGATCAAAAAGTTCAACATAATTCATTCGGGATATAAAAAGTGAGATTCTCCCGTGTCGCCTTATCTAATTTTATGCATTCCATCATTCTCTCTGTCTCGTTTATTCAGTTTTCAAGGTTCACTTTTTTTCTATTCTTAAGTACATGGGATAGCCAGTTTCAGGATTAGCTTATTCTTTTTGGCCGTAGTTTAATCATAGTGGGCCAAAAAATAATTGTTTGAGCTACGGTAGACCGATAAAATTGAGTTTCAGGAATTATTTTTCAAAATTCATATTTTTATAAAGAAAAAATATGGGCTCTTTATGACAAGGGGGTCCATGAGAAAAGGGGGGCCCATAGGTAAAAATGTGGACTAAGTTAAGATTTACCAATTTTTTCAAGATTTTCGAATGTTTCTATAAAAATTTCGTACTTTGCGCATGTTCCTACAAAAATTTGTCACTTCATAAAATTTCAGCTTAGGCCGGTTTTTCAGAAATTCAGAAATTCGGAAATTCAGAAATTCAGAAATTCAGAAATTCAGAAGTTCAGAAATTCAGAAATTCAGAAATTCAGAAATTCAGAAATTCAGAAATTCAGAAATTCAGAAATTCAGAAATTCAGAAATTCAGAAATTCAGAAATTCAGAAATTCAGAAATTCAGAAATTCAGAAATTCAGAAATTCAGAAATTCAGAAATTCAGAAATTCAGAAATTCAGAAATTCAGAAATTCAGAAATTCAGAAATTCAGAAATTCAGAAATTCAGAAATTCAGAAATTCAAAAATTCGGAAATTCAGAAACTCAGAAATTCGGAAATTCAGAAACTCAGAAATTCAGAAATTCGGAAATTCAGAAATTCAGAAATTCAAAAATTCGGAAATTCAGAAACTCAGAAATTCGGAAATTCAGAAACTCAGAAATTCAGAAATTCAGAAATTCAGAAATTCAGAAATTCAGAAATTCAGAAATTCAGAAATTCAGAAATTCAGAAATTCAGAAATTCAGAAATTCAGAAATTCAGAAATTCAGAAATTCAGAAATTCAGAAATTCAGAAATTCAGAAATTCAGAAATTCAGAAGTTCAGAAATTCAGAAATTCAGAAATTCAGAAATTCAGAAATTCAAAAATTCGGAAATTCAGAAACTCAGAAATTCGGAAATTCAGAAACTCAGAAATTCAGAAATTCGGAAATTCAGAAATTCAGAAATTCAGAAATTCAATTCTTAATAATTCAAAAAGTCGGAAACTTGAGATCTCAAAAATCAAGAAGTTCAAAAATTCGATAATTTTCGAAAATTTGAAATTTTGAAAATTCAGAAATTCGAAATTTAGGATTATCTCAAAAGTAATTTCAAAAAGGTTTTGAAAAGTATTCATACAACATTTGATACTTTCTTTCAATTTGTTCAAACAGTAATTTTTCAAGTAGATATATAAACAGAGCTAACAACTTCTGGGCGCTGAAAAATTTTATAATAGATCAAATCTGTCTTGAGGCAATTAAAATGGCGGGAAAAAGGAAAAGTTCATATCGAGGGTATCTAATCTCAGATTCTGATCAGCGGTTTCCTCTACCTGGATGACCAAAACGAGAAAAAGTTTTGAAAACGGATAGACACTGAAAAAGGATACATTTCAAATTATACAGTTTTAAATATTCGTTTTCTCCAGGACCCGAATAAAAAACGAAAAAGAAAGTAGTGAAAAAAAACGATTGTCAGGTAAAATTGCGCGACCAGCGGAGGGAGGGATATGCAAGCAATGTCCAGATGACGTGACGGTAGCCGTGGGGCAGTAGAAACTAGCTGTCAATAGAGACGGTAATTGTCTGCCATCATCATCGACTAAAGTGCGACTAATGGCAATATCCTCTACCTTCATCCTCCGCATCAGCTGCTAGGGTGGCCGCATATATCTCGTTTTTCGGTGTGTTTCCTGTTGCGAAAAAGTTCCGAAATTCTTCATTCAAATTCTTAAAAACCACTTGAGAAATCTGCCAATCGGAAACGGCTTGGACTATTTTCCTTTTGTTCTTTTTTAATCTGTTGGCTAATTTAGGTAAATACAATTTATGATTGATTTAAAACATAAATTCTGTTTCACTTGATAGAACACTTCAAAACCGGAGATTTCATTTTAGCTGCTCCTCGAAAAATTTTATTCAAAAAATTACAACAACAATGAATTGAAAACAATTACCGGTAATACTTTTATAGAAGCCACCCTATACTTGCCCTTTAAGCTCAATTATCTCAATTTCTAGAAAAGATAAAAATCTATCAACTGCTAAAATGTTGGCCTTAAAATTATCAAAATTTTAATAATGGACATGTTTTTCATATCTCTTATAGAAATTGAGATAATTGAGCTCAAAGTTGGCGTTGAATAGTGAAATTCTGCTTTAAAAACTTGTCTCATGAATTTTTCTCAAAAGATGCCGATTCATGAAAAGGGAAGTTCTTCAAAATCCACCTATTGAGTCATAATGTTTCTGTCAAAAAACTAGTTTTTTTCTGGATGACGGGATCAATGCGTCCATTTTTTCCGTGTGAAATTTTAGCTTACAAGGGAACATAAACATTAGGATTTTCTTTAAAACTTATTTTTTCGGGAAAATATGTCTGAAATAAAAATTTTCTTCCGATTCTTAATATAACACAAAAAGCGGTCTAGAAGTTGAAAAAATCGGTTTTAGAAACCACTATTTTGCACTGGAAATTCGATTTTTCGTTCTGAAACTGATATAGCTCGGTTGAAGTTGACGGGCGGATTCCAATATTTGATTGGTGACTAGATAAGCTGTCCTTGACCTATCCTGAAAACTTCATAAAAATCTGGGTTTACACGATGCTTCTCTTCTCGAATTTTTCACCACCCTTGACTATACTCAGCACGAAAGTTTGGCTCCAGGTCCTGGAGTCCGGGGTCCTTCCTTCCCCACACACCTGACGAGTGCTGCTCTTCAAACAGCGACTAGCCACCATTTGTCAAGTCAAGAATCACTGGTAACCAAGGCGAATAGACGTCATCCCACACTTTTCAAATGTGAACTTTTTTCAAAAACTATACAACATCCTTTTTGAACGAGAACCAAAAAAGTTGTATCTTGTACTTGTGAAATATTCCTAAAGAGATGACCAATTGAGGACATAGAAGAGATATATAGACACAGTCCGAGGGAACCGGTCTCCTGGCGGCGATGTCTCTGTGATGCGCGGATCATGCGTACTTGTAAGCAAATATGAATACGGTGGTCTTCGGACGGATGAATAGACTGACGGAGAGGAGAAAAAACGGATTTGTTCGTCGTTTTTATATGGCTAGCGACATTAGTTATGTAATATCTGACAATACCTGCTATTAAGACGAATTCTGAGAGTAAGAAACACGAAAAACAATGAAGATTTATTCCAACTGTGACGTTTTTTGAAATGAAATGAAGAATGTATAAGGGGCAAAAACACATTATTAGAACAGAGAGAACGGCGCTGAAAATATTCGAGAGAAGTCAACACACACACAGTAGTAGTTCCTTAACTGGCCACAAAATCATCCGAATCGAATGAATTCGTTCTTTCGCTTTTCCACTGAAATAATGAACTCATTAATAAGAGATATATAACAATCTAAACTCACTGGAAACGTTATCGTCGAGTCCGAGACCTTTATCGGATCGTCCAAATCGGATGAACTCATTTTTTCTCTTTCCGAACCGGATGAACTCGTTCTTGCGCTTCTCCATTCTGAAAAATGAAGAAAATAAAAAAAAGTTTGAAAGGGAATAATGGGATTTGTCGAAAACAGTTTACTAACCCATCGCTACGTTTTCCAAATCGGATAAACTCGTTTTTACGCTTGTTCATCGCCGGAACTTCTTGGTCGAACGATGTGACGTCTGTTTGCTGCATCACCTCTTGCAAGGCTCTTTCGATCACTTGCATCTCTGACTGAAAGGCAAATTTGGAAAAAATTTTAAAGATGGAATCGGACTACAAAAATGAAACATACCTCAAGACGACAGAGCCGAAGTCCGAGTTCTTTTTCCGACTCGGTGGCGAGTGCAGACACATCGCAGGTGGCGTGGGCCGATATGGCGAGTACAAAGATAGAAAAAACCACTCCGAGGAGCATCTTCTACTTGAAAAGTGTGGAATGAGCTACACTAGCCGGCTTATATAGTCGCCCCCCGGTTTTCCTCCCACTTGGGGCTCTACCTTGCTCCGCCTTTCGGGGAGCCACGCCTTCTTTTTGGTGGGCAGAGCTGCGTGTATTGGAAGGATGAATGATCAAGAAACTGGGGTTCAGAAAAGGTATAGGGCATGAAAAAGGCAATCAGAAGTACAGATTTTAGGACATATTGAATATAAAATTTAGAAAGTTTCCGAATTTGGCAGTATGTGGGCCCTTGGTTTCATAGAAGTAAGACATAAAATCCAAGTTTCTGATTTTTCAAATATGTAGGATTTTCACAGTTTGTTATTTTACTGATGATTCAGAATCATGTCGGTTGGCAAGAACAGTTCTGAAAAGTAAATTGAGTGTTCTATTCATTTTGGACCTTTTTCAAGATTTGTATGGACCCTATTCATAACGTTATCGCAACAAAAGCTTAATTCAGCTCTGAGCTTATTTTGTATCTTGTATTGCTAATATTTAACAATCCAAAAAATTTTTTCCGAGGCTCTGGTCGTTCGTTAGGAACAAAGAAATTTTTCTATACACTTTTCTCGTAAATACGCATAAAAAACTTGACAGAAAACTTGTTCTTCTTAGTAGGATGCCCCTACTAACAGATAAATTTATACACCGACGTCCTCCCTACCAATTATATCCTCTACTGTATGCATTTGTAAATTGTTGACGTAAGAACTCCCTTCTATTTTTTCTCGCTTCTTGTAACTCGTTAAGTTTTTCAAGGGCAAATATCTAAGCGGACCAAAAACTTTTTTCCCATCTCTCCTATCTCTCCCAGTACACCAAATTATTCATGTCGAATCAGTTTCTTCCTGAAACTCTTCAGCTCGCGAAGTGATTTCACTCATTTCATTCCTTCAAAGTTTTTCTCTTTTTATGCCCAATCATTGAATATTCATTTTCTCGAAACATGAAACTACGGTGAGGATTGCGTGTATTGCCAGCCGAGATGCCCACGTACTTCTCGAAGAAGATCGTCCTTTTTTCCTTGATGACGAAGATGAATTTATTTCAGATTATTATAGAAGACCAGATTTCTCTTTTTCTTTTTGATAGCAAAAAAGTAAAGGTTCCCACATTCAGCTAAAAATTGAACTGTTCAATTTCTTACAAAAATAAAGAGAAGTACAAAGTGCGGCCTAAGTATGGTAGCACCTTCAAAGTGATGTAACTTTCGCAAAATGGCCCGAATCAACATGAAATGTATTTATACAAGGAACTAGACGAATTTCTCATCATTTTACTTTTGGTTCCACGGTAATGAAAAAGCCGACAAATGGTTTTGTTGTGATCCAAAAAAATGGGTAACACAAAAAAGAAGTCAAAAACACGAAGATAATGACGAACACACAATTTTCAATGCATAGTCTCAAACGGAAGGAACTGGCTTTCCGTTTTGGCAAAAAATTCCAGAGAACTGGCGATATTTGAGTAAAGGGAATGGGGCTGAAACTCAATGTGACCCCTCCATACTGGTTACATATCTCAGAGGACAAAATTTGGCTTGTCTAGCTAATATTATTGATTCATGGGAGCATCTGAGGATTTTCGGAACACTCGATTCCCGGAAAACAAGTGTCAGCAGAGGATGTTCCTGAAAACATATTAATTGGAATTTTTCATCATTGGAATCTATAGTTTTGTGTATATGAAGCTTTACACTGCGAAAAAATAAGGAAAAGAAACATTTGAAACTTTTATCCTCACAGGTTATAAAAAATAATACGAATATCTGATATAGTGAACAGGATACATTAATTCTCAGAAAAAGTAGTAGAGATCTAGGTTTGATATTTCAAAATTCAAAAGATAAGGATGTTATAAATCATCTGATAAGGAAAAACAAAAGATATGATAATAATACAGTCACAATTTTAAGAGATGCTTCACTATTACACAAGTTTCCATCGCAGGTACACACTTCCAGGTTACCCTCGCCACTGGTGATTTTGGTACAATCCGATCGGATTTGTTCTTTGGCATTTGGAATACAACTTCGCCACACATGACTTATGCCTGAATCGAAATTCAAATTATATGAAAAAATGAGAAAAACAAACCACTTTTCTCCTGGAAAATCATTTTCATACAGACCCCATTTGAGCATTCATTACTTCGGACACCATCCCGAAGTGCTTGATCAACCTGGAAGAATCAAACATCATGAAAGACGATGTTTACCCTGCAAATCGGTTCTAAGAAAAACAGCATTTGTGGTTCAGGTTGCATTTTTATTTTGAAATTCTGAGATCACAGGTATGCTCTAAATTTCTAAGAATGGGAATCATATTTTTGATTTTTATTTCACAACATTTTCATCTTTTTTTTTTGAAGGATTACTGTGCAACTTGTGAACCTCGAGTCACTTCAAGACGCATTCTCTGCCAGAGCCGAAAATAGTGTTGTACAGAAAAATTCAAACTGGTATTTCAGAGTTGATATTATATGCATTGAAGGTCAGGATCCTTCTAAGTTGAAAACTGCACATTTGGTTCGGACCCACACAGTACGGTCCAAAAAATGAAAAATTTTCCCGTTGGAGATAATGATTAGATTTGATTTGGTTTAGTTCATTATTGCAATTTTGAGCTTTTTTGTGTTGCGACCAACATTTTGGCTCTTTTCCTTTCAGCTGAAAATTCTGATTTTTGTTTCGATTTTGAAAAAATTACAGAAAATCTGCCGTCGCAAAAAACGTTAACATTATTTTCAAAAATAACATTAGATTCAAATCAGGCGTACAAAATAACACTAGAAAATGTTTATTTGAAATGGAATATTCTGTGTCTTATGCCAGTTTTAGGCCAACAAGTGAGGAAAAATGAGGTTTCACCATGTGGAGTACATGGAATCTAAAATTCGCCCAAATTCGTTTCTTGTAAAATATGTATAAAAGTGGTCAACAGACATAATGATCATTCCCTCTTACATGGTCAGTGGAGCATATGTTGATACCTTTTACAAAAATCGTGATGAATTTGATAAAATTGGACGGATGCCAGTCCTTTTTCCTACAGTTTTGACGAATACCCATGAATTCTGAGCCAAATTATCTGAATTCTTGTCGAGGGTATAAAAAAGTTGTCAACTACTGATAAAATGTTTATCATAATAATACTAATGTTTTATTAGTTGACCTATTTTTGGTACCTTGCATGGGGACCAAGATAAATTCGCTCTAAATTGACAGTGTGGGCACACTGCTACATTACAGGTTTTACGATAAATTTGTTTGACTTTTTTCAGATTTTTTTCTGTATCTCAAGCAGTTTTTCTAACTTAAAGTTAATTTTTTCAAAAAAACTAGAAAAACGTTCTTGAATGTTTTGGTCAATATAAGAAATTCCTTTCTAATTTCTCTTGCAAACCTAACGCTCCAAACTTCCTTGAAGCTTCGAAAAATTACCAATAGAAAAATGTGTTCTCACTATATAATCCCATCGAGTGACCGTCTTAGAACTTGAGGTCCGAAACCAAACACCCCACAGTGCACACTGTCAACAAAGAGTACCCCGTGGTCACTTCTCCACAAATACTTATCGTTTTCGTACCTCAAAGTAATCGATACATTTTTGGCTAAACGGCACATAGCGAACGTTTTCGAGCCATCTTAACCAATTGGGATCTGAAATTTCGCTGAGCATCGCATTCGCATCAATTGTGGTGCAGGCGTAGCATCGGATATCTTGAGATTTGGTAACTGAAAGAAAAAAAACTGTGATAGAATTTTTGTTAAATGAGTCTACCTGATAAAACACAAAAAATAGTCACCAATTGTAAAAACCCAGCCATGTTGTTTTTCGAAATCTGCAACAAGTGTAAGCTATTTACAAAAAATTGGCGGAACGATGTAGAGCGATTAAAACGAGATTTAGTGTTTTATGGCAACAAAGAAGCCGAAGAAGCAAAGGAGAATAATTGAACTGGTAGCAAAAATACAACCGAAAGCAAGATTTGGTATGAAATCATCCAAAAATAATAGGTTGACCACTGTATCCATTTTCGAAGAAAAGAAACGACGAACCTGCGAGACGTTTCATATATGTCTGTTTGCTCTTTCGCTCAAAGGTTAACGTGCGCACAAAAAAGAAGGGCGAAGAAAGAAAAGGAAGAGCGAGGAGAGCTCATCCGTTTGAGAGATGACAGTTGATTCTGGTGAGCTGCGAACAACGGACAGTGAGCACCCCCAACTGTCGGCGGTTTTTCCTATCCGGGGCAAATACGAAAAGTTATTAGAAAAATGAGTTTTGAAGTAATTGATATTAAAATATAGCGAAGTGGTAGACATTCAAAAGCAAATCACAAATGTAAAAAATCACAAATGTTTTATTGTCCTGATACAAAAACATCAGAGCTGTAAGATAGAGAAACCGTTTACAGTGGCCGTAGGTCCCACAATGACAACTACCGTAACCTAAAATCATGTTCAACTGCTCTATTCTAGATTTTCATTGCTTAGAAACCACATTACTTCAAAATTGGCATTTCTTCCAGTGACTAAAAGTGTCTGAAAATGACAAAAATGCTCACAATTATTTTGAAACAAAGTATACAAGTTTTAATACATGCTAATTGAAGTTTTTTCTGACTTAAACGTATTGGACTTTTTTCTAAATTAGAGAGGACACTTAAAATGTTATTAAACATCTTACGATGGGTCAAAAACAAATTTTTGAAACAAAAATTAAAATAGTAGAAAACAAAACTATCTTCTTGTTCAATAAAAACAAAGTGTGTCGCCACATGATTAAAGTAATCCGGAATTGCGAAATTCCATCACAATGACACTCTTGACTCAAAAGTGTACTTGAATGGCCAACGATGAGTGCCCTGATGCGTTTGTTGTAGATTTAGTTGTTTGTCGGATCATTAAGACAACTAACAACATCTACAAGGAGGTCAATAAAAACAATAGTTTTCACTTTTTTACAAAATCCAATAATCAAAAATAGTATCTCTTCTAGGAATACGTTTATTCTATTCTAGTCAGTAGTTCAGAAACGGTGTGGTGTTTGGCAATGCTGTTCTCAAGGTTACCTAGGCGCGAAACATTCAATAGACTCAATTACATCTAATTACAGGCAACAAGAAACAACACACTCCGTTAGAGACTAACGGTGTGTGGGGGTTTATGCGACAATTAAAGGGTTCTTGAGACTTTTTGCACATGGAAAAAGAAGTGGAAAGAAGAAGGTGAAGGAAAGGAAGGAAGGAGAAAGTAATGACGGATGGTTAGACGGCAACCGAATTTTTTATGGGAATTGGAGTTGCAAAAGACGAAATGAAGCCAATAAATTTAGAAGATCTATTTTATTCAAGGTACATGAAAAAGTGAAAACTTGACTTTTGGAATAAACATGTTCAACCATTTATCTTGGAAAAATACAGAACATTCTAATAATGTGAAAATATTTGTTGCTCTAATAAATAACTTTTTTGAACAAACTTCATTTTTAGAAGAGACTGATTTAAAAGTGTTCAAATCGCATATTCCGCTTCATTAGAATTGTTCAAATTTTTTTCATTCACGAAACTGGAACTTAAATTTTGTTTAGCATACTCTGAAAGTTTTAGACAAATCCAATAACTCTGGGTGAACTGATTACCATGATATCATTTCCGTTTGAAAATGTTTTAAAAATTCCTTGATTATTCTCATTGAAAGATATGCTTGATGATAGTATCAGAATAACTTTTTAATATCACTTTGAACCAGATTTTTCAACCTGCACACTAATCTCAATTCAAAATTGGAACTGCAAACCAGTGAAGCTCGATTGGCCAAGTTTTAAGCGCAAAAAAACCATTATGAGTGAAAAATGAAAAGATACTGATTTTTTTTAATTAGGAGAGTTTACCAATTCAAGCGCCGCGCAATTGCGCTCCATTTGAAATAATGAACATGGTGAAACGTAAGCTGTTCATCAAAAAACTGCAACTTTTAAATTTGAAGCTCCAGATTTTCCCCTATTAAATGTATTTCAAAAATTTTTCTCGAATCGGAAAAAAAGGGTGATCAGTATTTCTTTGTGCTCTTATTTTTAATCTCGAACAGTAATTTTTGATATTAGCTCAGATTGCCAGAGAGGAAATGAGTTAACATAGTCATACTGAAAAAAAAACTGTGACTGGAGTTCTATCTTTTTATTCAATAAAACAATAGATTGTACAAAACATACTAAAAAAACCACGGCCAGGCCTAGTCGGCCCGAGTTTTTTACATTTGAAAAAGTTTTGAAATTTCAGTAAAGTTTCAAACTTCTCGCTTGACAGAGATTTCGTTAACATTTTTGATTGACTTCAAAAAAACGGGCTGAACAGAGAAAGTTCTGAAAAAAGCATGATCTGGCCCGGCCCTTCGCAAGTATGATTGAAACTCTGAAACGGGAATTTTCAAAATTTTTAACTCGATAAAAAAGGAAATGTCTTTTTAGTAAATGGTTTGCCAGTAACCGTTGTTTCTCATGAAATCTTTATTGAATCTATCTTGCTGAAAAGGTTTTTCAAATTTAAAATTTTCTATGTTCTTTTCAGTCATCTTCGACTTCACCAAAATCTCTGTCCAATGTTTCCCCATTGTCGAATACCTTCTGGACATCACATTTTCCACAAGATTATCTTTTTTATTGACTTCTCATTGATCCTCTTCTATATTATTGATAGTTTCCGGATAATAACATTGTATGTTTCTTGCGCAACATCAATTGAAAAATGAGCCCACAGATGGTAACAACGGATACGGAGAATTGAGGTGTCAGTTTTGCGGATTAGGCGACGTTTGTTTTATTTACGTTTGTTATTGCATGTTATGAGATTAACACATGAGATGCGTGAGGTAAAATGCGGTGGTCTTCCCCGTCAAGTATCTTGAATGAATAAAATATTCTAGTTTTAGCAGTAAAACAGAAGAAAATGTTTTTTGAGACTGAAAATTTCTGGCAGATGATTCCAGACTAACCTGCGAATGTAAATCTGCAAGTTTTTGAATAAAATGTTGGAAAATCTTTTGTAAAATTGTAGAGTGTTCGGGATATATTTTTCACTAAAAATATAAGAAAATTTTAGATTTCAAACATAACAATTTTCAGATAAATACTTTCATTACAGGTGGCCGTTTTATTTTTCCAGCCCATCTCGAAGCGCCTTCCATTAGAGGGATCGTTTAATACAGTTTTTATGGGAACTGAAAGTTCAGACTTCTGAATTGGACATGAAAATCTATTAAATTTGAGAGAACTACTTAAAGAGTTTTCGATTGTTGAAATTCATTTTCAAAAATTATTTATATTTCCATTGGGACTTCAAGGTTCTATAAATTTTCAACTAGAATTTTTACAGCAATCTTTAAAATTTTGACATCTTTTGCCATATTCTCAAAATTTAACTCCACGGTGTGAAACTTCAGCCCATTTCAAATATACGCTCAAATAGGGATTTTTGATTTTCTCAAAAATTCCGATTTTGGCTCATGTTTCATCGAAAATAAAGATATTTCGATTATAAATGCTATTTATTCTTCTCCTTCTCAGAAATCCACACGTCCTCTCGCTATTATACACAATTTGGATTTACTTCCGGTTTGCGCCCAAGTCATTTGATATTTAGTTTATATTGGACCATACTGCGCATATCAAACTTTGACATGTGGGGCACTCATTACACGCGGGAAAAGAAGGAGGAGGATGCACAATATTGCATATACAATTATGTGACAATTTCCGGTATGATGGTCCGGGCGAAGGCGTCTTCGACATCTTTCGAAAGATAAACAAAGTAGGGATTTTGAATCAGATGCACGATATAGTGTCCACACATCCTCGATTTGCATCAAGAGCAGTGTATGCGCCTACCGCCATCATCCAGCTCTCCAATCAAATGCCAGACTCCGCCCACAATCTACAGACAGAGCAGTAAGAACGCGAAAAAGGGCGGAATCTCAATTGATGTGTGTGTATATCACATCAGCTATCCAATTGTGTGTCATTCATCTTATTTATTGTTTCATTTCTTAGACAAAATATGATGTTAGGTAATTTACACGTATTCCCGAATGGTAGGATTGAACGAGAAAGAAAACCAAAGTGTGCCAGGTGAGGGTTACTGTAGCTTTTGAGTTTTTCATGAAGTATCCAAATTTCAGATGCAGAAATCATGGATTGGTCAGTTGGCTTAAAGGACACAAAAGGCATTGCAAGTACAAGTAAGTTCTGAAAAACCATTGGGAGAACTGTAGCTATTTGAAATTATCTTTCTGATGAGATTAGGACTATTAAAAAAGAAACTCCCGAAAAAATGAAGGTATTATTGTTGTCAGATGGCGTTGTACGGTGAAGCTGAAAATACAGTTAAAGGCGCATCATCCTTTCAGCAGCAAAAACAAGTAGAATTTTTATTGTAAATACATGTGCCTTTGTTACAGTACCTCACAATTAATTTGATTCAGCCCATTTTAGGCTATTTCCCATTTTATTAAAAAACTCAATTACATTTTCATGAGATTTAGGAAAAAATTAATCGAAAAGAGTGAAACGTTTATGGGAACAACCAAAAAATCGGGTACCTAATTTGAATTAAGGTATCAAAGAAGCAAACACTTACCGTAATACCTGTAATAGAAAGAACGCCTAGCTTTTACCCTTGAGCCTTATCTTGGTTCCTGTGAAACCCCCCTTTTACCCTTGAGCCTTATCTTGGTTCCTGTGATCTTATCTTGGTTCCTGTGAAAGACATAAGAAAGTTGTTGACCTATACATGGTTCATCATAGTATCACAAAAAATTTATCAGTTGACACATTTTTGATACGTCGCACAGAAATGGAGATAATTAAGCTCAAACTGATCACAGGTTTTACCGTGACTTCGAGTTACAGTATCGAAGGGTTATCTATTTTAAAAAAGTTCAATTTGGGTGTGACTATGCGCTTTTAAGTTTATCATTCTCTTTTTGATCTTTCTGAACATTCATAAATCTTTCTTTATGGCGTATCAATGCTTGACGGCTTCTCAGAACCATTTTTTTGTCGTTAGAGGCATTCAAGCTGATTTAAGTACTTGTCAGTGGATTAAAGAAAACTTTCATGTCATATCTCACTAATTTCTAATTAATGAATGCACCGATTTCATTCGGTTAGCCTTTTCTGATAGAACTGCTGATCCAGTTTTCACTACATACATTATCAATATTCCAACTCCACACGAAAAAGTGTTATTTTTAAGCCGAGTACTAGAGAATACCGTACCTCACATCATTTAAAGCAAATACAAAAAAGAGTGTCTGTTCAAACGCATTTTAAATACAATTTCCTCTTTTTTCTGTCTCAATCGAGGCGCGCAATATCAACGACGGAAAACACAAGCAATCGAGAAGAAGAAATGGTGTCGAGAATAGCGCTTTATCACTTGAGAGCTACAATTTTCCCAGCTTGCGAAACCACTTAAACACCGCTTGTTAGAGTCGATTTGATTGTGTTTGTTGATAGGATTACCGTATCGGCCTGTGATCAGAATAATACAATATTAGCAAGTGTGAGAAGTGGGTAAGAAGGGGAAATGATATGGTTAAATTGAAATTCACCTTTTTTTTCAGAAGTTGCTCTATCGTTAGGTCATAGACACTTTTACAAAAATTGATTAGTTGTTGGGCTTACTGTAGACATGATGTTTCATCTTTTCGAACCTGATTTTCTAGAATATCGGGACGAACGACATAGACAAAATGAAAAAAATGGGATTGAATTACACAGTCCAAACCGGCATCAAAATGCATGCCTTCCTTTTTGATATAATACCCAGTTTTTTTTGTTGGAAAATCATAAGTGGTCGCCATTTTTGTGTACAAGCGGAAATATATAAATATAACTTTCTGTTGAATTTTGAACATGAGTCTTAAGAGATGTAGCAGGTAGGTATACTGTAGCTACCTTTATTTTGTTATGTGGTAAAGTAATTGCTACCGTAAAGCCTGTAGAAGGATACCTTCAACTTAGTTATTTCTCGGTTACTGACAAAGATATAAAAAAAAGTGGTCAACTGATAAATTGGTACTCATAATATCAGAAGTGTTTTGCCAGTTGCCACAATTTTGATATCTTGCGTAGGAGCCGAGAAAAATCAACTCGAACTTGAAAGTGTGAGGACTCCTCTAATAAGGTACAGTAACCGGTCAATAAGATAATAAAAATGTTTTGTTAATTGATTTTGACCATTTTCCGGTGTCTGGAGCTCGGTTACCACGTCTCCAATAGTTTTGAGTGTTTCGGAGAGTTTAAAACATACCTAGATTGAAGATTTTGCATTCACAGAAATTTTTGAAATTTTCTAGTTCTCAAGCTATTTGCCACTTTCTGAAATACAGCCGTTTTTTCATGTTTTTATGCAGAAATGGGAACATGGGTGTCTTTCAAGAACTGGCAAATAGCTGAAAAACAAGGAATTCTGAAAAAATTCTGTCGATGCACATTTTTTTGTCTACGTCTGTTTTAAACCCTCCAAATTTTTCAAAATTTTCCGACCCTTGACAGCCAAGCTTCAGACCCCTTAAAATGGTGAAAAAGACCGCCGGAATTTAACTGAAAACTCCATTTTTTGTATATTTTATCAAACGGTACTGTTTAGCGACTGTGTTAATTATCAAAATTTTCCTGAAAATGATCAGTACTTTTTAATAAGGAAATTGTGTTATTCCAGGGAGTGCGCTTGTGAGAAATGCAATCTGATCGCCGAACGACAACGTGTGATGGCTGCTCAAGTAGCTCTAAAACGCCGACAAGCCACAGAAGATGCAATTGCGCTTGGATTACGGTAAGTCAGCGAACATCATCCGCAAAAAAATTGTGTAGATTATTTCCTTATGTTGCATTCTTCCATGGGTGCGTTTCAACGCATTTATTTAAATGTGAAATTGAATAAATAAAAATTGATTAAATTTCTTTTATCAACTCCTTTAGTGCACTCTTCACCCCTTTTTTGCTGTTTCTGGCAATGTTATCTATAGTCGTAAAGCTGTAAGCTAGCAACGGAAATTAAAAAGACGTACTACCTGTTACCAAGGGGGCGTATTATCATTTGTTATTGAGTCTGATAGATAAGTTTTCCTCACATTATCACTTCTTCAATTTTCATATAGCCAATTCCCCATAGTTTCCTTCCCCTCCACTCTTTAGTTACTTTATGTTTTTCTGGTGTAATTTTTGTTCACTTTCTCCTTTCTCATTTCCTTTATTTTTCTATCGTCCCATCTCTCTTTTTGCCGTTTTTTGATTAAGAAATTTGTTGTTATCATCTTCTTGACAACCTATGAGAAATCTGCCTATATGGCAGATTTCCGCGAAGATTAGAAAGCCGCTTTTGAGAAGCTCTCTTTTTGTGGTGTAGTGCGCGCCTCTGCTCTGCTAATCTCTTACTAGTTTGCAAATTTTTACATTACTTTTTTCCAGTGTGGTAGCTGGCCAAGCTATTGATCGATTACCTCAAGGACCCGTTTGGAACACTTCCGGTGGCGAAGAAGACGACATGGATTACCTCGACGATGAGTTAGAAGTTCCGGAGAAGTCATCTACCCCTGTCTCCGAGGAATTGGTCGTTCCAACCAAAAAAGCAAGAAAGGAGCAGCCGTATGAATTGTCGAGCTTCTCACCCATCGAACTACTTCACACTATATTCAACGAACAAGAAAGACATGTCTTGGAACTTATGCTCGACGCCTACAATGGAAATGTGCTCCAGGCAATTGAGCACTTTGCCAACGTCCGTCGTGTTTGTAAATTCAACCAAATGAAGTTCTTCGCTGCCGCAGCTCCAGCTCAATTTCCAAGCACACCGTCAACTCCAAAGCAATCCTTTCTGATCGACTCATTGCTCAGTGAGGTTGGTTTTCATTTTTTGATAATTCCATAACTTCTAAATCCTTCCAAAATTTTCAGCGTCCATCTTACCCACCATCTAGTCAAGCCTCGACCAGCGCCAAGAACTGTGACACCAGCAGCGTCGATTCAATCTCTCCAAATTCCTCGACATTCGAATCTTCATGAACAAAAACGTCATCTCACCCCCACACTCTCGCCCATAATAACAGTAATTATTAATTTTTATAAGATAATAATTTCCGCTGTATCTTTTTTTCATTTTCGGCTCCTCAATAACAAACCGTATCAATGTATTCCCACCTATTTTTCTTTCTTCTGACTTCCCTAATTACTGTATGAACCCTCATATCTCAATTTGTTTATTGTCTTACGTAACGTCTCATCTACATACATCACACGGGAAAATCAGAGATTGGTGAAAGCAAACAAATCTCTCTGAAGTTTGTTCAGATGGCAACTCCAGATGCCTGACAGAGGAAAACATCCATATTTTTTTAAAAAAGATTTCAAACAAAAAGATACCAATCAATATTTTTATCTCAAATTTCGCGAATTAAATTCCACAAGTTGAATTCATTGCAAAATAAAAAAAACACATATGTACACACCGTATCGAAATGACTATATCATATCACATTAGAAAATAAATTAATCAAATTTCTCTTTCGCGAACTGCTTCGATGCCGCCAATAGTTTCGTGTATGGACAGTTTGACCTTCAAGAAGAACAATGTTGAGGCGACGCATCCGACGACGAGAATCAGAAGTTGAGATGGAAGGAACAGGAAGGAACTGTAGAAGAACGAGACGCATGCGGCCATTGACTGAAATAAATTGAAATGATAAGAAACTATTTTTTCAAGATTTCGAAATTTTTATTGAAACGAGTGGGATGTTGATCTCAGAGAACAAGATTTGATCTTCCAATTTGATTACAGTATAACCTGTAATAGATGGGTCTCTAACTTTCAACTTTGTGCAAAAAAGGACCTTTAAATTTGAGTCAATTCATTTCGGTTTCTTTTGAACATATAAAAAGCTGTTAACTTATAAATTGATTATCATAATATCACAACTATGTTATCAGTTGACACATTTTAGACATATTGTATAAAAACCAAGAAAAAATCAGGTTGAACGTGACAATATTTGAGCCCTCTATCACAAATTTTACAGTATTTCAAAGTATGCATATATCAAGAAATTTTCAGGAAGTGAGAAGTTTGAGGAATAGTTTGAAGGTGACAAATGGCTCCAGTTCATGTATATTATTAGTACTCAGCTGACTTCAAAACCGCATAGCTTGATGAATAGTGGCACTGCATTTTCAATAGTTTGCCTTCGATTTCAAATTTTCTAGGGCTTCCAAATGCAAAAAAAGCGGGGTGACTTTTCCGTAAATCCTACAAACTCCAAATATTTCATATTCATCTGCTGGAAAAGCTTAAGTTACTGTACAAGCAAAATCCTTCAACTCTATTTTAGTAACTATGCCCTTAAATTTTTGAACTTTTTTTGGATTTTTTTTGTTGCATTTTCGAGTTTTTTGGGATTTTTAGGACTTTTTGGGATTTTTAGAATTTTCAGTAATTTTTCCAGTTTTTTGGAATTTTCCTGTTTTTCAGGATTTTTGGAAGTTTTCGGATTTTTGTGGTTTTTATGATTGTCGGGCATTTTCAGAACTTTCTAAATGTTTTTGGAATTTTTGAAATTTTAAAGCTTTCGGTTTTTTGGGATTTTAAAAATTTAAAAATCCGTAGAAACATCTGTTTGTGTGACTCGCTAATAAAGCCGCTAAATTTAGATTTTATGATCTTCTGTTCCCAATTGTTTCAAATTAATGGTTTCTGTTCATATTTGATACAAAATTTTCAAAATAATCACACTGTATCTGAAAAGTTCGTTCAGAAAACCAGTTTTTTTTCGTTTCGCGCAACTGGTCACTTGTTTCAAATGCCGGTGGAATTAGGTTTAGTGGGCACGGTTGTTCTTCTATTTGATCATAGATAGATGAGACTATTTTCGCGTACTGATACATTTGACAAACCAAAGACTCACTTGGAAAAACTTGAAAATGGCAAACGCGTTAACTGGATCATCCTTGAACGCGGCTCCAATAGTAACATAGATCTGTGTCTGCCATAGTGCATCGGATATTCCCAACAGGAATGAAATAACAAGTGTCAAGTTCAAAGATGGAGCCAAAATAGTCGGAGCATCAGTAGAATGAACAGTGGAGTCGTATGGCAAGCTCAGGTACGCCAAAATGAATGCAACCATATGTCCAACAAATGCAAGGAAAACAATGTGTTGACTACGAAGTTTCAGCGCTTTGCCAAGTGCTCCAGTCACGATTCCTCCAAAAATTTGTCCGGCGCCAATCAGAAGTGCGTTGTAAGGGATTACAAGGTCCGAGAAAGTTTTGAGAGACTGTGTGGCGGATAAACACGATGTGTATACTCCTGAAAAATTATATGTTGATTTTTGAAGATTACGTTACATTGAGATACCTGTGTAGAACGTCATTTCAAGTCCACTGTACACAAAAAGAACCGATAAGCTCAGCATGTTGGGTGTGAGGGACATGGCAAGCATGCTTCTGACCTGCTCTCCCAAAGACTGTGGAGGTGCAGTAGATTCCAGAATGTCCGACTGGATCAGTGGCTCCTCCAGGTTGTTCTCGATTTCCTCATTCTGTTGTCCTGAAACTGTAAAATGATTAGAAATCTTAATTTATCCATCTTTATTGCTGAGTTTCATAGAATTATAATCGCTCACCATATTGCCCTGGGTTATTCGGCATGAAAATGAGCACCAGAATTCCAACAGCAATCACAGCTGAGAACACCACGTAGATGAAGGTGAAAGAGTTGGAGAGATCCCTGAAAAAGAAGAATTTCTGGTGAATGTGAACTGCAAGTTGCTCGCCCTGATCGGAGCACATAGATAAGGAAGATTCCACCAGTTATCATTGACGACTGCAGCATTGCCCACATGATTCCCGAGTTTCGTTCCATTTTGTTCTTTCGAGAGATTTCAACGAGGTAGCATCCGTTACCAGCCCACAGTACTGAAATAATAGGTACATATGATTATTACATTTAAATCATTCTTATGATAATCATTCTGGCTCCGGGACGATTTGTAGCGATACATCTTGAATGTATTTTCTTGCCTATTTCTATTAGTTTCCAATTTTTATCAACTTCAGACCGTCGATTTTTTTGTAATCATGAGAACGCTCAAGAAATACACATTTTGGAGGTATCTTTCCGATTTTTTACTATAGATTCGTGTATTTTCTTTCATATTTCTTAGTTACTGTTTAGAAGGAAGAAATGACAGGAAAAACACATTTTCAACCTTAAAATCTTTGTCTTGGAGCAATAGTGACCAGTTACCCTGGCTCCCAAGTTTTTGGCTCCAAAGCGTCTTTGTTACAAAAAGACTCGCTGCAAAACGTCCCAGAACCTCCATTTTGACTACCAAAAATCAAAAAAACTTACATGCCGCTCCAGCTCCCAGCACCGCGGATCCAAAATACAACAGATAAACATTCAGATAGAGGAATGTGACCATGAAGAACAGGTATCCACTGGCTCCGATGATTTGCGACCATTTTGAACCGAGTTTTTTGACGATTGACGGAACGACCAAATTGAAAAATGTGAAGAAGAAATAGATGATGGACAGGCTGAAAATTGATGTATTCTGCTGAGTGTATCATCATAACTAGAGAATATTACCTGTAGTATCCACTGTTAGTCGTTATTCCAGTCTCCGGAGCAGTTTCAGCCTTCTTGCGTAGCACGGCGACCTGGAATTATCGATTTTTGGATTTTTTGTGTGCTGATTTCCTTTTTTAACTCTTAGTAGAAAATCATAATTTTGATGGTCAGAATAAAACTTCATTCGCTCAATTTTTAGTGAACGTCTGCAACTAAAAAATATGAACTAACTCACCTCAATTAATCCTTGCGAGTTGAACGCCGAAAAAATAAAGGCAAAACTGGCACCCAGTTGAACAACGGTGAACAAGTCACGTCGCATTTTCGTCGTCACATCGATTGAAAGTAGATTACGAGGATCAAATATATACAATTGTTTTGTTTACGTGTTGCATTTCCACACGGCCTAACTAGTACCGAATTCTCTTCCATTTCCCTCTGGGGTCACGGCCACTGTCTGCGATCTCTTTTTTCCTTATACTATTTTTACCCTCGCGAGTTGTATGTGTGTTGTGCGGTGTGCGCGCGCACACATCTGTTTGAATAGAGAGAATGTGTTATGGAAGAAGAGTAAAATGGGAATGAAAGATAAGATGTCCTGGGATATTGAATAAAAAAATTGCGATCTAATTAGTCTGAAATTTTTATTATTCTTGCTTTTAGAAATCACAGTTTCCAAGATAAATAGAGTTCCTTTTCAAAGTGTGATTCGGCCGATGAAATTGGACCTGAATCAAGTACATTTTTTTCAAATTTTTTTTGAGAACTAACCTTAACGCCTAGTTGATTGTTCATAGCCGGCATTAATGAAAACCTTCGTGGTGCCTGGGAAATTTGAGAGACTGGCTCAGGTGTTCTTGGCACTTCCACAGGCGTTTCAAATGTCACTTTTGGTTTATCTCTGGAAAATTGTATTTGTGATTAAAGATTCTGGACTCACTTCAATAAAAAATGCGCCAGTAATGCTTTAAAATGCTATAAAAATTCTCTAATAGAAGCCCACCTTATACATGCACTTTAAGCTCAATTATCTTGGTTCCTTCAAAAGACAGCAAAATTTAACTAACTTATAAAACATTGGTGATATTGTGATGAATATTTTATCAGTTGTCAGATTTTTGATATCTCTCACAGGAACCGAAATAATTGAGCCTTAAGTCTACTAGAGAATTCACGGTAGTGGGTACTCACATTTTCTGTGTAATGATAATTTCTTCATGCGATCCATGAACGCTCCCATCATCATCCGACAGTAACCGCTCCACAAATTCTTTGTGTCTATTATTATTAAGTGTTCCAAAAATGGTTTTGAATAAGTAGATGAAAACTTCGAGGAGTGTGATACAACTCATTCCAAGAAACAGTCCCATTACACCACCGATGTAACTCATTAGGTCAATTTGCTTGAATCGTTTGTATTGTTGATGACTTTTCAGAAGTCTTGAATTGATATGAAATGTGATTGTTGATTCGCTGAATTTTATTCTGTGAGATTTGTATGCCCATTTCTTTTTAGCTCACTTTTTGTTACTTTTTAACAAATATACTGGTTGCATTTTGAAGTTACGTGAGTAACACTGCACCGGACAATCGCAACTGGTGTGTTTCACTAAAAATTTAATTGAAACAATCTGAATAATGGCACAACTCACATTCTGAGCACTGTAGAATTTCTTCTATTGTGCAATGGCTCTCACTTGATTTATCATAGAATTGGTTACATCCACAGCTGCAATATAGCTAGTCTGATATTTTTTGCGTACGATTTATTTTCTACCTGTCTCTATAACTTTTCAGGGGGCATTCTTGCAAACAACCGTAATGATTATACCATTCTCCATTTTGCACTTTACATGTACCCCAATCGTTTTGTTGCATATAATGTTGCTGGAAACTTTTTATCATCGTTACCGTGAACGCTCTAATAAAATCCTGCCATTCAAACCTTCAACTATGACCCCACACATCTCATTTTGTGAGAAAAATATCGAAAGTCATCAACTGACACGATTCTTATTTTGATATCATGAATATTTTGTCAGTTAACCACTTTTTCATATTGAATACAGAAACCAAGATCAGTTGGTTTCAATTCAAAAGATAGGGGGTCATTAGAGTGTTTTCGGTATATTACAAAAATTTGAAAAAAATAAAATACCTCTTCAATGCTGAATGAAAGTTTTGCATGCTTTCCTGGCTTTAACCATGCTCGTGTTGTTAGTCGGGACACTTCGAAAGACTCCTCGTGGATATGAGCCGTGTATGTTTCTAAAATTTTAAGATTTCTAACTTTTCGATGTTACTAATACTCACTTTGAAATTCATTTTTCAACTTCACAGTAATCGAACTGGTCTCATAATCCTTCCAATGCTCGAAAGTGAAGCATAACCCAAAATCAGTGATTTGAGATCTTGATTTGGAGCAGAAATCAAGAACTTGATCGTCTTCAATAGTGATAGAGTTAATTACATCATTGCACTTATAGCTAAAGTGTAGATTGTCCGTTTTCAGAGTTTCTTATGTTTCAGAAATTTACCTGTTTTGTACTAAAAGAGATCTGCTCGAATTTTGCCAGATATTGAACGGCACATCAATATTTGTGTCGTATTCAGTTATTAGAAAAAATAATTCTTCTAAAAAACAAAAATTACATATTTGTTAAGTTCAAAAAAATCACCATTAGTTTTGAAGCCATACGGACAAATTGAAATACTCGGTGCATACGATTGCAACAGTTCATACTCGTCGATTTTCGTTGCTGTAGGGTGTGAATTGTAAAATTCTAATAATACTCCTCCCTGAATTCCAATATTGTTCACCATATTTTTTTAGCAATTTTTCTATACCTGTATCATAAATAAGGTAACACATGTAACGACTACCACTCCCCAGAATATTCTTGATGGCCAAGTTTCTGATGTATAGATTCTGATCTGAATTTCTGTCTAAAAACAGGATAATCTGAATGTTTACAAACCATTCCATGATAAGTAGTAAGTGATGTGAATTCTTTGGATTCGTCATCATAAACATGTAGAACAATCCGCTCCTCTTCATCCTGATTATAGTCAGAACTCGAACAAATTGAAGTTTCAGTCATAGTGAAGTAGGCGAAGAATCAATAATAGTCATTTCTTGCTATCATTCCAGCACTTCCAAAACGTTTCTTCTTATCAATGTAGCGGAGATTATTTAATTGCATCAAAAACCATAAATTTCCGAAAATTAAAGTTTATTCCATTTTACAAACAATATGCATAGAAACATGGTTGTGAAAATTGGCTGGGGAGAGAATTTTGTAGAAAATAGAGCAGAAATTTATACCAAACCGGATAGAATTGAACAGGAGAGAGTCTTCGAAATAATAAAAAGCTAATATCGAATAAAATAAGAATATTCGTAATGGACAGAAAAATGAAACCAATTGGATTAGAAAGGAGATCTAACTGTGGTTAGCAGCCCAAACCCAGATTCTAAAGGAGACGAAAAAGTCGTAAAAACTATTGTAGTATGTCTAAATAAGATAAGTTAGAAGGGTAAGAGCACTCAGATCGCATTTCGAGGATACAAAACTGGGTCATTGAATTCGGTTACCAGCACTGTGCGGAGAAACAGAAAAAATTACACGGATTTCGATTAGAAGGCACAGAAGACAAACAATGATAATGACGATTTTTAGTTATTTCAATCAAACATAGGATGTCCTCTTCTCGATTTTTGCTTTTGGCTATTACCCTGAAACTTGAGAATTAAAAAAAATAGCCTTTTGGAAAAACTCACCGTTGTTTTGTGAACTTTTGTGTGGCGTTTTCGTTCATCACTTCGTGCAAACTTCCGGCCGCAAATGTCACAGGAGAATGGCTTTTCGCCAGTGTGCGTTCTGACGTGTGTTGTGAGATGGTCGGATCGGGAGAAGGCACGCATACAAATTCGGCACTGAAATGAGGAAATGGGTCAGAATCGAATTTTAATTTATTGAATAGTTTGAACTTTTGGAAATTGGGATGAAAAGTATTGTGAGACTAATTTCCAGTTCGGTTAGAAATTGACTTCAAATTTATGAAATGAAACCCTTTTTAAATGATCCTATAATATATTTTCTGAAAGAGACTGAAACCGTAAATTTTAGCTCAAATATCTTGATTTCCGTGAAAGATATACAAACGTTGTCAACAGACAAATTCTTGTTGATATTATGATAAAGAATTCAGCAGACGAAACGTTTTCCATTTTTTGTTGAAAAAACCGAGATACAGTACATGTCCATAAGATATACAAAAACGTAGTTTTCTTATGACTGGTGATTTTGACCATTTTTGGGAGTCTGGAGCTCGGCTGTCAAGTTTCCAATTATTTTGAAAACTTCGTAGTGTGTAAAACAGACCTAGATTGAAATTTTGCATTCACACAATTTTTAGAAAATTCCTAGTTTTTAACTATTGGGATTTTTGAAAATTTTGGTGAGTGCAAAGTTTCTAATATAGGTCTGCTTTACACCCTCCAAAACTTCCAAAGTGATCGGAAACATGACACCCAAATATAACACTTTATTCGGTTTCAAAAATCACCTGGAATGGCTTCTGTCCAGTATGAATTCTAATATGTCTTGTCAACTCGTCACTTCTTGAAAACCGCTTGTCACATCCCTCTCGTGGACACTTGTATGGTCGATCCTGAAGTGGCATCTTTGAAGACTGCAATTTCAAATTATCGCTCATTTTGATGACTTTTTGTCTCACCTTCATCTTCTGGCAACCAATATTCTTCAACTCTTCTGATGTCGACGAGAACTCAAATGCCCCATAGTCTCCGCTATCAGCAAATCCGTACGAGTAGTCATCGATTGGCTCAACCTTGGGCTCAAAATGAGCTAGACTAGTGCTATCACTAAAAATTCACAGAAATTAATTAGCTAATACTTTCTAAATGCACTTACGAGAACGAAGAATGCGTTGAAAGACTTGAATAGCTTGTTGAATTCAGATATGGGTCATCTGTGTGCGGGGAGATTGATGTGTGATTCATGGATCTCAAACTGTTGGCGGTATCTGTCCGCGTGACACGTGGAATCGTCGAGGATGGACGAGAACTTGATGATGGTTGATCTAGTTGAAGGAGAGATGAACCAAGATGTGATGGCTCACTGGTCTTGCGGGGAAGCATCGGAACATGAAGAGCATCCGTGAATCGTGGCTCGTCATCCGAGTTTCTTCGATGTTGAATTGTGTGGAACTGAAATTCAATCGATTTAAACTTTGTCTGGAACTCACAGAACTACCTTAATAGAATCTAGAGGATCTTGACCGAAAAGCGGAGTCTTCTCTTCCATCATCAGCTCTGGCAATGGATCATGGCTACTCTTGCTATTGAGAGTTTGTAGGAAGTGTTCTACCATTGGAGAGAACTGAAACTTTGCAGCTGATAATCCTGAAACAACTAAACTAATCTATAGGCTCACATTGACATTTATACCAGGTGAATCCATTAGGTTACTTCTCATTGGGTCTTCGCTTTCTTTAAGTTTCAAAGCTTCTGGTTTCGTTTTTTGAATCCCGTTGGACATTCTTGGAGCCCCAAATGAATTGTCTTTAGGCTTCTGTTCGGATGTTGATTGATCCGAGCATTGAACACCTCTTTTGTCCTGCGGATTGAGTGTAGATGAAGACTCGGCTCGCATTTCAAACTGGTTGAACAGTGGCTCATGTTCTCCGAAAAACGTCTGATCCGTTTGTGGTGTAAATCCCGAAAATCCGCTGACTTTAGGTGTTCCGTCGATACTCATTGGTGTGTGCCGTGGTGAGTTTACAGTGGGCGTCTAAAATTTGACGAATTGAATTTTAAACAAAAAAATATGCGAATTACTTTTAGCATATCATTGATAGTTGGTGTTTTCAAGCAATCATTATCACCAAAAGTCAAGATTGGCTTGTTTAGCGTTGGTGGCCTCAGAAGTGTAGCTGTTTGTCGGCTGAGTTTCGAAGGTGGCTCGTGGAGAGTCATCTGCTATCTTTAATGATAATAAATGTATACATGGGCAGATAATTTTTGAAGAAAAGGGAAAGAGGAGAAATATGAGAGAACGATAAAAGGGCAAGACGGGCTTGAAAAAAATATTTGGTCATTTTCTGGAGTCGGAAGCTCGGTTGTCAAGTTTCCAATCAGTTTGAAAATTTTGGAGGGTTTAGAACAGACTTAGATTGAAAAGTTTCATTCACAGAATTTTCTGAAAATTCCTAATTTTTCAGCTATTTTCCAATTTCAGAAGGATTCAGATATTTTCAGAAGAATTCAGTTCGCTTGTTTCAGAAGGATACCTGTTTTTCCCCGTTTTCAGTACAAAAAAAAGGTAAAAAAGGATGTTTTTCACAAATCCACAAGTTGCTGAAAAACTAGGAATTTTCAAAAAATTCTGTCTATGCAAAGTATCTAGGTCTGTTTTACATTCTCCAAGAATTTCAAAGTTATCGGAAACTTGACAGCCAATCTAAGGATTTTTGAAAATATCCAAAAATCAACTGAAAAGTGCGCTTTTGTATATACAATTTTTCATGGAAAGGAAAAAAGTGAGATAAAATGATAAGGGGTCAGGGTAGAAATTGGAGAGCAATTGTTTTTTTTGGTTCACCAAAAGCAATATCCAAGGAATAAAATGACAGGAGGAGGGGATTCTGAAGCCCGGAAGTCAAATCAAAAAGGCGGAAATAATGTTTTCTTGAAAATCGAAACTAACTTTTTTGAGGTCAGTGGATTGGCTCTGATTTGATTGTCAACTAATCTTAAATATAACTTTTGACAATTTGATCAAATCAAACCAATGTAAGACAAAAAATCTATAAGAAATAAGAAACTGATTAACACTGCAGATTTTTGAATAGAAAAAAGAAGAAAGGGAGCAAAAAGAGATTCTTTGAACTCTCGGGAGTCATGAATAAATTGTCAGAGCCACACCGGTGAAACGCGAACCACGTAAAAAAGGTAGGTGGAGAAAAAAATGGGGAAAAAGGAAGAAGGAAAAAAGAGAGAGAAGCGAGTGTGGAATCGAAATTTTGTCTAATTTCAAATGCAGACCTTTCTTCCCTCCTTTTTTCTTCCCACCTACGCATCTACAACCACAGGGAATCAAAATTTGCCTCTTGTTCGTTTTTCCGTGACGGTTTTCCTATGAAATGGAGATGGGATGATGAGGAGGCAAGAAGGCAAAATTGGAAGAGAGGAGGGAACAGCAGGAGGACACCCATAACATTTTGTAGATCAAAATAAGATGAAGAAAACAAGGAGGAGTATGAAGAAGGAGTTGAGAACGAATTTCGTAAATTCGGAATACTCCGATTTTGAAATTTTCGGAAACTCGAAAAAATATCCCAATATTCAAAATTTTAGAATTTCTATACATTCCAGTATTGAAATTTTCGCAAATTCTAAATTATCCAATTTTGAAAACATCAAAAGTTCGGAATTTCGAAAAATTCTCTTTTTGAAACTTTCAGAATTTCGGAATATTTCGATCTGAAAAATTTGAATATTCAAAATCTCGGAATATTCCAAGTTTCCAAACCTTAAAATCCATACATTCCAATATTGAAATTACCAGAATTTTGAAAACATCGAAATTTCGGATTTCGGAATATTCCGATTTTGAAATTTTTGGAAATTTGGAATATTTCGGTTTTCAAAATTTCGAAATTTTGTAATTTCAGAATATTTCGGTTTTCGAAATTTTGAAACTTTGGAGTATTCGGAATTTTTCAAACTCCTGGAGACCCACAAACAAATGTTTAGTATGCGCTTTAACATACCGTAGTCCAAAAATTTCAAATTCTACAGAAAATAAAAGGTTTGAAAATATTCCGATCGGAATTTCCTTCCACAAATGATCGGAATTTTTGGAACTTTTGAAAGTATGTCTAATATTCCGATCCAATCCTTATATACCTTTTGTAGACAACTGTTTCCGAGAAAACCAAAGTACCAGGAACACTCCCCCGGCTATGGGGGAGTACTATCAGTTTTAGATTAAATGTTTTGTTCAAAAAGGAAACAATGAAACAAGAAACACATGTGTCAAAAATGAGAGAGCACAAAACAAAAAAAACCAGATACGCTGAGAGTCGTTTTTTCTCGGTTTGCGGGGGTGTGTGAACAGACTCAAAAGTGGTAATTGTGTCATAATGGAGTTAGACTTTCTTTTTGCCTATATTTACACCGGAAAAGTGGGCATGTCATGAGTCAGCGATTATTTCAGAGATAGAATTTTGATAAGAAAAAAGGATGACGTGGCTCCAGAGAGTGGACAATAGTAAGGGAAAGACTGAATGGTATTTTTTTTCGGAGACAATTTATATAGAAACATTTTTAGAAGGCGTGAAACATTTTTTGTTACCAACAGCAGGTGCTTTTTGTGGATTGACGAAGATAGATATTGAAATTCATATTAAAAATTATGTTTTGTCATTCATAGTTCGTGGGCGGGGGTTTCACCGATCAAAAAATCTCTCAATATGCAAAATTTGAACTCATTGTTATGTCGTCATGTTGCGAATAAAAAAAAGAATGGCAAAAAAATGGAAGGGAAAGGAGGGGGGAAATGACAAGTAGCTTCTTCTTTGTGCTGAGCTAAAACAATAAGCAGGGGCAAAATTATTTGCTCAAAGAGAAGACCATAGGAGCAGAAAGAAATGTTTTAATTGAGTTTTATATATTTATATTCACAACTCAGACTACTGTAGCTATTTTAATGCAAAATTGTGTTTTTTTTTTCGATAAATTTTTTGTCAAAAATAATTTATAGTAAGACCAAAAATATGAGGCAAAGACAAGCTGATTCATCAATTTTTCAATATGGAGAAATGTGAAAAGTGTATAAGATTGAAAAATCTAGAATTTCGAAGCCCTACACTCATCCTAGATTATTATCAAATGTGATTTGTATTGGCATTTATGGAGCTAGGCAAATTTGAAAAAGAAAATTCCAAAAACCTTTTTGTACTCGAGATTGCTTGTGAAAAAAGGATTATAGTAGTCCAAGAGCTCGAAAACGAGAAAAAACAAAGCCACCGTAGTCCAAAGTAGAAAAAGAAGGGTTATGAGGAATGCAGTCGCCTGCAGACAAAGTGCTCCAGACGAAGGGCACCGGAAATAAGGGGTGTGAGCTAGTGTGCATCTCCATCTAGCAGCAGACAGGAACTAGAAAAAAAGTGCACTGCTTTTGACTTTTTTCATCTTTTTTTAAAGCTTCCTCTAAGAAAAAACTACACACAGAGCAGTGGAAACAATGTTAATGATTCAGGACAAAGGGAAAAAAGTGGGTGTGTATTTGGTATCATCGGAAAAAATCAGAAAAGAGAGCCAAAAAAAAAAGAGTTCGGTGTTATAATGATATTGATTTCCGATTAGGTCAATGTGATGTCAGAAAACAAACATTTATCGACACTACGGCAACCGATTGGAGAAAGGAAAAGAAGGAAAGAGTGACTTCCGCAAGAAGTAAACTCCTCTCAATGGTATGCACAAGCAAACAGGGAGACACTACCGCCCACGCTCTTATGGTTGCGGTTTTGGTTTCGTATTTGGCATTTCGGCCGGCTCGTTGTGCATTTTTTCGTTTTGGTCAAAAAGTCAATGAAGGCGGAGTTTCAGAAAAAAAATGACATAAAAACGCGTGGGCTTTTGATCCGTCGAAAATATCAGATTATTTTATGAAATCCTCATTTCGAAATATTCGGTTTTAGATTGTATAACTGAGATTAGAACCCACTATCCATGACGACAATAGCAATTCTAATACCAGTATCAAAGTTCGAAACTGGTTTTAGAAGATTAATCAGGCTAGAAGCACGTTTTGTAAAAATCGGAAATGTGGGGTTTCGAAAGGCTTCTTTTTTCTTTCCAATTTGAAATTAGAAAATGTGCAATGACGGGAAGTTCCGATATAGCAAAAGTGATGCATAACGCCTTAAAGCAATGAGAGAGAAAAAAAAACTATAAGGTTTACTCTTCACAACTTGAGAGGGTTTTTAGAGTTGTGGTTGAGATATTGGGGAAGCGGGGAGATTGGATTACAAGGCTTTCAATGAGAGATTTTTAGGGGAGAAATGTGTGTACAACGGAGAGAGTAGTAAAAATCTAGATAAAAAAATGTTATAAATTATTTACAATACCGTGGATTGAAAAATATTGTTTTTGAGCGACTTGACTGAAAAATTTGGAATTCGAAATTTTGGAATTTTTATAACTTTTAATCAGTTTTAGTTTCTGATAAAAAATTTCTCGTGAAAAAATTTTCTTGAAAAGGCAAAGAAATCAGAAACTGGAGCAGAAAACTGACCAAACGAAGCAGAAATAATGTACCATGCAATTTTTTTTCCAAATTTCGAGCAACAAAAATAAGAATTCTTGAATTTAGCTATAAATATTTTCTGCAAAGTATTAATACAGACTTCTAATATACCGTGAAACCTGTGATAAAAGAGCCCTACGCTGTTATGTTTCTCATAGAAACTGAGATAATTGAGCTCAAAGTGCTCGTATAAGGTGGGCTTCCAATAAAGCATTGATAATGATTCAGAAATAAAGCCTTTTCAAAATCAAAATCCAAACAATTCAGTGTTAAGGAATTGATGAAGTCTTAAAATAAAACATACATGCAACTGCCCGGACCGGGTCGGGCCGGGCTTTTTCAGAATTTTCAGGACCCGGTCTGGCCCTTCTCGGCCCGGATTCTCGGAAAAATGTTTCCCGTCTTTTTCAAAAAAATTTTTGAGGTCAACAGAAAAAAAAGGCTTATATTAATTTTTCAAGATAAAAAGTCCATAAAAAATAAATCTTTCACAAAAAAAATTTGAAAAAATTTCTGAAATTTCAATTTTTTTTCAAATTCGGAGAACCCGGGCCCGCCGGGTCGGGCCGGGCCCTGATTTTGCAAGCAAGCAATAAAAAAGCTAGTTTCCAAGCAAAATCAGCCCAATTTGGAAATATCCGTTAAGAGAACGATAGACCGTCAAAATAATCGGATTTGAAAAATAGAGAGTGAAAATTCAGATTCGATGATTAAAAGGTTTTTTTTCACAACTTTTGAAATTTCCTATTTTATGATGAACATATTGCATGTTTAACAATAAAAGTGGGAGATCCCTACTCTGACACCAAAACATTAGCGATTTTTTCAATAAAGAGTTGATCCTAGTAAGGATAATTGATCCTAATGAGGATACCGTAAATTACAAAAGCCACATCTAACTTTAAGCTATTTTATCTCGGTTCCTGTGAGAGATATAAAAAATTTACCAACTGATAAATTGTTTGTCCTAATATCCCAAAACTTTTATCAATTAACAAATTCAGGATATCTTGCAAAGAAACCGAAAAAAATTAGCTCAAATTTTACAGGTTTTTCAGTAGTATCGCTTGGATGAAAAACTCTTAGTTGAAATGTTTAAAACTGTATCAAAAACCATTGAAGTTAAAAAAGACTAAAAAAACAACGAAAAACGAGCGAGTGATCAAAATTTGATGTTTCGCAGCACCTGAAATCAAGGTGCAGAAAACGAGAAAATGCAAAAAAAAAGAAAAAAAACGGGTAGGTTGCATGCACTCCTTTTTTCCTATTCCTTCTTTTCTTTTCTTTTGTACTCTTTTCAACCACTTCAACTGGTCAAGTGAGGTTTTGAGTCATTGTTTAGTCACGTGTTTTGTCTTGAGAAGCTCCAGAAAGTGTCAATCACTGCACACGCACAGGATTGCAAAATTAGAAGAGAGCCAAAATATGATTGCAAAAATCAGAAAAAGAATAAGAATCAAAATTCGAGGATAAGTATAGGTTGTGGGTACATGTTCGAATCAGAAAAAAGTGACGAAAAAGATAAAATTAGAATCGAGAGGTTTGAGAATGAAAAGAAATATATATTTTATTTCAAACACAAACGCCCGGCCACATACAACGATCCTCACGCACACTCTTCGACTCTTTCTCTTCCTCCTATCTTCTGTCGGGGTTTGCCTCGACACACACATACACACTCTCATCACAAATTCCAACACAGAAAAAAAAGAGAGACAGACAAAAAGGCACACTTCTACTTTCAATTTTCTTGTTTTCTCTTTTTTTTTTCACTCTTTATTTTCATCTCCTATCTCTTCTTGTCCTTCTATTTTTTTTGCTTCTTCTTCAATTTTTTTCACTTTGAAATGTTGCTCTTCATGACCTGCAGTCAAACGGATGGGGACTTACTGGATTGCTTAGAAATCCATTGAGCCATGTTGCACATACAAAACAAGAAAAAAAGAACTTTGACGAGAATAGCCCATAAGACTCATGAATGCAATTTGTTAACGTATGAATAGAACAGAAAAACAATGATGCGAGAAGTAAAAAAGAAAGAAAACGTTTTTTTTTTGTTTCTGAGAAAAGCACTTTATTTTTACTCACTTGACTTTTCCTTGTTTTTACTTTTTCTTAAAAAAGATTTTTTCAGACAAGGGATCATGTTATACAGTAGTTCAATTTTAAGATTTGATATCATTGAAATTGCAAATGCAAAAAAGTCAAAACGGGGCAACTCATCTCAAAAAATAAGAAGAAAAGTGAAAAAAGAGGGGTTGAGAGTGTCGATTTTTATTTCAGCTATACTTTCCATTGGTCGTAAAATGGAAGATCAATAACAGGTGTGACTTTTTTTTTCTCTGAAGAAATGCTAACTTTGAATCATCCCGGGAAGAAAAAAAGATGGAAGACTGAGTTGATGACATCAAAATTTTAAATTTATGCACAGAAAGTTGGGGTGTTGATGAAATGTGATTCGAAATTCAGGAATCTGATGAATTATTCATTGCAAATGACAAAAAAGAAAAGTGATGTACTATGTGAAAAGGAGTTAGAGCTTTAGGATTGAGATTTTGATAAAAATTGAAGAACTTTGTAGATATTGAAAATCAGGGCAAGCATCCGAATTTCTGAATTTCTGAATTTCTGAATTTCTGAATTTCTGAATTTCTGAATTTCTGATTTTCTGAATTTCTGAATTTCTGAATTTCTGAATTTCTGAATTTCTGAATTTCTGAATTTCTGAATTTCTGAATTTCAGAATTTCTGAATTTCTGAATTTCTGAATTTCAGAATTTCAGAATTTCAGAATTTCTGAATTTCTGAATTTCTGAATTTCTGAATTTCTGAATTTCTGAATTTCTGAATTTCTGAATTTCTGAATTTCTGAATTTCTGAATTTCTGAATTTCTGAATTTCAGAATTTCTGAATTTCTGAATTTCTGAATTTCTGAATTTCTGAATTTCTGAATTTCTGAATTACTGAATTTCAGAATTTCTGAATTTCTGAATTTCTGAATTTCAGAATTTCAGAATTTCTGAATTTCTGAATTTCTGAATTTCTGAATTTCTGAATTTCTGAATTTCAGAATTTCTGAATTTCTGAATTTCTGAATTTCTGAATTTCTGAATTTCTGAATTTCTGAATTTCTGAATTTCTGAATTTCTGAATTTCAGAATTTCTGAATTTCTGAATTTCTGAATTTCTGAATTTCTGAATTTCTGAATTTCTGAATTTCAGAATTTCTGAATTTCTGAATTTACAAAAAAAAATTGAGTTCCAATAGGAAATTAGAAGATGCGAAAATTTTCTGACAGAAAAAATAATGAAAAATAAAATAAAAACGTTTTTGAACTTTAAAAAACCACAAGCACAAAAAACACAAACAGATGGAAAATTGCCCTTAATAATCTATTGAAGAATTTTAAGCAGCTGAAATTGAATTCTTGACCGTCTCTTCAAGTTTAAATTCAATTTTATACTTATTCAACTCAGCTCAAAACTCATTTCTCGCCCCGTTAATCATCAGTGCAAAGATTCTGTATTTGACTCATTGTTCACCATTAGTCTTTTTCTGGTCTCATATAGACAAGTTTAGAAAATCTGATCATTGAAGCTCGAAGAATAATTCATTTGACGCCTGGGTGCAGTGTGCGGTGCAAATTGAATTTATGACAAATGAATTTCTAGAAATTCTTCTTCTCATTGCACTGCATCCAAAATGTATAAATCTATCCAATCTAGTAATAAAAAAGGCAAATAGTCCCCAGGAAAAGAGCACATGTAATCAAAAATTGCTATGTATAATATGAACGTCCATATCTGAAAACAAAGAGGATTTTAAAACGTATATGCAGTTCATTAGATATGGTAAAGTATCCATAAAAAACTTAAAATATAAGATCTGAGTTGGACGTAAAACATTCGTCCTTCATGAACCGTTGAATTTCAGCGTAAAGATGATGCATCTTCCGACTTAAACTATGTGCTTCATTTGCGTACACCTGAAAGAACGATTTTTCTAATAGAAAATGTGATTTCCATTATTACCAGTTGTGTAAAATGTATTCCATTATATTGAAGCGCTTCCGACCACCTCGCGCTATTTTGATAATGGACATTGTCTGAAATCATATGAATCATATGTTTGTTTTATTTTTCTAAAAATACCATCTCGCTCTCCATGTGCCAAGAAATATTTTGTATTGCTCAAATTCCTAGCGTGAGGGATCACATTTGTGTTTTTATATCCATTCGGATTATCAGATGGTTGACCCAGATACCGTTCTGTATACGCGGAATCTGCAAATTCGAAAGTAAAAGTTTTGAAGTATAAAGTATGAAACATACCATAATATTTGAAATCTGTAACTGGAGCTATGGAAATTGCGCATTTTATCAGCTCTCCTTGATCTTTCGCCGCGATTTTTGCTGTTAGAAATCCTCCGTAAGACTGAAAATGGATCTAGGATACATTTTTTTTGGAAAGGAGAAAACTCACCCAGCCCATAATAATTATTCTATCCTCGTCTATGAAATTGAAGTTCCTCACAAATTCTCTTATCATATCCAGTGTATCCGTAGTTTCAGCTTCTCCCAAGTTTTTATAAACTTGCTCCTTCACATTCCATCCTGAAATTATGGGAATAAGGGTTACTGTAATTTCTCTAATGGAAGCCCACTCTATAAATCTTTAGCTATATTATCTCGATTCCTATAGGAGATATCAAAAATCTGTCAACTGATAAAATATTGGTGACATTATGATAAACAATTTATCAGTTTTAAATTGTTGGTTATCTGTTAAATGAGCCCAGCTATCCGGGCACAAAATACACCCATAGAGCTTCTTTTAGAGAAAATATGGATCACATAATTTTTCCGAAAAAAACCTCTTCCTCCAGTCCCTCGAACATCTATCCTAGCATAAGCAATATCGTACTGGGAAACAATTTGAATCGCATGCGCGGTTGGTGTTCTTTGATACACATTTTTACTATCCGGGCCACCATATCTAGAACAAAACTAGTATTTCAAAACGATTATAAATTTAGAACACACATGTCAACAAGAAGAGGAACCTTTGCGGTTTCTTGAAGATTTGCAGGCTTTTGAAGCATATAATGGCCATCTGAAACGCGTACCAAATTTTTATAGAACGATACAAAGCTAAATACCGATTCCAGATGGCAGCTGAAACTTTCCGAATGACACACGTGGGACATCAAATGGAATGTAAGCTTTTGTAGATCCTGCTAGTAGTACTTCTAAAATATAACTTTTTCAATAAAAATTGGAAATTTTCCGAACTGACTTTTGGTGACATCAACTACGTCCACCAAATACAATCTCGTGTTTTCAAATGGTGCTTCACACTGGACCACGAGACGTTCTCCGGTTGGATCCGCAGATTGGGATCCCATACTTTTGCAGTCTTCAAATTGTTCTGATAGCTTTTGGAGGGTAACCTGAATTCAAATACATCGAAACATCCTTAACTTGTTATGATTATCCTACCTTTTCCTTTCCGTACAACGCCTCTCTGACAATATACATGCTATTCTCTCCAACTTCTGTTCCAAAAGCACTTAAAGTAAGAGCATCGAGTTTTCCCGAATATCCCAGAATCATTTGGATATCGTAGTTCTCTCCAATCCATTTTATGATTTTTCCATGACCAGTATTGTCAAGTTCGATATGGGCCGCATGGTTGTAAATATTGCCATCTTCATGTTTATGTGGAAGAATAGTCAAGAATCCTGACTCAGTTTCGAAAATACTTCTGACATCTTTGGGTTGAACCCACATTTTCCTATTGTCGATTTCAAATGGGAACGACATAATCTAAATTTTTATAAATTCATGGATTCGTCTACTATAAACACTCTGATAAGAGGTCATCCAAACCACTAACTTTGACCCAATTTATCTTATTCCTTGTAAATGATATCAAAAAGTGGTCAACTGACAAAATGTTATTCATAAAATTAAAAAAAAATAACTTGTTAATTGACCAATTTTTAATATTTTTCACAGCAATATATTCATGTTCAAAGCTGGATTTGAGTGGCTATCTATTAGATTGTTTACGGTATCTCAACTTACCATGACACAGTCTTGCTCGTTGCACAGAGAATAGTGAAGATTGTTTTGATCGCGATTTGACCAAACAGTAATCAGTCTCTCTGCTCCCAATTCACTCGCATTTTTGGGCATGGTGATCCATTTGTTGGTTAGCACATAATAGTTTCCATTAGTGGAGACAAGCTCGTTTGGCGCAGCAGTCTCGACGATTTTGTGATTCACACTGTCCCAAATGTATTGAGTAACCAGTGTGTTGTTTTGAACTCCGGCTTTTGGGTACGGTAGTTCGAAATATTCCACATAGCTATCCTCATCAGTGTATTTTGGAAGGAAGATGCGATTTACATTGGTATCATCAAATCTGAAATAATACGGTTTTGTGTTTTGTTGAATGTACAGTAAGCTTTGTTACGGTACCACCGATGAAAAAAATCAAATCCGAAAAGTTAAATAAAAATTCACTAACTTCAAATATGACACATAACGACCCGACGGAGACCACCAAACGGCTCCAGACCCATCCAAGATCTCCTCCTCATACAACCAGTTGCTGAACCCAAATCTATTAAAAGTAGTTCCTCCAGATGTCAACTGAATTGCATCATTTGGTTTTTCCGGATCCTTTTGATAGTACAAATTGTAGTTGTGAACGTAAACAAAATCATGACTGGATTTGTTTGGATTCCAGTAAAATGCTTGGATAAGAGCGTTCTCTTCTGGTCCAACATGCCATCTCTCACTGAAATGAACCAAGATAGATTCAAAAAAGTGGCTGAAGCACTCACGTGGACGCTGTTCCATTTATCATTTTAACAATATGATAGAGATACTCGGCAGAATGTCTAAACAACTCGTTCACTCTCTCCGATCCATAGGCGTATTTCATATCAGAAGACAATGCTCGAGCATACTCATCACTATCAACAAATGGTGATGGTTCGAAGGATTTCAGTGCAATTTTTGAAATTTTTGGTTTTGTCTAAATACTTTTTTCAAATTAAACAACTAAATACTTCCATCAAGTTTTTACCATCGATTCATCATTTTTGATATGCACAAATGATCCATCTGGTAGCCACATATAGTCATGGGAATCAATAAGGAATCGTTTTCCAGAAAACAACATATCGAATGTGAAGCGTTTTGTAAATGTGGGGAATACGCGAAGTTGCGGTTTCGAAGACGTTTCTTCAGGTGAGGCTACAAGTCCGGAGGCATTGAGAGGAGTTTGAGCAGTAAGATCGATTGCTGGAAAGAAATTAAAAGTTTAGTAGCAGACCATAGCATGAATAGATTTTCCAACGTTTTTAATATTCGAAAGTTTTAAATAATGTTCCAATATTGACCATTTTTTGTTTTATTGATCTTCCCTACACGGGAAAACCAAAACTTTTGTCCGGAAGTGAAATTTCGAACTGCAAGATCATATTTCATTTTTTCATTCTAATAAAATTCCACTCTATACTTGCACTTCGAGATCAATTATCTTAGTTTCTATAAGAGATATCATAATCTGTTGACTGATAAAATGTTTGCCCTGATGTCACCAAAACTTTAGCAGTTGGCAGATTTTTGATATCTCTAATAGGAACCAAGATAATTAAGCTCAAACTGCACAAATAGGGTGTGCTTCTGTTCTTTAACATTTTTGATTTGACTGATTTAAAGCACAATTCCATGATTTTTTATATACATTTTCAGAGTTGACAAACAATTCAAATGAATTCTAAAAAACTGATTAGCGATTTCGAATTTATTTTTTGTGAAACATACTTTCAAGAAACCTGAACGTTTAACTTTAATTTTCATTTAAAAAACGTTCGACTAGCGTAATAATTCTAATAGAGGGCCAAACTTTCAACGTTGAACTCATATATCCCACTCTGTTTGAAAGATATCAAAAAGTGATCAACTCATAAAATATTGCTGATATTATAATAAACGTTCTATCAGTTGGCTGATATTTGATATCTTTTACGGGGGCTGATATATGTAAGATCAAAGTGAAAGGTTTAGGTTGCATTATATTCGAGTGTTTACAGCATCTTAAAAATAATTGAATCTCCTTCTACTGATGTTCATAGAACTTACGTCTTTGCATGAAAGTGAAAATGACTGATACTACAATGATCATACAAATGATGAGTATAAAGACCACACAACATCCTCTGATAATATAGCCACTTTTGCCGGTGAAGGCGCTACACCCCTGTTCTTCCACGTCATAGTTCTGAAAATTAGGTTTTAAATTCGAATTAGATATAAAAGTCTTACATCGTTTTCCATGTCCTTTAATTTTTTCCATCGGCAAGTGGAATTTTATCTGAAAAGAAATTTTTATTTTATATGAAAGCAACTATTGAAAGAAAGATCAGAAGGTTTAGAAGGAATGTGATTTTATTAATGTTTCCCTTTCATATCATTTCTATACAACGAATTCAATGTTTGAAAAAAACATTGTGGAGAGTTCCTAAGAAAAAAAAAGAAAATTTAGTCAAAAAGTTTCTTTGGAAGAAAAAATGAATAAATAATTCTGATGGAGTGGACCAAAACCATCGCGTGTATCTCTAGATTTTACACTTTTGTGAACTTCGAAAAGGGACGAAAAAAGAAAGAAGGAAATAAAAAGGACATCACAGGGTGTGAGATGATGTTTTTTTTTTTTTGATTTTTGAATTTACGGACAGTAAAGGGAGGAAAAGGAAAAAAAAGAAAATTGATCTCACAAGGTACAAAAGCAAACTGACTCAAAATAGAAAAGCTCTACCGTAGTCCTTGGGCTTCAAAAATGACAAATTGTTTTTCGGGGCCATCTAAATGATAGAGTAGATGTCTCTTATTGCTAGGGAACTATTTCGGACAAGCTTCATATTCAGCGTATTTTGAGTTTTTACGTTTTCTCGCATATTTTTTGATTTTTTGAATCTCCTAGTACTATTCTTGTTCGGGTGACCGAAATTGTATTTAATGTTGCATCGTAAGATAACATTTACGGTTTTTACGAATAAATTCATGCGCGTTTGGCACAGAACTTCGATATTAATTTACTTTAACCCGTTTGGATAATTTACATTTTTATAACGAAAGCTAGCTCAATAATCATGAAGAGCGGAAGAACAAAAACAAGCTAAAATCTGAGGGAAATAGGCAAATTCAAAATATTTCGAAAGTACTGTAGTAACGGCGAATGAATTTATATATAAAAATTGTGGCTGCTTTCGTTTTAGGATCGACGATGCGCTTTTAAATGAATTTCGGATACAAGGTTTATCAGCAAATTTTCAAACAATTTTGAAGATGCCAAAATTATTTCATCACACACAGAGATAAAAAACACCTTTTGTGATGTGTGAGAAACAAAAAGAAGAGTACACTGTCCGTAACAAAACCGCATTGTTTAGCCGTTACCATTCATAGGTGGTGAAGTGCGAGGAAAGAGAGGGGAGGAGGGTGTAGATGTCAAGGTTCGGAAAAAGAATACAAATACATAGATCTTATTACATATCGGCATCAAAAACTCTTTGAACTCCTTCAATTGGACACTCCTTTTCGCATCATTTACGGTCAAATTTAGAAAATCTAATAGAATAAGGAGAATGCAAGGGAGAGAAATAGAGGAGCGAAAAGGTAGAATGAGGTAGAAGGACGGGGCACGATAAATTTAGAAAACCTAAGAGGGAGAACAACGAAATTGGTTAATTCGTCAGAAACAAAAAATTACAGCGCGTTTCGGAGAAGTGGACAAAAACTGAAATATTTATTAGAAACAGAAACATCCCAGTCCAAGAAGCGCAAAAATGATTGGACAAGTGCAAGTTCTTTTTTTTGAAAATGAGAAAATAAATTGAGATGATGAAAAGTCTGCTCCTAGCAAAAATTCCGGCCAACTCATCAAAAACCAGGTTGTTCACTGATATCATCTCAACTTGACAGATGTCTAACGGAAAGGTCAACTTCATAGGCATTTTCGCGAACACTAAAAACTACAAAAAAGGCGAAAAAACGGTTGGAAAAACATTGAGAATGACTGAAGAAGACGCATTTTCACATTACACACTTTATTCACCTGACGAATCTTCTCATTCGACGATGACATTAGGTTTCTTCTGATATGAATCTTTTAGAAACCAAACTGTCGGCACTCTTTTAAGAGAGTCATCTACTGAAAAAAGGAAAAATGCTTGAGAGAAAGAGAAGAAGAGTTATGAATGTTAATTTTGAAAAGGGAAAAAACATTTTCAGTCATTACTTAACGGATAGATTCATCATTCTCAAATATATACTTTTCAATTTTTTCTAATACTGAAAAGCATAATTTAAATGATCTGGGCTGATCTTTTTTCAGCATTATCTCAATTCCTTTGCAAGATATCAAAAATGTGTGAACTGACCAAATGTTAGTGATATTATTATAAACAATTTATCAATTAACAACATTTTTATATATCTGATATAAACCGAGATAGTTTTTCTCGAAGTTAAAAGTTAGGATGTTCTTATATTAAAAGGTTTACAATATTCCAAAAAAAAACTAAAAAGTGTACTAACCTAGAACACAATCGAATTAGAAAATAAGAGTGAGAAACCAGAAATAATTAAATCTATACATCTATATGTAAAAAAGCACAACCCGCTGAAAAAAAAAGCAAAGCCCAATGCAATTATTCTTTAAAATTTATGGCGGAGCAGGGGTTTCCGTTAGGTTCGAGCGAAGAAAAGAAAAAAAGATAGAATCGCGGACTTTCTTATTAATTTTACGAAAAATGAGCTCAACAGGTGTGACTTAACACCACCACTGGCCCCAGCCTAACACTTGTTTTACAAACGGAAGACAAACGGGATGGGACAAGATCGCTCATGATTTGTTAAACTCTTTTCTCGTCGATTTCATTGAATAACACTGGCTGGGAGGAAGTGAAGGAAAACGAAACAAAACACGTAGTTTTTTCTGTGTTGTGACAGTTTTATTAAATCTGGGTACTGTTGCATAGCCGTGGTTTAAAAGTTTTCGTTTTGATGTTTTTGTGTCTGTTTCATCTTGTTTTATCTCGTTTCCAGTTTTGACTAGTTGAAATAATAACACAGAAATAATAAAAAGTGGGAAGCAAAACTTAAAAGTTTGAGTTTTGATTCTTTTAGAAAACAAAAAGATGAAGCTAAAAGATATGAACTAGTGAATAGGGTTTTGATTGGAAAGTTATTTTTTTGAGGTATTGCTTTCATTGAATTACTAAAATGTAAGTTGCACTTCGAGCTGAATTATCTCAAATTCTATGGGATATACCAGAAAGTTGTCAACTGATAAAGTTTTTATCACAACATCACTAAAATTTTTCTAGTTTACAAATGTTTGATACCAGTCGGTTTACGCCCCTCCGGGGCTCAACCTCCTGGCCTCCGGTCCCGTCATCATAAAGACGTTTCGTCATTTTTTTCCGGAATATTTTTTCTGAAGGTCAATATACGGAAATCTAGAAGTTTTGAGTTTCAGAAATCCCTAAAACAGAAATTCGGTAACTTTAGAAGTTAACATTCCAAAAATCAAGCTATTCAGACAATTCAGAGTTTGGAAAATAAGGCATTCGGAAGTTCAGAGATTAGTAAATTTTAAAAAATCCGACGTTCAAAAAATATTCGATTTGGAAACCCGTAAAAGCGTTTCAAATGCGATTCGCCTAGGTTTTCTGAATTTTCTGCATACTTGAATGTTTGAATTCTGAAGTTTTAGGGTCGCTCTTTCGGAAGTTCATGATAAAAATTTTCGAAAATTCATGATAAAAAATTCGTTAGTTGAGAAATTGAGAAAGTCGGAACTTTTAATTTCAACGAAACTTTGAAATTTTTAAAATTTGAAGTTCTAAAATTCAAATTGGGTTTTCCTCGCCCTCTCCCCTCTCGCCCTCCTCCCTCGCCATGCCCTCCACCCTTCCCTGTGGTGAAACCAAGGAACGTCTCCAGAAGACTTCAAAATCAAATTTTCGAAAAATGAAAAGGTCGGGCCTTCAATTAGTCACATTTCTGATTTATCTGTTCAGGTTTTAGCTCAATCGGTTAACTTTGAATGGGTTAACCGTCACGCGACATACATACGCACATACGGAATCTGGTGAATGTTATTAGTAATGATCTCTTACGGAAGTTGAAATACCGTAAAAACTCTATTAGATAGCCATGGCACTCTATTGTTCGTAGGTGTTCTGGGGTGGTACTGAATTAGGGGTTACATTCCATTAGAGGCTGGCACTTTATTGCTCGGAGCTAGTTTCTACTGAAACTTATCACAAAAGTCCTCGATTTTCAATTTTTTTCATAAAATGACTTCCGAGGTTTTCTTGATTTTTCTACTTATTTTTTAGAAATTTTCGGAATTCGATATTATCCTGACACATTTTTTTACAATTACAGTACCTTTTTTAAGCTTGAAAAGGGCTAGAAACCAGAAAAAAGATTTTTGTGTCATTCTTTAACTTTTACCACAGTGACATCAAATCCGCAGTGGCATTACATTAGGGGCTGGCACTCTATTGTTTGGAGGTGCTCTAGGATGGCACTATATTAGAGGCTGGCATTCAATTAGGGGTGGCGATCTAATAGAGGTAATTGAGCTCAAATTTCGAGGACCCGTTCTATAGCCGTTTTTACGGTAATTTTTCTTAATTCGTTTGTTCATCATTTCCGGAACATTTATTTCTTTTTTCATTCCATCTATTCTTTGGCATCATTGTTTCTGTATGTCCGTTTCTGTATGTTTTTCTCCGGCCATATAACGGTTTTATGACCCAGAACCTGATTTCTATAAAACTCAGTTTGATCAGACTTTCTGTGTTCCTGAGGATTGCAGAACGTTCTATAAACTTTATTGAGGTTTCAAATCATTTTCAAAATCGACTCCTCTGGTTGAAGTAGGTCTTGAACGACATCCAGTATCCCAGTTGGATGGAAATCGCTTACACCTATAATCGAGATTCTTTAGATATGAAATAATCCTTCCAATAGTCTGATAACTGCTCTTTGAAAAATTTAGGGTATTTGTTTGTTCGAGAGAAAAATTTTCTCCAATCTAAACATTCCACTGATTTTCTGAGGCACAAATCAATATTTATGTTTTTTGAAAGCATATTTCTCGCTAGTCTTCCAGAATTTTTTTAATTCAATTTTTATTTAATCGAAATTTTGTCGAAATCTCTCACGAATCTTGACTTAGAAAACCTAATGTTAGATTTTTGGTGTCCTACTTTTCTTATCTTCAAAAGATCAAAGTTACCGAGCGTATTCATCGTCACCAGTTTCGTGTCACAACTTTCCCTTTACCATTTTTTTTTCAACAATCATGTGAGGACGACTAAAAACAAACTACTATTTTGAATTGTTGAAAGTCATCAGCTATAAAAAAAAATGAAAATTTCAAAATTCATTCTAAATTTTTTTTCAAAGTATACTGTGAAACCCCTCGCTGACAACATTTCATATCTCTGAGACCCTTCTGTTGCAGGTTTCACGGTACCTTCAATTTAGAATACAGTTCCATTTACTTTTAAAACTTTGTGTTTGGCATGTGAAGAAATTTTCAAAACTTTATCTCAAATTTTTGAGATGATAGACCATTCAAATTAGGTGTAAAAAATATTTCATGATCTCGATACGATTGGAAATATTGTCGAATCTTATTTCCGTAAGAAAATCTTTCAAAAAACGTTAATGATCAATTTTTAATTCTTTAAATTTATAATCCTTTTAGAAAACTTCCAACTGTTTTTTACTTACCGTAAGACCTGTATTAGAAAAGCCGGCCCTTCTATGTTTCCAAGGTACCTCCGGAGGGCCCTTCTATTTTTCCCAACATTTGCCCGAACATTTTCATTGGAAGTGTCGGCGAATTTACGCTCAAAATTCATGGAACTCTATCAATTTAACCAAATTTGGGCAAGTTTTTCATAAAAAATCTAGTCTTTCAACAAATTTCTGTCAAATTGGCGAATTTCCGGATTATTTTTCGTTGAAAACGTACGGAAATTTTTTTATTTCCAAAGAATTTTGAAGGGAGTCCTTCTTCACAGAGGGCCCTTCTATTAGAGGGGCCCTTCAATTAAAGGGGCCCTTCTAATACAGGTTTTACGGTAATAATCATACACCGTAAATCCTGTAATAAACGGGTTCTCACACTATCAAGTTTCAGCTACTTTTGTTGTCTCCTGTGAAAGATATCAAAAAGCGACAACTGATAAACTATTTATCATTATATTATAAACATCTTATCAGTTCACACTTTCTTAATACCTTTCACAGGAGCCGAAGTAACTTTGCTCAAAATTGATAGACTGACATTCCATCAGAGTTTTCACGGTGTTTGAACTACTCTCGATTAGAAAAAAAAACGTTAGTTTTACCGTATCTTCAATTCTCTTATTTCATGTTTGAACCAACTTCGCCATATGCGTCTCTATCTTAATGAAAATTCGTTCGGATTGGCACATCTGCGAACAAGCGCCCTTCTATCCCAATTTCCAACCATTCATCACTCCTAGCTGAACCATTGTGTGTTTGCCTCCTCGTCTGTTTTTCATTCCTCCCCTTTTCCCTCTTTTTTTCTCGTGTTCTTCAGGCCCATTTGCCCTCTCAACCCTCCGTAGTCCTCTCGGGTTCTCCTTTTGTCATCGACGACACTATCTGTACACAGAAAGCAAAACGAGCGGCGAGAGGGAGACTGAGAGAGAGAGGGGAGACGTATTGAGCGTTGCGTTGTGTCGTCGCTCTACGTGTCTAACCATCCTCGCTCACCACTCTCTTTTCATTTCCCTCTCAGTCTCATGTGATGTTTCTCCAGGCGTCGTGTATGTCTCTTTCCTCCTTTTCCCTGTATACAACACATCCCCGTATGAATTTTTATCGTTTCATAAATAATTCGTGTCTGACAACTTGTTGTTTTCTTTTGTTTTCTTCTGTTTTCTTGAACCGAATTTCGAATATTTAAATTCCGTAAGATTTTGATAAAATTTTGAATATTTTCATGCATTTTTCGTCTAAATGAGTCTTTATTTGTTCGGCTTACTTAATTTACTTTGCGTGCTTTCATTAAAAATAACTTGTTGCAGGAAAGCATCACAAGAAAACATGAATAGCGGAGAGAAGCAAGATAATCTTCAAGCCTGGGGCCAACAACCATCGTCAAGTTATTCAAATACCCAACAACAGCACGGACAAATCACTGGTCAAATTCCCCTCACAATTACTAACCAAGTCGAAGCACACGACAACGATTTTCACATGCAAGATGCGTCGAATGACGAGCTTGAAAAGTCAAAAAAGATAGCGGAGCAACCGACGGAGCATCCACAGCAACATCACCAGCAACAACCAGCAGTGCCACGTTTCCCGCCACAAAGTCGGCAGCCACAAGCCATTCTGAGATTCCCACAACCCCCAATCACCTCGATTAACAAGGCCAACAATTCGAATTCGCAGAATTTCTTCCCACAGCAAGAGGTTAGTTGTTTTCTGAAATTATTTCTTCCTTATTACAAAAAACGAGCCCGGGTGGAGTTCTTAATTACACGAGACTTTGTTCGTTCGGCGTACTTTGAAATTTACCCTCAGCTTGACAATTGAGATAGTGTACTTTCGAGAAATCACTTGTCCAGTGACACAGCTGTTTGTCAGTGGCTGATACGGGTCACGTCCCTTGAGATGAGGCGGGTTCAGCGATCATTTCAAAAAGCTCACTTATCAAATTATCACCTTGACCGAAATCCTTCTTCATTAATATTAGTCGAAGTAAGAAGCATACTTAAAAATCATCCCAAAACGGGCACTGGCTGGCTTCGCTATAGTTTCTTTTAGAATCAACATTTATGGACAAAATACATGTTATAGAACTCGACGAATACTACAAAATGAAATCGATTTGAAATTTTTATATTATCTATGAACAAAGTTACAAGCCATAAAATAGAAAAGCCTTGTGGTGCGCCTGTTTTTTTGGTTTTTTTGCGTTTGTACTTTTGTACTTTTTTCACAGACAAGATAAAATTTTCTAAATAGTCTCATTTTGTAGTACTCGTCGTGTTCAATCACATTTACCGTATTTTCTCTTATAGAGTCCTGGAGGCTTCTATTTTAACCTCTTTCTTGTCGTCGACAGGGTTGAACTCATATTGGTGAAAGCCCTTAAATTAGAGGGTTTTCGGTCCCTAACCGTGCGAGAACATTAGAAGAAACGACAAGAATTGACAAAAATCACCAGAAAATCGAACAGTTGCACAGCCAGGGTGCGCTTCTATTAGAGGTGGGTTTATATTAGAGGAAATACGGTATTTGAGTTGGTCCAAAAATATCGATTCTAGCCCGTAAAGACCCTTCACACCCTATAGTGCCAGCTAAACAAATTGTTATTTCAGGTAGACCTAGACAAAAGGACAACAAGAGAGAAAGAATCCCAATAGTATCATGACTAACTTTGAATGATCGCAATTTATCAGTTTTCACATTTTTGTCGGAGAGTAATCCGTTCAACTGACACCACAAGGACAAGTGTAGTTTCGAGAACTAGTTGGAAGACCACTCACTTGTTGGCTTTTTTGTTAGATTTATCGTTTCTTGCTGTAAGGAGCCTTTAACCCCCTAATGAATTTCGCACTGATCTAACCCCAACTTTCACTGCCGAGACTTACAAATTAGCATAAATTCTAAGAAAGAAGCTGATAAGAAATTGATACCTTTGATATAAATTTATCAGACCAGCGGTGTTCTTCTCATGCAACACTGCTGCTGCCTGCCAGTAATCAGAGGGCGAAACGCGAGCTTTACACTGTTTCCGTCGTTCTTTTACCCACTTCTTTTATTTCTTCATCTCCTTTCTATCATTTCCTGCCGTTTCCTACTCTTCGCTATCTCTTTTCTTTTTCTACGCACTCATAGAGAGAAAGAAATCAGCATTTGCGTTTGCATTGCGGTGCGGACGTTTTGTCTCTGCCTGTTGTTATACTACCGCTCTGCACATCCCACCCTATTTTTGCTTCCAAAATCTTTTCATAGTTTCTGATGAAAATCGTTTCAAAACCTGTGGTTATCATACTTCTTCCTATCTGTATTACTCATACCTCTTGGAAGCTTATATTCCTTGTATTTCAGGTTCTACAAAGTCGCCCGAAGAAGCATCGAGTCTCAATGACGAATGCAGAAGCAGCTAATACTCCCGGAATGCCTCCGGAAAAGCTACCAGCCAAGAAGCTGTCTGCGGATAGTCAACGACCACTGTTCCGAGATTCCAATGTATTCCAAAGAAGCGCAGGTCAATTCACAAATGATAATGGCCCATCAAGCTCGTCTGCAATAGTGGGAGCCCCATTTGATGGTAAGATTATATCGTAGTGGTCATTTTGGTGTGTTTTTCAGTCGATTTTTGGCATTTTTGACCATTTTCAAGAGTCTGGAGCTTGGCTGTGAAGTGTCAGATCACTCTAAAACTTTGGAGGGTGTGAAACAGGCCTACATTGAAAATTTGCATACATTTTTTGAATATTAACTTTTGCCGGCTTCTTAAAGACACCTCATTTCATCCAGTTTTGTACTGAAAACGTGAAAAAAATGGCTTCTGGACGTTTCAGAACTCGACATTTCAGAAGCCAATATTTCAGAGCTCGACGTTTCAGAACTGTGTGGAGAAAACACTACGGTGTGCAAAACCACAATGCAAAAGTGCAGAAAAATTTTGAAACGTCGGGTTCTGCAATGTCGGGTTCTATAATGTCAAGTTTTGAAACGTTAAGTTCTGAAACATCTAATAGCCCAAATAGTTTTTTTCAAAAATAGGCTTATATCTGAAAACTTAGAATATTGAAAAAAAATCTGTGAATGCAAAATTTTCAATCTATATCTGTTTTACACACTCTGAAGTTTTTAAAACAATTGGAAACTTGAAAGCCAAAATTTAGACTCTTTAAAATAGTCGTTATGGTCACATTTTTTAATAACTTATTGATAACTTTTGGTACTGTATCTAATTACAAAAATCATGTTCCAGCAAATTCTTCATCAAAACCAGTGCACATTCAACAATTTCGCAATCCCAATGACGCACCCGTCACAAAACTGACCAGTGATCTCATCAAAACCTACAAGGCTATTAACGAAGTGAGTAGTGTGGCTCCAGAGTGTACTAACCCTTTGTGTGCCGTGCTTAAATTGAAACCGCATCCATATTCCAGAAGTTTCAGTCTTTCTACCTTCGCAAAAACGTTCGACGCAGCACGGTCGGCCGCCATACAAGCCTCGATTCCAGTGGCAAACCAAAAACCGGTAAAGAAGCTTCCTCCTCTGACGCAAACCTGATTGAAACGTTCTCAATTCACAACGCGGTACCAAACACGAGTTCGAGTGGCAATCAGCCACATTATGATTCTCATGTGAATGCGTAAGTTTCTGCTAAAAATATAGTCCACAGCTGTGACATAGTTGTTGTTGACTTCAACCCAAATCGATTTTCTGAATGTATCAAATACATGCAGAGTGCCGGTCAGCTTTACAGAAACGTATTTCAGTGGATTTTTGACCGTTTATAGTCTGATAGATTCTCTGAACTTCCGCATTTTTGAATCTTTAGAATTTCACAAATATCAGAAAATTATTGTTTTCAGGAAAATTTTTTTTTTTTCAAATTACTCCTGGAGCTCGAGCTGTCAAACTTTCTATCACTTTGAAATCTCTAGAGGGAGTAAAACAACCTAGATTGAAAACTTCGCATTTACAGAATTTTTTGAAAGTTCCTAGTTTTTCAGCCACTAACCATTTTTTGAAAGACAATTTTTTTGCATTTTTTCAGTGCAAAAACGGGAAAAGGTAACATTCGACAATTGACAAACATCTGAAACACTAGGAATTTTAGAAAATTCTGTGAAAGCGAATTTCAAAATTTTCAAAGAAATTGGAAATTTGACCGGCGAGCTTTAGGTTACTGAAAATTACAAAGCTCCTGAAAACGTGAATTATTGATCGGTAATGTATATAGTTTTCTAAATACGAAATCTTTTTATATTACAGTCCCCCACTTCTTGACACCAACGCTCCACCAACGTCTACAATGGTCGTTCCAATGCGAACGGAAACCGAATCGCAGCAGCAAATGCGTCAGAAGAGTAGCCGTGGCGGACCGTACAACAACGGGTACGACGATCAAAACTATGACTACATTCTCAAAAACGGGGAAATCTTTGACAAACGGTAAGATTTAGTATTTCATAGAAAATATTTCACATCCTTTTATTGAATTTTTGCAGTTATGTCATTTTGAGTGACACTCCAGTTGGAAAAGGATCGTTCGGGCAAGTCACCAAAGCTTACGATACTGTAACCAAAGAAGAAGTGGCTATTAAGATTATTAAGAATAAGAAGACGTTCTTCGACCAAGCACAGATTGAAATCCACCTTTTAGAGCTGACCAATGCTCATGATAAAGATAATAAGTATAATATTGGTGAGATTTCAGAGTAATGGGTCTCATAATGATCCTTTCAACGTTTTCAGTTACCCTCAAAGGCCACTTTGTACATCGTGCTCACTTGTGCTTGGTATTCGAGCTGCTCTCTTACAATCTCTATGATCTTTTAAAAAATACCAACTTCCGTGGAGTCTCCCTCAATTTGGCTCGCAAATTTGCTCAACAACTCGGTAAAACCCTCCTGTTCCTTTCCTCACCCGAACTCTCAATCATTCACTGCGACTTGAAACCTGAAAATGTGCTGCTCGTTAACGCCAAGCGATCTCAAATTCGTGTCATTGATTTTGGATCATCCTGTCAAACAGGTCATAGGATTTATCAATACATTCAGTCGCGATTCTATCGTTCGCCAGAAGTTCTGCTTGGTATCGCGTATGACACGAAAATTGATATGTGGTCGCTTGGATGCATTCTCGTTGAAATGCACACCGGAGAGCCACTCTTTGCTGGGTCATCGGAGGTAGATCAAATGATGAAGATTGTTGAAGTTCTTGGAATGCCACCAAAGGAAATGTTGGATATCGGGCCTAAAACTCACAAGTATTTCGACAAAACCGAGGATGGAATCTACTATTGTAAGAAGACTCGAGACGGATATCGACACACCTACAAAGCTCCGGGAGCAAGAAAATTGCACGAGATTTTGGGTGTGACTTCTGGAGGACCAGGAGGACGACGTCTCGGAGAGCCAGGACATTCTGTTGAGGACTACAGCAAGTTCAAGGATCTGATCAAGAGAATGTTGAACTTTGACCCGAAACAACGCATTCTCCGTACTACGTTGTTCGTCATCCATTCTTGAAACAACGGGAGGATCGCATGCCATCCCAGCCGGTTAGTAGAAAATGTTTGGTACATTATTCGGAGGGTACAACGATTTAGGGGTACAAACTTCACAATTCAAAGGTACAGAATTTATTTTTTAATGTGTTTTGTACCACTAAATCACTTTGTACCCCACTTGCTCCCCCGAGTAGTTTTACACTTCGAATTATGTGCCGTTGAAAAAGTAAAAAGTTCGAACTTCAATTCATTTCAAATTTTCAGCCTGTCTCTCACACCGCGTACAATCAGAACCTTTACCATCAGCAGCAAATAGATCAAGTCCCAGCTGTTGGATCGGTGTACATTGAGGATAACGGGATGTATCGCCCGGTTCCCACTTCCTCCCATCCCATTTCCGTGACCTCCTCGTTCGACGATGGGGATGTGATTGAGATCGATCCCAATAGACGCCGCTACTCGCAACAGAACTACCACAATCCCAATTATCAGTACTCTCAGCAGCCGCAGTCGTCTTCTCAACAACAACAACAGCAGTATCAGCAGTCTCAAAGGTAAGGTAGGAAGTGCAATCATGTGAACTGATCATACGGTTCAGTAGATTTTGAACTAGAGGGCTTATAACAGTTGGGTTAATGGACTCTGTGTGTTACAAGATTTTGAGAGCAGATTTGAGAACAGATTTGAGAGCAAGATCTATGGCGCATCGATATGAAAAAGAGGATTTTTCAGAGCACAATTGGAGAAACAACAGCAGCTCCAGCAACAGCAGCAACAGCAGCAACAACAACGACAGCACCTCTCGCACCAACCATCTCAATCTGTCCAGCAACATTCCAGCTCTTCATCTCGTTCCCGTCCCAGACAACAGGATCAGGCTGAATGGAGAACACAGCTAGAGCTCGAAGAAGCTTTCAAGCAGCGCAAGGCTGAGGAAGCCACGGCTCCAAGATCCCTGCAATACAACCCACAACAGGTAGTAGGCGTACAATTGATAAAGCGAGTGTTGATATCAAAATTATTTCAGGGAAGTATGAGTCATGGGAATGTGAATGCCGGCAGCAGTCGAGACATGGAGAAGCACGACTACCCAAACAACAAACTTTGAAGCGGGAAGTGAATGCCAAGGATTATAATACAACCGATGTCAACCTATCTAAATTTATTTTCGTTCTAAAAGTTTGTATGTTTTTGTATGTGTGTTTGTTTTTTTTTATTTGAATAAGAAAACATAATTTGACGTGAACATTATGGCGTAAATAAACACTGGTTTTGAAATTTGAATTCAACTACCTCTTTGCGTTGGAAATTGAGAATCTAATCTCGAATTTCAGGAAGTAAGTGTCATGGGCAGGCTAGTAGAAGTAGACAGGTTTTGAGAAATAAATAGGTCAGTATTACACTTGCTTGAAATCAATGAGAGCTCAAAGGCGCAAAAGCAAACTACCTTCAAACTTTTTTTTGCAATTTTCTCAATTTTTCGACAATTTTGATAATTAAAAAAAAAAGTTAATCTGGAAAGAAGTTCTTAACATCATTAAAAACTATAAAAATAAGCGGAAAAATTCAGAAAATTAAAAAAATTATTTTTAAAATAAGCAAGTGAGGCCTGTGAGGCATGTGAGCCTACTTGTAATCTTGTTTTTTAATTTTCTCAAATTTCCATCAATTTTCAACGGTTTATTTTTAAATTTAATCTTTGAAAAAATGAAAAAAAATTGTCGAAAAATTGAGAAAATCGGAAAATCAAATCAAAAATAAACCTGTGAGGCCTGTAAGCCTAATTTTAGTGTCATTTTCCTATTTTCTCAATTTTCGACTATTTTCATATTTTCTAAATGATTTTTATTATTTTAGTTCATTTTTTTCAGGTTTAAAATTAAAAAATATGGAACTCATTGCAAAGTTGAGAAAAAAATTGGGAATAGGCCTGTGAGAATTGGAGGCTATCTAAAGCTTTATTTTTTATTTTCTTAGGTTTTTTTTATGATATGCATTGCCTTTTTGAATGATTTTAATCATTTTGATTAACTTATTAGGATTACATCATAAAAATGATGAAAATTATTGAAAAATTGAGAAAATATGAAAGTTTAACCAAAATCACAGAATACTGTGCTTTTGCTTCTTTATATAACATTCCAAAAGATTTCGAACAATAGTAATATATGACGTGGCAATGCGAGAGAGATAGACAGCCATGGGTAGGGGTAAAAACCTGTTCCGATATTTCGTAAGTTTTTTTTTCATCTTTTCTATTTGCCCATGAGCTATCCTCAACCCAAACGACCCAAACGACATTCGTCACCTGCCACCTCGATTATTTTCAAAGGTTTTCCCCCTCTCTTCTCGATAGATATATATTATTCTCGAAGTTTTGGTGGTTTTGAAAAAAGCTTTTGTGCCGTTTTCATCTTCCTTCTGCTTTTAGCAGCATTCCCCTGTTGGCTGGTATGAATCAATTTCGTAACGCCGAACCAGGAAGATATATATTATAAATCTTCGTCGTTTCCTACTAGCCAATCCTCTTTTTTCATCTCACTTCAAACCTGTTTTTTGTTCTTCTCAAGTTTTATTCGTCTCTCTCTCTCCATTTTTTCTCATTTTTTTTGGCTGCCCATCCGATTCCATGCAACACAGGCCCAGCCCAATTCCTCTACATGTTTCTTTCTTTTCTGCCGTTTTTTTTTTCGTAGAAGGAGAGGAGAGGCAAAGACACCGAAATGAATGCCATTTGGAAAATACATCTGCGTATGTGCGTGTGTTTGCCCCTCTTTTTCGCCCCGTTTTTTCAGTCGATTCCTAATCTGAACGAAGAAGAACACCTTCAAGCAGTGACGGAATAACATGATATCAAAAAAAAATGCTGAGCGCCCCTCTACTGTGCCGCGCCAATCATTCAGGCATACACCACTCCCCAGGCACTCACTGAAACGAAGCGAATAATCTCGTGACTTTGCGAACTCCCTAGCTTAATTTCTTTCTTTTCCCACTCTATTGTCCGCCCGCCTGCATTCGCCCCCCACCACCCCAAGTTCTGTGCCTCCCGTTTCGCATTCTGTGGACACTAACGGGGCCCCGCGTAACGTGTCTGCGTCTTTTCGATTTGCGTGCTCTATCGTTCACTAACTGCCTGTGGACGCTGTCTCGGTATGCCCCCTGCGCGCGGTGCGTTCGTTCCGCACAAGACAAGCCACAGGAGTGGTGAGGAGACCACACACAGACATTCCACTCACAAAACACTCACACACAGATACTCACCCTCCAAACCCCTCCACTCACTCATTTCCCTCTGTCTCTGTCTCGCTCTCTCTCTTCTTCTGCCACTCACGCACACAAATATGCATTGTACATGCGCAGTTCCATTGGATCATCATTCTCTTATCATCATCGTCACTGTCTTGGTTCTTCTAGTCGCGTTGTCCCTTTTTTGCAGTTTTTGCCTGTTTTATTCCTTTTCATCTTCTTTGAACTTTTAGAACCGTTCTTAACCGTATTTCTCATTCTTCAACTAACCTATCAATACCAAAATCAATCGATTTCAGTTTAACCTATCATGTCTATTTCGACAATCCGACGCCAGGTCAAAAATGTTGCATACAACTTCTCGGATGCACAAGTCAAGGTTCGTGAGGCTACCAGCAACGATCCTTGGGGACCATCGACCGCCTTGATGTCAGAGATTGCTGACCTCACTCATAATCCCATGGCGTTCACTGAAATCATGTCGATTGTCTGGAAGCGGCTGAACGATTCTGGAAAGAACTGGAGACACGTCTACAAGAGCTTGGTTTTGTTGGATTTCCTCATCAAATGTGGACATGAAAAGGTAAGGATGGCAGTCCGGCGTATTTGCATTATTGATTCGCTCCTATAGGTCGCTCAACAGTGTCGGGAAAACGTATTCACTATTGAGACACTGAAGGACTTCCAACACGTTGAGGACAACAGGGATCAAGGACTTAATATTCGTGAGAAGGCAAAGCAGATCACTTCGCTTTTGGCTGACGACGAGCGTTTGAAGAACGAGAGAACTCGATTCATTTTGACTAGAAACAAGTTCAAACAGAATAATCCTGGTCCGGTGGGTGCGGAGAGTCGCCGCAGCAATCGCCATCACATTACTGATGCCGCTCTTGGTAAGCATAATTGGCCTTTCGCATGAATTTTAATTTTTTTTTTAATTTCAGACCCTGAATACGAGGAGGCTCGTCCATCAACAGCTACTGAGGAGGAAATGCAACTCCAAATCGCTCTGGCTCTATCTCGTGAAGAATGCGAGAAGGCCGATGAGATGCGCAAGAGTGACGATGCTCGCCTTCAAATGGCTCTTGAGGAATCTCAGAAGGTCAGTTAGCCTAGTTCCTCCCAAGATTACAGTAGTACTTTCAGGAAGCTGATCGTTTGGCTACCACCAAACAGGGAACCGTTAGCAGCGGACAGCTCACCCAATCGGCTCTCGATGATTTGCTCTCCCTTGGTGTCGGAGAACTTGTCAGCGGAAACAACGACCAACCATCTTCCTCCGCTTGGGGAATGACTGATCCATGGGGAGCTCCACAATCCTCCGCTCCACTCACCAGCGATCAAATGTTCGGATCTACCAACGACCCATGGGCCAGCTCTACCGTCGCTCAACCAGCTGTCGCTTCCAACTCGGATCCATTTGCTGCATGGGATGCTCCAGCAGCCACAGCTCCAGCTACCACTACTACCTCCAACTCTTTCGATCTCCTCGGTGGTGATGTAAGTTCTAGAATACACTCATTACGGTAGAATCTAAAATTTTTTCAGCTGCTCTCCCCAACCAACTCATTGACTACCTCTGCCTCGGCACCAGCCACCAACGGAACCCGCAAGACCCCAGAGAACTTCCTTGGAGAGAACAAAAACCTCGTCAACTTGGACAACTTGTTGGGAAGCACTACTCCAAGCTCATCAGGTATGACATCACATCATAGAAACCAATGGTCACAAGATTTTGTGTCTGTCTTTTAAGACATTAAAATGTTTAATTCTAAAACAGCAGCAGCTGGTGACCAACTATCAGTGGGTGTATGCATGTGTTTGCTGATAAGAAACATTGTGCCATGGGAAAATAGGGAAAATAGGACGTTTTATGACGCTCTAAATGTTGTTCTTTAAAGCGAGGCAGAACACAAAATGATAATTTTCAGGCGGAAACCCATTCTTGACTAGTGCTGCCCCAGCTGCCAATCCGTTTGCTGCTCAACAGCGAAAGTCGCCAACTTTGAACGAGATGCGTGCTGCTCAGGGACAAGCTCCACCAATTCCATCGATGGCTCCACGCGGAACACTTCCACAGGCTAACCCATTCGCCAATCCTTTCTAAGGTTCTGCTCTCTAACCTTCTCATAAAATCTGTCCTATGTATTACTACCTTATTCCTTCTAGCCTACTGAGGCCGTCAATTTTGAGCGTACATATCTCGACTTCTATGAAAGATATCACAGCTTTTTCAATTGATAGATTACTCGTCATAATATCACCAACATTTTATTAGTTGAAAAAATTGAGATATCTTTTACAGAGGTCGAGATAAGTGAGCTCAAAGTTGGCGGTTTGAGTGGGTTTCTATCAACGGTATGTGTTCATTTCTTTTTCGTCAAACTATTGATTGTAATTTATCTATTACTTAAATTAAACCAAGAATGTTTGTAAACAAGTGTAAGCCGCCCTTTTTCTATCTAAGTCCCTCCACTTACACTTATCCTTATTTTTCGCCCCCAACTGTCATTGCTTATTCCCATCTAAAATTCTCCACTTCCCGAAATACCCTATTTGGCTAAAATCCTACTCACACTGAAGTAATTGCTGGTGACGGTTGAATCATTCTCTCTCTCATTTCCTCTCCATATTATTTTCGCTGTACAATCGTTGTGTCCCTTTAACCCCCATTTGTTCCCACGAATTTTTGTCTTCTCGAAAAAAATCTAAATCAGTATAAAAAATCGATACGAACTATTATCCACTATACTTCCATTTTCTACCCCCAGCTATCCAATGTTTCATTTTCACCCATTACTGTTTTCTGTGTGTATGGTAATTTTGTAGCGTGTCTCTTTTTTCTTTTCCAAGGATGAGTGCTGTTCTCCAATCCGACGTCTTTTTTGTCTTTTTTCTCGCTTCCAGCAAATATACTATTCTCCACCCTAACACCAAACGTTCATATCAAAAACGAATTTTGACTGCTCTTCAGTACTAACTGAGCCATAACATGTTGTAGGTTAAATTTCTGACGCCTACGCTTTTCAAAAAAAAAAACAGTAATATCGCGGTTCAAAAACAAAAACAAACCAGATTAACACATTTTAGTGATATGATAACAAAAATTTTATTTTTCGAATGAATAAATAAATAAGTTATTCTATATTCTCAGCTACCGTGTTGACTACTAGACAGAAGCAGAAAAACCGGAAATTGGTTTTGCACGGAGCGGAAATTAAAAGTTAACTCGGAGAGGAAACGGGAAATGAAAACTTTTTTGAAAATGTAATTTTTATGAGTATTCCAAATAATCTGAACAATTTCAATAGAGTTTGATTGAAATGGGATTTACTTTGAAACTTCATTAGGAATTTCTAGAAAAGTCAGAATTCTTAAAAAACTATCTACAGTACCGGGTTATAAGATATAGAAAAACGAGTTTCAGTTTGTTTTCGACCGTCTATTTTTTTTGTCTATTTTCAAGAGTCTAAAGCTTGGTTGTCAAAGTTCCAAACACTTCGAAAAGTTTGGAGGGTGTAAAACAGACCTTACTTGAAAAATTTCACTGGATTTTTGAAAATTCCTAGTTTTTCAGTTATTTGCCGTTTTCTGAAAACCACCTAACCCGTTCTCAGTGCAAAAACTGGCCAAACAATCGTGTTTTTCAGAAGAATAGCTGTAAAACTCAAAAGTGTCAAAAAAGTTTTGCGAATACAAAATTGTTCATCTAGATCTGTATTACATTTTCTGAAGTTTTCAAACTGATCGGAAACTGTGTCAGGTGAGCTCCAGACTTCTGAAAATGCAGAAAATCAACTGAAAAACACTTCTTTGTACATCTTATCAACCGGTACTGTATACTCGGCTGTTGCCCGCAATTTTTGGGCTGGATTAAAGCGGCTTCTGAGCTGTGGCAGGGCGGATGTCGCTTTAGTTTTCTGCAGAAGCCGCCCAGCGACCGCTCAAAAGACGCCAAACCTACGCTCAAGATTCGCGTAACTCACACTGAATCTGACCCTAGGCTCTAAAATGATCTGAAATTTCTGTCCAAATCAATTTCATAATCTTGATTTATTTTGAAAAATCAATGGCTAACAGAAGAAAGAAAAATAATGAACAGAATAACAAAAAAAGAGAAAAAAAGATTATCTATTAGATTTGCATTTAATCATGATGTGGGTAGAGTAGGCAGTAGTTGTCACTTGGGTGCTCTGAAAAAAAACAAAGATAATTGTATTGATTTTATTGTCGCTTACCAATGAGATCTGTCAAATGAAAGTCGGAACATCATCACACAAGACACGCTGGTGAGAAGTTGGCACAGAAACCCAACTTCATGTTCATGGCCATCTATCTGCTTTTCAAACACCGCCGATCCCTCAGATAGCATGTACAGAAGCTCATGATAGATGGAACTGATGAGTCGACGAACTATTATAGAACGATCGGATTCATGCGAACGATGTACTTGCCGTCGGTGCCGTTTAGGCTGTCCTGTTCGCAGACGTATTGAATTGATGAGCCGAATGAGAGTCCTTCTCGTTTGAATCGTTGATCAAGACGAAGCTGGAATTTGGAGTTTAGGTTTCGAAGGATCTAGGGGTTTAAAGATCCAAGGATCTAGAGATCTGGCGATCCTCAGGCTCTTCGAACCAAAAGCTCCTGCCCACTTACCACGCGATCAGATTGCTCTGATTGACACCGTAGTGACGCGTCATATCGTAGTATTCTCGGATATCTCACGGCACAGCGGCGAGCATTGTCGTTCCAGGTGTGAGCTGTTTCATCTTCGATGACACTCAGATGTATTACAATCTACAAGTTGCACAATTTTTTGAATCACATTTCTATGTTTTTACCTTTTTGTGAACTTTGGATTCCAGTATCAATTTTTTTCTGCCCGAACACGTGTTGGCAACTTCCTTCTGAAAATCATCATTAATACGTTCACAAAATTATGTATCTTACGAATTTGTCTCTTCGACCTGGAATTCGATATTCTCGATATTCTGACGAATCCATTCATCTTCTCTTTTTCAGATGTCCCCACTTTAATTTCGAATTTCTTACTTCAAACCAATTTGTGAAAGTCCTATATTCGAAATCAAATTTTTGATACTACTACCTAAAAGGTTTGTCATTTTAGAACAGAAACGACAAAGAAGATTAGATGAATTACACTAAAATAGAAAAAAAAAGAATAAAATTTGATTTCGAAAAAAAATTCTGATGCACTCAACGCGAGGCATGCGTCGCCTTTAAAATTCGCCCAAACATCGCCCAAGATTCGCCAAGGTGGTGGTGGTCGGCGCAGCTGCCACAGATCTAGAAGCTTCCGGTTAAAAGCCGCCCAAATAATGCTCTAAAGCCGCATCCACCCCTGTATTCGCCCTAAAGTTGCAGGCCACAACCGAGTAATAATCTTCATTCACCAAACACAAGCATCAAATTCATCCGGAGTCAGACAACACAAATCATCGTGTTTATAGATCTGCTGCCTGATGGCTTGTTTGATGACGTCGCACAATTCAATTTGATTTTTTGTTGTATTCTGAAGAAGTTCGGCTAATTTTTTATCCAACACAACTTTTTGGCGTCGTGAAACTTCTAAGTCAGTTTGCATTGAATCGTTCCGTTGGGAATACAAATTACCCATGGCAATGAGCTGAAAAAAGAGAGTTCGTGGAGAAAAGGGATAGTGAAGTCGTACTTTAGCGGTGGAAGCAGTGATGGTTTTGGAAGCCTTAGAAATTGACTCAAAATGAACATAAGGGACTTTTCTGAAAAAATTTACACAAAAAGATCTGAAAAAAAGATTTTTTCAGTTGATTTTTTGGACATTTCGACCATTTTAAGGAGTCTGGAAATCAGCGGTCAAGTTTCCTATCATTTTGAAAATTTCGGAAAATGTTAAAAAGGCCCCAAAAACTTTTTTGTACTGAAATTGTGAGAAAACATTTGTCTTTCAGAAGGCGGCTAATAGCTGAAAAACAAGGAATTTTCAAAAAATTTATAAATTCAAAGTTTTCAGTCTAGTCCTGATATACACTCTCCAATGGTTTCAGAATAATCGGAAATTTTCCGGTCGAGCACCAGGCTTTTGAAAATAGTCAAGATCAACTCAACAATAGGTTTTTGTATATATGATTGATCAGAATATTGCAATTAGAAGACTATCCAAAAATGCACCCACCTCAGTTTAAATTGATGGGATCTTAACTCCTTCTCAGCTTCATAAACACGTCTCATCAAAAGTTTCCGCTTCCGAATAGAATTCTGGTAGGCTTCCACTCGAGTGTTGCATTTTTCCATGTTCTTTAAGCCAGAAATTTTATGTCAAAACGATCAAAATCAAAATTCGTACCACCAAGTCAAACTCATCCACCAACACTTTCAATTTCTCAACTCTCCGTTTTTGGAAGAGGTTTTTGAGCAAATCGGCGAAGCTTTCTTTGATTGTCCGGATTTCAGCAGAAAGATTATCATCGAACGACGACTTGCAAGCTGAAAAAAGATTTTTTTTACTGTTTTAAATAATTCAAACCTCTGTGTTCTTCAGCTTGAATCATAATTCTTTGACAATATTCTTCTAGTTTTGAGTGTGTGTCTCTTAAGAAAAATGAGCACTTCTTTCTCACAATTTGCAGTTGTTTAGCTCTCTCAGAAGTTTTGGAATCATCTGTTTTGAAATTCTCATAACTGTCAGTGTATGCCATCCATGCAACTTCAATTTTGTCCACATCTTCCATTTGTTGGATTTGTTCAACTTGTTCTTGTAAATCTAAAAATCTAGGTCTCAGGATTTCTGCACAATCGCAAAGCCTACTTTGTAAATGAGCATGTAGGATTTCAGTTTTATCATCTTCCTTCCTAGTAGACAACACATCTAGAATGCTCTTTCCATGAGATCTTAATCCGGTTTGATATGAATCTCTAAGTGTCTCAAGCTTTGATTGTCCTTCCAACACATTTGAAACTAGAGATTCGACTCTCTGAATAACATGTGCGAATTTGGTTAGTGGTCAGAGAAGAAAAACTCACATCGGCTACTTTCAAATTCAGAAAGCAATCTTGAAATGAGTTTTCAATCATTTACAACAGATGTAGAAGAAAATATAAACTAGTTTTGGTGTCAGAAAAAAAGCAGGGTATGATTGCACTGAGCAAATGGGGAGTTGAATGAAGTCAAGCAAAGTATGATTCCAGGATTTGTAAAATCGTTCAACTGGAAACTAGCGACATTGAAAAATGAATTAAAGTAAACTTGAGTACCTTTGTTTTGATTTCTGAGAAAAATAAACTTTGGGAAAAGTGAAATCAGTTGAAATTAAAAAAATTTTCGAGTAGCTAAAACATGTGCTGGCGTTTGTATATTGTGTTTCAAATATATCTTCCTATTCGAAAAATTTTCAGATATTTTAAGTCACATTTGAAAAAAGGCCGATTTCAGAGTATTGCTTTTTCTAAGCTCTGTAACTTTATTCTAGAGGAGATTTGGAGAGTGATCATTTAGTAGACCCATGACAACGGCTGAATGAAGATATTGAATGTCTGTAAAAATTTCCGAAACTTTTGCGTCGACCTAATTTGTAGTAAAGCTTATGTATCGTCTTATTTATCTATCATAATCACTGAACTTGACAGTTTAACTATTTTCTTTTCCAGAAAGTTACCGTTTTCTATCTTCATGTATTTACTCCACAAGAGCCTCATCAAACAAAACACTAAACAATAATTTTATGATCTTAATAACAGCCATAAAAACCTCTTTTTCTGAATACGGCTTCTCAATCGTTTATGAACCTTGTCGGAGCGTTTTATTGGTTTTTATGGATATAAACGCTCTTCAGGTGAATGACTTGCAGTGGAAGACCTTTTATGAGAGTAGTCGTAGGGATCTTGAACAAAATATCTGGTCCGAGGTGGAAAAAATGGAGGTGGTATGCTGGGATTACAAACACTTACAGTATCGGTCAATGAGATATACAAAAACGTGTCTTTCAGTTGATTTTTGGCCATTTCAACCATTTTCAGGAGTCTGGAGCTCGGATGTCAATGTTTTGATCACTTTGAAGATTTCGGAAAGTGTAAAACAAACCTAGATTAAAAACTTTGCATTCACAAAACTTTTTGAACCTATCTAGTGTTCAAAAAGGCTTTGACACTTTTTATAAAGTAATGTTTTCTTCAATTAAAATAAGAATCAAAGATAAATGTATTCGTCATTAGAATTCTTAATTTCTTGCCAGCGCAACGCAAGTTGGGTGATTCCATTTGCGTAGAGCTCTGGCGACTAGGAGGAGAAAAAGTGATCCAAAAATTTCTTGATTTCCTTCCAATCATTGCATTTCTTTCTAGCAAAACGGTTTTGGAAAATCAGGAAAAGGTAGTAATTAATTAGTTCGAGATGAGGAATGTACGGTAGGCAAGACAGAATTTTGATACCTACAGGCTCGAGCTTACAGCGGACCTTCCAAGATTTGTGTTGTTTTTCGTTGTTGTGACAATATTTCAACACCGAGTCCTTCGGTAAGTGAGAGCGATGAGCATAAATACCATATTGCATTTGAAAGCCGTACAGTCAAAGTTGATGATATCGGACTCTGGAAGCAGCTTGCGAGATCCAGCACTGTTTAACCAAATCGTTTAACCAAACTCCAGCACTGTTTAACCAAATCGAAAAAATCTGATTTTTTCTTGAAGCTTCCCTTTTGGGTCAGATTCCGCCGTTTCTTCTGTAGGGACCCACTGGTGCTTTCTGGCATGGTTGACATACAGTACCCGTTTATCATCTACAATAGATTTTTTGTTGATCCAGTCCCTCGTCGGTTCCCTGGTGCAAAGTGATAGTGACAGGTCACATAGTACCTTTTTCTGAAATCCCGTCAAAATGTGTGAAACGATTCGACCAACTCTCTAAGCTCTTCCCGTTTGGTGAACATTATTGGATACCCTTGTATTGGGATAGTGCACTGTCAAAGATACTGCACGTGATGGGTGCTGTACATTTTTGTTGAGATAAAACAGTATTCCTAAAAGGAAACCGAAATTCAAAGTGAGAATTATTCTTTTTATTTCTAATTTTAAAATTCTTCTCTGATTTTCATGATTTCATTCGAACTACAAAACACAATATGTTTCACGTTTATTCATTCAATCCTGAGAAAAAGAAGCTGTCCGAATCTATGAACTTGAAAATCAGACATTTTTTACCTTGTTTGAAATTTTAGTAATTTAAAAATAAATCGTTTCGCTGAATTTTAAAAATTATTTTTTCAGTGATATTAACATTTCAAAAATCACTCTATCTTTCTGTTCGATTTTTAAACTTCCTTCTCGTTTGTAATACAACGGAATTGATTGATGACGTATCAGACTCAGAGAGGCAGAGATAACACGCGACACCATGATAAACCAGAGAAAATAGCACAGCAAACATGTGGGATCAGAGTACGTTCAAGAAATATCCAGCCAATGTGGGAGGTGAAAAAGAGCGAGTGTGGCCTCGGTCGCGGCGTGTCTCTTTTGCTTCATTTCCCAATCAGCCCTTGCTGGACACGTACAGTCTATCTTCTCCCTTCACGGACTTCGTTGATATTTATTTTCGAAAAAATGAGTTATTACCACGGTTACAACGCTGAAGCAACACAGTACCAACGGTTTAACGCCGCCAACACTCCTTCCTTTACCGCCCCAATTTGTACAGTGAGTTTAAGTATTTTATGACATTTTCTGACACTGGAATTTCAGGAAAACGCGTGCTGTGTTTGTTGAGCCTACGGCTCACGTTTACCGGCAACATGATTATCAATCAACACCATTCTTGACTCAATCAAATCCTCAATTTTCGCCCTACAATGGATATGCTCCCGTCCAATACCCATACCGTCAGGAGCAACAGTTCCAAAACTATCAACCTCGACAACAATATTTCCCAAACCATATCAATAATCAATTCCATGAAGAGCCTCAAATCATCCCTGAAATCCACTCTATCCCGCCTGATCCATTCACCACCGTCGAACCAATGGAAACAACCACTGTTCAACCAAAGGTGAGAAAATTTCACAGTTTATCATTTGGACTTTTTGAAAAAAACCGGACATTGACCTTGAAAAAAGAAAAAAAAATAACTGATAAGTTGCGCCGAAAAGTTTGCGCCGAAAAAGAGAAATGGTATGATAGATCAAAAATGAATGATTCGGTGAAACTGTCTGAGCACATAATACGTGCGCCGTCGTTTTTCAGCGAAAACTCTGATTCACGTGAAGATTCATTATTTGAATAGAGGAAGTACATCGGTTCATGTGAATATCACATGTTTCATTAAGTTTGGGAAGAAAGTATCAAGTTTTATGGGTTGTACGCTTTTGCAATAAAGAAGAGAATAGGAAAATTGTGTTTTGTGTTTCCCATACATCTCCTTACTTCCCTGATTTTAACGATGAACGTTACAGGAGCAAATCCTGGAGGAGATTGTCCGTGAATGCGAGGAAATCGAGCGTCGCTCCAACTCCAGCGCTTCCCCAGTTTCCAATTGGTCTTCTGACGATCGTGATACTCCATCTGTGAAATCCTTCCATCCATACAAGACCCCAGAGAAGAAGGAACGTAAGAAGGCGCAGAATCGTTTGGCTGCTACTAGATACCGAGAGAAAAAGCGTCGTGAGAAGGAAGAAGCTCTGACTTGCATCGAAGGTCTTACTGTAACCAACTTGAAGTTGAAGGATCAAGTGAGAGAGCTCATAATCATAAAAATCTGAGCTAGCTTTTTTAGGTATCCGAACTGGAACGCGAGGTCCGCTATTTCAAGAAATTCATGCAAGAGATGGGAATGAAAAACGCCGTATGATCAGTCTTCTACTCTTTTTCATTACACTTTCATTTCTCAGTATTTTTCTATATTCCCACTACATTTAATCCATTCTCTAAGAACTGTTTTCTAAAAGTACAAATACCATTATTAGAATTCAGTTTTTCCCATTTATATCCGCATTTTTTTGTATCGCCGAAATTGAGGATTTGCTTGTTTTACTTGATAATCATTTGCCTGTAAACGTGAAGTGTAATCATACTGTACTTTGAAAATAAAGATATTCTTACTCCAAGCTTGATATGGTGTCATTTTGTAGTTTTCTAGTCGAGTTATGTACGTGACACAACACTCTAGTGTTTTGTCATCATTTTGACGTTTTGTCATTCTTTCTTTTGTTTTGTTGGATCAGCTGTACAGCTGACTTTATATCAAAATAGTTGAAAGGGCACCGGAAACTAAAAAGCTGAAAATGAGATGAAAAACAAGTAGAAAACATTTTCGAAAACATAGTAAGAAGTATGTCCGGAAGATTGAGTTTGAGCTACCCTTAAGTGTATTTGGCACTGTACACCGTGGCTCATTCTTGTTGGAGCACACCCTACATTAGTTTTTCGAATAGGATTCAAGTTAAGGCAACATTCTGGTTACTTAGATTGGTTCCATAGTCGGATTTGGTTTGAAAATAGAGGAAAACAAGGGATTTTCACAGTTTTCATTGCTCCCATCAAAGATCGTAACCGAATCAGAATGCGAAGTTCTGTTTGGGATTTTTCTTTACTGTCAGACAGATGTAGTTTCCTCAAATAGAATTACGTAATTTCGGTTAATCTTGCTGCGTTCGACTATAAAAATTATCATCCGGAAGTAGTGTACTCGTGTGAGCGCCTAGGCGCGTGCCGCTGAGTAAATCCATGGTATTTTTGAGTCGCAACTCTTTGTTTTCTTTTTCGCTCAGGGCTTAATAATTAATTTCTGAAACGGTGTGAGCCGTTATTGTCTAAAAATCATTTTTATCAAGCTTCGAGCCATTTTGAAGTCATCAGCAAACTTTCTGTGACTCTTGTCCGAATTTCAGCCGATAATCTTGTTTGCGGCAAGAGCGATCGTATCTGATGTCACAGATACCCTAAGATCAATTAATACATGGTCCATGTCAGTGTGAATAAGAAACAATTGATTGAGATTACGTTCGACCAACATGCGGTCCACATAATTTTTACGGAACAGAATTCTTTCAACTGTCAAAAATATTTATTAACAAAAACACTATGACAAAATTTGAAAATCAATACTCTGTGCTTCTACAGATTTCTTCGATATTGGATGTATTACTTGTTGAAGAAATGCATTCTCTCTCTCTCTCTCAAATAGTAAGAGCCTATCGTCTAAATTAAACTTTGTGTTCTCAGCTGTGAACAAACATCACATCGAATATATACTGAAGTGAACGCTCAATATCACCGGTATGGGACGCTTCTCAAATTAATTGATCGGTTTCTTGCGTTTCTTTTTCTGTGAAGAATAAGTTGTATTCAATTGTTTTTTTTTTCAAATTTTTAATACAATTATTTGTTTCGAAATTGTCGTGCATCCAATACTGCATTATGAATGCAATTTCCGATATGGAGAAAAATGAAAAAAAAAACATTTTTGAAACAATTCAGAGAATCTTAAATTGACAAGCTCCTTTTCCGGTGATGGATTTTTCCTTTTTTAATTTATTTTTGAGGCCTTCTTTTGTACTTTGCCGGTCACAAGCTTTGTGCGTCACCCTCTAGATGCTTTGTTTTTTTCCGTCTCTTTGTAATACCGCCACAAAAAATGTAGGGAAGTTTTCTAACAACCCTCATACTATTTTTTTTGGTCCCCATCTGATTTACGGAGACCTCTCTATCATGAAACCTTTAGTGAGAAGGATTCTGAAAACTCCCCTTTATTTTTTCTGAAAATTGGTATTTTTTTTAAATCAATGAACCGCTGAATGATGTCCCTGGATCTTTTCAAGTTTATTGACAAGTTAATTGATAGTACCCAAAATATGAATTGTAGGTAAATCTTGAATAAAAAATAACCCATCCTTTTTTTGGTTCTCAGAAAGAGATCAATGTACTCATATTCGACGAGGTCAGAGAAGAATTGACCAGGAAAAACCCTGACATCATCTACTCATCACATTTGCTACAAATTCCTACGGACCGGACACTCCGCTAGCCAATGCTGAAACTACAACGGAAATCATCACGAAGCCATCTGCCCAAAATTTCAATCACGGAATCAACAACATGAATTCGAGCAAGCAGAAGAAGAGATCAAAAACAACATTAAGCAGACGACGAAGTACGAAGCGCAGATCGAAAAAATTCTGGATTCGTTGGAATCCGGGCACGCGAATCAAGTGATCCAATCCATAGCGAATGAAGCCAGCCGAACTATTTTTCATAATTTAATATTTTTCATCCTTATTGTTATTCTTTTCATCTCCATCTTTTTTTAAATTCTTTTTATTCAATAAAGGTTTGTCTACCCAAATTTTCCGATGTTGGAAGAACACCCTTGTTGGACCGTTTTTGTATTGAAAATGTGAATAGAGAGGGAAAAATATATTTTGAATGAATAAGTTTTAAAAATCCTGTTTTAAAATGAACTTTTTTTGTCAAAATTGAAAAACAGCCACACCAAGAATATGTCATTTAAAAATAAAGCAATGTACACATATAATTGCAATTTTCCAGAGATTTTTTCATTGTCGCCCCAGACGGGTCTTCCAATGCTCGATATAGTCTCGTCCGAAACCAAATGCAAATATTCCGCCGTTGTCGAACCTATCAAATGCACGGCGATTTCGAATTTTGCGATGACGATGGTGATGGTGGTGGTGGCGGCGGTGACGGTGAGGTCTTTTTGTGGATGTTGGCAGTTCAGATAGTTCAGACAATGTTGGATTGATCAAATTTTTTTTAGAAGAAACGGCAGGGCGTCCGTCAACTAACTGGAAGTTAAAATTTTGCTTTGTTGAGCTATATTTTGGAACTTACCGAGTTAATAATTGCAAAAACTACAACGACAGCTACGAGTTTAGGCGCATACATATTTCTGAAAAAAAAGAGTTAAATTTAGAGGTCAGTACAAATAAAAACAAATGATAGGATGAGATACAAATCGGAGCTCAATTACTTAAAACAAATGATTCTTCGAATACTTTATCACATCACTCATCCCTCACAATTACTAAATAAATAAATGTTTTGAAGCTTTAATAATCTCAAAAATCCTAACAATGTTTTTGGGCGCTAAAACTACCGTAAGCCAAACACTGATGAAAGTAAATCACTGATAACCAGAGTTTTTATACTGGTTCCCGAAGATATATCGTAGGTGACAAAAATGGGCGGGGTCGAGAACAAACCACCTCCCGATTATCCAATTTTTTTGGAAAGATAATAAATGTTGCGCAGTTAGCAGACCATAATTTTTCACTGGTCTTCAACCAAAAGTTATTACACAAGATCCCTATACGCGGACATTGAACCACTTAATGAATTTCGAAACTATGAGATTGATAGCTCATAAGCAATTCTAAATGTTCGGTGTGAAACGAATAATAAGGAATTACAGGAACTACTAATCCATCAGAACGTTTTGGAAATAAGATTACGGTAGATTGAACCTGTGAAAAGTTAGGAATATCTCCGAAGGTATACCTCTTGACAAACAAAGGGCATTTTTCATGGAACATAAATCAAAAAAAGTTGGAATCACATGTGTTTAATAAATCTTAAAATCGAAGGTTAAACAAATTTCCTCAAAAAAGTTTTCAAGGTGATCCCTTTTTCATTGACGCGTACTCTAACAAATCAAAGCTCGTCTCAAGGTGGACAGAGAATCTAGTCTGATTGAGAAACATATGGTTACAGTATGCTGTGAAAGGTTTGTTATAAGTGAAAGATTTGTTAAAAGGATTTACAGGTAATTAAGTTGCAGAATAAAATTCACTGTATTTCATCTAATAGAAGCCCACCGAAACTTACAACTTTCAGCTCAATTATCTCGGTTCCTATGAGAATTATAAAAAATCTGTCAACTGATAAAATATAGATGATATTATGATAAGTATTTTAACAGTTGACATATTTTGTATATCTTTTACAGATAATGAGATATATTCGTTCAAAGTTGAAGGGTAAGTGAGCTTCTGCTTGAGGAAATACGGTGAGCGCGAGAAAATTAATTTTCTGGGGTTGTGCGTAGCAGTTGGTATATTTATTTCTCACTAAACTTTCGAAGATAAAAAAATCGTATTCAAAATAGCTTTGTTCTCCCCCCCCAGTTCCCAAAGTTCAAAGAACAAAAGCATTCGGTAAGAACAAAAACCTCATTCCCTAGTGTCATTTGAGTAACGAAGATTCATCAAAGAATCGCAACATCTAAACCGGAACTCTGTGTGAAAAATGACCATGTGATTCAAAAAAGTGCATATTCCTCAATTCTAGTTTCTGGTGGGATGGATACTGTAGGCGGAAACGTCAAACATTCCAAAGAGAGGGGCGCTGGTGGCGTTTGGGGAGGAGGACAACGAACATTAATCAAAAAAAGGTGACAAAAGTTCCGTCGCCAGATGTTGATATAACAACGAAATCGAAATCTTCCGAGGAAGGGATGGCTGCAGAGTAGTTTTGCAGGAAAAATTGATATTGCTATCTTGAAAGCTGCCATGAAGCATAATTTTAGGTATAAAAATAGTTTTGGGTCTGAAAAGAATGTCTATCTAAAATGTGATGATGCCGAAAACGGTATCATTTAAAACAAGAATACATCATGTATTCTCCGAAAGTGGATGTGAATCATTCCAAAACATTTTGTATGTGGTTGTTAATGATTCATACAAACTTGTCAACAAAAAACAAATTTCGCTTCCGGTCAAAAATGAATCTGGGTTTCTGAAACTCAATGGATAATCATAGTTTAATTTATTGTACCTTCAGTATTTCAGTTGCCACCTCCCATAAAATATTTTTTCCCATTTTCTTTGTGTCCCGATCATCAAAAGATGATATAGATGGTGTGAAATGCAACACTTCGTCCCCCGATGTTGTGTCATTTCCGACTGATTAGAAAGCGACAACACTACAATAAGAGATCATCCGCATTCTTCTGTGATCGGAGGAGAAAAAAAAAGAAAACTGATTGGCAAATTGTAAAAAAACTGGTGTGAACAGTCAAAAAGAAAATTACAGTATCATCAAATTCCAAGTCGAAAAATCACTTCCGGGATAATGATAGGTTTAATGAGATGGGATCATCCAATAATGGCAAAAGACATAGTAGAGTGGCGCTTTTAAATCATTTGATATTGAGTTGCACTTTTAATTTTTCAGTAAAAACAAGAACCCTACTTTTCAAAAATTGATGTGAATTCAGATTTCGGCTCAGTACCGGTACATAAGATATACAAAAAGTGTTTTTCAGTTGATTTTTGGCATTTTTGATGATTTTCAAGAGTCTGGAATTCGGCTGTCAAGTTTCCGATCACCTTTAATATTTTGGGAAGTATGAAACAGATATAGATCAAAACCTTCGCGTTCACAGAATTCTTTGAAAAATTCTAGTTTTTCAGCCATTTGCCAATTTTTGAAAGACACCGTTTTTAGTCCGTTTTTGTACTGAAAACGTGAAAAAACAGTTGTCTTTCAGAAATTTGCAAATTGCTGAAAACCTAAAAATTTTTAAAAATTTTATGAGAATGCAAAGTTTTCAGTGTAAGTCTTTTTTACACCCTCCTAACTTTTGAATGTGATGGGAAACTTAACATCCGAGTTTTAGACTTCTGAAAATGGTCAAAATGGGCCGAAATCAACTGGAAAATAAGATTTTGTATATTTTTTGACCGCTACTTTGCCAAGTAATATGTCGGCCCGGCCTGGCCTAAGCCCGGTCCGCCCCGGCGGGCCTGTCATTCCACAAGTTTTGAAAATTTCGAAAAACACATAAAAAACACATAAGGACATATATGTGATTTTTTTCGATCAAAAAATTTTTTTCGAGTTTTTAAAGAATATTATTTGGTCAAACCAACAAACAATCCAAAAAACAAAAAAAAATGGAGAAAATTGTATTGAGAGCTCAAAATTTGGCTCAAAATGACAAAATTTTTGCTACTGGGCCCGTGCCTTGAAAATTTTTTCAGGCAAAAGTGCAATGCCTAAAATAGGGCCCGCATATCCGATGGGGGCTATGAATGGTCTACAATTCCGATTCCCCGAGAGTATTACTCAAACAGAACAATTTTTTAAAACCTTTGCCTTCTACCACCTTCTCCTAGATGTCAATTTCCTTTTTCTCAAGAATTCATCATATCTCTCATTTCTCTTTCTTTTTTCGCAAAATGACGGTTCAGAGAACGATGATGTAATTTCTCTAGAATGTATGTTCTCACTTCTTGGCGCCGGGACGGCATCCTCGGATTTTTCATGAAATTCTTCAAACAATATGAGATGATGAAAAACATATTTACCACAAATTTGAAGGTCGCCTTTTTTCCGTTCGATGATCAAAGGATATTCGATTGAACTACTATCATAACCTGATCATTCGGGATAACAAACAACATCCGAAAATCAAAAACGCGTTTGTATTCAATTGAAATAAAATAGAATTATAATACAAGAAAAGAAAAATATCCCATTGAAAAAAAGAGAGTTCCAGAAATTTTGGCGATTATGCTATTCTTCACTTTTATCTGCTGTCGTAAATTGAGTGGATTGCCGCTCCGAAGTAAGATAGTCCGCATGAAGACAATGGTGAGATACTTGCATGAACCCATCGGAATTTGTACAAACATTGACCAAATGTGAACAAATGTCGGATCTCCGACTGGAATGTACCGCACTCGGTGGCTCGATTATTCTTCGATCACATTGCAGCTGATTGGCTCCTCTGAACTTTACAATTTACTTCATAATTGACTTATGCATCTATAACTTACGGGCAGAAAATTAGGCTGAACGTTTGTCGAAAACTACTGGACATAAAACAATAGATTCCAAAGTTGATAGGATAAGTGGCCTGAAAAATAACGTTCGGGGAGTTTTCGATGTTTTCGACTCACCATTACAATCATGTTACTGGCAAGTTGGAACACTGTTGGGAAGGGACCATCAAAAATTGGCGACTTAATGGAAAACGTCTCACAGACGCAGAGAAGACCTATGTAAATAGCTTGCGGCAAGTTCACAATCTGGAACCGAGATAAATGAAAAGGTTTTAATTAATTTCAGTGGTTTTGGCTGTTAAATGTGAAAAAGGATATGTTGAGAGTATGAGAACCCTTCTACCGTAAATGCTTCAATAGCACCCCACCCAACGCGTCCACTTTGGGCTCAATCACTTCTATTTCGGTGAAAGATATGAAAAGTGGTCAACTAATAAATTGCTTATCACAATACCAGAAATCTTTTGTCAGTTGACATATTTTTGAAACCTTGCAAAGGAATCGAGATAATTAAGCTCAAATTTGACAATAGGAGGGGGGGTTTCTATTACATGATTTTTTAATGGAATATCAATTTCACACTTGAATTTATAGGATACAAAATATCGTTTTCCGACAAATATACGTTTCAAGAATCGCGTTCAGAAAACATACCAAAAATATTGTTACAATTGCCACCAACATCAAACTAGTGGAATTACTATCCCTCTGTCGTTGTGCTTCCTCCGCTCGTTTTTCCCTAGAAACCAAATTTTGATTTTTCCCCCAAAAAACCTCACTTCCTACCTCAACAATTTCAATTTCCTTCTTTGTGCTTTTCGTATACCCCTTATCAAAAGACCATTCAATAAGACTAACAGGAAACTCGGCACAATGATAAATCCAATCGCGCGAGTCCAGAAATAAAGATTGTAAAACACCATTGGCCCCATTGTATTCACAAACCCTGTATGTATCATCAAACAGCTTCTGGAAGAATTTTACATTTATGAAATGCATTTCTTCTTTGGAATACATACGAGACATATCCCCAGCTGCCTTCTGAATGAATCCAACCATTTATTGTTTCATATTCGCTGTCCAATGATTTTGGGAGGCCACAAAGTACAGATATGACCTACAATTTTATTATAGGTACTGGTTTAAAAATGGTGACTTACAGTTATGAATAGTGTAGCAAGTCGGACATTTTTCACATTGCAAGCTGTTCGAGAATGGAGCGGGTGACTGATAGAGACGTACCTAAACAATAAAAACTATTATCCAAAAATTGATTGTACCTAACCTCTGCGCTGCTAGCAACACTGTCAACCACATTGCAATATTATGAAATACCGGTGGAAACGCATCCATACTATATTTTTGAAGGTAGCACCACCATAGCTCTAATCGGTACTTTTCCTTAAAATTTCTGTAGAAAAAATTAATGGTATTAAAGTACACGGGATTTTTCCTACCCCAAACTAAAAAAAAATAGAGTCCATGGCAATGGAACAAGCCCCACTAGCAACTCGGCAATAGCCATGTACTTCAGAACAACGTTGGTTGGAGTGATCATATGTTTTTTCGACAATACCAGAGCAACTGCAGCATTTGCAAAACATGCTAACAATACGAGAACCGGAAAAATCTGAAAAAGCAAACTCGTGTGCTAAAAAGTCTGGGAACAAATTCTTACCTGCCCATAAACTACACTTTCTAGATCTTCATATAGCGTCAACGGCATCGGGTACTTGCCCTTGACGCATACTTTTGAACAACCATCGAAATAAGTGGAGAAATCTGCAAGAAAGTTCAATTGATTTTTGCTCGTTTTGACCATTTTTATCAGTCTGGAGAAGCCCGGCTGTTTAGTTTTTGATCACTTTGAAAATGTTGGAGGGAAACAAAGCTAGTTTGAGATGATAGCTTCTACAGAAAATTTTGAAAATACCTAGTTTTCAGCTTTTTGCCGATTTCTGAAAGACGTCCTTTCTTGGCCCGTTTTTGTACTGAAAACGTGAAAAAACAGCTGTTTTTCATAAATTGACAAATATCTGAAAAACTAGGGGTTTCAATAATTCTGGGAATGCAAAGTTTTCAATCTAGGTCTGTTTTACAACCTTAAAATTGCTTTATAACCTCGATAAATCAACTGAAAAAAATGAGTTCACCGTGAAACCTGTATTAGAAGGGTCTTCGAAATTGAAGAGGCCCTCTAATTGAAGTGCCCTCCCTCCCCTTCGAGATCTCACACGAAAAACAGAAATGCACCCTCCAATTGAAAGACACCTTTAATCATCTCCTTTGATTTTCCGTTTCTCTATTTCCGTTGCTCTATTACAGACTTTAGCCTTGTTTGAGCGATTTTCGCAAATAAGTTTAATTTTTTGATTTGCAAAAATTTTTGAAATTTTGGCAATCAAATTATTACCAAGAAATCAGAATTTTGTTCAGAAAGTCCCACTGATCTCTAAGTTATTAGTTTCTTTTGATCGAAAATCGAAATTTTAGGCGGGGCCTTGTGAATCGATATAAACACAGCCCGCAAAATGTTCATGTGTCAGTTTTTTAAATTTGACAATATAGGTTTTACGTTTTCATGGAGGAAGTGTGATGGATTTTTGCCGGCCCTTCTGATACAGGTTTGACAATATGTGTATCATAATGACTGATACTGCATATTAAAAAATATTCTGGTGGTGTTAGCTCACCTTGCTGCGAACAATTATGAGCGAGTCGTTGAAGTTCAGAGCCATTCGGATAGGCATGCGCATCGCCGCAACCATCGGAATTGTTGATCATGCCCTCGGTGACTTTACAACGTCATAGCTTAGAACCGAATCGAGTAGTGCTGCTCTTTTGACTGAAAATAAAAATCCAATATATCATGGATCAGATTCATCGGGTTCAACGTTTCAAAGTTCTGTCAACGCAATCTTCAAAATGAATAGAAAAAGGGTCGTGGGGATCTAAAATTTAAATGAAGAAGAAAAAGAAGCAAAAAAGGACAGGATGGGATGGATTTTGTCGTCGGGAGAATAGGATAAGAAAAGCTAGGCACAAAGACAAACAAAAGCGTTAAAACCCGGACCAACACAAAGTTGTTCAATAGAAAAGGAAGAAACTGGGGCGAAAAATTCTTTCGAAGAGCCCCACGTAATTTTGGTGAGATGAGAAGAAACATCAAATTGCTTGGTATTCTTTTCAAGGAAAAGAATTGGAGCAATTGATTTCTCGCGTGACTACACAGTGATTAAATGAAACAACAGAGTAGAGGAAAGCAATTTGGGACAAGATACCAAAAAACGAGTGCACTCTTCTTCTCAGAAGCACGGAGCACAAAAGTGATGTTGAGCTTAGGAACAGCGTTTCAAAATTAGTTTCGGACAAAGTTCTGTTTCGAAACTTTGGGTCATAAACTGAAAAATGTCTATTGCAAGTCATAAAAAACTCTAGGTTATGCTAAAGCCATAAAATTGTTCGAGATCTTGAGTGGGATGAGTTTTTGAGCATAAAATTTAGAGACAAGCACTTGGAAAATGGCTTCGGACGAATTTCTTCAGCACAGGGATGTTTGGGATGACCTTTTCGTACAAATTCCGAATTATTCCGATTTTCAAAAATTTGGAATTCAGATATATTCCAATTTTGAAAAGTAAGTTCCGAAACTCGAATTATCGGAATATTGTCGAAAAATTCTGAATTTCTGAATATTCAGATTTTTGCCAACCTTAACTAATTGTATAATTGGAACATGAAATGCTGAATACAAAAAGATACTTCTCCCGTGCGGGACAGCTTTTATAGAATTAAGCGAGAGAGCATTAGAGAAATGAGGAATTTAATAATGGATTGAGGAGGCGTTATTGAGTGATAAAAAATAAAAAAACTTTCTGCTAGATAGAAAGATGATTTATAGACAGTAGAAAATACGAGATTGCATGCAATCGAGTACAAATTTTTGAAAATTCGGAAATTCGGAAAATTCCTATTTCGAAAAAGTTAGAAATTAGGAATATTCCATTTTGAAATAATCGGAGTTTCAGAAAATTTGAATTATGAAAAACTTGGTGGTTCGGAGTATTCTAATTATATAAAACTCGAAAATTGAGAACTTCAGAAGTTCGCAATATTCCGATTTTAAAAATTTTGGAATTTTGGAATATTCCAATTTAGAATAATTCAAAATTTCAGATTCCTCAAATTTCGAGATTTTCCGATTTTCATAACTTCGGAATTTCGGAGTTTCGGAATTTTCCATTTTCGGCAATTTGGGATTTTCGGAGTGTTCTAATTTTGAAAAATTTGGAATTTCGGAATTGTTCAACTCTGAAAATTCAGAAATTTATGAATATTTGATATTTTTTAATTTTCAAAATCTCCAATTTTTTGAGATTTTAACATTTAAATTTTGGAATAGCGCTTCCAGTTTTCCATCGAAAAACGACGAAAATTGGTAAAATTGTTTTTATTTGAGAAACGCAATATGAAAAATAATTTCGCTCGAGACGGGTAAGCAATTATTATCTTGTGCGTCTGTGACATACCGTAATCTAAAAATTTCGAATTCCAATAAATACCTTCGGTGATGTTCTGATCGGAATTCCGAGTTCCGTCCTGAACATCCCTGACTTACATTAGCTTTTTGAAACAATATACAAATTTTGGTATAACAAAGACATCAAAAAATTGAAAAAAAATTTGAATATGTTTTCTTAATTTCCATTTTAAAATTTCATCAGAGGACAACTTCTCTGACCAGGCTTTTGGAAAAACTATTCTTGTATTTCTAAAAAATATTTCAGTAGACCTGCGTGTCTGGCATACTTTAATCCCAAAAAACCAGGAAAGAAAAGTTCATGATTCCAAGAAATCAGATAATCTAGGAACTCATTTCTCAAACAATACAAAGACAGCGCTTATAGAGTGAAAGATGAAACTTTGAGATTGTCCCTTTTGACAGCTCTTTGGAATAAATGGAGCTAAAAGGACGAGGAATAGCCCTATTCAAACTTTTGGACTTTCACAAATGAAACTAAATATGAAAAAAATACGGGAAAAGGGATCGAAAACCGGATGTTCAAGGGTAGGCTGAAATGTTCAATAGGCTAGAGCACAAAGAGAAAACGTTTCAGTTGATAACAAAACCCGGATATTATTCGTTTCACCTTGTGAATAGGTTTTAATGAAAAACTTGACGGGTGGATCCTCGTAGTAGATATGCTTTTGATAACAGCTCCGGATTCAATTAAGGCTTCATTTTTTCATCCGGGCTTTTCAATAGGGGGGAGGATCAGTACATATGAAAAAGAGAAGAACTCGTTCTCAAGTTGAATACTGCACTTATTCGATATGACAAATCTTATGTAACTTCGGAAATTGAGAAATTTGAAGAATTGAGAAATTTGAAGAATCGAAAAACTCGAAAAACTCGAAAACTCACACAACCCAAAAACACTCGAAACTTATTGAAAAATTCTTGAGCGCAAAAAAAAGGCGTGAAAAGATTAATATCCTCTTTTGGACATCTCTAGGAGAAGAAATTGAAGTGAACTTTCTCGTCCTCCTCATTCCTGAATATTTTATTTACTTCAGTGTAGATATGGATGGAAGGATATTTTTCATGTCATATCAGTTTGATATGGGGGACACGGACTTATAGATGCAGATGGATGGAAAAGAAAAAAATATGAGGCTTATGGGGAAGATCCTCATCGAAAGGATTTCTTCTTCTTGTGGAAGCACACCTTGACTACTTGTTTTCTAAATGTTATTTTTTACCAGTACCTCTCCGCGTTTCAAAAAAAATCCACGGAACAAAGTCCACTTTTGCGTCATAGAGAGCTTATATGGATGTTTCTGTGCTCTCGCCATTTTGAAGTTTTTTGGTAACAAAAGGCTTTTCGAGCCGTGGTAGACGCGTGGGTGTAAAAAAGAGAAATGCAATATATCAATGGAAGTCCGACATAATCTCTTTGAACAAGATAAATAATAATTGTGAATGTAGGTCTTGCATTTCCATTTTTTGCCTTCATCTGCTTTTTTCTTTTCCATCGTCTTTTTGCTGATTTTTTCTAGGCCAGTCATTCATTTTTCGGGAGGAGCATATGAGAAGAAAAAGATAACAAGGAAATGAGGGATGATACGTTGTGGATAATTAGTGATGAAATCGAGGATAATCTTTTGGGGATTTTGAGGGATTATGTTTTGTGAGTCGTAAAACTTTTAGGAAGACTTTTCAGTTTAGGGTCTAATGCCTGGGACTTGGAATCAATGGAACTTTGAAAACAGGTCGCGGCCCGGCCTGACTGGGTAAGCATGGCTTTTCTCATTTCAAAATATTCTGACATTTTCAGAAATAAAATTTTCGGAAATTATATTTTTCAGCAGAACAGTCCGGAATGAAATTTGAAATAACGGAATCTCCGAAAATTCCCATCATTTTTGGAATGAAAAAACTTTCTAATAATCTTTCTGTCAGTTTTTCATTTATTTTCGGTGTTTTTTGTGATGGGAAAATGAAATTTCTACTTTAAAATTTGAATTTTTTAAAATTCCGAACATTTTGAAATTCCAATGTTTGAAAATCGAAATAATTCGAAATTCCAAAACTTTCAGGATTGGAGTTTCTCAATTTAAACATTTTTTAAATCAAAATATTCCGAAATTCCGATTTTTTTTCAAAATTAGAATGTTCCGGGATTCCGAATATCCGAAAATTTAGAAATCGAAAGTTTTCGAACTTCCAAAAATCCAAAATTTTCCAAATTAGAAAATTCCAAAACTTCGATTCCTTCAAAATTGGAATATTCCGAAATTCCGAATGTGTTTTGATTTTCAAAGCGGGATAATCTGAGATTCAGAAATTTCAAAATTTTGAAAATCAGGATGTACCGAAAATTGGAAATTCACGAAATTTTGAAAGTCGGAACAATACGTATTTCCAAGTTTTTCAAAACTGGAATATTCCGAAATTACGTAATTTTCAAAACCGAAATATTTCAAGATTCGGAAATTCCGAAAATCCAAGATTCGCAAAATTTTGATTGTCGGATACTTCGGCATTCCGAAAAAATTAGTATTTTTTTCTCGAAAAAACCAGTGAAAAAATACTGGAAAACAGTTTTCAGCCCGCGAAAATCTGAAAAAAAAACCAACCTCATACAAAAGTATTTGATAATGAGCAACATTTCAAGAAATCATCGATTATGCAACAACGTGGTAAAAAATAGAAAAATCCCCTATCATATTCAAAGAAATGAGCGGAAATCCGGAAAAACTCTTTAGCAAACTTTTTCTACTTTAGATACATAGATAGATAGGGATACACGACGAGAATTTTTGATTCTAATTTCGAATGCGTCATCTCTTGCACTCATATTACGTTTTTCTTTTTCTTGTTTTCTTAGGCTCCTCCATTGGTGACTTAGAGGCCAAAAACATCAAAAACATTCAATTTTCCAAGATAAACCGGCAACGGGATGAGAAAACGCTGGTTGTTTGGTGGCATACTCTTATTTTTAAAACTAATCAAATTGTCTGAACTTTCGTGAAAAGCTCATGGTGCCTTTGTGACAATTTTTTTGTCTCTGACACTACCACTAAAAACAAGCGATTCTTAGAAATAGAAACGGGAGGAAAAAAAGAAGAAGAAAAAACTTCAAAAAATTTTGAAAATAGAACCAATACAAGAATGAAGAATCCCATAAACTTTGCAAAAATAAAAACTATGATAATGATGGTGTTTTGAAGGTTATATTGGTCACTTGAGGATAGCTTCTTTCAGAAAAGTCGAGAATAAAAAAGCCCGAAGAAGTGCGTGACCATGGAAGAAAAGGAAGATCGTTGTTTCACTTTAAGACGAAGGGGATACCAAACAATTTGTTCATTTTGTTCGAATTGCCCTCAGGCCCCCATTTAAATTGCTTTTCGTATTGCCAATTGGTAATAGGAATGCCATAGCATACGGGGAAGGACACTGAAGAAAAAAAAGGACCAAGGATGGAAACCGATGAAAAAGGGCGTTATGTTGGAGAACATATGATGAAAAAAAAGATCTGGAGCAGAAAGTAAATAAATTAGTTGGGATCTTGATAAAGTAGTTGGTTTCTCCTTTTTTGAACTTTGATAAAATAAGAGTTTTGGAATCTTAGAAATGGGGGGGGGGGGGGTCATTTAAAATATTTTACGGTTAATACAAAACCGAAAAAAAACCGCGTGTTTGAGTTGATTTTGACCATTTTCAGAAGTCTAGAATCGGCTGTCAACTTGACAGCCGAGCTTCAGACTTCAATGAATGGTCTAAATCATTATCGACCGGTATTGTACGGCTTTGCGTTTTTGTCTTTTTTCAAAAAATTCAATACAAAATTCCGCTTTAGTAACTTTATAGTTTTAGAAAATTTGACTCTTATTAAGCAAAGTCTGTGTCTGCCTAAAATTGGATAATTCTAAATTTTAGAAATCCTAAAACAATGGAACTCAGTTTTTTGAATTTTTAGGAATTTCAAAACTCAATATAGCGAAAAATCCAGAACTGTAGAAATTCCGGAATCCCAAAATTTCAGATTTATGAATTTTAAAATTTAGTCAACTTGAAATTTTGATTTGTGGAAAATTTGTAAAATCAGAAAAACTCAAAAAAAACTTGAACGAGAAATGCGGAATTTTAGAATTTCGCAAAATCGAAACTGGAGAAATTCAGATAATTGCGATATCACACCTCTTGTTATGAAGAAAATTCGGATTTTCCAAAAAATTCATTCAAGAATTTAATGCTCCTGAAATTCAAATATACAGAAATTCAGATAATTGCGAAACAATAGAATATGAAAAGTCCAAAATTTCGTGGACTTGGAAACTCAGAAAAAAATTAGAAAATCAAAAGCTAATCACAATTTCAAAGTTTTTTACTATTTATCGAAGCAATACAATTAAAAAACGGTCCTAGATATATTCGAATAAGTTCCTAAAGTTTCGATGAATTGCAAAACATGAATTTTCAAAATTTCCTGAATTTTCGATATGCTCCTAGAGCATCTAAAGGTATATCATCTTGCAACTCATTAATCTTTCAAAGCGTTCAATTATTCATTTCAATTTCGTGGAATGTGCCCTAGCACAACCCCTGAAACCATTTTTTTTCTGACATCTCAGCTGGCGAGTTTGCCAGCTCTATGAAATCATTTCCTGAAACTCGAAAACAAGAATTTCAATTATTTTCTTCAAATTTAATAGCATTACAGGTTTGTACCAAAGAAACCATGATTCACCTCACGTCATGAGGGCATTTCTGTAGTACACATAGATCTCCTACACCTGATTTCTTCGATAATATTATCGGCAGCGTTGACAGATATATCATAACCGTCAGATTATGATGTGATGATGCGTTTAAGATTGTAAATCCGTATTCTCGGACAATTTAAGTACACCTCACCTATCTAGCGTTCGTTTCCGGTCATTGTTCTTTATTTCGGTACGAGGTACTATTTTTCTTCTGAAAATTTTAATCCTATTACCATATCATCAAAGTTTAAAGCGAACAATAGGGAGACAATCGGATTATAATTTTTTCGAACTATAATTCTAAAGGAAAGTGAAAAAAAGGTCGAAGTCGAAATAAGTGTAGGCAGCAAAATTTAAAGAAGATTATTGCAAAAAAATTGGTGAAGAAAAAAAAAAGACAAAACAGCGGATTAGTCTTTTGAAATTGTGATCTCTGATATCGATAAGAAATAATTGACTTTTTTATTTTGCGACGGTATGCTTGCAAGAATATTGTAAAACCTGTAATAGGAGGGCCTTTTTTTCTCGATTGCTGGTAAAGATAAATAAGATTCTCTACTGATAAATTGTTAATCATAATATTACCAATATTTCATCAGTTGATACAACCTAGGTATCTTGAATAGGAACTGAGGTAATTGAACTCAAACTTGACAGTATGGGGGGCCCTTCTATTGCAGATTTTACGGAGAGTAGATGAAGTAGTTGAGAACTTACAGCACAAAAAAAATCAGAAAAAACTTCCCGAATAAGCTCCGGTGACAGCTTGAAAAATGACACGTCGACTGCACCATTCATTAGACCTTTTGCATCATATTTCCAGTTTCCTAGCTTTCTTTTTCCATGTTTTCCTCTAAATAGATTGAATGGTTATTATTATTATGAAAGCAAAAATTATGAATATATAGGTACAGGTTCGTTTTGGAATCAAATATATCAGAATCATAGATTTTCAAGGGAAAATTTCGAAAATATGATAAAACTAAAGGAAGGGCGGATGGGATCGAGAAACAAAATGAGATTTTCAGGTTGTGAGAAATGGAGAGCAAGAATATTTTGGTAACTCAGTATTACCAAGCAAAGATTAGGCACATAAATTACGATGGGTGTGTGAAGCGCAGCTTCGGGGTTTTGACTAGATATGAAAATACAATAATAGAGAAAATCAGATATCTAATCGGATTCCATTGCACTCAGGTCGAGTCCTTCATCTGAGCTATCTTCAGAGTCAGAGAATTGGTTGATGTTGCGGAAGCAGAAGTCGCGGATGCGGGTGGCAGCCTCTTCCATATCGTCAGTGCTGCTGGTGAGAACCACTCGGAAGTATCCTGGAGCGGAGAAAGCTTGGCCTGGGAGGCAGAAAACTGATTCCTCCTGAAGAAAAAGGTAAATTAACTCTTGTTCCATATTTAGAGATGTTTGCAACTTACTTGAATCAGGTTCTGGCAGAAATTGACATCATTTCCATAAGCAGATCTGGAGATGTTGACCATCATGTACATGGCTCCCTTTGGCTTGACGACTCGCATTCCTGGGACATCAGCCAAGATGTTACCAACAATATTGGCGTTGGTTTCGATGACGTTACGAGTGTACACAAAGTACTCTTCTGGGGTTTCACGGAGGATCTTTGGAAGAGCTCCTTGGACAAGGGAGCATGGTCCGACGATCTTTTGGGAGAGGGCAACAATTCCTTGCTTGACCTCATTGAGAACTCCAAAGTGGTTGTGGATGATCAACCATCCCAATCGCCATCCTGGAACCATCCATCTCTTGGCAATACCGTCGCAAGTGATGATTGGGACTTTTGGACTGAGAGAAGCCATTGGATAGAATGTGGCTCCATTGTAAACCAAGTCTCCATAGATCTCATCGGCGATGATGATAAGTTTGTATTTGTTGGCAAACTCTAAAATCTCTTTGAGGTGCTCTTTGGTGAAGACTCCTCCAGTTGGGTTTCCTGGATTGTTGACAATGATGGCTCTGGTGTTCTCATCGATGATGGTGGCCATGTAAGACAAGTCGATTTTCACATCCTCTCCAGTCATATCAATCTTGTATGGCTTATCGACAATGTTGTGTGGGCGGCAGAGTGTGGAATAAAGTGGGAATCCTGGGTGTGGAACGAGAATGTTGTCTCCAGCGTTGGCAACGGCTTCAATAGCCATTTGAAGAGCATGAGAGCATCCAGAGGCAAGAACAACATCATCGGCGGTGAAGACGTTGTCACTGCTCGAGTATCGGTCAACGATAGCTTGGCGGGCGGCAAGAGCTCCAACTGCTGGTCCATATCCATCATACATATGAGTGCTCACTGACTCGTGCATGGCTTGAACGGCTACCTCACTTGGTGGAAGCTTTCCTCCAACTGATGGATCTCCAAGATGAAGTCTGATCACCTTTTTCTCTGGGTTTGGTGGCACTGCGCAAGCATCAGCAATTCTACGGACTGGGTTGACGGTGTTCTTAGAGTGGGCGGATTGTGGGAGAACAGTCCATTCTTCTTTACGAGTTGGCTGGAAATATAGAAAATAAGACATAGTCGTAATATGAGGAAAAGCGAGGGAAGGCATGTGCTTATGTACTCCGAAAAAAAGCGGAGGGGCATAATTAGAATCACGCCCCCACACAAACTCCAAACATGCAATTTACCTTGCTCAAGAAGCGACGCTCGTGGACCATTAACTGGTTTTTGATTTCTTCCTTGGTAATGGCTCCTGGAAGTGGAGCAACACGGCTGTGACTGTGACTCATTAGAGTTTGCATTTTTGAAAATGTGAACGGTTGAAAGGAAAAGTGACCACTGAAGTGAAGCTGTTCCTAATCTGGAAAAAGGGAAAGTTTGAATGTATAGCGGAAGTAGAAGAAGAAGAAGTGAAAGGAAGAGGAAAGGAGGAATTGAGGAAAATAGAAGGTACTGGAAATATGCTGGAACACTGAGAATCGAGCCCCATTTATATATCTCTGAACGAACGAAATTGAACCCCGCCCCCCACTGATAATGTTTCGACGCCGCACGCGACTGATCGCTAATTGAAGGAGGAGTCGAATTTGTCGCGTGGTGATCACTGTCTCCCCTGCGCCTCCAGTTCTTCATCATACTGGTTCCCACGCTTTCTTCTCGTTTCCCAAGCCCGTCCCTGCGTATCGTATCATCTCGTCCTTCTTCCATTTCATCGCCGTCTTCGCAATATTCTCTTCCCAACCTCCTCCTGTCCTCTATCTCTCTTGTCTCTCCTTGCCGGCAGCGGCAGCAGAGGCGACTGACGACGACACTGTATTAAAAATACATACACGTGGCGCGATAGTCACGTTGACTAAACATGATGACATACACCGAAAAATGACGAAAGATAGAATCGGGGTCGGGCCGTTTGTCAGACCAGATGAGAGCGGTCGATAACATAAAACTTGGTTGGTGGACGGTAAACAAGTGTGGGTGGTCTAGTGAACACACACACAGCTGATAGTGTGAGTACAAAAACCGAACAAGATGGCGTCAGACATCTCCAAAATAACCTCCAGATAAGAAAGAAAAAGAAGAAAGATGATTGTCTATTTTTAAAGAACAGATCAGACATGCACACGTCACTTATGATGATTTTCTATTGTCTCACGTAGTATATGCCGAAGAAGTGTAGTGTAAACGTATCATCTAGCGAAGGGAGACAGATAATCGGGTACTGTAGACAGCTGTTATTAGCACTTGTCTATTTTCGGATTATCACACCTGGCTGTCAATTGACCTTGATGGGAACGTACTTAGTGTTGTTTTTGAGAAAAACAGTGCATCTATTAAGTACAAATTCTTTAAAAAGTTCAAACTTGGAAACAGATTCTCAATTTTTTGATACCGTGACGTGCATACGCAGAAGTTCAGCTGCTATGTTTAATTGTTGATAGATCACTCCTTAATTTTTATTGTAACTTGATCAGGGAAGCGTTCTTTTTTACCACCCGACGCGTACTTGATTTTTAGTTTCTGTTTTAGCAATACAGACGTCTTCCAGAAATGCATCACAGATTTTTCGCTGAAAAAAGAACCCACGAGGGGTTGGCTTCTACAGTACCAGTTATAAATTGATTTCGACTTTTTTTAGATGTCTGGAGCTCGGCTATCAAGTTTCTGATCAATTTGAAAATTCCTGAAGGGGTGAAACAGATCTAGATTGAAAACTTTGCTTTCACAGAATTAATTTGAAAATTCTAGTTTTTCAGCTACCTGCCGATCTATGCAGCGCACTTTTTTTTACCTTTCCAGTTCAAAACAAACCAAAATGAGTTTCTTTCAGAAATCCACAAAAGATGAATTTTCAGAAAAGTCTGTGAGTTCAATTTTTTAAATTTATGTCTGTTCTAGACCATCAGAAATCGTCAAAATGCTCGGGAACTTGACAGCCGAGCTCCAGACTTCTGAGAATGATCAAAATCAACTGAAAACACGTTTTCGTATATCCGGTACTGTAAATCCCACTCTTCTGTTCCATTAAGTGGTATACTGTATCTCAGTTCAGTGCCTGCGTACGTAATTGGTTTCTTTTGCGATCAGGATCTTATCACAATAGAAAATCACCAAGGATCACAATAATATCAAGTTACGATCAAACTCTCTCACATCATTTCTAGAACAAGGCTGAAAATGCATGTATTATCTGCAAAAACACACACTCCTATCAGTGTTTTTGGGGTACTGTGGGTACTTCGATGTTGTTATTCCGGCAATGATGATTGGTTTCTTGTTCTTTAAAGACGTCGGAGAGACACTGACGCCATGATCATTAGGACAAGAAGTCGACGACGGCTTTTAATAGACTCCTCGAATTGGTTGTTTTGTCTTTTGTGTTTTGTCTTAATATAGATCAGTCGCATAGAGATAGATCACTACACTAAGACGGAAATAGAATACTATACATGATTATGTATGAAAAGATATGACTTCCGCTTCATCGGAAATCAGAATCTGATCTTGTAGGTGCACTTGCTTCTCAAAGTTCCCTGCTTTGAGAGAAATTTCTAGAACTTCATAACCTATTTTCAGTCTTCGCTCTATTCTCGTATCAAGACCAAAACTGTTGACCGAATTTGCCAAAAAAAAAAGGTAATGGGCGGAGCGGAAGCAGTACACGGCACGTTTTTACCTGATCCAGAAACCTTAATTTCTCATTTTCTGGGAATGTGTTTCTGATTACTGTAGAAGTGTGTTTTCCAATTCAAGCGGTACAGTACCGGTCAATAAAACATTCAAAAACGTCTTTTTCAGTTAATTTTAGACGATTTGAACAATTCCAAAAATCTGGACCTCGGCTGTCTAGTTTCCGATTATTTTGAATATTTCGAAGGTCCAGACTTCTGAAAATGGTGAAAATTAACTGAAAAACACGTTTTTCATATATTTGTGGCCAGCACTGTATGCGTAGGGTTACTGTAAAATTGATTTTTGTTATAATTTAGGACACATCACCATATTTCATGTTATTCAGAATCAGTTTAACCAAAAACTTGCTGAAAAAACTCCTCTCACATATCTCTTTGCGAGTCAAATCCCAGTTTTGGTCATATTTCATCATCCGTCATTTTTCAATTCTTGTTCTGTTATTTGAGCTGCCATGCTCAAAGATCTTTTTTTGCAAAACAACTTGAAAAGTTACTCATATCTTCAATTAAATTCTCTAAAATCCAAGATGACTTATTTTCAAAAACCGAATTTCCGAAAAACAAAAACATACTAATCCCAAAAATCCAGTTACCATGAATTGTTGAAATTAAGTGAATTTTTTGCAAAATTTGTCATCATTTTTGAGATATTCTAGAATTTCAAAGTGTTCAATAGTGCAACCCGATACAGTATCCCTTCTGTTCACCAAACCTCAAAAACAAAAAAATAGCTTTAAAGTTCACACTGATCTTTTGTCTGATAAACAAAACTTCGTTCCGTCTCTATTCGGCATCGAAAAGAAAAATCTAGTCTTCTAGAACTTTCTCTCAATTACTACGTCTGCGTATCAAATTAATTGACAGTACCACTGGCTGCAGTGTTACCAAATCAACCTTTGTACTTGGAATTAACCGTTCTCAGCAGATTTGTTTCCAAATTTCAACGTCAAGGTCACCTAACCTGGGTTAAGTTATACATAGGCTTTGTTGTACCGTCCTGAAATATTTTTTGTTTCTCCCGTAGCCATTAACATGATAAAAAATCCACCAATAAAAAAGTGGAGTGATTCGAAGGTTGTTGTTAATACCCCGCTCAGATGTTCTTATGTTCTTGATATTGATATCAAAATCAAACGTGAACATTATCAATTCGTTTTCACTTTGTGTTTTTTTTTCCGACCGTCTTCTCCTGATAACCACCGATCCCTTTTTATCATCTGCAAGTCGACAGAGACCACAGGCGTCTTGTTGAACATAAAATCAAGGGTTTCGTCGCCAACACTTAAGCGAAAGACGATGACACCGACAACCATATCAGTATCCGTCCTTTTTTCGCAAACAGCCGGTGAAGAGGAATGTGTCCGGTAGCGTTGAAATGGACGATTTAGAGAAAAAGAAAAACACAGAGTGAAATTGAAATTTAAGATGTGAGAGAGAAACAAACAAATCTCACATGTTCAGGTACATTATCTGTTTTAGAGCATCAGCTGACACAGTTCGTCGGTTTTCTCACGCTTTCAGGTCAAGATCAAAGACAAAGAATTTTTCTGGCATAAAGTCACGTGGTGCTAGTGTCTGCCTTCATTTCCTGACACGGAAGTTTAAATGACGAAAACGTCCTAGTTATTTTGTGTCGACAGAAGGGCATAAACTTCCGTACAGTAGCTGTAAAAGCAACCGTCAACAAACAAAGGAGTGCTGCCACTGACAGACACCGTTCACAACCACAATATTGCATCAGATTGCAGAAAAACGATTCACTACAGACCGCAAAACACAAACCCTTCTTTTTTTGGGTAGCAGGGCTCAAAAATGGCGTTAAACAGCTCATAAAAAGGGTTAGATTTTCAATTTCCCAGAAACACCAGCTACCGTAATCCCAATGTTCAACTTGATGTCTGATACTGATAGAGTCTTTAGTCTTCAAAGCAAAACAGCGATAGATATTATATCTTCAATTTTTTTGTTGTTTTTATGTTTTTCGATCGTACTTTTTTGTTTTAGGATCCATTGATACGACGGTCGGCTTTGCAGAGAATGATGTAAATTGATGATATTGGGAATCATAGAGAAAAGGTTCCGAGACCAGTTTTCTTCCACTTTTCGGGCGCTGGGTTGCATCATTTTCTGTAAATGTCAGATTGTTGACTCCAATAGAAGAGTAACTAAATTCCGAGAATACTGTGAGGAAGCTCGAAGCACTTTCAGGTTTTCAGGGACTTAAGCACTTTAATAGAAAGCAATCCAAACTTTCAACTATAAGTCTATTTATCTCACAAGGGAAGTGTTTTCAGACGGGGGTTGAGAATTTGCTCAAAATTTGTGAAAAGGTATTTTCGAACACGCTGAAAACGGCTTCAGCAATATCTCATCCCCGGATCCAATAGGAATCGAAATATGGGCTCTCAAAGTGTTTTCAGTGCTAAATTTTGACGAAAAATGTTCATTTTCCGAGCTTTAAAACTTGTTTTTCATGATGTTCTCGAATGCGAACCTCATTTTTGAACATTTCTATATCAGCTAGAATAGTTTTTGAACAATTTCAAGAAAAAAGTTTTTTTTGAAAATTTTTTGAAAAATATCTCTATGGGGTCCCCCACACTTCAAAAGTATTTTTTTGAATTTTTTGAAAAGTTCCAAAAAAAAGTCCCAGTTATTCAGAAACGATGAAAATAGCGTTATCACAATAATTGACATCCCAATTACGTTTTTGGGCTCAAAAAATCTCCGAAGAGTCGTAATTGCTAGAACCTTGACAACCCCTAGCTTCTCAAATATTGCTGGAAATTGACTGGAATCTATAGAAAAAGGTTCAAAAGTTATACTTGATCGATTTAGAAGTACTACATTTCGAAAAGGGTAGAATTGAGAAGTTTCCAGAGGGTAGAACTTTCGTTTTTAAATATAGGATAATGTAAGAACCGGTCAAAAAGATCATCAATAAATTTTTCATCAAGTTCTCATAAAATCTTCTTTCTACTTTGAAAATGTAGAAAATTCATCAAATTGTATCATAAAGTGTCTAGAGGGCCAAACTGGAAATCAAAAATTCGAAAGAAGCAAAAAAAGTTCTACCACAGCGGGGTTCGAACCAACATATTCACTCCTAATGAGTCACCCTCTTACCACAACACCACACAGTTGACATTTTTCTCTGGCGCGGAGGGCGTAGAGGAGGGAGGGGGCCAGAGAAGAGAGGGAGAGCGCGAAATCGGTACAAAAGTTTCAGACGAAGATTTTTAGCTTCCTGGTGAATTAGGGACGAGATATTTTTGACATCGTGTAGAGGGAGTCTCAAACTATAAGTACTAAAATTTTGAGCAAATTCTCAACCCCCCGTCTGAAAACACTTCCCTTGTCAGTACTTGTGAAAGATATCAAAAAGTGGTCCATTGACAGAATGTTTATGAAATTATGGTTAACATTTCGCGTATTGACTATTTTCAGATATCTTGCCTTAAAGTTGACGGTTTGGGTGATCTTTTAAAGTGTGTATGGTAACTCAATGCTCACACTGTCTTAACAAATGCTCAATTACAAGATTTCAAGCTGAACGTAAAAATCTTATGCATATTCACCCCGGCATGACGATTTTGTAGTCTTTCTTAACATTTTTTCATTACAGAGAATGAAAACTGAAAAAAAAATGACCGTCAGTTTTTGTGACTGTCAATTTTAGCATCCGTTGTGTTCAGACTGAAATTGACATTTTGAATTCATAACAAGTGTGAAAACTACACTTTGCAAGTGTAATAAATTCAAAGCGTGGGGGTGATTTTTGGTTTCTGAAAACTTGCTTTTAGGATGAGAAAGGGACCGACTGTGTTAGAATACGAATTTGTTAGTCAAGGGGCCGTAAAATTTTCATACAATGACCGCAAACTTTTAGCCTATACATCTCGTTTCCTGTCAAAGATATAAAAAACTGGCCATCTGACAAAATTTTAAATATAGGATTTAACATATTTTATTAGTTGACCATTTTTTGATATCTTTCATAGGAACCGAGATAAATTGACTCAAAGTCATTTTTGGGCCAAAAAAGAATTTCTTTCGGAAATCGTGGAATAGCTGAAAAACTAAGAATTTTCAAAAAAAATTTTGTGAATGTAATTTTCTCAATCTTGTTTTAATTTACACCCTTTAAAATTTTCGAAGTGGTCGAAAACTTGACAGCCGAGCTCCAGACTTTTAAGTGTTTACGGTTTAAAGTTGGGATTATAGATATATGGATCTATTTATAGCTCTCTATAGCAACCAATTTCAATTCTAGCTCTATTTTCATGACTTGAAACTTTTTTATGCCTTGTTACTGATCGACTGTAGTATACAAACTATTTCCGGTTGTCTATTGTTCTACCACGTGAGTGAGTCAATATAAAATAATTTTTACTACTTTTAATTTTAATATCTATTTTTGATAAAACCTGACCGGTTATTGTGGTTTTTGATGAAACTTCTTCATTCCCACGCCACCATAAACAATCTTTAAAATACGATATCACGCTAAATTTAGCGCCAACGACTTCCATTTTAGAAAGTCACGTTTGACCGATTGATAAGAAACCTTTGAAGATCGCCCCGAGGCCACGTTGATCTTTTTGTGCGACGTCACAATAATTGCGCTATGTGTTTGTCATTGGAAAAAATTCGTTGAAAAGATGAAAAGTTATATTGCATTTTTATCTGCAAGACTCGCCGCTCCAGCACTCAATCATATCAACACTAGAGAAAGAAAGTGAAAAAACTCTAAGACCGTGTGGCAATTGTCAACGAAAAAAATTGTGTTTCTTTCTTTTCTATGACCTGTCAATTAACAATTCATTGTCGTTGGGAGAGACGGAAATGGAACCATTCTCGGATTAGACGATTATTTCAAGAGGGAAAGAAAAGAGAGAGAGAGAGAGAGAGAGAGAGAGAGAGAGAGAGAGAGAGAGAGAGAGAGAGAAACTGATAGCGCCGATTTCATCATTGTTCCAGCATTTTTAAAATGGATGGTCTGATTTTTATTAGAGTACTCACAAAGAAACACAATTAACATGTCACCAAATTGTATGCAGATAAGGGTGGGTGTGGTTATTATGCATCGAGGGAAGGATTGTAGTAGGGAAAAAGGAAAATTCGGAATCCGGTAATCTAGACAGTCACTGTAAAAAGGGAAAAAGACACATCTAAAAATTAGAGATCAAAAATAAAAATGGAATGAGACGAAAAATTAAGTACAATTATTTGCATTAGTTCTCTTTCATCCTGACAAGAAAATGTTAAGTGTATCACAATACAGTTATTGACAAGAGAGCGGGAGTTCTAATTTCTGGAATTAAGGAACGTAGTAAAAGAAATGAAATGCCAAAAATGACAAATCATGATCATTCATGCTTTTGGTTTTTTTCATTATAAAAAAAGGATTAGGGAGTTGCACTTATGACAAACGAGACGTTGATTGGAGAGTCGCAGCGAACGGATTGACACCTCCAAATGTTGCGAAACCTGGAAGATGAATTTTCAAAATGGACTGTACCGGATTTTCGGCATTTTCAAAAGCCTGAAGCTCGGCTGTTGAGTTCCCGATCACTTTGATAACTTTGGAGAGTGTCAAACAGACCTAGATTGTAAAGTTTGATTTTACATAATATTTTAAATAATCCTAGTTACTAAGCTAATTGCAGATATCTGAAGGTCCTGCTTTTCAAAACATTTTTAGTAGAAAAACAGATCAAAAATCCTTTTTGTCCGTTTTTGTTCTGAAAACGTGAGAAAAAGGTATCGCTCAAAAATCGGAAAAAATCTTAAAAACTAATGATTTTCAGAAACTCTGTGAATGCAAAATTGTCAATCTAGGTCAGTTTCACATTCTCCAAAATTTTCAAAGTCATTGTAAACTTGACAGCCGAGATCCAGGCTCTCGAAAATGGTCAAAATGATCGAAGATCAACCAAAAATTAGTTTTTGTGTATGTTTTTGACTGTATCACTGTATTAGTCACGCCAAAAGTGAATAGCAAAAGAATGAAAGGACTAAGGAAGATGACAAATAAGAATTCCCAGAAACTAAAAAAAATGTAACTGATATGATTATCCTAGGGATTTTTGAAATGATCACACAAGATGACTTATAAGAGTGTTTCAAAACTAAGAGAAATAAGTACTCTCAAAAATTCTGACACCTACCAGTTTGAGTATTCAAAAAATTTGCGGCTGGTGTGGTATTGACTGATGGGTACGATGTTTGGTAAACTGCCGAAGAGATTGCTGGTGGTCCTGCTCCATAAGGTAATGCGGATCTTGGTGAAGAATGCGTGCGAGACGCATAATCAGTACTGGAATCGAACTGAGTATGGTAGTAATTTGTCAATGACTCCGTAGATGTTCTGAAATCATTTTTTGAAAATTTCTGAATTTTTTTATTCAGTTACCTGTTGTAAAGAGCTTCAGCCAATTCTGCAGCTCTTTTCAGGATCTGATCTCTTGGAAGACGTTCTGGATCTCCTGGATATTTTGGAAGGAGTTTTTGGAGACGTTGAAATCCGTACTCGATTCCTGGCTCGGCCATGTCTGAAAGGTAAATTTGGTTCTGGGAATCAAGATTTCTGGCATACTGATATAGGAAAAGCGTAGTGGTGTTCCTCGGCTGTAAGATTTTCCTTTGACCTGAAGAGTGACTTCTACTGGTCCAGCGGCATGCTTAGCTGGGGTCGTCACTCGAAGAGCGTGTGGGGAAATGAGTTGAACATTCTGAATGTGTGTTTTTTTTGGTCGTTTTTAAACTAGATTTCTATATACCTCTCCCCAGTTTGGGCTAGTAGTACCGAACGCTACTTGGAGCCCTTCATAGAAATTCTCGCCGATAATGACGATTTGTGTTCCTCCGGCGACGTATCCTTCACTTGGGAATAATGCTTTCATGACTGGTACAGACGATGGAAGATCAGCAGATTCAGAATACTCGGAATCTGAAATTCGCCGCTGTTTTTTTAAATGATTGTGTGGCTCAAAGATCCCCATTACTATAAAAACAACTCCTCCTCCAGATTCAAATCAGATGTAATAGCTTCCTATCCTTTCACGCCAATTATTTGTTTTTATGATTCCTATCCTCTCCTCCATCTATGTATACACCCCATTTCAATTCCCCGTTATGATTCGAGCAGATGATAGCATGAAACATCATCAGGATGCACCGAGAGGGTGGGGAGACCGGAAATCTAGATAAAGATATGCCATTGTGTGCTTCTTCTGTCTCGCGTAGAAGGTTATGACCCACTGCATGCATAAATTGAACACTTATCGCCATTTATCGAGGTGTCAGCAATTGACAGCTGCCTCTCGCTCATTTTCTAGGCTGGCACGTGGCCAGTGATGATCGCCCCCCCCCAAAAACGGGAGGAGGAAGACAACGAGGGAAAATGATGAATGTTTGGAAAAGAAAAAAAAGGAGAAGAGGAGTATGTTTAACAGAAGAAAAACTGAGTGATCATAATTCGAATTGACAGATGTAAAATGGAATGTGTATGGTAACAACGAAAGAGTCTTTAGTTCTTGTTAGTCACTTTTCGAAGGGGTGTACTGTAGAATGGGGGAGCGTGAGGAATAAAAACCCGAAACTAACCATCGGATGCATCTGTCCGCTTGGTCCGTCTTCCGTGTTTCGAGTTATTGTGGACGAACATGTTATCAGAAACTGCCAAGAGGAGACCATCAAGACGAGCGGAGGCACTGAGGACAACCTGAAAATTGATATTCGGGGTTCTAAACAAATATTCTTACAAATGGCGGATTTTTGTAAATTTGGTGTTTTTCGGTACGAGAAATAAGTAAAATTAGTTAGCTTTTTAGCTCGGGACCTTTGAAAATGATCAATTCAACTGAAAATTGACTGAAAACTACGTTTTTGGAGTATTTATAGACTGGTACTGTCAGACGTGAGAGATTATTGTGAATTTGGGGGTTATTTCAAAATTTGACCTAGGTAGTTCGGAAATTGAGAATATATCAGTCCGTTATGTTACTCTTATGTTTTTCCCACTTGTTTTACCTTAGAAATACCAAAATTGCAAGCGGATTCGTGAAAACTAACAAATTCAACACATTTTGCGGTCTCAAAAAACCATAAATTTACAAAAATCCCACGTTTGCGGGTACTGTATATTTTTGATTCTCAAAAACATCAATTCCAGAGCTACGGAATAGCGTTGTCGGAATATGTATTACAGTAACCCTTGCCTCTTATGACAACAATTAATGAAGATCACGAATCAATTTTTTGGATACTGTACCCCTTATCTTCCCTACCATTCCCTCTTCTAAACGTTTTTCTAATTTTATTCATTACCACTTCTCTTTCCTCTCGGTTTAACCCGAACAACAGATTGAAGATTGGCTGTCATTTATGACTCCCCGCTGGGACCGACTCGATTTACAACTATCCCCCCTCCCTTTTCCGAGAACCCGCCGAAAACACAGTCTGTTGCTCGAGAAGACACCCCAGTTCTACTATTCAGTGTCAGTTTTGCATAAAAGGCGCATCACCCTAGCACCACCTGTTTCTTTAAGAAACTGAGATGATGAATTGAGATGGTTGAACTGTTTTGTGATGAGGAAACAATTGAAAGATGACAAACCTGGAAGCGTCGCATGTCTCGTGGATTGCCAGCGTTTTTCAAACAGTTCTGGTTGCATTTGAGGAAGAATTTCATGAAGAATCTGAAAATAATAAGATTTCGATCCAATTTTGGGATCCAAATCCAATGTCCCTTTCATTTCCAAGTCTACCCTTGTTAAATGAAAGTTTGTTGCAACCGAGTACCAATTTGCGCAAGTTACTCACTCAAGATGCTCTTCTTGTGCGTCTCACCACTCAATTCGGGGGGTCCGCTACACAAAAGTATCACCCTCCTCTCTTTTTGTGTCCAACTCTTCGGGAAAGTAGCAATTACTCGATTTTCATGTAGTTTTGAACCAATTGGATAGAAAAGGCGAACACGATAATTCGATTGGAGTAGAGTGTTCGTAATTACTATCAAGGAATGAGATGACTGGGTTATGGGGAGCAGAAAACATAACAGGATTGGATACTTATCCCTCATCATGTTATAAGGGAAATGTGTAAAAGGTTTGATCCTTAATAGTATAAATGCTCGAAAGCATAAAATTTGGAAAAAAACGTAAGTTCAAAAATTTCAAAATTTCGTAAAAATTCGAAAATTCAGAAATTTGAAAAACTGAAAAAACATGAATTTAAAAACTTCAGGACTTCCAGAAATTTGGAATATCCGAATATTCAGAAACTCGGATTTTCAACCTTTTCAAAGTTATCTGAATTTCCAAAATTTCCAGGAAATAAAATTTTGAGGTGTATTACAAAAATACCGAAATTCCAAAATTCGAAAAAATCAAACTCTGGATATTTCAGAAAACTCAAATTGGAACTCTAAAAAAGCGTGAAATTCAAAAGTTTTCGGAAATTTTGAAAGTTGAAAAAATCGATATTTCAAAATTTTAGAAAATCAGTTATTTTTTAATTCTAGAAATTCAAGACAATGTCAACGAAATCGATGAATTTTCCAAAGATACGTGCTGTACCGGTCAGTAAGACATACAAAAACTTTTTTTTCAGTGTATCCGATCACTTTTTCAAAATTTTGGCGGGTGTAAAACAGACCTAGATTGGAAACTTTGGGTTTAGGGAAAATTTTGAAAATTCCCAGATTTTCAGCTATTGGACGATTTCCGAAAGACACTTTTTTTCATTTTCTCAGTATAAGAACGGGTGTCTTTCGGAAATCAGTTCATCTAACAGATAGCAATATCTTTCAAACTACAAAAATGTTAATGATTTTATGATAATACACTTATCATCTGACAAATTGCTGATATCTCTTGAAAGAACCAATACATTTGAGCTCGAAGTGCAAATAAAATGTTACAGTGAGTAAAAACCGGTGATGAATCCAATTAATGTCACGGAAGATGTGAATCAGCTTGACCTCTTGTATACTGCTCCCCACAAAACTTCTAATCCTTTCCCGCATGTTATTTTCTTTGTTTCTTTTCCCATTTCAGAATTGAAACCTAAACCAAAGCAATCTAAGAAAAAGGCGAGGTCGAGCCTCGCTTCATTCATGTTTTTACGGCATTCCGGACCCGGTTTCATGGCGCAATACTATTAGCTGCCTCTCCCCCTTGTCTAGACATCTGTCTACTATTTTAACCACCCTTTTACTTGAATTCCGCTATTCAAGCTCTTTTGCCATTTCAGAATAACAAATTGCAAACCTGTCAATAATAACCGGGTCGCTGGGTGTTTCGTTGCGATTTCCACAACTCTTCTTCTCACAACACCGACTGCACATCACTTCGTGTGTTAGAAGTACTCGGCACATCTCCGGATTTTTATCTTGTCCTTCGTATGTGATAGCCTGAGGATTGCATTTGATGTGATGATTTTAATGGCTAGTGCGCGAGCTTAATGGTACTAGTTTTTCGTCTTTCTCGTTTTCAAGTTGTACGAAGAAACTTGCGAAAGCATCCTTTTCCTTTTTTGTGCCAGATAAAAATGATGAATGTGAAAGAAGAGGCTTCGATGAATGTTAGCATACACAAATATAAACGAAAAAGATACAGTAGGACAAGGCAGTTTTCAAGAAAAGGGATCCTATTCTTTGAGAGTAAATTCAAAATAACCTAGTAGAAGTATAAATATGCAATGACTAATTTTTGAAGAGGGCAATATTAGGAAATTAAGAAAAACAACAAAAAGGACTTACTTGCTTAGTGACACTGTCGATTAGCCTTACGAACAAATCTTGTTCACCACGTATTCCTGAAAATTAGAGAATTGTTGCTCATCCCCTATTTTTAATTAGGCTTCTCTCCTTTCTCTCACCATTTTGAAACATTAACGAGACTCGGTAGTGTATTCCATTTCTCGTATCCTGCCCGTCCACTTCTTTCTCTTTTTCAACAAAACCGGCAAACTGAGTTCTTTCGATTTCAATTGGTGCGTTGTTCACGTCGTACAAGGCAATGACAAAGTGGAAAAAGTTGGATTTCCGCAAATTGTTGGGCGGATTTTTCTCAAAGTGCGCTCGAGCAATTCGTATACTGTAATTAATTGATTTCAGCTTTTCAATATATTTATTTGAGCTGAGACTGATCTAGAATTATTCGAAAATTATAAAGCATTTTGTGGAATTTGACTAGCGCAGTTTTATTTCCTAGCGGATGCCTCTTTTCTAGCGGATGTTACCATTCTCAAGGGGCAATTTCTTTCTAGAAAGAGAAAAAACATGAAAACTAACCTTCCATTTGACGCGGCGTCGATGATAGGCCAGGCGGTTCGACTCTCATCTTTTACAGACCTGAGTAAGGTATTTGAGTCAGGAAAGAACATTTGCACAGCTAGCGGCCCCTCGGGAACCGGCCTCATTAGACACAGATCCACAAGCGCGCGCGGCGGCTCGGGACCGAGCAGCCCCCAAGAGGCCACGCCCCTCTGCGCACTGGGGGCCAATGGGTGGGCCCATGGCACAGTATGAAGGCTTGAAAAATCTGCCATCCCAAAAACGCTAAAATATCCTTCCCGACTTTACTGATGCTCAAGTTTCGATAAAGTTGGGGATTACTACTTTTTTAGTAACGAGAATTTCGAAAACTGATGGATGGATATCGGTGATTTGTCTTTAACTTGAAAGTGCGATCTTTTTTTCGGCTTTTATATGACTCACTTCTCAAAAATGTGTTATTAAATCATTTTTAGCTTCTTGTTCGTTATCATTGTAATATGATAACATCTAGAGTTTGCTCTCCAAAAATGAAACCTCGTGACTTTGATGGTATGCAATCGAATTTGCAACAATAACTAGAAAACATGATGCCATATCAGTTTTTTCTCAAAAATTGAAACGAAATCATTATCAAAAGTTTAAAGATAGGGGTTACAAACAATTTGTGCAATTGCAAAGACACGAAAAATCGGAGCCATTTTGGGTAAACAAAGGTTATTATCGAAATTCTTAATTATCATCGAAATTTCTTCAAAAATGATCTCGAAATTCAGAAAAATAGAGGGACTTCGAGATATAAATAATATTTGGAAAGACTGGCAAAGTTATTGACCAAGGCGACTCAATTCTCATCTGCCCCTGTTGGAACGAGTGACTCAAACTCCAAAGGGAATTAATGACTGCGGTCGGTCCGCAGCGAAAGCAGCAAAAAAAAATAATGTGAGCGAATTCAGTCTCTTGGGTACCAGGTTGCTTTTTCTATTTTTTTCTAGAACTACAGCAAAAAAGGATTTGCTTGAATAATTAAGAAGTGGATTAGTTTTTCAATGGCTGTATGGAAAATTGTGAATTTCAGGAACATCAATTTTTGTGTTTTTCACTAACATCTGCGTCTTCTATTAAGAACGGTGATCAAGTTTAAAAATTTGGATTTATCAAAAGCTGTAACTATACAAAATTAGGAAAAAAAGTCTGATTCGGAAATTATGATAACCTAGGATGAATTGATAGAGAAGAAAACACTTTTTGGGGTTATTATATAGTTACGGTAGGCATTTTTTTCGTCTAATATATGACGTTGGTCAGCCGCGTAGCTAGCGTCACTGTAGCTAACTAACACCTCGATGGGTCATGTCCTTCTCCTTCAATTGCGTTAGTTTTTGACACTAATTCTTCAAATTTTTCTAGTCGAAAAAACTGCTAAGAGCAAAAACTTGATTTTCCGAAAAACCTGAGGGACCCCAAGAGAGAAATTTCATGTGAGAATGATGTTTAATCAAAACTGGTTTATTGGATTAGCAATTTGTTTTTAATTGATGACTCAGCGGATACTGTCAAGAGATTTTTGACAAAAAAATCATCAAACTCTTTTGGACCGCTATGAATTTCAATTGAACTTGGGACCATTGGGAATTATCAATGTGAGTAGTGTTTTTTGATTTTATAAAGCAATTTTGCTGAATGATAGTAATAACAAAATTTTTGTGAATCTCAAAACTGAAAAAATGGTTTAAAATAGCTAGAAATGTTTCAAATTAAGAATTTGCCTTTTATTTCCGACTACATAATAATAATAAATGAATGTTTGCTTATTGCCAAAATCTACAGTTACAGGCTTTTCAAATCATCATCTTTCACATCACTTTCTTATTGTGGTCCTTCCAGATAGACATCTTCATATTTTCGATTCTCCAGGGACTCTCACTAACAAGGACCTGACACAAACTGAATAATATTTATCTGGTTATGAAATCGTAAAAGAATTTTCCGAGAATTTGAGAATTAATTATGTTGATGAGCCTCACTACCGTAGTTTTTGTTATTCGATGTCTTTTTCCCCAATTTTTTTTCATGTTGTTTCATCGATAACAAAAGTTTAGCGGTAAACTGTATTGCTGATCATTTAGATTCCACACGCACTCGACATTTTTCTTGGTTTGTCTTTCTCTCCCAAAACATGCCAAAACCTCGATTTAAACGAGCCTCTCCACCACTTGTTTGGCTTTCTTCCTCGTCTTTTTTTCCAGAAGATCGAAAAAGAAGAAAAAGAAGAACTAGAGAAGTTATTCTACTTTCTTGGCCCGAAAAACATGGTGATATGTGGTGTGCTCATGCTCCTCTCTCTCTTCACTCTGTCATATATGTAAATGGTTTGAAATCCGACAAGACAGCTGCGAACTCGTATAACAACATTTTGTAACGGAGAGACAGATATCTCCCCCTCTCTTTTCTTCGAAATATGCAAATATTTCTAAAAGCGAGACCAATAAAAGAGCGCTGCTCATCCACTTGTTCCTAGTTATCAGTTTGTAGCAATCTTGGGCCCCTTCCCGCAATTTGTAACATAGCCCGAAAATCTCATCATTCACCATGTACGGATTCGAGGAATTGACGAATTGCCAAAAATTTCGATAGGGGTACGAGATTTGTAAGGCTGATCGGATATTTGATGCTTTGACATTAGCCACAACAGGGATATATCATGGTGTGCACTTTATAAAGTTCAATGATGATTTATAAAGTGATTAACATTGTCTCAAAAGTACAAGGAATGATAATGTAAAAAATCTCAGTGAAAATTGGGAAAAGGGCCGTTACTCAGAAATAAGTAATCGAGGTTTCTGACGCATTTGAATGAAAGTGGAGAGACATGAAAAATTCGAAAAAATATTTGAAAATCGTCACAGCCGACCTAAGCTTATACCTACACTGTCACGTCGGAATGCATACAGTAACTCCAAAAAAAATCCAGAAAAAAAAGAAAAAAAAACGTATCACTGCATGGTATGAACTTACATAGAACGAGATCCTATTTTTGGTATTATAGGATTTCTCAATGCGTTAATAAACATATTCAACTGTTCAGGTTCTTCACATTTAATAAAATCGCCAATGAGGAAGGTAGATGTCATTAAAAAAAAAATAGCTTTCAAGAAAAAATTGGAGCACAAGTAAATTTTTTTCTCTTCGAATTGGGATTAAATATGAGGTTTGTCATGGGACTCGGAAAACAAAACCTAGCGCGTGAAATCACCCAATTACTCCTCTAATTAGCCGAGTGCCAGCTCACCTCTCCAATCCGCCAAAAGTGTGCGACGAGGAGCCACGGAGAAGGGATTCAAGAGTTTGGGACTGTGCTGTCATGAGAATAAGAAAAAGAACGGTAAAAACAAAACAATGGAGTTCGCTTTCACAAATGTATATACGATTATATAAAGAGGAATTTTTGGATGACAACCTAATCAGTAGGCGTTCCTCCCTTGGGGCGTTCTGTTATCCAGTTTAAAGCTGTCTGTCTATTCATTAATTGAAGAAATTCGAGAATATGATGAGAAGAGAGGCAATAGCGAAATATCTACAGATGTACAGCTTAAAATCTACCAGATATCTGTTAGTTTTCATGACAGCGGGGCTCCAGTAAACTGAAAAATGCTTGAAGAATTCACAATGATGAACAATTCCCGATTGGTTAAAAAATGGAAATCCTAGGAAAAAAAAATAAATGAATAAGATCTAGATTTTTGATTCATTAACCTCCTCAAGGTATCAAAAGCACAAAGGTGCAAGAAAGTGCATCAGCAAGTGGGATAAAAAACCTATGACACTCCATATCTGATATAACAAGGCTACTGTAGGTAAGGATGTGTGAAAAGGGTCGAATGATGAGAACTTGAAGCGGTGATATTCAGTAAGATCAATATTAAAAAGCTAGAGAAATGCATTAATTATTCTAGATCTTAATTCTCGAGGGTATGGTAATCATGGCGCACATAGCAACAAAACTTACTGTGAAAGGTGCAAATTGAGCACTGGATTGTAGGGTTCGTCATAGAAATTCATCTGGCCGGGTCTGAGCGGAGCTGTCAAACTCATACCACAGTTTTCGGATCAAAGTGGACAAGGACGCCCACCAACACGACCAAACTCTGCAAAAGATTGATCTCTTATATGTCACAAGCGGTTTGGGTCCGGAGACGACGGGGCCTCCCGTCCAAGTACGCTCTGATAGATGCAACAAGAAGAATAGGCAAGAACAAGAAGAAACGTTTCGGTGGCAGCTGACTGTGAATTATGGTTATGGAGATATGCTTGATTAGTTGGAGCCAACAACACGAATTCGAAAATCCGCTCTCTCCATTTCTAGACAACCAGAAAGTGAGAGAGAGACACAAAAAGTGGGGAAATCACGTTTAAGTTTTTTTCTGGTTAGGAGCCTCCTCCTTCTTTACCAAAAATATTACAGAAAATAGTTGTATGACACACAGAAAAGTCAAGTGAAGGATTTCATCAATCATCCCGGGCAAAGCATCGCACCACACAGCCACGCCTTGGTCCTCTTTTGTGCCATACTTCTTTACAATCTTCAACAATTGAGAAGACGTGAGAGGTCAGACAGACAACACAGTGAAGATATGCACAGAAAAACGCTGGACGAAGACAAAACGGAACATGTGCGGATAACGAAGAGATGTCGAATTTGTCTGTTTTTGTCGGTGAAGATTACGGTACCTGCAATTTTTTGAATGACGTGCCCGTGTTGTTTCCAAAATGTGAAAACAACTTCAAGCATGTCCATCTTCAAACATTTGAATAAGAGATTTAATCTTGATTATATCACTGTTTTAGCAATCAGTCAATATGTGTAAAATTTATTCAAGAATCAAAAATTGCTCCAATAACATAAACTCACATTTTTGAGCTACTTTTTAATAAAGTTTTTATTATTATTCTGAAACAAAAGAAAGTGGAACTGGTAAAGAGAAACGCATGTGATCGTGTCCGAACACAACTACTGTAACCTGAAAAACGACAAATACCGTACCTATAAAACGACAACTACAGTAAACCAAATTACTTTTTCCCAATTTCCTATCCTGCTGTTCGTGCGTTTTCATTAAAATTTTCTACTATTAAAAATACCGTAAAACCTCTAATAGAACGACACCCGGATCGTCCACTTTATCAGGATATCAGCAACATTTTACTAGTTAACCACTTTTTGATATCTTTCACAGAAAATGAGATATATAGGCTCAAAGTGGACGATCCGGGTATCGTTCTATTAGAGGTTTTACGGTAAGTGTGATTTTTCGATGTTTTTGAGAGGAAAAAACATGAAAATCGGCGAAATTTAATGAAAACCCAGAAAATAAACACGGGAAATCACAGTATTTTGAGGTTACGGTAGTTTTCGTTGTAAGACTTTCCGGCGTTTTCATCCAGTCAATAAGATATACAAAAACAAAATTTTTTCAGGTTATTTTTTACCATTTTGACCGATTTCAGGAGTCTAGAGCTCGGCTGTCAAGTTTCCAATCACTTTGCAAACTTCGGAAGCTAGGAAACACACCTAGATTGTAAAATTTGCATTCATAGAGTTTTTAAAAGTTTTCTAGTTTTTCAGTTATTTGCCGATTTCTAAAATACATCCCGTTTTCCAAGAGTTTTCGTACTGAAAACGTGAAAAAAAATTTTGATACGGTCACTGTACACAACAAGTCAAACATAATTTTTTCCACAAAAATTACATTCAGATGTGTTTGCTCTTTACACCCATTCACCACAAAAGTGATTTTACGACGCTTTGTTTTTTTTTTATTAACTCTTTTTCACCCAATACGCCCACTACCAACACCGCCTTACTCTTGATTTATTCAATTTACATCACACACCGAGAAAGACAATTTTACGATTGGAGAGAGTGAAACTGTGTGCTAGTAAAGTTGTGTGTCCAGCATCTTCTATAAAAGGGTGCTCGGAAGTGATAGCGGCTGCCATTATCTTTGACCAAGATGGCAACCCATCTTCAAGTTATACTTTTTTGTTTGCTACTATTCGCACCGTTAAGTAATGGACAAAACACACCGACCGCAAGAGCTCAAGCAGATTTGGTTACTGGTTTGCCAGGCACTATTTTCCAAGTGAACTTCAAACAATATGCTGGATATCTGAACTCAGACCCCAACAAAGCCTACAACAATCTTCATTATTGGTAATAATACATTGAACATTTAGGAGTTTACACAACATTTCCAGGCACATCGAGTCTCAAATCAATCCATCCAATGACTCTCTTCTTCTCTGGATCAACGGTGGCCCCGGATGCAGTTCGCTTCTTGGTCTGATGCAAGAAATCAGCCCGTTCCATGCTGCTAGCGACGGTCAAACACTTTATGAGAACGTGTTTGCATGGAACAAAGTCTCCAATTTACTGGCAATCGACGCTCCTGGAGCTGGATTCTCTTGGATGGAAAACCCAAAACACAATCAGGATGACAGCTATGTGACTCAAGCTATTCTAAATGCTCTTCTCGATTTCTATACTGTTTATCCAAACTTGCAAAATGCAGATCTCTACATTGCCGGTGAGGGATACGGGTCATTCTTCGCGTCAGGCTTGGTTTATAATCTGTTGGTGAACAACACGCCAAGAACGGATATTGTCACTACCCCTATCAAAGTTCGCGTGAGTGTATCGTATTTTTTTTATTCGCAATTTGAGCTATATTGCAGGGACTTCTTCTTGGAAACGGAGATTTGAGTGCACGCCATCAATACAACAGTCTCATTCCATTCTACTACACTCACGGATTTGCGGGATCAAAGTATGATTTTTTATTAATTTTTTTTCATTTTCATCACTACAAACCCGGTTTTCAGACAATATGACGATCTCAAATCAGTGTGCTGCACCAACGCTTCCACCATGGCCTGCGATTTCTACAACAGTGGCGCCGCATGCAGAGCCAAAGCTGACAACGCAATCGCTTCTTGGTCAAATAATCAGTATGTAATTTTTGGTCGTTTTTGTGGCAGAATGTGCTTGGTTATATCGTTTTTGTTAGAAAAAAATCATCAAATAGAAATGGAATCGAAGAAGAAAAAAATTGGTCAGCAGAAGTGATAAGGGGGGAAATGAGTTACGAAATGAAAAATTTCCCAAAATGTCTTGTTAGAAAAATGAGCAAAGGATTCAAGGGTACATCAAAAAAGGGGTGCATTAGATCTTGGGGTGCATGGCGTTTTATCCTAAGTCTATATTTTTTAGCAAAAAGAAACTGGTCTGTAAAAATACAATACCTGTCAATTAAGCTATTCAAAAAAGCGTATTTGCGATCGATTTTGATCAATTTTAGGAGTCTGAAGCTCGGATGTCCAATTTCCTTTAAAAACTTTGGAGGGTGTAAAACAAACCTACATTTTAAATTTTGAATTTCACAGAATCTTTGAAAACTCCTAGTTTTCTAGATTTCTGAAGAACACCATTTTCTTTCTTTTTCAGTAGAAAAAGTAGCAAAAACTGGTGTCTTCCAAAAATTGGCCAATAGCTGAAAAACTAGAAATGTTCAAAAATTTTGTGGATGTAAAGTTTTCAATCTAGGTTTGCTTTACACCCTCCAGATGTGTCAAACTGATCAGAAACTTGACAGCCGAGTTCCACACTCCTGAAGATGATCAAAACGGCCAAAAATCAACTGCGAAGTACATTTTTTGATATCTTGTTGGCTGGCTCTTGAGAAAAGAAAAGCACCATAATCGTTCTCAACGGAGGTACATTCAGAATCGACAACTGGAACACCAACGAGGATTGCTACCGAGTTAAAGCAGCATGGCAGACGTCTTTCAAGCAACTTGGAATTAATGTGAATATAAAATTTTCAGAAAAAAAAATCCAATTTTCAAAAACAATTCTAGGCTGTAAACAACTACAACTCTACTGATTCATTCAATGGATATCCTTGCACTGCAATCTCTGCAACATCCACATATTTCAACCGTGCCGATGTCCAGGCTGCCCTTCATGTCAGTCAAAATGCATCGAATGTTTTCCAATCTTGCAGGTACCAAAATCCTAACAAACTTATTTCATTCTATGCATATACATTACCAGAAATGTCACCTATAACACGCTTTCCACCGATTTGCAAACAACAATCTCCTCAATTCTCACCACCAAAAATTACGCTGCTAACAACGCCAAAATTATGATCTACAACGGAGATCTTGATATTTGGAGCAACTTTGTTGGAGCCCAAAGATTCGGAGCAGAAATCGCAGCCAACCTTAAGCTCAATGTGACCGAAGACCGTATCTGGAGACACAACTACGACTCAGCAGCTTACCAATGGATGGATGGTGGTGTGATTACCAGTTATACCAGTAACTTGCATGTCGCATCTGTTAGAGTGAGTTCAAAAGTTTCAATTTTTTCTACATATCTTGTTTAATGTTTGCATTGTTATCTTTTTTCTCTTATTCAAGCCAACGTAGCCTCATCTAAAAATTTTATGTACAATTCCGATTCACCGCGTTTTTACGACTTCCTTTCCATCATTCATTGCGTCAGCAATTATTGCTTATTTGCAGGGCGGCGGTCACTTTGCACCACAAAACCGACCATCGCAATCATTGCAACTCTATCGCGATTTTGTTTTGGAATTGTTTTTCAACAATTGCCTCAGCCGCGTTAACAAAGTTGCCGCTCCACTTGTGGCACCTTATCAACAAACCGCTGCCGCAACAGCTCGTCAAGACGCTGATAAGGTAAAGAAAGTGATGGGTTTCTAGTGTGATCGGTCAAGGAATTTGATTTAATTGCGATCTTTGACGCCTAGATTATTTTCAGATCGTTAGCTTGCCAGGACTCACATATCAAATTAATTTCAATCAATATTCTGGATACTTGAATGCTTCCGACACTCACAGATTCCATTATTGGTTCGTTGAGTCTCAAAATGATCCAGCGAACAGTCCAGTACTCCTTTGGTTGAACGGAGGACCAGGAAGCTCCTCCCTCTGGGGAATGCTCACTGAAAACGGACCATTCCGTCCAAACAAAGACGGACAGACATTGTATGAAAATATTCATTCCTGGAACAAAGTATACACATTGTAAAGTTAACAACTCTAGAAGAATTTATTTTTTAGTTCGCCAACGTTCTGTATCTCGAAAGTCCCCATCAAGTGGGATTCTCGTACTCTACAGTGGCTAACGATTACACTTACACCGATGACCTCACTGCTAATGATAACTATAATGCACTTAAGGACTTCTTCTACAACGTTTTCCCAAAATACAAGACCAATCCATTCTACATCACCGGAGAATCCTATGGAGGAGTTTATATTCCAACTCTTTCTAAGCTTTTGTTGCAAATGCTTAGCGCTGGAGAAATTAGCATCAACTTTAAGGTAGGGAATTATAGTACCACTTTTTCAGTTGATTTTCTCCCAATTGATTATTTTCATGAGTACCTGCGTGCTTCAAACTTTTTTTTGAAAGTGTCTAGTTTTTCAGCTATTTGCCGATTTCTCAAAGATGACCTTTCTGAAAAACTAGACATTTTCGAAAAATTCTGCGAATCCAAGGTTTTCTATTTGCCCTGTTTCACATCCTTCGAAAATTTTCAAAATAATCAAAACGTTGGTTAAAGACTCCAGAAGCTGAAAACATGACCAAAAATCAGCTGAAAAATACTGTAATTCCAATTTCAATTTTTGAAAATTTTAGGGAATCGCAATTGGAAACGGAGAACTCACCACCAAACTTCAAGTCAATTCTGCGATCTTCCAACTCTACACCTACGGGCTTTTTGGAGAAACGTACCTAATCTTCTAGAATCTTCCATTTTAATGTTCTTTTTTCAGAGAGTATAACGCGCTTATTGCACAGTGCTGCAAAAACTACACCGATCCAACTCAATGTGATTTCTACACTCCATACATCTTCTTTGACTATCTTGGAAATTACAAGGCTGTTCCCGGAGCTGACCCATTCTGCTCTTCGACAGTTAGCCTTAAAAATTTGAAGAATCCATAGAAATCAAAATTTCAGATCCTTGGTGTTGTCAATGATCAAGTCTGGCAATCCGCCAATAACCCGTACAACATCTATGGAGACTGTTACACAACTAGCGCTGGCGCTTCATCCACTAGCAACAAGCAAAACAGAGCTGCTGTGAACTTCAAGGATAATGCTGTAAGATTTTGGTTAATTAATTTAATAAAATTGACATTTTTCAGCAACTTTTGAATCTTGCCTCTTCCGATCCTTTCGACGGATTCCCATGCTGGAGTACTGATGCCACCACTACTTACTTGAACAGAGACGATGTTAGAACTGCACTTCACATTCCAGCAAACATCCAACAATGGCAGTCCTTCAAGTAAAAATTAAAACTGAAATTTAAAAAAAAAGTATAATTTTCCAGCCAAACTGTCAATGAGCAGCTTTATAATCGTAGCTACTTCGAGTTGGATGGCGTTCTGAACAGAATTATTTCTAGCTACTACTACAAACAGAATAACATGAAGATTTTGATCTACAACGGAGATGTTGATATGGTTTGCAATCATCTTGGAGACCAATGGCTTATTGAACAGCTTGCCAATAGTTCAGGATTGAATGTGAGAACTTTTTCGGTGGCTTTTCTAGGCTTGAATTTTCAGACTGTTGCTCCTCGTAAACCGTGGAACTATGTTATGGCTGGAACTAACTACTTGTCTCAACTTGCTGGATACGTGAAAACCTTTGACTCCAACCTCAACCTGGTTACGGTCAAAGGATCCGGTCACTTGGTTCCACAAGACCGTCCAGGACCATCACTTCAGATGATCTATAATTTCATTAACGGACTCAATCTGAACACCACCTTCCCATATGCCTTGACACCTGCTCCCTTGCTCCCATCCTACAGTGATCTTCAAGGATGCCCAGCTCCAGAGTATCCGACAGCTCAGTCCCTTCCAACACTTCCTCCACTCCCACCACTTCCACCTGGTGTCACCTATCCACCATTTGCTGCTAAGGAGAAGATGGCTTCAGAACCCGCTCAATTCATGAACACTAATACCGATTTGCCAACCAAGTTGAATGCAGCTGCCACCGCCGACATGATCACGAACTTGCCAGGATTGACATTCAATGTCACCTACCGTATGTTCTCCGGGTACTTGACTGCTGATGAAACTCCATTGAACCATTTGTTCTATTGGTTTACGGAATCTCAAAACGATCCTGTCAATGACCCAGTTGTACTCTGGTTGAACGGTGGTCCAGGATGCAGTTCTCTGGGAGGATTCTTTACGGAACTGGGACCACTCCATCCAAACGATGATGGAGGTCAGACTCTGTATGAAAATGTTTTTTCCTGGAATAAGGTAAGTGATATAGTGTTCAAATTGGCAAAATGATTCGGAGGGTACCAAACTTGTGGGGTCGTTGGGGTACAAAATACCAGAAAATGTTTGGATTTTGTACGCCTAAATCACTTTTCATCTGCTGTACCCTGGAATCGTTGCATTCTTCGAATTGTGTGTCGACTGTGAATTTGGCGTGGTTTGATATCATTTGATTGCCAAACGTACAAATTGTTTGCATTAAAAATTTGATTTATTGAATTAGAAACAATACAAATTGTTTTATCAGTTTAATGAAAAACAAACTAAACAAAATAGCAAATATGAAGTATGTTACCGGCCAATAAGATATACAAATAAGGGGTTTCAGTGGGTTGTTACAATTTTCAAAAGTCTAGAACTCGGCGGGCAATTATCGAATCATTTTGAAAGTTTTGAAAGATTTGAAAGTTTTGAAATAGACCTAGATTAAAAATTTTGCATTCATAGAATTTTTTGAAAGTTCCTAACTTTTTAGCTATTTACCGATTTCTGAAGGAAACCTGTTTCTTCACGTTCTCTTGAGCCAACAAGGGATGTCTTCCAGAAATAGGAAAATATCTGAACCACTAGAAATTTTCGAGAACTTCTGTTAATGCAAAGTTCTTAATGTAGGTATGTTTCACACCCGCCAAAATTATCAAGACTTTTGAAAATGGTCTCAACCAACTGAAAAACAAGTTTATCTTATTGACAGATACTGTAGTAGGTAGAGAAATAGAAAAAACGAAAATTATTGAATCCGCAAAGTCTCAGCATGGAAAAAATATACTGTAGTGGGTAAAAGGTGGATTTTTAAATATTACAGAAAGCCAACGTGATCTTCCTCGAAGCCCCAGCTGCAGTGGGATTCTCTTACACCGAAGACCCAAACTACTACTGGAACGATGATACTGTAAGTAAATCATACTCTGGAAAAAAGACTGAGTTTTATCTATATATTTCAGACCGCCGAGAACAACGGATACGCTATCAAGGCATTCTTCACAAAGAAATTCCCACAATACGCACAAAATCAATTCTTCATCACCGGAGAATCTTATGGTGGAGTTTATTGTCCAACATTGACCTTGAACTTGATCCAGCAAATTGACGCCGGCCTCTTGAATTTGAATTTTAAGGTTGGATTCTGTTTAATAGCGGCAGTCAAGTATCTAAATGTGAGACGTTTCAGGGAACTGCTGTAGGAAATGGTATTCTTAGCGAGTACCTCCAAACAAACTCTGAAATCGTTTTACAGTATGGAAGAGGATTCAATGGATTAGAGTGATTTTACTCGTATACTTTCAATCTAATAGTAATACATTTTCAGTGAGTGGAATTCACTGAAAGATGCATGCAACTTGACCAACTCTGACCCCATCTACTTTGATTACTCAGCTCCTCCAGAAGGCTCCAAATGTTACAACGCAGTCTATATTAACCAAGACAAATTCTATGAGTATGATGAGGTCAAGTAAGTTTTTTTCCAGTATTTCTTTCCGAAAAGAGTCAACTTTTAGTGGCGATCCATACAACATGTACCAAGATTGCTATCTTTACAACCAGCAAGGATCTTGGCAGACTCCAGGACAAGAAAAGCTCGTAGAAAGACCAACATCTCGCAGACAGCGTGCTCGTAAAGCCCTCATGAATCGCAGAAAGTCATTTGCCTCTGCCAAATTCTCCAACTCAAACTCCAACACTGGTATGGATCCACTGACGCTTTCCGTGGACTCAACTGTTTTGGAGGAGACGCTCTTGCTGCTTATTTGTCCCGCCCGGATATCCAAACCGCTATTCACGCCAGAAATCAACCAAGATGGGGAGACTGTGCCGACCTTGACTATCACACGCAGGTGAAATACTACGATATGCAGAACACGATCAGTGCTATCATGGATTCCAAGTGGTACACAACCAACAATATGCGGCTAATGTTCTATAACGGAGATGTGGACACGATTTGTCAGTTCCTTGGAGATGAATGGTTGATCGAGAAGTTGGTGACCAGAAGAAACTTAACGGTTAGTGGAATTTTCAATGACTATATTAGAAATGCGTGAACATCTATTTTCCGTTGGAATGATTCAAATCCAGTCACGCAATGATATGGATAAAATATTTGATTCTAGGAAATGGGAAAAGGATGTTCAATTTTCGAATTTTTATCTCTCCAGGTAACCTCCCCACGCCAACCATGGTACTACACACAAGGCGCTCAATACGCCACTACCATCGCTGGATATGCAAAATCCTGGACACAGAACTTGGTTCAACTCACTGTCAAAGGATCTGGACATTTTGTTCCATCCGATCGTCCAGCTCAAGCTCTGCAAATGCTGACAAATTTCTTGAGCAACCAGGCCAACTACAGTACTCCAGCTGGAGTGAGACAGGAAAAATATGTAACAGAAATTGAATTTAATTTTAGATTGACGTCACACCACAACCAATTTTCACCAACTTGGTCACTACACCAAACTGCACAGTTGGAACTTCCGATCGTATTATCAACTTGCCAGGAATTCCAGCTGATATGCAGTTCAAGCAATACTCTGGATTCTTGGATGGACTTTCAGGACATAAAGTTCATTACTGGTATAACCATAGTGTTTAGAATCATAAAAATTATTGAGGTTTAGGCTCGTGGAATCTGAAAACAATCCGTCTACTGATCCACTGTTGTTGTGGTTAAATGGAGGTCCTGGATCCAGTTCTCTGATGGGTCTTTTTGAAGAAAACGGGCCATTCCGTGTCAGCAAAGACTCGCAGACTCTGTCACGTAATCCTTATTCATGGAACAAGGTGAGTTTTGGGTTTCAGAAAGTTCTTATATGCTGTAATTTCAGTTCGCCAACGTCTTGTATCTGGAAAGTCCAATTGGAGTTGGTTACTCTTATGCTTACAACAACACTAACATTCAATATGACGATTTTACTGTAAGTGAACAAATAATCGGATTTATCAATTAATTTTCGGACAACTCGATCATTTTCATGAGTCTGTAGCTCAGGTGTCCAGTGTCGGATCACTTTGAAACTTTCGGAGGGTGTAAAACTGACCTAGATTGAAAATATCGCAATCACAGAATTTGTGAAAGTTTCCAGTTTTTCAGATATTTGCAAATTTCTAAAAGGCCTAATTATTTCACTTGTTAAGTACAAAACGAGCAAAAAGGTGTCTTCCAGGAATTGGCAAAAAGCTGAAAAAAACTTTAAAAGAAATTGGTGAATGCAAAGTTTTCAATCTTGATCTGTTGAAATCTGTCAAAAATCTCCCAAGTTATCGAAAACATGACAGCCGAGCTCCAAACTCCTGAAAATGACCAACATGGTCGAAAATCAACTGGAAAATATGTTTCCGTATATCTTATCGACCATTACTGTATCTTCATCATTGTGTTCCAGACCGCCCAGGAAAACTATGCTGCACTCAAGAGCTTCTTTGCTGCCTATCCACAATACCAAACCGCCGATTTCTACACCACTGGAGAATCCTATGCTGGAGTATACCTCCCAGGTCTTGCCGCTCTTCTCGTACAAGGAATCAAATCAGGAGATATCAATATCAACTACAAAGGAGTATCTATTGGAAACGGAGTTATTGACAAGAGGACTGATCTGAACTCACAACTTCATTATCAATACTATCATGGAGGAATTCCAGCATCGTTAGTTGCCAGAATTATATTATTAAATAGAAAAAAATCTTTTAGAACTTACCAAACCGCATTGGCGCTCTGTTGCACAGGCGATGAATTCAAGTGCAGATTCAGTGATCGTATGACAAACTTCAACAATTCAATTCCATGGGGAGACTTGAGCGATCCATGCTATGACTTTGTAAATTGACTAGTTTTGTTTTTTCTTAATTTTGTGTTTTAATTCAGATCGTTGCCACTGGTGCCAATCTATTATTGAATGGATTTGATCCATATAACATGTATCAACAGTGTTGGACAATTCCAATTAATGACACTACTCCACGTACACCATACGGAGAGACTTGGGTAAGCCTAGATTCAGTTCTAAACTTAATAATAGATATTGAGATTTAATATTTCCAATCCTTCAGACCGGAATCAATTATGAATCATCTGACGCTTTGAACGGCTATCCATGCTACGATGACGCTGCTATGGAGGCCTACTTGAATCGCCCAGCTGTCAGAACTGCATTGAACATTCCAGCATCCGTTCCATACTGGGCTGCTAACAAGTAAATCTGCATTCCAAAAAAAATCTAATTTGCTTATTTCAGCGCCATTATCAATGCCTACAATCAACAAGTAGATAGCATTATTCCAAATCTTCAGATCATTATGGCCAAGTATTAAATTTTGGTTTTTTATTTAAACAAACACCCTATTTTCAGCGCCCCAGGCAATTTCAAAATGCTCTTGTATAGTGGAGACGCAGACACAATGGTCAACTGGCTTGGAGCTGAAATTTTCACTGCCAACAACTTTGGAGCTTTAGGATTGACGGTTTGTGTTTTATATATTTTCAGATTATTTCAACTTTTCAATTTCAGACATCCAGCGCTAGAACTCAATGGACATACCAGATCGACAATACCTATGCAACATCGGTGGCTGGATATCAAACGTCCTACACCTCCAACTCTATCAATATTGATGTGCTTACTGTGAAGGTTTGAATGACGTTTTTTAAGTTTTCGAAATCAAAAAGTGTTTTAGGGATCCGGTCACTTTGTACCACTCGATCGACCACAACCAGCACTTCAGATGATTAATAACTTTGTCAAGTCTAGAGCTTACAATACTCCGTTCGATTTGAATCCAACAGGTCCAACACAACAACCACCAGCAACCGAATCGACAGCAACTGCGGGAACCGGATCAACTACAACTCCTGGACCAGCTGTGACCGGTACACAAGCATCAGCGGGTACTGGAGCAACTGGAGGAGTTTCTGGGCAAACTCCAGGACCAACTGTGCCAACAACAACTCAAGGAGCAGAGATTAGAAATATTTTGACAATTTTTTCTATGGTTTTGGCAGCTTCGTATTTAAATTAGAATTTTTTTTGGTTTTGAAGCTTTCATATTTTATAGAGTCAGTTTGCACATAAATTTTTGTTTTGTATGACACATTTTAAATTTGATAAAGTCAACTTTTTAAAAAATGTGTTTTTTTACAGTATCGATGTATAAAAAATTCAGAAATTCAGAAATTCAGAAATTCAGAAATCCAGAAATTCAGAAATTCAGAAATTCAGAAATTTAGAAATTCAGAAATTCAGAAATTCAGAAATTCAGAAATTCAAAAATTCAGAAATTCAGAAATTCAGAAATTTCCGAAATTCGGAAAGTTCCGAAATTCCGAATTTTTCCAAAATCTGTAAATTCCAAAATTTTGAATTTTTCAAAATGGGTGAATTTCGAAATTCAAAAATTTAGAAATTCGGAAAGTTCCGAAATTTCGAATTTTTCCAAAATCGGTAAATTCCGAAATTCAGAAATTCCAATTTTTTCAAAATCGGAGTATTCCGAGATTCTGAAATTTTGAAAATTTCAAAAACGGAGTTTTAGACATACCAAGAAAATACGAGAAAGCCATTCCTAATATCCCTGATGTAATTTCGAGATATCACAACACACAGTAGATCAGAAGCTCCAAACTTTTTCCGTATAACAATAGACATATCTAACCAAACAGTGCACACTACAAGACAGATCAATATGGACCACACTCACACCTAACTCCGCCCCGACCCGAGACACGAAAAACGCACCCCCAAACACTCCACCACCACAGCCACCTTTTTCCCTTTGAGCTCCGACCCACAGAGTTTCCCTTTTTCCGTGTTCTTTCACTCAACTACCAACTGCTCTATATTCTCTTTTGTTTATTTCAATAGTGGAATCCAGAGTCACTTATGTCTCTGTCCACTTTTTGACACTATTAAGATGTCCTATGGCATTTTGTTACTACATATTTTATTAGTTTTGTATCGCATAGACCTTTCATATGGTCAATGTGAGCATCTAGAGCATCAGGTGAGCATTTAGAACAGCTGAAACAAATAAAATCTTGTTTCTTATCCTCAGAATGATAGAAACATATTCCTATGGTCTGTAAAACATCCTCAACTATTTTCACAAGGCTACTTGTTTGGCACGATTCATGTTCCAGTCACCGAGGTTTGGAAGGAAGGTAAAACACATGAAGAATTTACACGACTTATGAATTATTTCAACTCTTTCAGTTAGTGATCGAGTTCGAGAAGCTTTTTACACCTCGGACACCGTACTCCTAGAAATAGATTTGCATGATGAAGCTACTATTCATGAATTGATAGCTTGTAAGAATTTGGCATTTGATGAAACAGCACAGTCCTATTTGCCAAAGGAATTGTTCGAGAAAATTGAAAAGAGTAAGTTTGTATTTTTTTTAATTCCCCACAAAATTATATTATTCAGTTATGGAATATCTTCGATCCAATTTCCTCACCTGGGCACAAAGTCAAAATCCAAGGGACGTCAAAAAGATTAAACACGCCGAGGACATCTACAATAATATCACAGGTAGTTCTCATCTCTATATATGTTGTATTACACGTGTTTGCCCTCTCAAAATGAGACGTTTGTTTGAGTGGGTCATTCATTCTCACGAGAGCTACCAGAGTCCAAACAGTATATGCTACCAGATGGTAAATACCGGAACAGATGATTTTAGCACTACTAGCGAAAATAATTTGTTTTGTGTGAAAACAGAAGGTAATTACGACTCAGCGTTCATCTCGATAATTGTTTAGCAACAGTTATAAAGGTTTTGAAGATTTTAAGCTCCAATTATTTAGCTCTAAAATCTCTGAAAATTTCGACTTTTTCCACAAAATTTTTTCTGAATTATATTGTCGGAAAATGAATTGTAAAACCAAAAAACACTTCCAAATTTGAACTTTTTCGACCAAAATTCAACGTATTTCCTTTAATAGAATCTCATAGCTTCAAGCTCAATTAGCTCGGTTCTTTCAAGAGATATCGAAAAACTGTCCACAGATAAAATATAGTTGATTTCATGGTAAATAATTTATCAGTTAAAAAAAAGTCAATATCTTTCGCAAGAACCGAGAAGATTGAGCTCGAAGCGCAATGATAGGGTATTTTCTTAAATTCAAATGTGTCTTTCAGGTAATTGGTGGAAAAAACGACCAATATGGCTGCTGTTCTTGCTTTATCAAATGTGTGAAAATGACTTTGAAAAAGCATCCAGCCCACTCTTAGACCTATATATTGCACAAAAAGCAATCGAAGAGAGGAAGACCATCATTCCTATAGAAACTGCAGAAGAGCAGTGTAATCCAGTTTGCTCCGTTTCCAATGATGAGGTTTTGTGGTTTTCTATTACATATTTTCAAATTATCTTTCTGAGTTCTTTTTTCTATTCTTCCGGAAGTACTCCATAACTCTTGAACCACACTCTTTTCTCAAACCGACAAAAGCGTGTGGAACACAAACAATGAAAGTGTCAAGGATGGGGAGGAGGGTCCATTAGTCACGGAATAATAGAATGTGCAATATGGCGAAACGATAATTGTCGTGTCGAAGTAGCACCTCTAGCTGTGTGTGCCAAAATGTGTAGGAAAATTGGGGGCAATACGAGTAAGAAACAAAAGATTGAGCTGCCGGGTGTTGGCTAAGAAGTGCTAAAAGCGGATGTATGTTGGTTTTTGTCATCCGGTTGCACCGTTGAGGTGCTAAAAAATTTAGTGAACATATTAAAAGACGTATTTGAGGGTTCAGGCTGGAATAATCAAAACTGTATCCAAGTCTCATGAAACCATCCTGGCAAAGGGTGGATTTGGGTTCTGATTTTACGATTCCGACTGTTCTTACTCTTTTTGCGATTTTTTGAAAATTAAATCTAAAAAGAGAGCAAAATTTTATTGGGTTGTAGCTATTTGAATTCGACCTCATTTGTTTCATTAGAAATTTGTCTACAGCAGAACTTAGAACATATACCGTAAGAACTGAATTAGAAAGTCCCCCTAACTTTCAGCTCTGAGCCAATGTATCACGATTGCAGTCGGAGACATGAAAACGTTGTTAACTGATAAATTGATCATCATAATATCACAAATATTTTATCAGTGGATACAATGTTTGTATTTCTTATAAGAGCCGAGAAAACTCAGCACAAACTTTACAGTGCGGAAGCCCTTGTTTTACAAGTTTTACAGTACTTGTAAGTTTCATGTACTGAGAAATGAAATTAGCATTTCATAGCGATTTTTATAATTTATAGAATTGGTCGGATTTTTTGTTTATCTGAAAGATTCGACATCTTAATAAACTTCAAGTTTTGGCTTCTAGCCTTTGTGTACAAAAGTTTCTTTCGAAAACTCTAGAAAGATGTTATTGATGAAACATGGGATATTTTTCACTGATTTCATTAACTTTTTAAAATAAAAAAATTCAATTTTTAAGGCAGCTTCTTAACTATATAATTCTGTAAAATACAGAAAATAAAAATTATTGAGCTATGAATTAATGTGCAAAAAAAGTGTCAATACTACCTCAGTTACAGTAATCCACAAAAGAAAACCTATTTTCAGATCATCTTCGCCATCGAACACACTCTCCAGTATCTCGAAGATAAATTCCGAGAAAAGCGTTCTGAAAAAACAGACTCCAAAAGCAGTTTGAAAGAACTTATCAAACATTACAAATGCGGAACACTCAAAGAAGACATTTTCGAGAAAGATGGAATGTCAATCATTGATTACGCCACAAAAACAGAAGAGAAGTTTAAAGCAGAGGAGGTATGAATTTTTCGCTGCATTTTTCAACAAGTTTAATAATTTGATTTCAGATAAACAAAAAACTAAAAGACGATATATTTATCCGAAGGAACATTCGGATGGCAAAACGGATACACAACATTCTTCGAGCTAGAAATAATCATACGATTTTCTCGGCAATTGGCGCTGGTCACTTTTTCGGGAACAACAGTGTACTGACCCATCTCCAAACAAATGGATTTGTAATTGAAAAAATTAGAGATAGTGATACAATGTAAGTTTTGAATTGTGTAGAAGCTCTGAAATTTCATTTTCCGGAGGTCATATTTCGTTATCTGAATTATTCAGACAATCCCTCCGATCTCCATACCGACAAACCGCAAAATTCAAGCGAGTCTGGACCAAGGAAAACATGGTTCGACGAAAGTCAATCATTATTGAAGAAGTTGCCCAATCATCCAGCCTCTCCTTTAGCCTCAGGTCAATATTCAGCATACTCATCATTGTCCATTCCATTCTGTCATAAAATATTATTCCTATACACATGCACCGCCAGCAAATGTTTCATTATTTTTATCAGAAAAAAGAACAGGAGTCAGTAAAATTCTGTCTATACGGAAAGGAGGGAAACGAAGAATACGAAAGTTCAAAAACAAGGAAAGAAGAGCCAATTAGAAAAAGAAGAGCAAGATCGCTACAATAGTTGTAAGCTAATTATCTCACAAGTGAGGAGCGTGATTGAGCGAGAGCATCCGAGACTTACATCTGATCCATGAAAGCTTTAGCCATAGATGTTCCGAGTTTAGCTGGAGAGTCGGTCACCTGAAATCCCACTATGAAGCTCTATACAAAAGTTATAAAACATAAAATTCCCTTCGAATTCTAAAAAAAGCAAGACTTACAACAACTCCGGCTTCTCTGAGAGCATTGATCTTGTCAGCAGCGGTTCCCTTTCCACCGGAGATAATCGCTCCAGCGTGTCCCATTCTTCTGCCTGGTGGAGCGGTGACACCGGCGATGAATGAGACAACTGGTTTTTTGTTAACTCCAGTGTTGTGGTCCTTGAGGAATTGGGCGGCTTCCTCTTCAGCAGATCCTCCGATTTCTCCGATGAGGATGATTCCTGAAAATGCAAATTTGATAAGATGATGCCTCAATTTTTGTGTCATCCACAGTGCCGGTCAATAGGCTGTAGAAAAATCGTGTTTTTCAGTTGATTTTGACCATTTACAGGAGTATGTAACTCGGTGGTCCAGCTTCCGATCACTTTGAAAATTTGGATGGGAGTAAAACAGACCTAGATTGAAAATATTGCATTCTCAGAATTCTTTTAAAATTTTCGTTTTTTAGCTATTTGCCGATTTCTGAACAATCCAATCCTTTTTTGGCTTGTTTTTGTATTGAAAAGGTGAAAACAGGTTACTGTCCAAAAACGACAAATAGCTGAAAAACTAAGAATTTTCGAAAAATTCTGTGAATGCATTATTTTCAATCTTGGTCTGTTTTACACCTTCCGATATTTTCAACATAATCGGAAACCTGACCGCCAACATCCAGACTTCTGAGAATGGTCCATAGGCTAAAAATTATAAAAATTCGGTTTTTTTTGTTTTTTTTTAATTATTATAAAATTTTGTTTTTGTATGTTTTATTGAGTTTTACTGTCGCGTATGCATGAATTTTTGAAATTTTGTTTCACATGTCTGATATTCAATTATCAATAAATATGTCTTCTCAAAATCGCCATGCTTATTCAGTTTTAGGGTTTTTTTCATTTTCACCTCACAAAATTTATGGGAAACGGAAATCTGTAATATTTTTCGCTTGACGAGTGTCTAATCTGAATCATCTATCAATTCTTCGAACCGCATCTTTCCGACAATTCTGTGAACTTTCCGAGTTCTAAAATTTTTGAGCTAAAAACAGTGCTCCAAATGTTTGCCCTCCTAATTTTGTTTTTAATCGACATCCAACTGAATATTTTTACTTTATATCTTGGAACAGCAAAATGAAAATGAACTGACTAAAAAATTGTTCTGGGAAGTCACAAAGAAAATTGTAAAATTATTCAACTCATTCATTTTTTGAATAGAGTTTGGAACAGCACTGGCGGCGGCCATTATGCACCCTCTTGGTTTGTAGCTAGCGTAAAACCTGTGTTAGAAGAAACGATCCTTCTGATTTTTTGGGACCTCTAGTGCACTTCACTTAGAGGGACCCTTTAGTTTCAAGGGCTCTTCCAAGACAGGGTTCACGGCGTTTTCAAACGCGCCAATTGGTTATTTGCATCCTATTTCTTTTACTCACCCTTGGTTTCTGGATCCTCGAGGAAGACGTGAAGACAATCGATGAAGTTGGTTCCGTTGAATGGATCTCCTCCGATTCCGACGCACAATGTCTGTCCGAATCCGACTTGAGTGGTCTGGTGAACAGCTTCATAGGTGAGAGTTCCCGAACGCGACACGATTCCGATGCATCCCTAAAAATATAGATTAATTTAGCCGTACACCTTGTTTATTTTCCATTCAGAATGTCATCATATCACTTATCATTCATTTTAGCTGTCAATATTGTCTTGTTCATATTCTTACAGTTACTCACTCTCTTATGAATATGTCCTGGCATGATTCCGATCTTGCACTGATCAGCGGAGATGATTCCTGGACAGTTTGGTCCGACGAGTCTGGTCTTGTTTTGCTTGAGAAGACGAGACTTGACACGGACCATGTCGTGTTGTGGGATTCCTTCGGTGATGCACACCACCAATGGAATCTCAGCATCCATGGCCTCCTCGATAGCGTTTGCGGCAGCGCTGGCTGGAACGTAGATAACACTAGCGTCGGCGCCGGTTTTGTTGCGAGCCTCGGTGACATTCTTGAAGACTGGAAGTCCCAAGTGCTGGGTGCCGGCCTTGTTAGCGTTGACTCCTCCTACGACGTTGGTCTTGTAGTCGATCATCTGCTTTCCGTGAAAGGTTCCCTGCAAAATCGATATTTTTAAATATATTTTAAATGTTCGTGGTTTGCGTGCGATCTCTTTTTGAGTTTGACGTCAAAATCTCAGTTCATCCGCATGATTTATTCATCTTTGACATCAACCAAGCGATGATAATCTGTCTTAGAAAGGTTTTCAGCTCATTAGCAACTAGTTTCTTGCTTTTACTCTTTCTCATTTTTATATTTACTTCTTACCTGCTTTCCTGTGAATCCTTGGACAATAACCTTGGTGTCTTTATTGATTTTCAGGTTGTTGTAGGTGTTGTTGTAGAAACGGGCAGCTCCTAGAACAAAATTAGCGTAACTTTGAGTCTATTTGTTGTAGCCTTACCCTTCTGTAGAGATCTGGCATTGTTGACTAGTTGCTGACTCAACATGGCTCCCTGAAAATAATAATTTAACGAATTTAAGAGGAAAAAATAAATAGAATCTTGAGATACTACACTTAAAACATCTTAAATCGGATCTAGAACTGATATGAGATTAGACTTATCAATAAAAAAACAAAAAAAGGTTCCTTGATATCCAAACAACTACCTCAATGTTACACAAAACAAAAGATGCGGAGAGAGTGTGCGTCGCGAGAGCGCGCAGAGAAAACGACAATGTACGCAGCCAAATCATTGACTGAGTATTCAACGTTTATGCATAGGCCGACCCCGCCGTCCGTTCTCTGCCAAGGCTGCCGCTGCCGACACACACACGCTGGGCAGGCACGCAAAACGGAGAGGAGATAGAGAGTGTGTATGGCTACGATTGCACAAGTTTGAAACCCAAAGCAAGGATTGGGACAATTTGTTGGAAGTAATCGAGAATGAGACGGGAATTCGCGGATATGGATGAGGGTCTAAAATGGAAAATGGGAGAAGAAAAGTGAGGAAATTTGAATTTTATGGAAATTTTGAAACCATACTGTGAAACCTGTAATAAGGGAATCCTTAATCTAAACTTTGGGCAAACTCGGTTCCTGTGAAAGATATAAAAAAGTTGTCCTAATAAAATGTTCAACATAATATTAGAAGTGTTTTAGTAGTTGACACATTTTTGATATCATGCATAGGAATCGAGATACTTGAGCTCAAACTTGACAGTGTGTGGGGCAGTTTTATTATATGTTTTACGATAGTTGAAGCACTATAGACTGATTATTTTTTGAAACATAAGATTTCGATCGTTTTTTGAAGTATTCAAATCCAACTGATAAAATTCAAACTGGTTTTCTATATTTTTCAAACCATGTCTGCAAAAAAAGATATTTGCAGAAAATACAACTTGATAGAAAACATATCTACTCAGTGAATAAGGCTTTCAGGCTTTCGGTGCTATTACTTTTCAACTCGAGATACTAATTTTTGCAGTTCTCATTTCATCCTGACTTGTTAATCACCACCAACCCCTCTCGTTCTATGAGCTTACATCCAGTATATCCAAAGCATACAAATTATTCATGGTTTCTTCTTACTTTTGGCTGTGTGAGTGTTGTCACTCGCATGTGTATGTCTTGAAGACGAGAAAAATTCATTTTCCAAGACCCCGAAAAACGTTTCTTTTTTTTCCGGAGCATGTCCCCGCCGTCTCTAACACCGAAAACCCCGTCGTCATTGCAGTGTTCCCGTTAGTTTTATTGATTCTCCGGAGGGGGTTTTTGTGACGATGTATATTCATGAGACCGAGCGAGAGGAGCTGTCCAAATCCATCTCGTGCATCGCCAATCCTTTCAATCCTCACCGTTAGTCCGGATGTTATCGCGGATAACACGGGGGATAATCTCCGGACGGGAAGCCATACTTATGCATCGGAAATGGCAGCGTTACGCGCGTTCTGCTCCTCTCCATCTCACATTTTTAGTTCACTAGGCGTGTCACTCGTCCAGTCCTTTCGATTTCATTAATTGTGTTAACTTGCTCGTTAGGAGTAAGCTCAAGCTAAAATTTAACTAGTTCGCTTCAAATTAAAACCATATTTTTTTCTTTCAGTATGCTGCCTGCATATTCGTCAGAAGAATGGATAGTAATTGGTATAACTATCATCGTAAGTTTGATATTAAAATCAATTTCCCACCATTTAATTAAATTTCCTTGCAGGGCGGGGCAATAATCTCTATCATTCTGAATTTCTTTTGGAAGAATAAAAAACCACCAACCCTAGAAATAAAGAAGGAAAATGACAAGTTCGTTGGTAAAATGAACACTACAGGCCTTAAAAAAGTTATCTTCAGTCCGGAGGTTTGCGAAAATGGTAAGCGTTTTCTGCTTACCAGAAAAATTGGAAATTCAAGCTTCAGAAGTACCAGATGTCGTCACTCAGAGCAGTGATTCAGACAGCGAGACAAACTCTGATGAACAGGAAGATGAAGAAGAGAATCAGCAAGAAGATGAGGAAGAGGAGGAAGAGCAAATGCCACAGTTCAACAAGCGCAAAATCAAGAATACTCATCAAAAATTCAATGCTGAGGCCCCTTCAACATCGAATGCACAGGTATTTTAAGAATTGAAAAATTTTCAAAAGGTAAAAATTGTTTTAGGAACTATCGGACGCGGACAAAATGAACGTAACCATTGGAAAACTTCATGGAAAACTTGCCACCGCTCAATTGAAAGCGAAAACTCGTCAAATTGCCGCTGAAATGAGCGAACAAGAGCGAGAAATCGTAAGCGAGAAATTTAAACGTGTAATTTGCATGTTATCAGTGTTTTACTATTTTCCAGGAGAACCAAATGACAAACAATCAAATGGAATCAATAATGAAGTTGATGATGCAGAACCAGGAAAAGTTCGGCATGAGCAGCGAGGACATCAAAGAGCAAATGAATCTCTATAAATTTTGAATGTGCGGAAGTCATCGTTGTGAATCACATCATCAAATTCCATGTCATATTATTTCTTCCAAATCGCTTCTTCTCAAATTTCTAATTCATTCCGTGCTCTTTTGTTCAACATTTTTTTCATAAAAATAAATCATATGTTAACACAAATTCACATTTTCAAAATTATTAATAGATTGAGACAGATCTCGTGTAATGGTTACTGGTTCCAAAAAATTTAAAAAAAACGTGAACTTTCAATTTTAGCCAAAAATGGGCAGGCACTTCTATTTCGTACCGTCAAACCTGAACGGTCTCACACTGTCAAATTCGAACTAAATATCTCAATTTCTGTGCAAGATATCAAAAACGTGTTAACTGATAAAATGTTTATGATAATTTGATGAAGTATTTGTCAGTTGGCAACTTTTTTTTATATCTTCGATAGGTACAAAGATAGAGTAGCTCAAGTTTGAAAGTTAGGGAGCCCTTCTATTACAGGTTTCGCGGTAATTTGTTTCAAAAAAATTTTTTTTTGCATTGTTGACATTAACCGAAACAATTGACAGCATGAAATCTTCATTTCAATATACATATACAATATAAAACAATCCATGATAACCGATAAACATCATGTTCACAAAAATTAACCGTATTTTTTTAATTTGACACGTTGGTGGGGCGAGTTGGTGGACGACGATTCGGTGGACCACGGCAACGACTCTAAAATTTTTTTTTTTGATTATTGATTTTTTTAAAAATACAATAGCCTTACCTTTAGAATAGTAGTCGTTCCATTACCGTTCTCAGCAGCCAAAGTATCTTTCTTCTCATTGGAAGCATCTTTGGATGGCATAGCTGGTGGCGGAGCGCCCGGGAGGCGAATCTTTTTTTGCAAGTCTGCGATCAGTGAAATTTTCGCCGACATCGCTTTGCTAGTCTGCTCTTTTTTGGCACCAGTGGCTGTCTCCGGCAGTGTTTGTTCAGATGAGGGAGCCTAAAATGAATAAATAGCTTTACAATGGTTTGAAATTACAACCTACCGATTTGAGAGGACCAGTGGTAACAGGTGTGTTAACTTTAGGTTTTGTATTGTTTGGAGTATTCAGCATTTTTGGTTTGCTCGACGCCGAAAATAGATCAGAATCCGAATCACTGTCGTCGAATAGAGAAGATTTTTGCGGGTTTTTTGGTTCCACGTTTGTTGCTGCCTTTGTTTTCCCTGCACTTGTCTCCACTTTTCCAACAGTAGGCGTCGATGCGAGTGGTGTGGTGGCTTTGGCCTGAAAATTTGCATATTAATACTAGTATCGACATCAAAACAGAAATATTAAAAGTGTGAAAGACGCACCACGGGAGCAGCGGAAAGTGTCTTCTCATCCGGTTTCTCACAACTTTTGGCTCTGCAGCAGCAGCAGCTGGAGTCTCCTTGGCAGCTGTCGTTGCCGCGGGAGTCTTAGGTTTAGAGAACGACTTGAGGAAATCATCATCGGAATCTGAGTCGGAGAATATTGATCTGCCGACTTTAGCGACTGGTGGAGGAGCTTGTTTGGCTTCGACTTTTGCAACTGGTGGAGCAGTTTTCGTTTCAACTGTTTCAGATTTTTTGGTTTCAACGTTTGCAACTGGTTTCTGAATTTCCACTATTTTTTCAACTGGCTTGGTTTCCACCTTCAGAGGGACGGAAGCGATTTTCACAGACTGTTCACCCTGAAAATTGATTTATAATTATTTTTCATTACTACTGAACACCGTATTATCCTCGTTCGGCAGTGATAACCGTATTTTCCCTAATAGATGTTTACCCTATACGTTTTTTGAGCTCAATTATCATCTTGTCTTTGAGAGATATCAAAAAATTGTCAATTGATAAAATATTGATGATATTATGATGAGTAATATATTAGTTGTAACTTTTTTGATAATTGTTCAAATGAACTGTGATAATTGAGTTCAAAGTGCATATATAACGAGGGCTTCTATTAAAGAAAATGCGGGAACCTGGCAACTGAAAATTCATTTAAAGACGCATCGTCGGTTCTGCAGCAGAGAACAACAAAAATTGCTTGATTGGCCTGCAATACCTTATTCCAAACTTATTATTTTTGCTTACTTCTCTTAGGTTCTAGGCGGTTTTGTTGATTTTGTCAGATTTTTATGAATAATTAACTGAAATTTTATGTGAAAGTAGGGAAACAGCCAAACATGGGTATTATGGGTACCATATTTTAATAGACGCCCACCCACACCGTTCACTTTGAGCTCAATTATCTCGATTCCTGTGAAAGATATTAACAATTTGTCAGCTGATAAAATATTGATGGCGTTAGGACAAATAATTTATCAGTTGACCAAGTGTTGATATCTTTCACAGCAATCAGGATAATTGAGCTTAAATTGGAAGGTTTTTGTGAGCTTCTATGCAGAGAAAATACGGCAAGTATATCAATTTCGAGATACGGTCTCGGAACTTTTGCTGATTTTGCTGCAGGACCGACGATGCGCCTTTAAACCAATTTTTCGGCATCAAGCCGGACAAGAACACTTACTCCATTACTTGAAGCTGACTACTCACCTCAAATAATGGGTTAGAGATTTCTCGTTCCGATAGTGTAGACTTTACCGCTTCCTTTTTCTCGTTCTGTTTTGAAGTTGATACCACAGAAGAATTTTTGGCTACGGCCTTCATTGTCGGCTTAGGCGGTGGTTTTGAAAATTCAGTATCCGATTCAGAGTCCGAGTCGAAAATGTTAGCGACAAGTTTGCACTCATTTCCCTGTCCTTGAGTAGTATTTTTGGCAGTTGAGCTTTTGGCAGTTAGCCGCTGTAGAGCTGGGGGAACCTCTGTTTTGGAAATTCGCTGAGAAATTAAAGTTGTATAAGTTACGGTGGACAGAAAAAAAAAACAACCTCGACAGGTGTAATTCTGGAGATAGAAGGCTCTGATCGACGAGGTACAGGTGATGGATCAATAGCCACGTCTTTCGGCAGTGTTGTTGAAGTTGATGGCTTTGGCTGACTGATTCTGAGCGGCTCCGTATCAGAGTCTGAATCAGAGTCGAAGAACTTCTGCCTTGTGGCCACTTTGGCTCTCATCTCGCTGATAACCGATGCCAGAGCGGCTGGTCTAGCTTGAATCTTTTGCGTAGAATTGATTTCTTCTGCTGGGAGACTCTCTCGAGTTACTCCTGATGTATCTTGTGGCGTGTGAGGCTCCACTTGTGGCTCAGGTTCTTGGCGAGGAATGATTGTTGGCTGCTGCATGATACCTACCTTGGTGGCAATTGGTGTAGGCGTGGGAGGAAGAGAGGGAGAAGCATCTGAGATAAACAGTTAGATCTTGTTGTATATAGAAGCTATCGAACCTCTCCGAATCGGTAGATTAACGGGAATGACCGGCGGTTTTGGGATTTGAGCGCGTGGTGGCTCCTCAGGTTCCTCATTCTCCGATTCTTCAATAATACTTCGTTCGGAACCATCCATACTACGTGTATGCCCGTTTGCAATGCTGTGACCATTTGTGTACCCGTTGCTATCTCCAAAACTACCCGACCTGAATACCGCGTGATTGACCTGCAAATGCGACAATTATTAAAACAGTATCAAAGTTTAGTGTCCAACCATAGGAATAATTGTTTGCCCAGGTTCCAATATTGCTTTTTTATACGTCTCCAGAAACAACGGAGTCCAGGCGTCTTCTGATATGCGATTGGGCGGCGAATCTTCTTCCTTTTTGATGTTTTGAGTAGAAACAACCTGAAAATGTAAACAATGAAGTGAGAAGAAACTTCCCGATGTGGAATACCTGCTGTACTGGTTTTTGGTTCTTCAGATTGCCCATTTTGGAAGCTGCATAGCCCACTCTGAGTGTAACTTCTCTAACAATCGCCTCCATATCATCGGCTTTTGTCTGGATTTCACCGACCCGTAGTTGGATTCGTCGTGCAATGTCTCGCGCTCTTTGTGTCATCTAAATAAAAATATATCTACGGATTTCAGCTCAGAAAACCTACCTGTTTGTCCATTTGCAACGAATTCAAGTTCACACCCGCAGGTGACGTCTCATTTGTAATCATTTTCCCGTATTTTTTGGCGATACCTGTCAAAATAAAAACAATTGACAAGAAATTCCGGAAAAAAGACAAAAAATGAGTAATTAAGCGCAATTTTCGCTTTAAAACAAACAATAACAATGCAACTTGGCGCGTTTCTTGTGCAGCGATAATTGGCGCGCATCGCGTGCGCTAGCGCATTTTGTGTGCGCGTCCCCCAAGGGAAAGATACCCTCAAGAGCGTTGTGTGTAAGTGTGTGTGTGTGCCGGCATGTGCTAGGTGGTCCCAGAATAAGAAACAGGAAGAGAAGGACCATTGGAGGGGAATCGCAATGTCTCACGCAACATTTTTTGTGTGTGTGTGAGTGAGATGATGACGTGGTGTTGGGAGAGGACAAGGGAATTAGCAGGGAGACATGGTGCGTTGTGATCGGTATAATGAGAGAGAACATAATGGATAGTTCGTGAAAAAATGAGATGTAGGTACAGACCAAAATCAGAATAATTTTTAGAGGAAAGGCAAATCGAACAAACATAATTCTGAAAACACAAACATTCGGCTTCTCTTGAAGGATCCGGGGCACTGAAACTATTAGAATGACCCTCTCCTCCTAACGTTGAACTTTAAGCTAATTTATCTCGGTTCTTGAGGATGATATAAAAAAAGTGGTCAACTATTAACACATTTCTGAAAATATAATGAACATTTTGTCAGTTGACCACTTTTTGCCATATTATGCAGAAAATGTGATACATGGCTCAAAGTTGACCGTTTGGATGGTGTTAAAGTGCTGGAATTCCAGTTTTTGTGGCAAAAAATCTTTTTTTGTATAAAATTGGCCATTTTCCAATAAAGTGACTAAGGGTTAATGGGACACCGAAAAATATAAACATTTTGTGAAAATCTAGAAAATTTGAACAACTTACGAATGTTAACTTATCATTATGACTGATTTTTGTTATTGGGTCGGCACCACAAAATGCGAAAAAAAATTGAAAACTGATTCCATGTCCCAGGATTTCGAAAAAAAAAGAAGTAAAATTATTTTTTTCGAAATTACCGTAAACACTCGTATAGAATGACCTTCTTTTTGACTTTGAGCCAGTGTATCTTGGTTCCTGTGATGTATGTAAAAACAAGGTAAACTGACAAAGTATTTATCGTAGAATCAAAAGTATTTTGTCAGTTGACTACTTTTTCATATCTTTGACAGGAACCAAGAAAATCGACTCAAAGTTGAATGTTTGTCCCGAAATAATTATCCGGATTTCAGAGTCCAATGTCTTATTTTTTTTAGTAATATCTGTATGTTTTCATTGGAAAAGAGTTTGTCCCGTTTCTATAAGAATAAAATTAAATCATTTTTTTCGTTTTTCACTTCCCATTCCTGTTCTACCTACAGTATCCGTTGCCCAATATCTCTCACAGTATCATTTCATATCAGTTTTTGATTCAGTTTTTTTCATTCAATTCCCATCCCGGAATAAAAAAACTTTCACTCCACAAAAAAACTAGGGTGATTCTATCTCATTTCTGGTTTTTTGTTGTAAATTGATTCTGGTGATTTGTGGTTCAGTGACAGGTCCGGCGACAACTCAACACATCCTGAATCCCCTTTGTCCTGACCAAGTCAAAGTCGCTTTGCAGTTTTTTATACGATTCATTGTTGCTTTTTTTGAAAATATATTCCATTTTCGAAAAAAATCCAGGTCACCGCAATCAAATGTCCCCAAAGAAGTGGAACAAAAGTTCGTTTTCACTTTTTCCTCTCTACGACCAATTCAAAAAATGGCTACGCGGATCGGTGCCGCGTGTCACGCAGTGCTAGCCGAACCGTGGGGTCATTGTTTGCAAGGAACAAACTTGCGCCTGTTTTTTTGTGGTCGCGAGGGAGGGGAGGGGCGATATAAAAAACGAAGCGGCAAAAAAAAAACTATCTAGGAAGTGGGTCACTCGGCTATTGACTGTCTGACCACTTTCCAATCTTCATTCGTTCGCTTTTTTGCGAACTGTTATTTTTTTTCTCTTTTTGTATGTAGGAAGGGAGAAAATTTATCTTCAAGCTATCCTATATTTTTCCCTAGAAGCTCTAGAGGCAGAGATTAAAAATTTAGAGAATAATTTCAAACTATAAGGTTTTATTTTAAGCTAGAAAACATTTTTTAGCTGTGGTCAACTTATATGCGCTCGTACAATCTCACTTCCCATACCTTTCTGTTATCAGTTTTCTCTCTGCCCTCCAGCATTTTGCAACATTTGTCGCCAGGATCATCAATCAAAAATGCACACTGACCACTCTGAATTTCAACGAAGAGTAGACGTGCCTGTTGGAGTATGTGTGCGTGGTGGCACGCCGTGTCCACTCCACGCACTTTGCCTGATACCATGAAGAACGACGGCGCCCGGTACTGCCGCCCGGGGCCTCAATTCGCAACAAAGGAGCAGGCGAAGACGAAGAGACATAGAGATATGGGGGACGCCGGGCGCCGCACCAACTTGCTCTGATGCGTCCGCTAAGCCCCACCTCCTGCGTTCCTATGCATTGAGCTCTTTTAGTCCTTGCCTTTAGTCTGAATGAGTTTCATTCTTGGAGAATGACCTCCCGAGGAGAGCTCCCCACTTTTTTTCAGCATTTTTTCCTCACTTTTAGGAATTCATATTACCCTCGGACCCTTGAATATGTAGTATTTCCCCCTTGGTCCCTTCTCATATACCATACTACATTTCTTTCAAAACTAACCGGGATTTTTCAGGGGATTGCAGGATGATGGCTCTACACTGGGGTACGGTGAGGTAGTAGGTTGTATAGTTTAGAATATTACTCTCGGTGAACTATGCAAGTTTCTACCTCACCGAATACCAGGTTCTCAACTGCATCGTGTCAATTACTCTCAAACGACGGACACCTTCATTTTCCTTCTTTCTTTTTTCTTTTCTCCCCTTTCTCCTCATTATTGTTGAATCTAACAGAGTCGTAAGAACTGTATTCGGTGCTCTGTTAGATATATTTTGTACTGTATTCGGAGGAATATTTGAACCTAATTGTACCGGTAATGTATCCATGGAGTGTTGTTGTTTGAAATGTAGCGGAGGAGCCGTTTAACATTGACTACAAATGGTAAGATGTGCAGTTGTTCCGATTGCTAGTCTTCACCAACCCATTCTAGACAAATATTGGTGTTTTACAGGGTCGTCTTCACTTGGTAATGGCTTGACTGGTCGATGAGCACGGGAACATCATCGTAGACTACAACTGCTCGGGATTTCACTTCTACCTCTTTTGATCTACCTCAACGACATGCCGTCGCTACACTGAAGCTCCATCGTCGCATCTATACTGACAACTACCTCATCTGCTTTTGTAATTCACTTCATTTTCATTTTTTCGTTTTTTCTTTCAAACCCTCAAAATAAATCATGATTAATTGAAACACAAAATCTTGATAAGTCTTCAGGTTGATTCAATTTCCGAGAATTTTAAATTTTCAGGTGATATCCTAAAAAGATAGAATGATTTTGGGTTCGGAATGAAGGGTAAGCTCAGGACCAAAAATTAGCCTAATATCAGGAATTCTAGAAAAATAGAAAAATTTCAAGTAAATATTTCTCAAAAATTAGATATTTTGGATTGCCTCCCGAGTCCTTTGTCAACATTCCTAGTCGTTTTCTATAGGTTTGATATTCACTTTGGTAGGTTTGGTATTCGATTTTTAATCAAAAAAAAATCTATAGATTTGTAGCCATGGGCTACCAAGCGCTTCATGTTTATCATACTTGCAACGGGCCGGGCCGGGTCGAGCCGAAACGACAATTTTCCCGGCCCGGCCCGGCCCGCCGACCCGACCTTTCTCAGTAAAAAAAATTTCCAATGAAAAATTGGGAAATTTTTTGCCCGCCCAAATTCTCGACGGGCCGGCCTGAAATTTTGCAAATATGATGTTTACTGTGTCCTGGGTTTACTAGCTAATAAGGACCTAATGGGGTTATTCAGGTGAGGGAAAAAATCCGGAAAAAAACCTGAAAAGCCAAAAAGCTCCGCGAAAATTGGGAAAATGAACCAATCTGGCTGAAACTTTGAGGGAAAACTAGAGAAAACTATAGAACATTTGATCAAAAAGTTGAAATATCCACTGTGAAATGTTGTCTGAAATGTTCGCATAATTGCTTGCTATTTTTCACGTTTTTATGGCCACAGATTACGAATTGAGCTTGTGTTTTACATCAATGACTTTATGGTTCAAAATACGGCGCTTTGAGCATTATCTATTTTCCCCAGCTCAAAGTACAAACTGTTAACTTTTTGTTGAAATTCAAAAATATCTAGTTCGAACGAAAATGAAGGCAAAGATTAAATTTTAAAGCTTTGCAAAAATGGCTGTTCAGATTCCAAAGGGTTTTAGCAACAAATTCAGTTCATCGCCAAAGGTTATAAACAATAAAACGTCTGGAACACATGAAAGCAGCGTTCCGACAATTATTGAAAAGCTTCCAAATATTGAGGAATTCAGCTTCTGAAAATGTGCTAAAATTATTAAAACTAATTTGTTGAGCGTATTTTTCAAGTTGCGTGTTTCGACATTGTTAACAATTCTGTTGAAAATGACACATTTTTTAAGAGTTTAAAGCTGGATCTAATTCAACAACCTGACTTTGCTCTAATGAAGAAATAAATAGTCGATACCATTTCATTTCTATTTTTCCTACCTTCTTTTTTTGCACCCCTCTCAAAATGAATAATCATTTTTTGAAAAAAAAAGTGCTTGATAAGTATAAAATTTCAGATTGAATTAATTTCAAAAGTTCAAATTTTTTTAGATGATATCATGAAAAGATAGGAAAGTTTTTGAGTTTTGAACAGAGAATGACTGATAGAACAAATACTTGGGTTCAAAATGGAGGGAAAGATCAGGAACATAAGCTCGAGTAAAATAAGCGGAAAATAGTCCGACGTGATGCTCAACAATTTGAATTTATTGAAAACGTTCTTGTTGCCTGGAATTTCGAGTAATATCATATATTTGGGAAATAATTGCCAAACTTCGCAACATTGTTACATTCGACCTCTCCTCTCCGCCATAAAACCAATAATAAAAAGTGTGTTCCACTCACACAGCGATCTGTTGGATCACCTCCCGAGTCCTTCGGCGACGTTTTTTCTATTTGCTCTCCTCGGGTCTGCATACATATTCAGTGTCCATCATGCTCCAAGTCTTCTGCCCTCGTCTTCTCCCTCCTCCCACTCGTCTTCTCCGTTTTCTCGACTGCGTAGTCCCTTTTTTCTCGCATTTGCACCAATAATTATTGGTTGTTCGTTCACACTAAATTAGCCAACAGATGGTAAGCTATTAGTTGCTTTTACATTTATGTGAGTTCAGGTTTTCAGCCTAAAATATTCAGTTTTTCAGCCTTTGGAAGCGATTGAAAGCTAGAAAAAGAAGACAGCTGAAAGGATAATTGATTTTTTTGTGGCACACTGCAGGGGTCTCTTATTGGCAAACAAAAACGGTTGGTTGAGGTGAGAGAGGTTCTCGATGGCATATTTTAGTTTTGGTGAGTTTTTTGTTTTTGTAATAACTAATCTTATATTTGCTTATGTTACTTTGCTGTTTTTGAAAATAGTACTAGTCAATAAGATATAGAAAACAGGTTTTTCAGTAGATTTTTGGCCATTTTGACCATTTTCAGGAGTCTGGAGCTCGGGTGTCAAGGTTCTAACTAATTTGAAACTTTGGGAAAATGTAAAACAGACATGGATTGAAAACTTTGCATTCACAGAAGTTTTCGTAAATTCTTAGTTTTCCAGCTATTTGCCGATTTCAAAAAGAACTTCTTTTTGAATTGCGTTGTACTGAAAAAGTGAAAAACAGGAGTCTTTCAAAAATTGGCAAAAAACTGAAAAAATTGAAAATTTCAAAAAATTCTGGAAATGAAAAGTTTTCAATATAGACTTGTATTACATTCTCCAAAATGTTCAAAGTAATCGGTCACTTGACAGTCGAGCTCCAGATTTCTGGAAATGGTCAAAATGACATACAGTGGCGAACGTTAGTGAGTGTCCCTCTGTACTTTTGTTTATAACTTTGCTCAAACTTGTCCAATCATTGAAAAATTTTTGTTAAATGTAGCTGGGTTTCCAACAAAACGTTGTATAAGTTTTTTTGAACACAATCAATTTTTGTGTCTTCTGAATCTTCACAGACGTGACGATGACTCCAGATGAAAAAAATTTTCCGTCAGAATTTTTCCAAAGATTGGCTTTGGAAATTTTTTGTGTCGATCAAATATATACCAAAAAATTTTTAAGCGGTTTGGAACACATGCTCTTGAGATGTGCTCACTAGAGCATAAAAGGTATGGTTCAGGAGTCGAATTTCGAGAGAATGTGTGTTTTAAACTGCTTTACAACATATATACAAATCTTTGTATTTTGGGAAGAAAAATTTTTCATAATACATAGCTAGTTTTCGGTACATAAAAATGAAAAAATTATGAAAAATTTTTGTTCCCAAAATACAACGTTGTATTTATATTGTAGAACAATTAAGGACACACGTTCTCTCAAAATGTGAACAATTTTGGATCATTTTGAGCCGAATTATAGCCAAACTCCTGAACCATACCTTTTATGCTCTAGTGAACACATCTCAAGAGCATGTGTTCCAAACCGCTCCAATTTTTTTGGTATATATTTGATCTACACAAAACATTTTTCATTACAAAGTCAATCCTTTAAAAAATTCTGACGGAATTTTTTTTCCATCTGGAGTCATTGTCACGTCTGTGAAGATTCAGAAGACATAAGAATTGATTGAGTTTCAAAAAACTTATACAACGTTTTGTTGGAAACCCAGCTACATTTAACAAAAAAGTTTTCAATGATCGGACAAGTTTGAGCAAAGTTATAAACAAAAGTATAGAGGGACACACTAACATTCGCCACTGTATATCTTAATTACCGGTACTGTAGCTAAAAACACATTTGCATTGATATTGCTTTTTGTGCATATGTGTTTGTTGCAAGGATTACCTTAAAAATCAGAAATTGATTAATTTAATACTAATTGTAGTGTATTTTGTCCGAAAAATCGAGTTTCAAGAATTTTATGATCATTTCGTTCTCCTTGATAACGCTTATTTTCAGTGCAGTGGCACTTCGTGCATCACTGACCAATTATCAAGTTTGCCAAACTTTTTCAAGATTCACGTTTTTTTTGAGTTAAATACCGTAAAACCTGTAATTGTAATGTAGGGCTCTCAAACTGTTGAATTTGAGCTCAATTATCTCAATTTCTATGCAAGATATCAACATGTTATCAACTAACCAAATTTTTTAACATAAAACCGGAACAAATTTATTACTAGACCATTTTTTTACAACTTTAAAAAGAGCTGAGAAAAATCAAAATCAAAGACGAGGGGCCCTACTATCACAGGTTTTACGGTTCGTTTTTAATTTCTTTTTTGTTGAAAAATCCCAGTCACCCCTCAACTAGACGTTTCTAGGCGTCAAGAATGTTCTAGTCTACGAAAAAAAGTGTAAATAAATGTCTCATTGTCATTACTGACGACTTATAATTCGGCTCAAAATCATTTCACCTCTCTTTTCGTGTCGTTTAATAGTTTTTGATCATTCCCAAAGACTCGATTGTGTTTTAGTTGTCAGAAAAGGTCAAAATCAAAACCCCACCACCATTTTGGGTTCAAGAAAATGTGACGGTCATATTCTCTTCGAAAAAAAATCGAATCACTTTAATTTGGCGTCTTCAATCACTCTGTCAGTTGACCCCACCCAAAAAACCTATGAACGTTCATCATTTTCAATTACTCGAAAGAGGCCAGCAGTCCAATAACGTATCACTAGAGATAGCGTTCTTCTTGCAATATCTAGTTTTTCTTTTCAAAAATTTTTGTCAAATTTGTTTGCTAGTTACTTTTCCAAAAAAGTTCAGTAACAAAAAATAGAATCACACTTTTTTTTTCGTATTCCAATCATTTGATGAACATTTTTAAAAACTTTGCCTAGTGGTTCCCATTCTTTGAAAATTCTTTTGAAGACACCTTTGCCCTCTCTAAAACTTTTTCAACAATTTTTTCACCATATTCATTTTCTTCCTGAGATTAGTGCATGTTTCTATAATCATAATCCTTTTATCAGCAACAGAAAAAATGTTTAACTATTATTTATGATTTTCTACCCAACCTTTCTGGCCACTCGCATGCTTTGTGACCAGCAAAAAAATTTTTTTTTCAAGTATTCCAGTAAATTTTGCTCGAAGTACACTTGCTATCAAACTTTTTTTTTTTTTGCTATCAAACTGCAAACACCACCTTGGCAACATGGCATGCCTTCCTCCTGATAAAAAGACTGATTGTTGGTCAGAGATCGGTCAGAAACAAGCCAAAAACCACGCTTCATTCTTCCCTCGTGCCTCTATTCCTCAATTTTCTTTTGTTGAATATTCAAATCGTCTAGACTTTCATCTTACAGAAATTGTGATTCTGCCACAAATGCAATAGTGGCGTTCAGCTGATAAAAAACGGAACCGTTCATAATGATAACGACACCTTTAAATGAAGAATATCGTGTTTATGCGAAGCGATGGGTCTATTTATTGGCTGTTAGTATGATCAACTTCTCAAATGGAAATGTGAGTTTGAAAAAATGAATTTCTGGTCCACAAAATTAAAAAAAAACACACAATTGTAAAATTCCGGGCCGGGCCGGGCTTGCGGAAATTTTCAAGACCCGGCCCCGGTATTAGAAATCCTGTATTTTTGAGCCAAATTTTGAGCTCGTAATTCAATTTTTCCAATTTTTCTCGTATTTTCGGATTGTTTGTCTGTTTGGTCAAGAAAGATCGAAAAAACTCAAAAAAAATTTTTTGATCGAGAAAAATCACATGAGGGTCCCCCTTATGTGTTTTTTGGCCATTTTCACCATTTTCAGAGGTCTGGCGCTTGGCTCTCTTTCAAAAGTCTAGGAATTTTTGAAAAATTCTGTAAGCGCAAAATTTTCAGACTAGATCTGTTTCACATTCTCCAAAGTTTTCAAAGTGATCGAAAACTTGATAGCCGAGCTACAGACTTCAGAAAATGATCAAAATGGCAGAAATTCACCAAAAATATGTTTTCGTATATTATATTGACCGGTACGGTATACTGCAAAAAATGAATTTTCACAACCTCAAAAATAGTTCACAACGTTTTTTTCCACAAATCTCTTATATGTGACATCTTTTGTTCCTAAAATCTTCCCAGACGATGAAAACAATCAAGGACTTTCGACTTTCTTTAAATAGACTCAATTTTCATTTTCTCGTCATTGCGTATCAAATATCACAGAAGCAAATATCAAATTAACACAAAAACACCCTATACTATCTTCTGTTGTAAAAATTATATATCGTCACTATACACTCGTTTTCCACGAAAATGAAAACACTTCTTTAGAAATCGGCGAAGACGACGGGCTGTCTAAATCACAAAAAAGATGATATTAATAAATCATTCTTAGAAGATTTATGCATAAATATTGATAAGCTTTAGACATGGATCACATATGCTGCAATTACCTTCTACACAAATGACTACTACAGTAATTCAAATGCAGCACTATTTTTTAATGTAATTTTCATGGTGCTTTCAATTCCTGTTGGATTTTTGGCTTGCTGGTGGATTGACAAGTTTGGACTGAGATCCGCGGTAATACATATTAAAAATAACGTTTAACCTGAAGGACCCCCTAGCTTTCTACTGATAGCCAATTTTTCTCGGTCCATGTCAAAGGCCCTTATATTACAGGTTTTACGGTCAGAATACGTTTGATGCTTATCTTGAAAAATTTCAGTATCACATTGGAACCTGGGCGAATTTCATTGGGAACATCATTCGATTAGTTGCTTCTGGAACATTTATCGATCCATCTATACGGTATTTTATCAATTCAAAAATTGGGAAGTTAAGAAAAAGAGGAATTTTTAGGTTTCCAATTGCTATCACTGGTCAAGCTGTTGCTGCGTTCGCCCAACCCTTCGTTATGTTCCTGCCGACCAAACTGGCAGCATATTGGTTTGCGGATAACGAAAGAGCCATAGCTAATACATTGTCATCGATGTCAAATCCTATTGGAATCGCTGTCATGTACTCATTGGCTCCAGTTTTTGTCAATAAGACTACCCCGAATAATTTCTTTAATATGGTAACAAAAAGTCTAGAAAAAAGTGACGAAAATTCCTAAATTTTCAGAATATTGCGGTCACTGCTGTTGCCCTGATCCCAGTCATTCTCTCAATTTTTATCAACAAATCTAAGCCTCCAACGCCAGCTACACCCTCTCGAGATATCGATGTACAAGCTCCACCATTTTTAAAAGGAGTCATCATGTGTTTCAAATCAAAAACCTTCATTGTGCTTTCCATTTGTTTGGGTAAGTTACAATTTTTGACCTGCTAGAGGCATTTTGTAATCATTTCTTAAGATACAAGTCAATTTTTACCCAATACAAAGGGTCGAAGTTCGTTTGGTCACGGAATCACGAATTCCTAAGACTAAACAATACATTTGAAAAATGATTTTGGAGATTAAAATCTTTCCTTTTTTTTCTAAATTGTCACAAAATCAAAGGACAGTTTCCTGACAGCTCTCAGTTTCTAGTTCCTGATTCATTTGACACCCTAATGGCATTTACTTCCCCTGCTACCGGTTGAGATGTCCATCAACCATCAAAAAGCATTTTTCAGGAGGTGGAATTGGTCTTTTCAATGCGCTGTACAATAATTTGCAACCAGCACTATGTGTCAAGGGATACAGTCCAACATTTAACGGAGGAATGGGTACATTGTTGATTATGTCCGGACTTGTTGGTGCGGCAATCAGTGGAATCATTGTGGACAAATGGGGAGAGTTTGAGAAAGTTAGTGAAGTATAGGGCTGGAATCTTAGATTCGGACAAATACTAAAATAACTGATTGATACCCCTCCCGCCGCACATATGGATGTTTTGCGATTTTTAGTTTTGAAGGTCGCAGGATTTATTTAAATTTGTTAGTTTTCAGAAATCAGCTTGCAGTTTAATACTTGCAAGCTAAAATTTGTATATTTGCTGATTTCTGAAAGACACCTATTTTGGCTTATTTTTGTACTGAAAATGTGAAGAAGCAGGTGTCGTTCAAAAATCGAGAGATGACTGAAACTAGGAGTATTCTAAAACTCCAGTCTCCTGAAAATGGTGAAAATGGCCGGAAATACTTTATATGACGTCTAGAGAACAATTCTAACATTTTTCCAGGTAATGAAAGTATCCTTCTGTGTAGCCGGCGTTGCAGCCGCATCCTTATCAATTTGCATTAACTACGAAAACGTGGAGTGGTGGGTAATTTTATCAATTTTCGTGTTCGGAGCTGCCGGATTCTCCATCTATCCAATCGGGCTAGAAATGGGAGTCGAAGCGACGTTCCCAGTAGCAGAAGCCACATCAACGGGACTAATCATCATGATCGGACAAATCCAGGGTGTATTTTATGTGATAATGACGAATTTAGCGGTTGGAAAGCCGGACCCACATGACACAGCAATTCAGACATGCGTTGATCAGAATGATCAGATTCATACGGTTCTTACTTGGAAATGTGAGTTTAGTTCAAAGCCAAAATCATACAGTACTGTTTTTTTCGAATGATTTTGGCAATTTTCCGGAGACTGGAGCCCGGCTGTCAAGTTCCCAATTATTTTGAAAGGTTCGGAGAGTGTAAAACAAGTCTAGATTAAAAACTATGCATTCACAAAACCTGTAGGAAGTTTAGAACATTCTGTGAACGCAAGTATTTCAATCTAGGTTTGTTTTACACTCTCCGAAATTTTCAAAGCGCTCGGAAACTTGACAGTCAAGCTATGAACTCCTGAGAAAGGTCAAAATGCCGGAAATCGACTAAAAAATTGGTTTTTCTATATTTCATTGACTTATCTATTCCAGGGCCATTCCTCATCTGGCTTGGATGTATATCAGTGCTGATAATGTCGTTCGTTGTATTCTTCTGGCCAAAATACAAACGAAGGAATTACGAACAAGCCAAGAAACTAACGGAGTATTAAGAATAATTTGTGTATTTATTGAAAACAAGAAAATTACTGAAAAATGAAAATAAAAAGAAAAAAATGAAAATACAATTGAGAAAACGAAAGTCACTTACACGGGGGAAAATGTGGAAATGCAGAGAACCAGATATGAACTCAACGATTATTTGAAAATAGATTCTAGTCGGAATCTTGAATCAGCTCCTTCTCATGTTTAGCATCTGTGATCATCTTGTTGATAGTATCGATCGATTTCTTGGCATCTCTAAAATCCTCATCTTCCAGGGTTCCTTTCCCCACGAATTTCGCTTCTTTGGCGTATGTCTCACAGATCTGAAAATAAAAAAAATTGACAAAAAAAACACAAAAACGAGATCTTCTTACCTTGAAAGAATCTTCATCCGCCACATCCAGATAACTTTTCACCAATTTCGCATAACTAACATACACTTCCAAACCTCCTGGAGCATTTTTCTCCTTCCAAACTTTCTTGGCTGCCAGTGTGAGCTCATAGTAGATTTCCTTGATCCGATTCCACACTTCATTTCGCTCCTCATCTCTGGCATATCTACTCAGTTTGCTGAATACATCGTACACAGCGTCAATGTAAAGTTCCAGCCATTCTGCCGATTTGCTGAAATACTTTTCGAAAACATTGGAAAGAAGAGAATTCCGGTGATGGGACCAATATGACACATGTTATCCCTCTTGTTCTCTCGTTTGTTTTATCACAAAAATTGTTTATACATAACTTGAAAATCAACTCACACCATTTTGACACCTTCTAACAGCGGCAGACACTGGAAACATGCGTCTTTTTTCTCTTCGAATGAGCAACTAAAATTTCTCAATTATAACATTTCAAAATAAAAATTTAAAACAACCTTGTCAATTTTTCACACACAATAATATTTATGATTTGCATTTCTGGAAGCGTATACTCAATTCCATCCTCAGAAGTGTACTTTTCAATTGCTTCGAATGCTTCGTCAAGTGTTCCGGCTTCCGCCAGACTTTTCGCCTTTTCGAAAGCTTGTGTGCGATCCATAGCTTCTAAAATCAGCACGATTCAACCTTAAAAAAAGAAAGAAAAGATTTATAAAAGTCAAAGTCACATGAAAATAGTAAAAATTTTTCGATGAGTCGAGAAGGGTATGTGAGAGGAGAAGAAACACAAAACACATCTGTTCTATTGAAGGTTGGCTCGAGAAGGATGACATCAGTGTAATCTTCCATGCATGTGGGCGGCAGGCACAGGAGTGTAAGACAACAGAAATCTTTCGGCAAAAAATTCGGGGGGGTTGGGGGGGGGGGGATACAATGATTCGGGGGTACAAGGGGGTACAACTGATTTAAGGGTACAAAATTGGTGATTCGGGGGTACAAAATTCGTGGGTACAAAAATTCTGGGGTACAACGATTCGGGGGTACAATCTACCAATGATTCTGGGCTACAACCCATTTCATTTAGGGGTACAACGCTTGTGATTCGGGGGTACAATTTTTTTTGAGGGAGTTTCTGAATTCCTGAATTTCAGAGCTTGAAAATCTCAGAATTCTTAGAATTTCAGAACTTTGGAATTCCAGTATTTAGGAATCTGAAAATTTTGAAACTTAAAAATCTGAGAATCTAAAAATTTCCGAATTTCAGAATCTCAGGACTTCAAAACTTCGAAATTTCAGAATTTCAAAACTTTGGAATTCCAGAATTCGGAATATGAGAATTTCGGAACTTCAGGATCTGAGAATCTGAGAATTTCAGAACTTTGGAATTTCAGTGCTTCGGCATCTGGGAATTTAGGACGACAGAAATTTTTCACTTCTCATTGTCACATTGTTCTTTTGTTCAGAAATTGCGAAATACTGAGATTCTGACGTCCTGAAACTTTGAGATTTTGAAGTTCTGAAATTCGGAAATTCTCAGATTCTCAGATTCTGAAGATCCGAAATTTTCAGATTCCGAAATACTGGAATTACAAAGTCCTGAAATTCTAATAATTCTGAGATTTTCAAGCTCCGAAATTCAGGAATTCAGAAACTCCCTCAAAAAAATTGTACCCCCGAATCACGAACGTTGTACCCCTAAATGAAATGGGTTGTACCCCAGAATCATTGGTAGATTGTACCCCCGAATCGTTGTACCCACGAATTTTGTACCCCCGAATCACCAATTTCGTACCCCTAAATCAGTTGTACCCCCTTGTACCCCCGAATCATTGTACCCCCCGAATTTTTCTCCAAATCTTTCTTGTTGGTCCCCCCAGTAAAGAAACAGCCAAGATAAATCTAAACCAATTGGTTTCGTGGTAATGAAGAAATTCCAGGGAGATTATGAATGGAGAGATAAAGCGTGGAGAGAATGGAGAGATAAGGGATGTAAAAGTTTTATTTAAGGAATTTTGTGAAATCGTAATATTCAAAAAATTCGTAAAATTCGTAAAAACTAAAGAAAGCAGTAATTTTATCAAAAAAAAACTTTGAAATGTTGTACAAATATTAAAACTGTATAACCTAATGTTTTTGATGAGCTTCATGTATTTTCTTAAATATTTTTGGAACAAACTTTAATTTAAAAAACGTCGCAAACGATCCACAAAAAATATTCCAAAAATAGGTCTAGTGCATAAAAATGGATTCGAATACTGCCGATTCTGAACGAATATAATGAAAAAAATCATTGTTTTTTTTCGCTCTAAAAATTTCACTTTACAACACTTTTGAAATCTTGAGTATCAAAAAATTTTTTAGTCTGTGAAATTCGTAAAATTAGTTAAAGTAAAACCACATCCCTGGTCGGCCCTGATAGAGCAAATAGGGACAACATTTTGAACTTTTTTTCGTCCTATCATTTTATAAAACTGTTTGAAGATTCTTTTTCAGATGTTTTTTTTTTCATTTTTATAAATCAGTTGTCAATTAAGAAACAAAGAATTTCAATTAACATTGATTACTCTAATATCATTCCCTTGAAGACAGATTCATGAAACATTCAAACCATGATGTAAGCCATAATCCAATTCCGCTTTCTTAATCTTGTATGCATCACATTGCGATATGTGACTGACACGAATTGTGTGTCTTCTGCTGCTGTCAAATACATCTATGCATTGTTTTGAAATTTTCATCTCGAATTTGAATGTCCTAATAATTTTTCGAAGCAACAAGTACTTTTTCCGGAACATTTTTTCTGCTCAGACATTCAAAAACCAGAGTAGCCAAAAATAGTTATTCTAGAAAACATCTATACGTTGTTTGAGCTCCCTGAAAATTTTGTAAACAAATTTGGAGAAGGTTCTTCGAGAAACGACATCCATCTTTTTTCTAAAAAAAAACTTGTTCCCCTTTTTCCGGAAAACAGATTCTTCAACTTTTTTAGAACTTGGGTGACTTCTTGGTGTCCAATCATTATGTGCCATTTGTCACTTTCCCACTCTACGCAACCTTTCATACATCATCATACACACGTTTCTTTCTCTCTTCAGGTATATCTCTTTTTTCGTTGTTTCTTCTTCTTTTTTCTACTCTCATCTTTTCCATGTTGACATCGTAAAACTTTGTGGAAAAACCCTGTTTCACTCAACCAAGTGGAATTGAGTCGTTCCAGGATTTGAAGATAGAAGGTTTAAAGAAACAAGCGGAGAAAAATGAGGAGAGGAAGAAGAGCCGAGAAAAGAAAAAGAAGCGAGTATCTTCAGAATGATCTGAGAGCCTGAAGGAGCCAGGAGCCCGGAGAAGCGCAGGCAAGCATGGGCCAGCAGCGCGACAGCAACACAATCGTCAGTATTTCTTCTTCTCTCCTGTCAGACAAATGGCACGCCCACACATGCTTTCCTTCTGTTTTTCAATCAACATTCGCAGAGCAAAATGGGTTCCTGCGTGAATGCGCTGCGTATTGTAACTTTTTTATTCAACTTTGCGTTTTGGGTAAGTACAGTAATCCTTTGGAAGAATTTTATTTTTTTGAATTTAATTATGTTGGAACTTTTTAGGTGCAAAATACTTTCTAGATGAAAAATAATATAATTCGGAGAGCACAACAATCTGGGGATATAAGAGGGTACGAAGTGATTTAGGGGTACAAAATCCACATGGGAGGGGGGGGGGGGGACGAAATTTGAGTTTCTCATGTATTTTAAACCCCCGTTTTGAGGATTTTGTACCCCTTAATTGCTTAGTACCCCAATGAGTCCGATAGTTTTGTACGCACCAAATTATTTGCAAACACTCAAATATATGAAAAACCAAAGTGTTTAATAATTAAAATATCGAAAACTTACTGTACCGGACATTAAAGTATACAAAATTATTTTTTCAATTGATTTTTGACTATTTTTGCCGTTATCAAAAGTCTCGAACTCGGCTTTCAAGTTTCCCATCACCTTGAACATTTTAGAGGATGTAAAATAGACCTACATTGAATAATTTGCATTTACAGAAATTTTCAAAAATTTTCAGATTTTCAACTATTTCCCGATTTCTGAAAGATCTCCCTTTTCGGCCGCCTTTGTATGGAAAAAATGAAAAAAAAACAATTGTCTTCCAGAAGATGGCTGATATCTGAAAAACTAGTGATTTCCAAAAAATTCTATGAAGGCAAAGCTCTTAATCTAGATCTGTTTCACACCCTCCAAAAATTTCAAAATGGAAATTCGACATCCGAATTTCAGACTCCTGAAAATAGTCGAAATATCTGAAAATCAACTGAAAAATACGTTTTTTTTTGCAAATCTTACTGTATTCCAGATTTGAGATAATTATTTTTTTGATATCTGGTTTTTCAGCTATCTGGTGTCGTAGTCTTTGGTCTTGGAATATGGCTCTTGTTTGATCCGGCGGCTTCAGATTTCTTCGCTCTTCATTCCACTCATCCAGGTATTTGATTTTTATCCCCCCTCCCTTCCCCACAAATAAGGATTTCTTACCGGATCCCTTCAATTTTTCTAGGTGCTTTCCGGTATGTTGGTTGGTTTCTTGTTGGAGCCGGTGCAATTATCATTCTTGTCGGATATTTCGGATGTATTGGAGCATGGCGAATGAATCAATGCGCTCTTGCCTTCGTAAGTTTCTCCTGCACACCGCAGAAAACACATTTATAAAGATGAGATGCATATAAAAATGTGTTATTTTCACACTTCAGTTCTGCTGCATACTGATTATTGCGTTCTTCCTCGAACTGGCAGCTGCTGTCACACTTTTCCACAAACAAGAACACGTCAAACACTATGTGGAAAGCAGTATGTACGACACGATCAGAAACCGCTACTCATCGGAAACCGCGTTCAAGAATGCATTCGACACCGTTCAAGAGCAAGTGAGAAATGGGAATAAATGAGAGATTGGAAAATATCATAAAACCTGTAATAGAAGGGCCCCACGATGTTTGAGCTCATTATTTCGGATACTGTAAAAGATATAAAAAAACGAGTCAACTGATAAAATGTATGCAATAATATGAAACACAATTTATCAGTTGACAAACTTTGTGTATCTTTGACAAGGACCGAGATAAAATGGATCAAAATTAAAAGTTAGGTGGCCCTATTATTACAGGTATTACGGTGATATTATTCCTGTTCAGAGTAAAATTGTTTGAAAATGAAAATGTGAGAAAACTAAATTTCATCAAACTAGAATAAAAATCGAGATTGATAAAATCTAAGACATAATCATCAGATTCAAGCCATATCTATTTTCATAGCATTTGACCCCCTGAATAAGCCATCAAACTATTTTTTTGAAAGTCTATTTTTATATATGGCCACACTGTTTGTGGTAGTGACCTTATAGAAACAATCGAATCACTGTTTTCAAATGTTTTACATTCCAAATTTTTATGTCTTTTTACCTACTCAAACTCACAAATTTCGTACAATTTTACCGTATTTTTTTTGAAGCCCACATTTAACGTGCACAATCAACTCGGTTCCTGTGAAAGATAACAAACATCTGTCAACTAATAGATTTTTTAGTATCACAAATAATTTATTAGCAGACAACTTGTTCATATCTTTGACAGTAACCGAAACAAACTGAATTAAAATTTAAAGTAGCAAAACCCTCATATTGAAGGATTACGGTATTATCGTACGTTTACCAAATATATTTTTTGTAGTTTGAATGTTGCGGAGTAAAAACCTACACCGATTGGCTCAGCGCTCGTTGGGACGCAGAACCGGCTGCGCAGGTCGAGATTAACGAGGAAGATGCTGGAAGAATCGAACACGGAATTGGAGCATTTGGAGGAAACAAGGGAACTGGCTATGGTACGACTCTCTGGTTTGAAAGAAACTTATATTTCAAGAAAAGGTATTTCAGGACGCGTCCCATCTTCTTGCTGTAACGAGCATGGAAAGCTTTCCTATCCAAACAACTGTGGAAGAACTTTTAATCAAGCTCCACTCAACACTTATGCTCAATTTATCAACACTCGAGTGAGAATTATCACTTTCAAATAATCCCGTAATCACTGATTTTGTAGGGATGCGCTGATGCCGTTTACGAGAGTGTAAGCAGCTACTTGAACACCATCGTCGGAGTTTGTGTGATCCTTTGCGTCGTTCAATTGTTGGGAGTTGTTCTTTCAATGACCCTGTGCTGTTGCAAGAGCAGCGAGAAGAAATAAATTTAGATCTTATTGTTATAGACCTTTTTGTTTAATAAAACACTTTGAAATTCAGCTGACAAGGGTTTATTGATCAGGTTTGAGAAAGAACATAGAGAAAATGAGACGGGTAATACAGAGGAATACAAAGCAAAAACAGAATTTCAAATGGTAAAAAGAACAACTCGTAATCTTCATATGCAAGTATTTGATTGATCGACAGTTTGAAAGAGACAGAAAAAAGATGACATATATTTAGAGGGGAGAGAAAATGAGGTTAGATTGGAATGGGGGTTTTCATCGAAATACATTTTTTAAACTCAAGATTTGATTAATCATTACCGTTAGGACGTTGTCGTATCGTTAGCCTTAACAAGTTGCGAAAATTACTTTTTCGCCCGCTGTTACTTTCACCGTTCTCCTGCGCTTGAAGTACACCGACTTGTTGAGGGGTCAGTAGACAAAGAGACGAAGCGACGGCTAAACCAGATGTTCCACTTGGTGTCACTGCTTTTCCTCCGGTCGGAAGTCGTACCGCGAGGGTGAACACACCGGCTCGATAGTTGTGGCAAGGTTCTATGGAGAGTGGAGTTGGTCCACCAGCTGAGGAGAATTGACTCAGCATGCTCAGCTCCATTTTTGTTGAGGCAAATGGTCGGCTGGCCATCTGCAATAAAAATTATAAAAATCTAGTTTTTTTTCCAGGTTACTTACGTGTTCAATTTCATCTATCCGTCGTTGATTTCGTCGATAGGCTTCAATCCGGACTTTGATCATCCAAAGAAGACCAGCAACCACCAAAAGTACTATGAAACACCTGGAAAAACGATAGGGTGTGTATTTTTGTGAAAAAAAAATGAAGTGACGGTCAATAAGATATACAAAAATGTGTTTTGTTCAGTTGATTTTAAGCCCATTTCATTACTTTCAGAAGGCTGGAGCTCGTCGGATCACTTTGAAAATTTTGGAGAATGTAAATCAGACCTAGATTGAAAACTTTGCTTTCACAGAATTTTTTTGAACTCACAGTTCATCAGCTGATGGTTTTTTTCTTCTAAAAGACACCCGTTTTTTGGCACACATGAGTGGGAAATTTCAATTTTCACCCTATAAATTACTAAATTGCAAGCTGATATAAAAACATACAGGTTAACTACTTTCTGCAATTTCAAAAAACCCAAAATTTACAAAAATCCCTCATATGTATATTTTTTGGCCGGTTTTGTACTGAAACTGTTAAAAAACAAATATTTTTTAGAAATCAGCAAACAGCTAATTCTATGAATGCAACGTTTTTCATTTAGGTTTGTTTTAGGCCTTCAAAAATTTTCTATTCATTGGAAACTGAACAGCCAAGTTCTAAGCTCTTGAAAAATAGCCAAAAATCAACTGAAAAATGCGTTTTTGCATATCATATTGTCCGTTACTGGATATAAAAACTTACGCAGCAAATATGACAAAGAATAACACCCAATTGATTGGCGGGGATTGAGCAAAGCTAACAACAATTTGTACTGGAGTTTGGAAATTGTAAACGCGTACCTAAAATTATAATATTTTGATTTTTTTTATGATTTTCAAGAAAAAGAACTGACGAAGAAAGTGGTATTGGAATCGGGACCGAACGGATAACCCTTATCCGAGGCAACATAAACACGACGGAATCCCTTGGAGTCGCAAATCGTGTCTACCATCATAGTTTGAGTTCGTTCTGGTAGTCCGTTCACATAAGAAGACGTCATGTTTAATGCAACCAGTGTGTTGTGTCCATTGGGAGACTCGCAACTGATTTGGAACGTCACGTCGGTATCCTTCTGTGATAAAAATTGATTTATTTGAAATCCGGTGAGATGACTTACCTTATATGGAACACTGTATAGATAGATTTCACTCGTATGATTGTCTTTATCGTCGTTTTTCAGTTTGAATGTGAAAATGAAGTCAACAGCTAGCTCATCTGAAAATAGAAAAGTTGAAGATGGGAAATTAGGCTTTTTCCAAAAAATAACGTTCCCAAGGTGGCGGTCTCACCTTGGGACCTCCTGTCCTAGGAAAGTGTTGAGTTTCCAACTTACAGTAACACGGCGTTCCATTTCTTGGATTTCCGACATATTTCGTCTCGCATTTGTCACAATGGTCTCCAGTGACTCCTTTGGTTCGGCAATAGCACTGACCTGATTGTGCGTCACACATGTCTGCTTGTCTGTTGCAGTCACATCCTAAAAATATAACATTATCATACTAATTTAATTTTTCTTATAATATTTTTCTGATGATCTAGGGTTCATTTCTTGTTTTTTTTCTTATGCAGAGCAAATCAATTCGCTGCAGCCGTAAAAATCAAAAATTCTGGAATTTTCTAGGCTATTCGCTAGTCTTTTCTACTCATTTGGCTAATCCGTGCAAGACCCTTACAGGAAACTCTAAAAGCCTTTAATGTTGAACCGATTTGCTAGCTCAAACTCAAAATTAAAGGCACATAGAGTTTCCTGCAAGGACCTCGCTAGCCACATGATCTCGAAAATCCAGCGGATAGGCTAGAATACTCTATAATTTTCGATTTTTACGACGGCAGCAAATTGATGATTTTGCTTTTTTCTGAAAAACCCTATAAGACTGCTACTAAAGCCGACCGAACTCCGACAAGCTTATGGCAAGGTTCCAATGGCAAGGTTTTGTTTCTAGGAAGGCAAGGTTCCGGAACTCTCCGTTTTCGGGCTAGTTCCGACTAGAACCGGACCAATATCCGTCCAAAAGCCGAACCTTTTTTTAACTACTGACCAGAAGCTACAACCCAAAGGAAGTACGTGCTTCTAAAACAGAATACACTTACTTGCACAAATTCCACCATTTCTCGAGTCTCCATAGAATCCCGGAGCACAACGCTCACAATGAGCGCCTGTTGTGTTGTTCTGACACGTCTGACACTTTTCTATGGTCACTGGAGGGAATGATCCAACGGATGTGACGCATGTAGAATGACCATTGCATTGACAGGCTGGGCAATCTGTGAAGTACCAGGCACTGTTTGCTGGCTTCGGTTCCAATGGTCCTGTTGCAGCTCCTGGCGTACAGAGACCAAGACCAGTTTTGGAGTCATCGGCAAGCCAACCACAGCCAGGGTCTCGTTGACACTCGCCACAAGTTTTGTGCTCCTCGCAGACGCTTGATTCTGAAAAAAGGAAGGTTTTAGAATCGGAATAGGCTAGCAGTATGTATTTAAACTTAGTGAAAATTGTATCAAGATTTACCTGCTTGACACACCCTCTTCAGCACATTTCCAGATCCGGATGTCACCCAAGAGTGACACTGTCCATAGGCAAACGAAAGAGTGTAGGCTTCCAAATTGAGACATCGATTTGTACTTGGACACCACATGCACTGATCCAAATCCACACAATTACTACAATTGCTTCTTTGGGCGCACGGCATTGGACATTCTGTGGTGTTTCGGAACAATGAACGGCTTATGGACGGGAAATGGGATGGGGAGAGGAACTTGCTACGATCCACTAACGCTGACTTGGTTTCATACTCGTAGACAACGGCGACTGAAATGAATGAATGTTGGATTACTGTTGCTAATTGAACAACATACTCAAGTCCTCTTTGCTCACGCATGGTGATGCTTTATCGATAGGATACCATGTGCAGTGTGGGAGGATTCGACAGCTTCCGCAATTGTTCTCCATATTGCAAGGTCTCAGAGTGGCAACACTGTTCCGTTGAGAACACTTTTCCCAGGAAGTGAGCATTCCCTGAAAATTTATTAATCAGTTAGGAGTTCTAAATATCATACTTGTTAACCGAACCTTTGCCTGGCCTTCGCGCGCAATGTTATAGTTTTTTTTCAACATTTTTCAACTAATTTACATACATATAATAGAACTCAACAAGTAATACAAAATAATACTGTTTGAAAAACTGTATCTTGTCTAAGAACAAAGTTACAAGCCTTTAAATGACCGAGCCCACCAGCGCCACGCCAGTCCGGGCTTTTTTTTCGGGGTTCTTCTGTCTGTAACTTTGCTCATCGACAAGATACAGTCTTCACAGTAATATCTATTTTGTATTTTTTGTAGTACTCGTTGAGTTCTATCCTATATTAATTAGTTGGTTTGAAAGTATTGATTCTGAAGCGCGGCAAAGGCACAGGTATGCTAAATATCAAAACTCACTGGTCCATCTACACATTCCTGTTCATTTGGCAAGCACTGCTCTCCAGATGAGCACCAACCGCATCCAGACTTCGAAGCACAGGAAACACAGTCGGTTTGTTCTTCACAAGTTTTTAGGGCGAGCCTCAATGGAGTATTTGTGCATTCGTCAAAGTTCTTTGGAGCAGATGATTTGATCACTGAGTTGAATGAAGCTTTGTAAGAGACGGTAGGGTCAAAAGGAACACATGAACTGTCCAGGAAGACGCATTTGGTGCCATCAGTAACAAGTCGACATTCATCAGGACGAGTGGTGGATGAACATTTTGCTGGGCTAAGTGTCCAGACATCGTTCATCATTCTTCCATCGTACCCTCCAAGCAAGTAAACTTTCTGTCCAATCAAATGAGACACATGACCGTATCGTTTCAATTCAGCAGGCGCAGTTGACATATTAGACCATTGCTTGCACGCTAAAAGGTTTCGGTTATTTTTTTTTCATTTCTAAGTTTTTATTCAAAGACGTTCAATTTTTCTCTTCGAGATAATCGCCTCGCCGCACTTACCAACGTCATAGGACTGCACCATATTCGAAAAGCATTCACTCTTACTTCCCGCCGTCGTATTCGCTCCGCGTCCACCAACGACGACCATTAATCCGTTGAGATAAACCGCCGTATGCAGATATAATTGCACTCCCGACTGTGGCAGGTTGGTCCACTTTTTGGCAGCGGTGTCAAATTGCATTAGGCTGTCCGTAATTGTGTTGTTCCACATGCTACCTCCGTAAACTAATATCGAAGTGGTTCCCTGAAAATGCAAAACTAGAGTTTTGTAAAGTGGTTTGAAAATCTCACCGCTGGCGTTGTGTACTCCACTGCAGAATGCTTGAAACGACCGTAGACGTGATCACTTGTATTAGCTACACTCCACTCCTCAGTTTCAAAGTTATAAATTTGCACGTGATGTAGGAATCCAAAGAGAGGATTGTATCCAAAAATTACAAACATCTCGGATCCTATCACATGTGCTGAATGGCCAGCAACAGCAAATGGAGCTGTGAGGATAGTTTCGTTTTTGTGATTTTGCTCCGTCCAGGTTTTAGTATTCATGTCAAAGATCCATAGTTCATTCGTAGCTTCTTGAGTTGTGATATGACGGTTTTTAGTTTTAGTCACTCCGCCATACATGTAAAGTTTGTTCTTGTACTTCACAACGGTATGATCAAATCGAGCCTTCGGCACATCTCCAGACACCTCAAGTTTACTCCACTCCCTACTTGTTACATTGTAGACATCGATGCTGTTTGGATCCTGACTACCATCGAAATACTCCCCTCCAATTGTCCAAACAGTATCATCAATAGCGACAGAGGCATGAGATGCTTTTCCAGTTGGCGCCTCGTTCGATGGATGAATGAGGTCCCAGACTGAAGACGTTACTGGTGTTTGGCAAGACTCTCCGTGAACGTTCGAAGAGAGACAATGACATCTTCCATCGACACATTCACCCTCGTGACACGGATTTTCAGCTGATTTTCCGTTTAGCTTGCAGACGTGATGCTCACAATATTGACCTGAAACGAGTATTGCTAGTTGGTTATGTTATCATCATCTCGATGAATTATGGATTCTGTCCGGTACTGACCCACAAAGTTACAATGACGTGATTTTAAGCTGATAGTAGATTTTTTTTTTCCTATTTTTGGCTATTTTGACATTTCCAGGTCTGGAGCTCGATTGCCCAGTTTCCGATCATTTTGAAGATGTTAGAGGGTCTAAAACAGACATAGACTGAAAACTTTGTATCCACAAAAGTTTTTGAAAATTTCCAGTTTTCAGATATTTGCCCATTTTTCAAAGACGCTTCTTTTTCCTGGTTTTGTATAGAAAATGTGAAAAAACACGTGTATTCTAGAAATTGGAAAATATCTGAAAGCTGAAAGTTCCCAGAAAAATCTGCGAATGCAAAGTTTTCAATCTAGATCAGTTCTACGCCCTCCAAAATTTTAAAAGTCATCGAAAACTTGACAGCCGAACACCGGACTCCTGAAAATGATCAAAATCCACTGAAAAATACGTTTTTGTATATTTTTTTGGCAGTAGTTCGTTTTCGTTGGCATCCTCTCTCGATAAATTATAGATTATCTATGCTGAATCATAGTTTGGGAACCTGTTTCTATGATGTTCAACGAAAATCGCTGTGTCATGTTCTTACCTTTATAGCCATCCTCACATATACACTTCCCAGCTGTGCATGTTCCATGATTTGAACATTTGTACGCACAACTGTTTGACTCGTACGACACATTGAACCCGTTTAAATTCATGGCTAAATCGCTGAAAAAGTGCACCAACGCTTTTCCAGATGCCGCTGTGAACTCTTGTGCTGGTTGTTCTCCGCTGAAAGATGTCAGATTAAAGCTCGTTCTTTTTTGCACTTTTATTTAAATCATCGTACCATAACGCTGCCAACTGCTTCCCATAGACACTGTCTCCGTCGTAAATGTACAAATAATCCCATCCACATTCAGTGAAGAAGCTGTTGATTCGGATTGTGAGTGGAGTGGTGCTCTGGAAAACGGGCTAGTTTGAGAGAAGAAGAAAACGGATATTCATCTCTTCATTGCTTACATTTTCCGGTTCAATTAGCCATGTGCATTTTGCTGACGAGCTGTAGTCTAGAGGGCCGTCAGTTATGGAGCTAGTGTTTTCGGATAGCCTGGAATTACATTTTTCATTGATTGGCTAAATCAATTTTTTGATAATTGTAAACTGAGCCTTTGCCGGGTTTCTGCGGGTTCTGCCACCTAGAACTTATATTTTTGGACCATCTAATACAGATATGATAGAATTCGACGAGAACTACGAAATAATATTATCTGGAAACTTGTAACTTGTCTATGAACACAGTCACAGACAAATCATAACAAAAACAGAAAAGTCTGGCGCTGCCGGGCTCGGGCACTTCATGACTTGTAACTTTGTTCGTAGGAAAGATACAGATTTCCAAATAGTACCATTTTGTAATACTCGTCAAGTTCTATCATAGCTTTTTTAGTTGGAATAAACAAAATATAAATTCTAAAGGAAACTATGACAGGGTTCGCGAAGGCCTGGCAAAAACTTGGTTTACAAGTATGATTTTCTTACCTTATCCGCCCAAAACAATGGTCGCACTGTTGTCCGTACCATCCTTTAGAGCAAACACACGCCTTGTTTAGACAGACACCGTTGTAACATGGTTTTTCGCAAGATGATAACGACTGAAAAAATTTAATGAATATAAAGTTGATCTTCATTCTTGATTTAGTACAAAAAATGAGAAAAAACCCCCTTTTAAAAATTCGCTAGGTTGTCACTCTTTAATCTGAGTCATAATTCAAACTAACTGCCCAGTCACTCTGTTCTACTCCACTCAATCAGATTATATTTTTTCTCCTTGACACACACACACAACCTCTCCATTTTTTTTGCCTGCCTTTTTCGACGGACTTACCTTTTCAAACTCGAAATTTGCATGATTTGTTAGCGTATGAATTTGAAGGAAGAATTGAAGATGTAAACAGGTACGGAATAAGAAGAAGCATGGGAATTTTTCCCTTGCTGAAATCATCACGTGCACATCGGTCTGTAAGTTGTAACCTTGTTGCTCAAAAATAAAGAATAACAGAGCTTAATTTAAAGATAAAAATGAGATTTCACGCTAGAAAATTGAAACAAAACTAGAGAACGATGACTAATTTGGGAAAGAAGAAGAAAACACGTCGTCAGAGACGACGAAGACAATAATGAATGCAAGGAGGGGACTGAGAACAGACCAAAATCGATCAATAGTACGCTTGCGCGGAGGGGACGCGTTGGAGAGAGTGTATGCAGAGGGGAGAGGGCGTTTAGAGATATACGGCGTTAGGTGGGTAAACTAGGTAGACATCACCAATTTGCTTCCTCTTCCCCCCGCTTTCTAAACGTTCGCGAAATGACTCAGTTGCTGTGTGTCGTCTTCTTCTTCATTTGGTTTAATTCGTTCGAATAGTTTTTGTAATTTCGTTAGCTTTTTATAGGTCACAACAATTGGGTGCGGCGGCGTGAGACGACATAAGGTTTTTGGTCGCTTTTGTCTCGCGGTACTAACTTTGAATGTTATTAGATAATCATTAGAAAAATGAAGAATGATGTCGTAAGAAATAAAATTGTTTCCACGAAAAAATCCAATAACCTAGAAAAGAAATCGCTCAACGCAGCCGGCATGATAGTGAGCGAAACATAGTTCAAAAAGGGTGTTGTCTTCCCAGCTGGCTCTTTTTTTTTGATAACTATTACTTTTTTGACCATGATAAGGAAATGGTTCCGTAAGTTTACTATTGGCACGCCTTTAAAAAATCGTTAGTTATTTTAATTTGCATAAATCGTGAAACTTGTAACAGATTGTTTTCCTAATTTCTAACTTTGAGCCAATTTATCTCGGCTCCTGCCAAAGATATAAAAACGTTGTCAACTAACAAATAATTTCGATTCTATGATAAACATTTTATCAGTTTATCACTTTTTGATACCTTCCACACAAAGCAAGATACCGTAAAACCTCTAATAGAACGA